ATCAATTAACAAAACAAAAAAACATCTTTTTAACCAACATACTTGGTCTGTTTTGTTCCTCTGCAGAGCTCCTGTTCTGGTGGCACTGGCCTTGATAGAATGTGGGATGAAATATGAAGACGCTGTCCAGTTCATTCGACAGTAAGAACACGTGACTTTTTGAACTTTAAAAAGTTAGACTGAACTACAAGTTGGCTCAGAAGATTTTCAAGTTTTGTTTGATGTATTTACCACTAAGTGAAACTGTATTTTTCAGGGTTATACTGTTTTCATATTTAGAGGAATGTTTTTTTATAGTTATGTCTTTATATATAACTTTTTTCAGTATTAACTAAAAACACTTTTAAAGATTCTTCATATTTGGTTCTCTTGGTTCTTGAGTGCAGGATATGCAGGGGCAGTACATTTTACAGTTGAATACGTCATTAATTGGAGCTCTCTGTTGTGCAAACATGTAATAGAGACCCGACGATCCCTCAAACATGCAGTATCTGTGATCTGTGTCCTCTATACACAACATATACTTTGTATGAACCTCCTGCCATATGCTCACTATAGTTATATCACTATATAGTTCAGTTATATAGGCCATATATATAGGCCAGTTTTGAGATTTTCCTGCCTTTCTGTAAGTCATATTTTCACAGAATCTGAGTGTTTGTGTTAAAGCAAGCAGCCATGAGTCAGTACTGTAAATAGTTGAGGTATCAGATGGTGAGATAAGAGTGATTCAGTGGGAGGAGTGGAGAGTGCTTCATAGTGTGATGTGTCATCCCTTGTAATGTTTCCAGGTCTCACGTGTTTACTTTGAAATGATGGTTTTGGATTTTTATACAAAGCTAAAAGAATAATGTTCAACATGAAACATATTTTGCCCGTTGATTTGTATGTCATGCCAATTGGTTTAGGATTGAATCTTTTCAGATTAATAATAATGAGCTGCTTCTCCTAATTATTTTCATTTTCACTCAATCTGACAACTATTTCCCCAAAGAACAATTTAGTCTTATTGTCAAAACTATATATATATACTAAGCTCCCAAAGCCTTGCTGCAGAGCTTTATTTGGTATATTTAATGGTTTTCATCTCCAACTCAATTTCTTTTGGGAAGGAGAACTTGACTGATAATTGCACTCGGTGTTACATCATTGTGAAAGATGAACATTTAGGGTTATATAGGGTATATATCTCTAAAAGAACACAAATAACTATTGTCTGCCTTTTTACATAGCTGCTGTTTTCAGAGTATATATATATAGTATATAACAAAGAGCTTCCAGATATTCTGTTTACTTCTCGTGATAGAAACTAAAGAATGATCCAAATCTGCTGAACTGATCTTTATCTGTGTCCTTTTGTTTTCTACAGGAAGCGTCGGGGAGCATTCAACAGCAAGCAGCTGTTCTACCTGGAGAAATATCGTCCAAAAATGCGCCTGCGCTTCAAAGATTCCAACGGCCATCGAAACAACTGCTGCATCCAGTAAAGCCAAACCCCGAGCCACGCCAACCCCCCAAACCATCCACCCCCAACATCAGAAAAGTTAAATTCAACTTCACTGGCTTATCACCTGGCAGTCTTGTTTTCTGAGTTATTGTGTTGACGTTTTTTTTGTTTTTGTTTTTCAAAAATACCCTTTCCTGCCCCTGGTTCAAAATCAAGTGTCATAAAAAAGAAAAGAAATGATTTGTGTGTAACGGAGTCACCGTATTTTCTCTTCATGTGCCCAAAAAAAGAAAAGAAAAAGAGGTTAGTTCAGAGTTGTGTATCGTTGTAAAGTGGGATTAATTCTCTGCATCCCAAAGATTCTGATTGGTCAGTTTACATCACCTGAGAATGTACTTAAATAGACAACAGACTTTACTTTCATGTTACAAATTATTATAATCCCTGTACAATTTATGGGATCCGTTTCCAGACTGACGAGACAGAGGTATGCCTTCCTTAAGATCAGATGGTTCATCCATTAATGCCTTACAATCGAAGTGGAACAAAGGCAATCGAGGCGGGAGTCAACCCCCTCTGGCATTTGGTAAAGGTGTTTCATTTTTCTACTCGGAACAAAAAAAACGTTGCCTTTGTCTTGTGCAGGAAGTCTTACACTCACTTATGCCCTTTCAGTAACTATTTTTAAATATAAAACGCTTAATTGTTGCAATATTTATTTGTCAATTGAAAGTCTAGGACCTTGTTTATTTTCTCTATCAAATCTTCTGTTTACTTATTAACTGCCATGTCAGAAAATGTGATTTTCTTTTTTCTTTTTTTGCTTCAAACTGGACTTCCAACGTCTGCGATATTTTGTATGCCTTTTTATTTGATGTCCGTAACTTAAGACTTGGATACTTGATGATTTTATGTATTTGAAAATGTGTACTATTATTATTAGGTTGGCTATTTATACTATCAATGGATGTGTGATTTAGTACCGTGAGCGACAGTTGTAACTGTTCACCAACTTGTGAGAGTACATTAAATGATACACTGAGAAACAAAAGAGTGGATGAGTGGTTATTATTAAATCACATCTATCACATCTCTTTATTTCAACACTTTGTAAATAAAAGACAAGACTTGAATGAAGAGTTTCTTGACTTGTCCTAACTTTAACCTCTTATCAGCTTTCTTTGTACTGTGTTTATCAGTAACTTCACTGAAATATTGCAACACAACCCTTAAGTTTCCTTACATCCAGTTGCAGCTATGAACAGCAGGCATCCTGTGTGAGATGTGTGATCCATGCTGAAGTTAATGAGGTTGGGAAAACAATTTGGTTTATTGAAAAAGTGTGCTTCTTCTGAAATAAACAGCTCAAAGGACTTCGTGTCTTGTCAAATAAAACGAAAATAAGCAGCAGAATGTGGTCTAAGTGTTATCAATTTGCATTAAGATTTAAACTCAATTGTTTTGGATGATGGGGTGCCACCTTGTGGTTATTGCTAACAATGCACCCTTGAGCATTAAAATCCAATCCTTTATAAACCCTCGTTTAAAACATAGTTATGTGCATGTTAAAATGATTTCTTGTTCTCTTATTAAAATCCATTAGATGATATAGAACCTAAGTACTTCTTATTTACCTTGACATGACAGCATCATCTCTATCAATGATAAGTTGTAAAATAAACATTCAGTAATCAAAATCAACTCGCTACGCAGGTATAATCAGCTCAGGTGAAGAGAACACAAGGACCCTGTTCAACATGGTCATCAGAACCCAAACGCTTAACCAGAAACTGACTCCAAACATCCGGCCTCTCCCAGTGTTCTCACCCACTTTCTCCCACTCTCTTTTTTTATTTTACTTTTTCAAGATTTTAACTTTATTGTAGAGATAGGACAGTGGACAGAGGTCGGAAATCAGGGAGAGAGTGGGGAATGACATGTTGGCAAAAAGCTGCATACCTGGAGGACCATAGCCTCCGTATATGGGGCACGCACACTAACCACTACGCTTCCAGTAGTAGCCCAGCTCTCACTCACTTATACGTTTCAAACTTTGCTCTGTTGCTGAAATATCTAACAAGATCCACAAATCAAAGCCATCTACCTGTCTGTTAGAATGTCTCCCTACTGTCCTGATAAAAGCCAGCTTACCCTCTGTCCTCCCTTTCGTCCTATCTCCAACCTAACTTTCCTATCTAAAATCTTCAAAAAAAACAGTTGCATCTCCAGTTATACTAACTTGACAGACAATAACCTCTATGAACAATTCCAGTCTGTTTCCCCCCCACCTCCATAGCAACAGTCCCCCAACAGAGACAGCACTGTTAAAAGTCCGGAGTCAGCTGCCATGATTAGCTCATTTGTGATTTTTACCCTCATCCTCCTTGATTAGAGTGCGGCCTTTGATACCTTATCTCACAACATACTCCGTGACAGACTAGCTTCTATTGGAATCGCTGACACACCCTTGCTCTGGTTTACATATCTCTCTGGCCGCACTCAGTTCAATCAACTCAAAACCTTAAATTCCCACCCATTTCCAGTCACTACCGGTGTTCCTTAGGGTTCTGTCCTTGGCCCCTTTCGGTTCATCATCTATCTACTTCCTCTTGGTCATATCTTCCGTAAATCTAATCAAGTTATTTTGCTACGCGGATGACACCCAGTTCTACCTGTCCATCAAACCTACCTCCTCCCTCCTGACTTCTTCCCTGTCTGACTGAAGACAGGAAATCCAATCCTGGTTCTCCTGTAAGTTCCTCAAATGAAACAGTGTCACAACCGAGGTTCTTCACATTGGCACCAAATACACAATTTAAAACCTTGACAGTTTTTCTCTCTCTATTGATCACTACTCAGTTTCTCCCTCCCCTCAGGTTAAGAGTCTGGATGTCATCCTCGACAGCGCACTATCATTTCAACCTCACATAAAAAATGTTTTACTCTGTCCGCATATTTCCATCTACATAACATTAATCCCCTCCGCCCTTCCCTCACACCCAACAGTACCGTACCGCCATTCTGGTTCACACCCTGGTTACGTCTCGCATTCATTACTGAAACTCCCTTCTCTTTGGTCTTCTGGCAAGTCCATCCACAAACTTAACTCTGATGCCGCTCGCATCATTTCCAGAACGCCCTCCATTAATTGCATCACTCCTGTTCTTCAGCTCCATTGGCTCCCAGTCAAATATAGTATAGACTTAAAGATTCTGCTCCTCAACTTTAAGGCCTTGAATAAACGTGTGAAATTATCACAACCTGAATCAATTAAGTATTCAAAAATGTAACTCTGGAATGTATATTTTATGATACACTGAATCTTCTGACATACAATACTCCAATAACTGTTTCAATAAATTACAACACCAAATAAAAATAAAAACATGTTTAACCTCCCACTTCAGGTTTACCTTGTAGGAAGAAGCGTCTTAAGCTGTTGAACATAATGATCAAACTAAATGTTTATAAGTGTAGTCTTGGTAGTTTTTGGCCAGGCTTGGCTATAGAAAACATGCAAAAGGTTATCAAAATGTGTTTATTTCCTCCTTTGTACAACTTGAAGATGTCACTTTGAACTTTGATATAATAAATAAGAAGTCATAGAAAACTGCTAACCGCCATCCAGTCACAAAAACAACAGTCGTCATGACAGAGATATCATTAAACATATTCAACATTTAGGGGAAAAAAGGGATTTAAGTGGATAAACAACAAAGATACAACAAAATGTATGTCATCCAGCAGTGTAATTTTTGTATTGACACATTTACATAAACATACAGAAAACTTTTGGACTTGTCTTGTTGTTGCTCAGAAAGAAATGGGACTGGTAGTTTTATACAAAAACAGTGAGCTCTTAATTTTTCAGCTTTTACTGTACAGAGATGGAAAAATTGAGGTAATTTTTTTATGCAAAGGAGCTTCAAAATGCGAGGTGTGCTGTTCATTGTCCACCTTTATAACCACAAAGATGGCTTCAAGAGATAAAAATAACTTCAAGACGAGAGGACCAAATGAAAAGAAGAAACATACAAACCAAGTGACAAAACCAAATGGTTCTCCTCCAGTCTCTCAGATTTCTACTCTGACTCCTCCTCACATTTCATTTGGGCCCTTCATGCCGGAGTCCTTTGCAGAAACTGGCGATGCCACCATGGGTAAGATGCACTGTGACGACTCACAGTATCCGTTCAGACCTGGAGTACCAGGAGGCCCAGGAACGCCCACTGCTCCAGGAACACCACGGGGTCCTCGCTCTCCATCACGGCCATTTGTGCCATAAGCTGCCCGACCGGCATTACCTGAAAAAATAGAAACAAATAAGAACCCAGGTGAAACAATGACCTAAAGGCTTTATATGCCTTTTTTCACACTTAAATGTAATAGAAATCAAGTATATCCTCTGAAAATAACTCTGTGATTCATGACTGTCTACAATGGGTGTAACACCCGAGTCCCACTGTCTGTGATGTTTTCAGAGTTTTCAGAGTCCTATCTTCAGTTTGTTTACATCGCCGGGACAGCCGGCTGATTCCTCCCCTCGTGTATAAAAGTTGTTTAATTGAGGGACTAGAGAAAAGAAGAATAACATACTGTACTCACTGCTTAACTGTGTTTCTAGATCACGCTCATTTCAGGTAAATTTACATGCAGTGTGAAGATACCAGCATAATAAAGATCGCTAGCATTAGCATGCTAACACAACAATGCACCACAAGTTGTTTTGGTTTCATGCTGGTGCTCAAGGGCGACATCTGCTGGATCAAAAAATCGCATATAAAGCCTTTAAAACTAAGTCACATATAATATTAGGTCTTAACCTTCAAATCGAAGCAATTTTCAAGTTACTGTGGAATCAAGCCGTTCAAGTCATTAATTACAGTCACGGGCCAAATCATTAAAACTTTGCTGATGCATCCCATTTTCTACATTTAAAAGTTTAAAATTTAAAATGAGATGTGTTAATGTCATGCTTGTCATTTACCTGGTAGACCAGGGGCACCTGGAGCTCCTTTGGCTCCTCTCTCTGTAGGTCCTCTATCCCCTTTGTCACCCTGATCACCTGCAGAGAGGAAGCATGATAATTAACACCAAGAGGATAACATTTAATTGAATTGACCACATTAAGCAGAAGTTCAAGCTCAGACTTCACACCTCATCTGTTCCTTCATTAACATGAAGATGAACCTGATTGGTCTCTGAGGGGGAATGATGTAAAGTTCAAGTATGTGTAGGATGGTGTAAAAGAAAAGGGTAGGAAAGTTAAACTAGTTTAAAAAATATTTGGATAACATGTTTAACCTTAATCTAGTATTCTTCATACTATACAGCTGTAAACTTCTGCATTACTACACAGTATACTATCTGCTGTAAAATATTTTGATCCAAACCTTACCTTTGATTCCTTTGCGACCCATCACCCCAGCTGGACCCTTCAGACCGGGCAGTCCTCTTGAGCCGGTGTGTCCAGGGAAACCGTTCTCTCCGGTGACTCCTGGAGGTCCAGGAGGGCCAGGAGGACCGGGAAGCCCTGAGATACCTGACTCAGGTCTACTGAGGCTGGCTGCTAGCTGGGCCAGCTGCTCTGTGACACATGAGGACAATTTAGACATTTAGATTTATAACATGACAACAAAAACAATCATGAATATCTGAAGATTTAGAAGTTGCTTTCTCTTCATTATAAAGGAGAGAGTGATCTATCTTAATCTTGCAGTACCAAAACATTTTTTTAAACCAAGACTGCTTAGTTTGATATAAATGTACATTTAATTGATCAACTACATGAAAGTTTCCTTACATAATATGTTAAATAGCTTTGATAGCCAAGGCTTAAACCTAAATGCCATTTTCTTTTGCTTCTGATCCAAGTTAAGAGTTAGTGTGGAGAAATTGAAAACCACAAATGTAGAATTAACAATCAATTAAAAAAAGAGGAAAGTAAAGATAACAAACTGGGTGATAACAAACACTTACCTTGCATTACCCTCATGCAGACTTGTTTGATATGTGTGTCTGTTGGGGTTTTTCCCTTAAAAATTAAGGAAACAAAAGACAGAGATGAGACATTTTTTATTTACGTATATTGTTCAGTTTTTAGCATGATGTTTTTTTCTCACTATAATTTTTTTTTTCTGTACTGTGAGATGCATTTCTTATAATAAATGCGCTTTAAAAACAATGTTCATTATAAAACTTTTTTTTTTTTTTGCAAATATTGTATGGAAACATAGGCTGGAATAATTGCCTCAGTAAAGCAAATATATTTAATTCCATCAAACTTAACCCATTATGAAAGACTCTCCTGAAACATTAGGTGAGTTTTTGTGAAGTATTATCAAAACTTTTTAGTAGGATTATGATTCTGAACATTGGCTATCTTATTTTTTTATCTTAAACAGAACAGGGAATTTAGTCCCTGATTTACGACAACCAGAACTTTCGTTCAGTGCCAAGCAAATCTGATACAGCAGAGAGCTGTCACACAATAGTCCAGAGATAAAATGTCTCACCGCTGGGCCCTGACCCCCAGGCAGGCCTGGTACCCCCATGTCTCCCTGCATGCCGCGAGGTCCTGGCTGGCCCAATTTGCCTTCTTTACCCTGCTGTCCTCGGCCACCCTCTGGTCCTTTATTTCCTGTCTCTCCTGGTGGACCTGTCTGAAATCAACAGCAGCAGTATAAGATGACGTGATGACAGCAGACACTAGCACTTTAAAGAGGACATATTATCCCCTTTTCCACCTTTTCAAACAGTCCCCTGTGTTCTAAATAAAACATCTGTAGTGCTTGGGTCAAAATATAACATGAATCAAGCACCAGAGGAGGTTTGTGACCCTGTATAAACCAGCTCTCTCAGAACGCTCCGTTTTGGTGTGTGTGTTTAAATGTAATGAGCCCCCCTGAGTTTTCCCAGTAGACATCAATCCTCTGTAGCGAGAATAAAAATGGCAGACCTGCGCAAAAATTTTGTTCTAGGCTGGGGATGGAGTCCATGGGTGGAGATATCAGGGGAGGGGAGGGTATTATTTTACCAGAATCCAGCTTGTGTCATCACAAGCTGAGCAAATTTGAAACGGAGCATTTTTCAGACAACAAACAAAGGACTGGATGGGTTTATTTCATATGTTGTGGGTCAGTAGACACTCAGGTTACCCAAATATTCATTCAAAAACACTGTAAAAGTGGATTTTTCATAATATGTCCCCTTTAAGAGATCAATTAGCAAACACATCTAAATATCTACACATGGTAACCTTTAACAGGTGACATGTTGGTATTTGTTTCAATAAAAAATGTATCTTATAGGTGAAATGTAGGAGTTTGATTTTAAACAAGAAGGAAACAATGTCATTTGTGGTTTGCTGCCAAAAAAAAGACCAAATCCAGACAATAATGGACCAAAAAGCATTGACTGTCCAATGTCCTTTTGTTGCTCCACAGTGAAAGCCATAAACTATACAAAACATGGTCTCAGTCTGAGTAATGTCATCCAAGGACATAATGCAATGAAATTGATATCAGACAACTAACAAGGACCCTACGAGAATCATTCAGTCAGTAAAAACGATGTAGGTCAACATACCGCTCCTTTCTCTCCTGGTTCTCCTTGATCCCCCTGAAAGATACAAAAAAAGTATGTCACTGTTTATTTGTCTGTAGAAAGATCCATTCAGAATACATGTTTAAAAGAAATGTTCACGTGATAGTACCAGAATCGTTTTATATCTTAACAACTGTTAAGTTGAAACTTCAGACTTTTCAGGACTCCTTTTGTGTGTTTCCATCAGGTCACCTCAAGTGTATCAGCATTATTTCCTGGTTTATTTTGTTTTTACTTTCCCAGTGGTACTGTATTTGGATTTTTATGTTGCTTGTTTAATAGAGCTTATCACCATATTTAAAAGGCAGGGTGCTTGTGTGATGCAACACATTTCCATATGAAGTAACATTTTGTTGTGTTTTGTCAGGACAGAACTAACACAGAAAGCACAGTCCTCCCACATAATCAATTCACTTCCTGCGTCTTCATGAGCCTCATCCCCGTATTGAACTAATCCTTTATTAAGTGGTGTAAGAATAATGAAGAAATTTTGTTTTTAACTGTGAGAAATTAATGAAAAAGCCTTCTTAAATCGGAACATTTCCACATAGGCTTGGTAAAAAATTTGATTCACTATTTTTCGTCACAGAAACGTGGTGGCCAATTGAAAAAATCTTTTTGCCTACATGTAATTTATAATAAGTACAAGTTACCAGCTACTGGTTCTTGTGCATAAAACATAACCTACATTAAATCGGAAAAAGCACCCATATAATATTTTCACCACACAACTTGAAGCTAGTGAACAAACCAAAGTTGGAAGCACGCCTTCTTAACCACATCATAGGACCGTATGAGGATAATGTCAACGCAAGGTTGGTCTCAGGCGACTTCATCATGTTCATTTCTGTGTTTGTAAGGATTCCCAGCATTGGTTTTCTATAACTTGTGTTCTTGCATTTTGCCTTCTTTCTGACAGTTTTGTTTTCTTGTTGTCTGACGGTTGTGCAATGAATCTTGTTGTGCCAGTAAAGACTGTTTTATATCACTATACTAGTCTTGTTCGCTGCATGGAGCATTTGAGCTCTGTTATTCCTTTCCAATTTCCAGTCGTTACATATTCCCGGAGACACACTGATGTCTGCATGAAAAAAATGAATTAACATACAGGTGTTTCAGTACTCGATCACTCACCAGTTCTCCGCTCTCTCCTGCTGTTCCTTCAGCACCTGAAGGTCCCTGAAATGAAGATGCATGATAGATTTTTGGCATTTTGTGTGCTCCATCTCAGCGCTCTCAAGTTCAATATTACGACTAATAAAACATACCTGTTCTCCCTGTGGACCGTCAAGACCAACTGCACCCTGAGAAAAACAGAACAAAAAGAATACTTAACAATCAAAGCTGTTGAATTATTCTGAGCAACTAAAACTGTAAAATCTATAATAAATTAAGAACTTTACATACACAAGAATTGTTTGTTCCTTGTTCGGTCGGATTTGACATTTAATTCATACCTTCACATAGAGACTCATGGTTACTTTAATTTTACCTTTTTGTGGTCCTCACATTGAACTTGACATTTTGTTTCAATAATCAGCATTTTAAAAATGAACTCCTTTAAAACAGCAGTATTTGTCTACTTGGGAGCAGCAAAAAAAGTGGGGTCATCATTCAAACCTTCTACCAGCCCCCCTTTAACAGATGAAGATATCCCCCCCCCCCATCCTTCACCATACATATTAACATACACTCTTTGCTAACAAATTCCTAGATTTTTAGAATTTATCTAAGATTTATATTCAAATACAGCCAACAAATGTGTCCTATTTTTCCCTGGCGGAGCTTAGAAACGATAAACGAGAAAACGAGTATGATGGGGACAGTTAATGACACAAACAAAGGCTGGGTCCTTCAGAGGACAACATTCAGCAACCCAGACTGAGTGTGGCGTCAGGGGTAAATGGCTACAGTGAATGAAATCAGTGTGTTCACTTATATTGCATTTTTGTGATGTAAGCCAGGGTACTTAAAAAAAGAAAAAAAGAAAATTAGATGTAGATCTACAACTTCTTCATCTTGATTTTTGGGCTCACTTCTAAACTGTATTTATCATGCTGTCATTTTTTGAGTTTCTTACTCTTTCGCCCTTCTGGCCACGATAACCAGCTGGACCTGGAAGTCCTGGGAGTCCTGGATCCCCTCTGCTTCCCTGTAAAATACACAAGTACAAAATAGTAAAGAGCCCTTCGAGTACTAGTTAAATATACAGAATGCACATGCCCACACATTAAGTCATAACACAAGACCAAGTGTGTGAGGCTCAGAAAACTTGACCCAACCACAGAAAAAAGGAAAACATTTTGAGTGTCACATCATCTGAACGGAGAGCTTCAACCTGTCCACCCTCCCTCACATGTTTCTGGGTGTGTGCGGGTCCTGATTGTGGTGAACTGTGGGCCTACAGGTTTCAGGCATTCCTGGGGAACAGAGAGCTCTTTCAGGGGTTCTCAGCTTCTTTTCCTGCCCCCAATTCCCCCCCTGATCTGCAATAAACCCCCCTTGGGCTTTCAGATTTCTGTAACAAGGGGCTATTCATGCCCGCTCACCGTTGGATTAGAGACTTAACAGCAGGGACAGGAGTTCATAAAAGAGCTGCCACTCTTTCATAAAAGCATAGTACAAGGCTTCACTTCCCAGATACTGTACAAAGTGTATCTTGGTGAATGATCCTCATGTTAAATAATACATTTCAGGATAATAGAAAGTATTTGTGGACATTGATTGCTTGTTTTGTATTTCAGGGTTCCAATCTCAAGGTCGGATTGAGCTAAACTCTCAGCACAGAGCAGGAGGTTCAGCTGGAACTTTGTTACTAAATTTTACCTTGTCCTGATTTCATGGATACCACTTCCCGTAACAGTATTACAACAATCTTGTTGTTTTCCTCTGAGGTTTAATTGGTCTAAACCCTTGATGTTTGTCAGCAGGCCAGAAGGAGATCTCAGAAGCTCCAAAAAGCTTACAGAAAGATTTGATTTGACAAAGTCATAGTGAAGGTCTTACTTAAAATGAATCCTTCTTCAAAGTTTTGTCCCCTTTTTTGGCTGTGTGAAATGTATTATTTACTACATCTTTATTTATAAAAACATCAAAGGAACAATGTGGACAAATGACACATTCTGAATTTCTGAATATAAAACATGGGTGTGATAGGGGTTTTCAGTTCATACAACCCAACATTTTATCGTTGATGGTAATAGTAAGTGAGAACGCTTGAAGTATCACAAGCATCTTCTTTAAAACTTTTTGTATAATATAACATAAACTGTAATTCAACAGAGAGCTGTTTGGAGTGCCACAGGATTATGTGCTAGAGCCACATGCTTTATGAGAACTTCTTGAGGCTTTCATTAAACAAACTTTTGGTCCACTTTCTGTCTTCATCTAAACATTTTGTTCTTTGTTCATATATAAAAAGTATTCAGATCATTATTAAGATGATCTGATGAAACTGTGTACATTAATGAAATACATTTTACTGTAATCAAATATGTAAAAACATGGGGTTATCTGGAGTTGATCTTGCCTTGATCAAACTGGTGGGACTTAACTTGTAAAGCACTGATAAAGGAGTGTGTCAGAAATTGGTGTGAATTGTATTTGAAGTGTTGTTTATACTTTATCCTTTAAAATTTAGACTAGTAAGGTCTTACCCTGGCTCCTGGTAACCCGGCAGGTCCCTGGTGTCCTCTTTCTCCTCGATCTCCCTAAAAGAAAATAGAGAGAGAGAGAAGTAAAATCTGGGTAGAAACACAAATAGATTGTGTAATATTTGTTCGCTGAGGCAACAGAAAGTTTGGTTTGTTATCAGCTGATGTCTTGACTTTTTGTTCATTTGTGAGCAAGTCAATAAAGTTGTGTATTATTCCAAAGTAAATAGTTTGATCATCATTACTTTACTTTCCCAGTGGAAACCATTAAACCATTATCAGTCAAATTTAAATAGTGGCCTCGTCCAAATCTTTTTTGTTTAGAGGGGTACACAAATATATTCCCTATCTCAGAGATGGAAACTGTATCTTACAGTTTTTTTTGTGAATGAAGTTGACTTACTGGTCCTCCTCGGGGTCCCACAGGTCCGACTTCTCCCTGCTCACCACGCTCGCCCTTATAACAAGCAATCATCCAATCATTATCAGAGCAGAGAAACCGAATAAAAGTTGAGGAAATTTCCCCAATTCTATTAATAAAATAAAAATAATAATTATTAATGCTAAATCACTGTTTCAAAGAAGTGTTTCCTGCTTTTTAATTTAAAGCTCCTAAATGATATGAACTTTTCTGTAAAACAACAATTGTGTTAAACGCATACTTGTTTTCCTGGTGACCCCATCAGACCAACAACTCCTGGATCACCTGTGACACCCTTGGGACAAAAAAAGAGACAGCATGGTTTGAGGAGATGTCTACATTTGGCCTATTTTTGTAGTAGAAAAAGCTGTAAATGATGGAGTTTCTTTGTATTGTATACATTTTGATCATACCTCTACACCAGCATGACCTTTTTGTCCATAAGCGCCTGGCAAACCCTGCAGTCAGAAAATAGGATCAACATCTAAACTCAAACGTCACACTGATATTAAAGCATCAGGGGTCAGCGGTTACACTTACAGGAAGCCCTTGAGGGCCTGCATCACCTGGAGCCCCACTTTTCCCTGGAAGACCCTAAAAACAACAGAAACAGAACGGGACATTTAATGAATGCAAACTGCCACATCACAATCCTAAAGCAATCTTCTTTAACTCTCAAAGACTGTCACTGTTCACACAAACTACTGTGAAATGTTAATTAAGAATAACAAATATTTGTTACCTTCGACGCTGGCAGCCCAGGTATTCCCTCACGTCCGTCTGGACCATGGAGGCCCTATCAATAAAATAAATCAGAGGTTTACATAACTGATTATACAAATGAGCCTCTGTTTAAATAAAGAGAGCACTCAGAATAAAAGTGGTAAAAAGTATCAAGCTATTGAACAAATATGATGCATACATGTATTTTCATGCCAATGTGTGAAATACTGTAGTAAGAATGTAAGACCTTATTTAAACTTGTTTTAATTGTTACAGCTTGTGCTTAATCCACTCAGATTGTTCCAGTGTTAGACTGTAATAGATCTCTTGACTTAGACTTAGATTTGCCTATACTGCTAATGAACACAAGAAAAGGAGAGATGATCCTCCTCTGCTGACATTTATAGTGAGCATTTTCCATTAACAAGATGTAGTAGTGTTTTGTAAAAAGAGAAAAGCTATTCATCACTGAGTGTAATGTTTTCCATTTAGATCATTGATATTAGGTATGGAACATTCTTGGATGAAGTAATAGCCTCTGGGAGCGATGGGCACAATTTTTGAGGGCTTCAGGCTTGGCCAGCAGTTAGTGATGAAAGACTTGAAGCCGACACTGTGACGCTTTCTGTGTGTCGTGTGAGAAACAAAGCCTTAGGGTGGATCATTGGTGGTTAGATGACTGCTGATGGTTTCTGGGTTTTCATTTTGACCCGTGAGTTCCCCCTCTTCTGCTCTCCCCTTCTCCACACAGACTGTTTTCTGCATGCAGGTAATTCCCGCTAAAAGTTAATCTGATACAAATTTGACAATAATGTTATACTAATTTAGATAAAATTTCCCTGTTAACTCCCAAACCCTACGGAGAGAAAGATAGTTCATGGGAAGAAACAAAGTAACGATATAATACTCCCATTCAAGAGCTGTAACTCCATCAACTAGCGTAAATTTGAATGTAGAGGGCCATTAGTAAAGAGGAAAGGAGATATATTGATTTATAGGATAACATCTCACAGGCTCTCCTTTTGGCCCAGGTACTCCTCTGATTCCAGGTGGACCAAGATCCCCCTATGACGAGACAAAGAAGTAACCAACAAATCAATACCAATGCTGTTGATACATATCCAGTGGAAACAGGATTTAAGGACTTTTTTCATCACAGGTGAAGAAATTATTGTTAACTCTATCAGTGTTAATTGTTAACACTGTCACTGTCATGAGCGCTTCATTCTCTCAAAGCTGTTGTCGTGGGGTTTATTTGTGTTTAAGATCTTACATGAACTCCTGCTGGGCCTGGCTCACCGATGGCTCCTCTTTGGCCTCGATCACCCTGGAAAAAAAAAGTTGTTGCTGTTTTTATCCAAGTTTTGTAAAAATAAATATAAGTTGTTTAACAGAGATGATATTAAATGAGTACTCACTGGACCTCCCTGAATTCCCTGAGGACCTAAATCACCAGGTTTTCCCCGAGGTCCCTGTTTGTACAGAAATATAACAGTTAAAGTCAAACAAATGTTTATTGAAGATGCCTTTTCAAGCAGATTAATGGTTGGTTTAAAGTTTTAAAGCATTAAATATTAAGCTTGTTGTTTCTTTCACATTGCCAGTCCGAGGCGGGATATATTTACAACCCTGATACACCTCGCTTGGAAAGTGTAACGCACAGAAGCATTGGGGCAAAGTCATTTTGCCCCTGATCAGCTATCAGACGTTTAACAGAGGCGTAACAGTCGAGACAGTGGCAATGTGTAAAATCGGCGGGGCAGAACAGCACAATTTATACAATGTTATAAACAAATGTTTATATGAAACATGTGTTGAATTCATGAAACATCGCAGCAGTTCATGACTTTTTGATTTCTTACCCTGTCCCCTTTGGAGCCCAATATTCCTGGGAGGCCTCTTGATCCACCTGGTCCCTAAAATTACTCAGCGGATAGAGAAAAGGCACAGAAATGTCCCATGTTAACATGTTTGACTGTGGAGGAGTCATCAAATTTAAAACAGGCCTTATATAGAGAGATGTCAAAGAGAGAAAGGTGAAATATTTTACTGGTAGTCCTTGTGCTCCAACTTCCCCAGGCAGTCCTTGATCACCCTCTTCTCCCTGATAGAGAACATAGATGCAGTTTTAGTGTGTACATTTCAAAGCAGCAAGAAAGATACTAGGGTTATTCTTGACTGTCAAGGGCCTGCAAAGCATATGATTTGTTAATTTTCAGCACACACCGTTCTCATTTAGTAAAACATCCTTTGTTGTGGGTATAGATCAATAATTCTGCACAGTGGGAGAGAAGAGGACTGTACCTTGTGTCCTTGTCTTCCAGGCTCACCAGATTCACCCTTAACTCCTTTGTGGCCCTAAAGGAAAGAGTAACAAGGCAAATTGATACAACAGGACAATGCTAATGCTAGATCTAACGTGATGTGAATCCAAAAAGTCTTATCAGGATCATTATATTTTACTCACCTTCATGCCGGGGAGACCAGAGTGTCCGTGTAGACCAGAGGGGCAGGCGTTGGGACACTGAAAAACACATCAGCCTATTTGAGGTCATGGAAGAGCCCTGCCACCAGGGGGCTCCACTGACAGTGAACCATTGACCCAGCATACAAACAAGTACATTACGGTTGTCATTTTATTTTATTTTATTTTTTGGGGCTTTTTGCTTTTAGTGGAGAGACAGGACAGTGGATAGAGTTGGAAATCAGGGAGAGAGAGTGGGGAATGACATGCAGGAAAGGAGCCACAGGTGGGAAAGGAGCCACAGGTGGGAAAGGAGCCACAGGTGGGAAAGGAGCCACAGGTGGGACCCGAACCTGGGCCGCCTGCCCGGAGGACGACAGCCCCATACATGGGGCGCGCGCACTAACCACTGCGCCACTAGTGACCCACGGTTGTCATTTTTAATGCCATGAAATAATTATAAAGAGAATCTAGAGTTACAGGGGCTCTTGGTTGGTGGCAGTTTTTTTAAGTTCAAGAAACTGGAGCTTACCGAGCACGTGAAAACACCAATCTGTCCTTAAGTTGCATAACCACCAAGTGATGTTGAGAATAAAGCAAATGCAGATGAGGGGAAAAACGGCAGTTCCTAAAGTGTGCATTTGAGGCTGGCTACAAAAGGTCTCCATTAGGTCCCATATTGAAATGTCCAACTTAACACCAGTAGTAAACATGCTAACACCCTGGTATAATAATCAGTTTATTATTAATAATACATTTTATTTAAAGGACTCAAGATCACCTTACAAAGCAGAGATAAAAACAACAAATGTAGGTCTCAATAGCTCATTTATCTTTTTATGGCAACTGTGCAGGGTTGAATCTACTTACCACTAGACATCTACACAGACATTTCAGCGACTGGCTGTGTGTTTGGTATTATCATTCAAAAAAATTGACAAATTATTTGTCTAAGAATTTTGGCATAAATCTGGGCTTGAATGTAGTCAGTACTGGCTCCAGAAAACTAACATGGCAGTGGCAGAATACCAACCCCATTATAACCTTTTAGGAAAAAGACAGAGCAAATTTGAAAATGGAAATTGGATACTTTTGGATCAAACTTACCAGGTCCTCGCCTTGATATACACCTGGTAGACCCTAGATACAAATAACAACATTTAGTTGACATATAATAATGTTTCCTCTGATTGTGTTTAAAAGCAGTACAGATGAAAACAGTGATATTTACTCTTGGCCCAGCAACACCAGGAAGCCCGACTGGACCTCTCTTTCCTCTCGCTCCCTGTGAGAGACAGACTTTTATCAATAAACTTGTATTCTTATCTTCTATTATATTACGTTTTTAATGTTTACTTTGAATTAATAACATCAAAACTCCACTCACAGCAGGTCCAACTTTTCCCAGTTCACCTGGTAGTCCATCTGTTCCAGGAATACCCTGTTAACAAACAACAAAGACATTATCTGACAATCTCTCTTTTGTAATTAAACTTCTAATATTATTATACTCTTATTATGTAGGCATGGACTGCTATAAATGACTTTGCATTAAGAAACTAAAACTCATCTACATGTTATGACACTTTAATCCAACCATGTTAAAGAGAAACTTATCACTTCAAGTATTCCTGTTTATTTTCTTCCCTCTGGTGGTTAAAGGTATCATATTGCTGCAGTGATGTCAGAGTGTACTGTGGGTTCGGTCAGGGCACTGTGACATCACTTGGTCTTTGATTGAGCCAAAAAACAAAAGAATGTGTTAGTATGATGGGGCAGCTGTGGCTCAGTGGTAGAGTTAGTCTTCTTTGAATCTGTAGGTTAGATGTTCAATCCCAGCTCCTGCAGTCCACAAGTTGAAAGGTTCTAGGGTAAGACACTGACCCCAAATTGCTCTCTATGGCATATCCAGCATCGTGTGAATGAATGTGTATGAATGGGACTGGTTAATAATACTGATGGGCATTTTACATAGCATCCTTTGCCAACAGTGTGTAAATGTGTGAATGTAACATGTAGTGTTAAAGGGCTTTGAGTGGTCAAAAGACCAGAAAAGTGATTTACAGCTACTATATAAATAAAGCTGTTGTACTCCATGAACCATTTTATAATACAAAAAAATAGAAAAAAATTATCCCAAAATAAATGTTTCCATTCTCAAGCAACACAACTTGCTACTTAATACTTTCCATTTGCATTATGTTACATATGTTTTTAGATTAAATACAGTGCTTATATCGTATGCTGGTGAACAAGTTCCCTTTTAAATGTTACTGTGAAGCTTTGTGTTACTGTAGTGTTTTACCTTAAGCGTTTACAGTATGAAAATCGGCAGCCTACTCTATTGACCTGCTGACGTGTTTAACTGTGAGCTAGTTACCAACCTTTGAAGTATAGCCTATTAAGTGTGATACTCACATCGAGCCCATCAGGTCCTACACCCTGTTAGAGAGAAATCATAGATGGACAGTGTCAGACTGAAACTGGTTAACAGAAGCAAATAAAGAAAACTGTAAGGATTTAATGGCAGCATTTCTCTTTGACTGTATTATTTTTTGTAAACAGCAAGTATCAGTCAAGATGAATTTTAACACAGTGTTGCTGTTGCTTCTAATACTAACTAATAATGAAGAATGTAAACTTGTTAACAATTAAATCTGTGTTTTATTAAAAACGTTTATGTGCTAGTTAATGAAAAAAAAAATCAAGATTAATATTTGTACTTACAGGCTCCCCAGAAGGTCCACTAGGGCCAGAATCTCCCTGAAAAAAGACGAGAACAGACATGTTCCAAAGGGTGTTAAGAATAGTTACTATGTTGTTTTGACAAAAGAACATATCTACTGAAATATGTTAATAATAATCTTACTTTAGGCCCCTGTTTGCCCACTGGGCCTGGATCTCCAGGCGGTCCAACAGGTCCCTACAAATATGACACACAAAAATCAAAAAAGCTTACAAAAAATGTTTATTTAAAACAATATATATTATTTTGGTAGCTTTGGTTCAACATTTTTTTCACTGTCAAGGCACCTAAACCGATACAACTTAAATCAGGGATCCCCATCAAAGAATTTTGCTTTTATACATTAAACTATAGAAAATCTAGAAAAACAAGTTCTTCATTCTGTCTTATCACACTTAATGCATTTCGGGGACACCCTTGATGATAAAAAAGGTTTCAAAGTTTTAAGTCAATATGATTTCAGACAGTTCGTACCACCTATTTAAAAAAGAGTCTTTTGAATGATCGAAACCAATTAACACGTCCAAATACTGAAACTGTTCATCTCTTGCATGAATTTCTCTCTTATTGTCGTCAATAAATGGAACTATGCATCTTGTAACTTCCACTGCACTGTCACAAGAAACAAGGTGCTGTTACACCTACCCCTCTTACTACATGCATTTCTGTAGAAGACATTTTGATAAGCCAAAATTTTACCCAAGTTTGGCAAATATGACTCTGCAAGCATCTTCCGCCTGTTGTTTGCAAACTGTTTGCATGTCGAGTTTGTGGATGTGTTTTTTATCTGTTACCATAATGTCTATGGGCTGTGACAGCCAAAGTTATGTAGCGCAATAAACATCATGCAAGGTCATCAGGCCATGCTGTGGACATGAGAGAGACGCCATTTTCACTGTTGGAAGTTATTGTGCTAATACATTTTAAGGTGGAAAGTTACATATTGTTGCTTTAAGAGAGAATTTAGCACTATATTGAAGAGACTGGAAGTAAGAAACACAAGCTTTAAACAATCAGATGGTTGGAAACACAACGACAGATAACCTTAACTTCTTATTTATATGCCTATTTTTTGTCTTCTAGTTGACCTGGACTTTAGGGATACAAACAAGCCAATTGTTTGTAATAATTAGCATCCCAGTGTGTACAGATACACCTTGCTGAGTAATCAGCTGGCTGGTACATGGTCACTTCTCACTAATTAAATAAGAAGACATTAAAGGGGGGCCAAAGTCAAAGGATCAAAACAGTAGTTCCAAAGCTTATTGGCGATGTCACAATTGATACTTCCACTTTTTATATACACTCTGTGGCTGCATTAGCCTTGCAAACAGCCTAAGTACTTAATGAAATAAAGCAATTTGACTTTGCATGTGGCCTCACCAGTAGAGATCAGATGGGTTGGGTATTAAAGCAGGATAAGGAAGACAAACAAAATTGCCAATTTTTACTGAACCCATCTCAATCATCATTCATGACCCACTCAGTGGGTCAAGTGTGTGGCAGCTGTCTTCGTACATAAACTCTGCCTTCTGTATCTGAGATGTTTCTGTGCAGTTATGCAACTTGCAGGGCTGACAAATATAGCCAAAAGTAACATCAGAAAAAATTTGCAGTTCAACAAATAAACCTTTTGAGGCTGGCTCAATAGCAAGCCATCTGCATATAGTACAATGTTGGAATGCTCATATTTTCATCTCAATGTTTACAGACATTACAAATGTAATTGTTAATCACGTGTTGGTTATATCATTGGGCATGGTTTACTTCTGTGTATCGTTTTCGGGAGCTGAGTTGGTCTATCTCGCATCCTACCTTATGCAAAACAACAACCTTGAAGCAACAAGCAAACAAAACATAACACATTGGCGGCGAGCAATGCAACTGTTGCTTCCTAAAATTTCCAAACTCTGGGAACAATTCACCCTTGATGCTGCAAATAAAGTTTAGCCTTCAGGGCCCAGGGTGTCGCTTACTTTGGCGCTTACACGATCACTAAGGCCCAGGAGAAGTTTGGCGATTATTGTTGCACACATGCAGCTTAAACGGAAAAAATAATCCTGATATTTCTTGCAGCTACCAATCACATTTTCTCTGCGGCCTTGTCATGATGACAACATAACCCTTATACCCACACACTCTCAAACCCCTGGTTTCTCTCATCACTTGCTCTACCACCTACACTTACGCATTCAGTTATTCACAAACAGAAGTACACTACTAATATAGCCTAACAAAAGGATTGCCAGCGAGATTGTAAAGCGGCGCTTGCTTGTCATGAGACCATGTCTATGACAGACATGGTCTCATGACAAGCAAGTATTTAAAGAGAAGGCACATTGGATGTCTCTCTTTTGAAAATCATCTTTCACATTCAACTTAATAGTCCAAAGTTAATGCCACACAGTTTTCTGCCACTTACATTTTCAGTCCTTACCTTTAAAACCTTTCCCCTAAAACATTACATCTTTTTTTCTCCTTCTCTTCTCTTTTTACCATATTGCTATCATTACCAGGCTTCACGTTGAAAAAAAGTATCTGTCTTGCATAGACACTAGTTATGTTTAAAATAGGGCTGTCAGCATTAACAAGTTAAGCACAATTGATTACAGTCTCAAAATGCATCAACTTTATTTCATCGCAATTAACCCGTGCTTTTTTGTTTCTTAAGGCACACAGTGGATAAGCCTCCGCTGTGTCTCTCTGTGGTCACAGTGATGGAAAATAAGAACATTGCTGTATCTTTGAATGTCTCATTTCACTTTAAAAAACGTCTAGACGGCTCAGCTGAAGTATTATCCACCTTGTGACATCAGATATTCCACTTTTTTACTGTTCCATTTGGCCGTGTTCGTTCAGTTTTTATTCTTAACAAGTTTCTTTTTCCGGGGTTAAGTTAATGTCGTAAACTTGATCTACCAAAAGAAAAAAATATGGCTTGAATTCAGATTTGTAATGGCATATTTTAAGTTTGAGTAATGTTGGATTTAAAAGCTGACAGCTAGATAAGAGCAATTAAGTAATTGTGTAAAACATTATCTTATTAGTCTACTAAGCAATTCAGTAGTCAATGACAAGTCCACTGCCATCTGTTAATTCCTGATAAGGGGACCTTATTGGGCATTATTCATTATCTACTGGACTGGATTGCATAAAATTAGAATCATTATTCACCCAGACCAACAGATGAAGCTCTAAAATCAAGATATCATTGATTCAAATGTTGGTTGTATCAAGCAGATGTAAGTCTATATGCCCTTTTTACTTTTTTGAGTTAAAAAGGGTGTGGTCTTCCTGACATCCTTAAACCCCTCCCCTTTTCTGTCTCCTCCATGAATAACCCTAATAACAATCTTCACCTGGTCAAAGGGCATCACCAAACGATGGAAACCAAAGACACCTCAAACCAGATAATTGAGGGGCGCTGATAACCTAGTGGCTATGTTGCACACTCGGTGTCCAGAGGCAATAGTCCTCATTGCAGCGGCTGTGGGTTCAAATCCGACCTCAGCCCTTTGCTGCATGTCATTTCCCAATCCCTCTCTTCAGCTGTCCTATTCAATAAAGCAATAAAGGCAAACAGGCCTAAAAAATAACTTCAAAAACAAACTGATAATTAAGCAATGATGAAAAAAGAAGACACACGTCCCTCCCAAAAATACTGTCTACTACTGTAAAACATGTCTCTTTCCTCCGCCTCCTCTTATAACTGTATACACTCTGTGTAAATTATTCTCTCTTTCAGCCTACATGAAGCTTTGAATCTCCTGGTCTGTCCTAAGCACGGTCACCACAGCCGACAGCAAACACACTGAGTCCTTTCTGCACCACCTTTACTAGCACACGCTCTCTCCTGTCAGCCATCTCTGAGCAGCCGATCCCCCCACACTAACTCCTCCATCTCACACAAAAGACCCCTGTTTCTGTCAGGAAGCCACTCGAGACTTTCCCCTAAATAACCAGATTGATTCATCCAAGCAACATTTTTTTTACTCAGAGGAAGCCAAGACAAACTGCTCACACAGCAGCAGATCTGAATGTCTCAAGTCCTCCAGCTTTGATCTTATGGACATTTAATACATCCTCTTATTGGGTTTTGACCTCCAGGACAGAAAGACTCTCATCTAATAGATTAAAGCAGAATCTCATGTTATTTCTGCAGTTTTTTAGAGACAAGCCAACAAGCAAGCTGTAAAAAAAAAAAAAAAAAGTCTTGTAGAAAGACCAGACACAACAAAGACCTTTCACACTGTGGCTGATGTTACACACCAGTATTTTAACATGATGTTTCACTTACATCTGCGCCTGGAAGTCCTGCAGCTCCTGGAGCTCCGTCTTTGCCGTTATCACCATCAGCACCCTGGAAGCAGAACAACTCTTGTTAAAAATGTTAATTTAGGTGCAAAGGCAACATCCTTGATTATATCTTTTATAGTTGATGGGATAAAAAGTCCACTCACTGGTCCGCCGTTCACTGTTGCGTCTTCTCCTCTGTCGCCCTGAAGATACATAAAAAGCATGTTCAGTTGGTGATAATTAATCCACTTTAAGCCCAAAATGTAAATCGTTTTTTTCAATAACACTGTTTACTTTTTACACAGGACTTGAGATGCATTGAGGATTCCTGTCCATCTGCATATTTTCTTGGAAAAGTAAACCTTTCTTTAGCTTGATTGCAATTTTTTAAGACTAACATACACTTTTAAGTTGAATGACCACTGAAGGAAAGTATTCAGGACCAAAATCATCGAGTTAATATTGAGGAGAAAAGTGGTGCAAGTTTAGCTCACTGTTTAGCTCAGTAACCCTCAAGGCGGAAATCAAATCTGACCCTTGAATTAAATGCAAGTTGCAGTTTAACTAAAACAAGTTGTATAGAGTCAGTTGTACATTGTTGAATAGTATTGTTATTGATAAAGATAGTAAATAGAAGAGGGCCCAGAACAGATCCTTGTGGAACACCTTTTGTTAAAAACAGAAACTCTAAATATTGCCAGTCTTTGCACACTGTCATTTATCAGATAGGTAATTCTGGAACCATTTGTAAGTGCTGGAGTCAAACCCAATGTTACAGGATCTAAATGAGATGACCATGATCAACTGTATCAAAGCTTCTGGTCAAGAAAGTCAAGAAAAACAGAAGCACAATATCTCTCCTGCTTGTGACAGTATTACTAACAACTAAAGTGACAGAAGAGACAGTACTATGCATAGGTATGAGAACAGATGGATGAGTGCTCAAATCCAGGTTATGGTCCTGTGGTTCGATTTTATGGAAATAAGGTGAATGTCAAGGTAAATATTTTTCCGCCCATATTGCAGTATTTAATCTTGCAGTTTAACCAAAGAAAGAAATGACCATAGAATGCTGCTTACACATTAAAACTTGTTTAAGCAATTTATGTGACTTGGAAAGGTTTTTTTAAGTGCCACATCACTTTTTATAATTAAGGGGAACTAAGTCAGGATTGAGTCATATAAGGACCTTTTTATTTATTTATACCTTATTGTTGAAATAGCTGCAGCTTTATCTCTTTCTTGTGTTATATCCACATTACTGTTGAGCTGATTAACTGCTGATTAGAAGTGAACCAGTCACTGCACTGACCAACATGGGAAACCTGAAATTTTTGACTGAGAAACTTGACTCACGTCGATGCCGTCCACTCCGGGCACGCCGGATGCTCCAGGCGGCCCTGCGGGCCCTCTGGGACCAACTGGGCCCCTCTGCAAAGCAAACACAGAAATCAGTTTGTTGGTTTTTCCCCCTTAAATTCATCTCTTAATATCATCCATTACTGCTGCTGTTGCTGGAGTGAAGGGCGGCTAACACAGAGTCTCTTTGTTTGCTTGAATGTAAGGGGAAAGGTCATGAAACTAAACCTGGTGTCCCATTTTAGTCCCATTATACCACCTAAGTAACCGCATGTGCTATGATTACTGGTAATGCAAGAACCTTATTGGTGCCTGGTGTGCACACGGACATGAATGGATGACAGTTTGGACCAGATTAAAATATCAAAATGTTAAAAATATTTGGCAAATAATGCTGTATTAAGGGCCAATTATATCTGAGTTACACCTAAAAACAACACATTTGAGTAATCAGGTCCTCCATTAAGTCATTATATGAATGTATCATACAAAAAAGGTACAGCATATATAGTATCAGAATATTCAATATTAAAACCACAGATATATAAATTACAATGAAGTACCTTAAATAAACATACTTCAGAATATCTAGAAGAAATTTCCTCTTCTGTGAAATCTAGGAAATGTAAAGAAATGGCATATACGTGGGAATATCTTATTAGAACTCACTAGCCAAACTCCATTAGTTTTTACCAGGGATAATATGAACGTTTTATGTAACATAAATAAGAAATGAACTACCAAAAACTACAAAAGAGTCGATTCATTACTGAGCAAAACAAATCAGCTGAAAGGTGCTGATAGCAATATAATATATGATGCCATAGGAGACTCAAAAAGTAGTTATTTATAATATAAATAAAATATATAGGAAATTAAAATAAATAATCTCTCTATAAATCCCTCACTGAGCCTTAGACGTGTTATAAGCACCTATAGAAGAAATACATCAATATACATACAGTACATGGCTTTCCTCTCCTGTATGGGATGAAGAAGAGAAAGAAGGAGCACCTATGTCTCACCTGAGCCGAGCAAATCAGCACGATTTGCAGTAAAATCACCAGCAGAGACTCTCGACGGATCCTGGAGAGAGCCATGGTCTTCCCAGGGCCGACGAAGATGCTGAAAAGTCCCTTGTTCCCAGATTAAACGGGGCTCACAGACGGTTCACTTCTCAGCCTCCCCCCTGACTGAAACCCCAGCGGCTGCTAGAAGGGAAGGATGTTAGTAAGTCCTGATTATTCATGAGACACTGGGGCTCTGCAGGAGGAGGAGGAGGAGATGGTGGAAGAGGAGGGCGTCCCTGCACAGTCAGAAAAGGGCAGTTCATTGGAAATTACATCGTTTTAAGATGGAATTGACCATGACAGAAAATTGCTTATTATTGTCCCTAATCTGAATCTGTTCAGAGTATACCTTGGTTTTTGTGGAAAAAACAAACAAACAAAAGATGCTCTGTATATGTTTTAAAAAAAAACATTTTTTAAGAGAAAAAAGGGTTATGGGAAACTTAAAGGAAATATAAATAACCATATCTTTAATTATTAAGTTTTGTTTAACTTTAAGAAGAGATTTGAAATATATTGACATTTAGAAACACAACAAGTGCATTTAAATCTTACTTAAATAGAAGTATGTATGAGCAAGACAAAAAAGTAGTCAGTCTAGTAAAATGATCTCACTCTGTGTTTTCCTATAGCTGATGTTTGTTAGATTCATATCACTGCTGTAATTGGTGTGTTGTGTTATGCCACTGTAGATGTTTAAGGTATAGCTACTTTTAACTACTTTGGTGGCTATTTAAATCAACAACTATGCATTATACTCTACAAGCTGTAAGTGTTCCTGTCCTGTGAGAACCACATGGCTCTAAACAGTCCACTTCTCATGAGCTCAGAAACACAGCTTTGTTTTCAGCTTCGTGACAAAGGATTTTATGGCTAATCCAAGTGGAGTTTCATTTTTTTATTCAGTCCAAAGAACTAAGAGAATTTTCCAAATCCACAAAAGAACACGTAATCCTTTCATAAAATCTCTACTTTCAATACATCAAAATTGATGAACAAATAACAGCCTAACTAGGACTGACAGTAAGCTAGTCTGTGAATATTTGTAGTTTTAGTAATGTAAGAACATTTTTTTGCTCATATTACTGTATGTCAACTTACGTGAACTCTTTATCGTGACTACAAATAATTAAGAACTTTGTTGGTATTGTTTATTTAGCTTACATAAATAATTTGAATACTTCTTCTGGTGCTAAAGTATGGTGCTAAATGTTTCCTGGCTGGATGGGGGCGGCGCTACAACACAAGATTGTCGCTAATAAAAACCACGAAGAAGAAAAAACCGGAAGTTTATAAAAAAGTGAGCAAGGCGTCGTTTTCAAAGCTCGTTAACGGCTGTTGTCTTGGAGCTGTGTTTTCTGAATCTGTAAACAAAACAACTTTGTGTTGATAAACTCACACGGAGATGTCGCCGTGACGAAGGCAGCATTACAGCGAAGCGGCGCAGGTGAAAAGCAAACCCATATAACGTCTCCCTCTGGTTTACAGTTATTTATTGTCTTTTTGAATGCTAACTGTTAGCCTAGCTCACTTCTGTGTTCATCTTTGCTTTTATGTAAAAAACTTACTTTCAGAAAGGCAAACATCTGGGCTGTTTCAACTCGTAATGGTCTACTAATGTCGGCATGCATAAAACTTCTGTCTAACTTTAGTCGGTAAAAATAGCAGCTCAGTAAGAGTTGACAAAGCTTTTATTATTTAATGAACTACATGTGTGTGTGCTTGTGATGTATCAATAATGTATTTTACTTTGTTTATTTCTTAAATATTTTGTGATTTCTTATGGCAAATAAATGTGTACCATTTTTCTGTTGTAAAAACAATATGTGAACAATTAAATTATGCATCATGTTTTCTATGATATTATCTTATTGTATGCAGATTAATTGTAATTTCTAATAAAGGTTGAAGTATTAATCACTAAAATTGACAGATTCAATAAAAGTAAACCAGTAAGCACTGTAATGCACTTCATGTCAGAGTTAACCAGGCTGCTGTTACATAACCTTCATCCTGGTTTACCTCCACTGGCTCCCTGTTGATTTTAGAATTACTTTTCTTTTTGCTTTTATATCTTAAAATGGATAAGCACGTCTCTACATTTTTGACCTCTTACAAATCCATATCTGGTCTATTGATCAGCTTCTCCTTGTTGTCCTGAAGACCAGGCTGAAATAAAAGGGTGATTGTTTTTTTTTTTCAATAGTTGCCCAAAGATATTTCTTGAAATATGACTTTCGCCCACCTTACCAGCCTTTAAAGACTCTTTAATCATTAATATAACAGATATTGAATATATCCTACGGACCTGCCCACTCAGGGATGCTGTTAGCAGAGGCTGTCTTATTTTTTATTCTTTGGCTTTTATCTCAGCATGAAGGTTGTGTGGTGTCTGTTTTTCTGTGTCTTTTACAAGAATTTACACACTGCCTATGTGCTTTAATGTGCTGTCAGGTTTGATGTTTTTTATGGCGTATTTATATCTGCTGTGTTTTTATTTCCGCATTTAAGTCACTGTGCAGCTCTTCAGTAAACGTCAATGTTTTTAAAAATGTTCTATATCAATAAAATTGATACATGATTAAGTGGATTTGATTTAATGGGTTGGTGCAATACCAGCTATTTTTCATTTCTTGATATTTTTTGAAGAAATTAACATGTGATGTTTTTGTTTTTCCTTTAGATTTTGTGATACCTCCTTGCCCTGAAGAAAAAATGAGCAAGGACAACCTGGATTTCACAGAAGAGGAAATTCAGGAACAACTGGAACTCCTGGGATACAAAAACATACCAAAACACAGGCTACGTGAATTCAAACATGGTTAGACTCTATAATATATTTTCTTAATGTTGATAGTATTGTATCGTTGTCAGTTTTTAAAAAGCAGTTTAATAACTACATCTCAAGAAAAGATAAAGGAGATGGGACTTCTGTAAAACACAGGTACTGCCCATGTTTAGACTCCTCTTAAAGAAATCACTCTTTTTGTTTAATTTCAGATCTTGATGAACTGATTCAACAAGAAGAATGGAAAAGCCTGACCTCACCCACTCAGATGAACTCCACAAAAACGCACACAGACACATGTCGACCGAGTCCTCCTGCCTACACCAAAGAGAAAAGTCAGGAAGCTCATCTAACTATTAGAAACAAGTATCAATATTTCTTACCACTTTTTTTAAGAGTAAAATATTTTGATCTTCCTTTAAAAATGTTTTTCTTTACAGTTAGCCACAGCCACTTTGAAGAATGTGGTGAAGGATTTTTCATAAATGCTGGACAGGCTTACCATGACAGACAGGTAAGGGTTATCCACCAGTTACACCACACTGCTTCTGAACAGGGGCTGCAACTAATGATTACATTTACTGATTCATCTGTGGATTGTTTTCTCACATAATCATTTAGTTGTTCAGTTAACATTTCAGAAATGTATTTATTTTATGCCGACCAAGCCCCTCTTTAAAACATCAAATTTCTTGTTTTTCTACAAGCCAGAAATGTTAAATTTAATGTCATAAGAGAGGACAGAAAACAGAAAACTTTAACTTTTGGAATCCGAGATGAAATTCTCAAACTGATTGATATACAAAATAGATTTTGATGTTAGTTGAGAACATATCACTTAATTGCTGTAGTTCAACATGTATGTAAATATATGAGATGCAGTAGCATCAGGTCCATGTTATTGAGTAACCCTATGTATAATTTACCACAGGTGCTTACCACTTGTCAGAACAGAGACTACAGATGGCAGTGGGGACTTAGTGACTCGTACGCCCAGCACTCAGTGGCTTCGAAGGTCCAGCTGCCTCCAGGTGCTCCCAGCAGGCTGCAGGTGGAGCCAGATCCTGACGACACCCTCCACCCGCTCACTGATAGCTACACATCCAGTCCTGACACCCATGGGAGAAGCTTCATCAAGAGAAAAGTCCTCAGGTCAATATTGTTATTAAGTACATTTGTCTGACATTGATTTTTATTTCTTTGTCTCATTGATTAAACAGAGGTGAACCAAATTTTGTTTTATTCAGAACTCAAGTAGGTAAAACATCAAAATATCAGAAACACAATAAATGTATTATACTGTGTCCATAAAGATGCTTTTTGGTCTACAACTTGGCTATACATTAAGTAGAGTCTTTATACTTTTTCTTAAAATGACAATAATAATGACAAAATCACAATAAGAGCCCAAACTCATGTCAGTTTTTAAATGATCACATTTTTTTCTTTTTCTCTGTGCTCTGATTTGAACATTTAATTTAGTTTCAATCTAGCAGTTTGTGCTTTTTTTAAAAAGAGTTTGTCTTTGCTGAAATACGACAACAATAATCAGTGTTTTTTTCCTATACAGGAAACATAAAGGGCAGACTCTTGTGTGTGATGAATCAGTCTACAGTGAAGACTCAGGTAATGTACACTGACTCATTTTCTGATCATAATGGACAGTTTGTTCTTTTGGCCTCACTGAGCCTTATCTACTAGTCGCTGGATGGCCCATGATCAAGATTTTACTCCAAATAGGCAAGATGTAAAAAAATAAAATTTTCAAATTTACTACCGTTGGGGAATTGGAAAATATAGAATCATTTGGAAGAAGTAAATACAGAAGAACACAGATGTAATCCCATTGGTCGCCTGCAGTTGGAGCTGTTTCAACTTTGAGAACATGCCCAGCAGGACAGGAAGTTGAAGCTCCTGGATATCAGCTTAATCCTCTTTTCTAAAGCCTTCTGCCTCCACAGAGCTCCCACTCGAAACACACCTTAGCAGAAAGTCACCAAAATGTACAACACTCAGAGCGACGAGGACGATGAGAACTGTCTTTACTCCTCTTTTTGGTCGGATGGTGAGAGGCAGGAAGATGATGAGAAGGAAGAGGAGGAAAAGGTGGAGATTGGGCGAGGGATCCGAGAGAAAGATTTCAAACCTGTCAAAGATGTACGGCACGATCTACAGGAGGGTTCAGATAAAGAAAAGTGTGAGCTGAAAAACCAGGAAAAAATGAGTTGGGAAAATTCAGAAAGCGGAAATAATGACGATGAACGGGAGGAGGAAAAAGAGGAGAACGTAAAGACTGGGCTTCTGGTAGGAAACATAGACCCCAAACCTATCAGCGAGACTGATGAGTCTCTTCAGGAGGATTCAGAAGAGGAAAAGTCAAACGATGAAGAAGACTCAAGTGGGGACAGTTCAGAAGGTGGAAGTGAAGAAGAGGCAGAGGAAGAGGAGAAAGAAGAAATAAGTGAGGAAGACTCTAAAGCTGTTGACAATACAGAGGATTCTCTCCAGGAAGATTCAGAGGAAGATGAGAAAACTGAACTAAACATTAGGGACAACACAAGTGGGGACAGTTTAGAAAGTGAAGATGAAGAGGAGGATGATACAAGTAGTGCAGCGGATTCCCTCCAGGAGGCTTCAGAGGAGGAGAAACTTGAGTTAACCAACCAGGAAAACATTAGCGCGGACAGTTCAGAAGTTGGAAGTGAAAAGGAGGAAGAGGAGGATAAATATATCAGTGAGGAAGACCCCAGGGAGGCTGACTTTAAAAACCCTCAAAACACAAGCGGGGAAAATTCAGAAGAAGGAAGTGATGAGGAGGAACGAGGGGAGGAGTGTGAAGATATCGGCGAGGAAGACTACAAACATGTCAGGGAGGCAGAGGACTCTCTCGAGGAGGCTTCAGGGGAGGAAAATCCAGAGTTAAACCAGGAAAACACAAGCAGGGATAGTATGAAAGTTGAAAGTGAAGAGGAGGAAGATGAACAACTAATGGACGAGGAAGATCTCAAACCTGTCAGTGATAAAGAGGAATCTCCATATGATGCTTCAGAGAAGGACACACCTGAGCTCAACAACCAGGACGACTTAAGCTTGGACTATTTGAAAGGTAGAAGTGAAGAAGAAGAAGAAGAAGAAGAAGAAAAAAGCTGTTGCAGCAGTTCTGACAGTCCCGCTCCAAGTCTAATGACCTCCGGCTACGGCACGTACAGACCAGAGGAGCATGAAGGAGGGGACTACAGAGATGACCACACCATAACTGAGTTTGACCAAGACAGCCGAGGAGATCTTTCTGAGGTGAGGGACGAAGAGGACGATCGTTCCATCTGCAGCTTCGGAGGGCTCGACACCGAACAAACACACAGAGACTACAGCCAGACCCAACCACTCAACATGTTAGCAAACAGCACGTTTGAAGCTTATTCTGAGTTTTGTAGAGATGAAAAGGAGGTGGGCATCAAGGACATGAAGCCAGAGGAAAACAAAGAGCGGACAGAGGAGACATTTGAAGATCTGTATGCAGCATCCAACAATAAAGTGACAACATCTGAACATCTCTTTAAAGTAGAAAGAGACAACGAAAGGCGTTTGGAAGGTGGAAGTGTTGACGTTCAAGCATCAGAAGAAGAGAGGCACAAAGATAATGAAGAGTGTAATGTCGGGAGAGAAGCTGAGGACAGAGCCGAGTCAGACGAGTCTTCAAGCAACAAAGATATTAAGTTTATTGACTCCAAAGCCGATGTCAGCTGGATGACGTACAACAAGAAGTATGAGGAGTGGGAAGGAAATCTTAGACAGAAAAAGGGTACCTTTCCTCTCAGTTTTTCTATTAAAACAACTTGAGTTGCGTAAAAACCAGAGTTTTAAACTTCAATACAAAAGAAGTCTTAGAAAACAATCAAAAAATGATTCTTTTTTCCATGGCACAAAGAAAGATAATCAGGACATGAGGTCAGGAATGTCACCAAGGATATACAATTGATTTGAACTAAATGATGCTTGCTGATGGACGCGTGATAGTTTGTGCACCCCATGTACAGAGGCTGTAGTCCTCGAAGTGGGCGGCCCGGGATCAAAACTGTCCTGCGGCTTCTTTACCTCATGTCATTCCCCACTCTCTCTCTCTCTCTTTTTCTACCTGATTTTCGACTCTTATCCACTATCTCCCCAATAACGCAAAAAATACCAAAAATAAATGTTAGTCAAAAATAGAATTGATGCTTTGATGGTGAAGTAGTGAGAGAGAAATAGGAGGTGAATTTGTATGTTTATTTAATTATTAACAGTTATGGGGTTATTGTGTGTATGTATTTTTAATCATAATCATCTCTTCTGATTTCACTTTGTTTCCAAATGCAGTGAGCTGTCTGGAGGATCGGCTGGCGGAGCTTCGTTTATCCCCGTCAGCTCAGCGTGAGTTTGAAAGCGAGAATGAAGACGTCAGCAGTCCAAGTGAAACACTGAGCTCAGAGGCAGAGGGAATTTCTATGAGTGCCTTCGAATCCTACTTTAGAGGCATGGTGGGTAATGTAGTCCTCCAGAATTTGGTTTCAATGTGTGTTACTGTACAAAGTGAAGGGGAGCTTATCTGCATTAAGAAATAGTCCATCAATCTTTTTTTGTAAAGTGTCAATTCATAAATGTTTTTTAAGACACTTTACAGAAAGAGCAGATCAAGACCTGACTCTTTGATATATTATATATTATTATTATTCTCTACAAAGACCCAACATTAATCCACTATGAGCACAGCACTCAGCAACATTAAAAAATGATAAATGTTTTAATTTCTTGGAATGTCACTAAAAATCCTTTCACTGATTCATTTGGACAGACTCGATCTCACAGCGATGGGGACATCAGACCAAAACCAAAATCCTGTAAGCAAACAGAAAAGAATTCATGTATATAGTTAACCTTTTGTTACACACTAAACTGTTTTAATTGATTTATTTTTTTGTTTCAGTCATCAGACCAGTGATGAATCCGCAAACCGTAAAGAAGACAGACCCAGTAGCCAAGTAAGTTAAAAATCACAAATAAGACTCCCTCTCTCTGGTCTCTCTTCTCCCCGTCAATGCCATCTAAAAAAAACTTGTTCCCTTCTTGTTTTTTTTTTTTCTTTCTTTCTTTTTAGTTGGCTGTATTTGTTAATTTTCTTTATGTCCAATTATTTAGCAACTGTCTTTACTGTCCTCCAAAACCATGTTTTATATTGTTTAGCACTTTTGTTTTCACATTTCTGCACAATGAAGGTAAAACAAATCAGAGACTGTCCTTCTATCTGGAACATAAGTGGAGTAAGATGTGCAAAATATGTGACTGAAGTAAAAATAATTTTCTTTCAATTAAGGTTTAAGAGTTCACTCTTCATATTCTTGTAACTGCAGGTATTTCCATTATAAGCAGCTCTGGGAAATGTTTAAACTTCCGGGTGAGACGGACAGGAGGGTTCTCCGCCGGGAGATAAAGGTATGACAAGATATCTTAACAAGTTTAAAAACAGTTTCTTTCAAACTCCTCCCAGAATGGGAGTTGCAGTCATACTAAAATCATTCATGCAATCATCTAATAATATAATGTGCACAATAGATTACCAGTGTTTTTGCCAACGTGAGGATATTTCAGATTTGATATATGTCTTGAAAACAGCATGTTCTGTTCTGCACCGTGGTTTGGTTTTTACTACTCTTTATGACACACTGCCTCCTGCCTTTTTACGTCCTGCTATGTGCATTACAGTTCTATTAGCCCAGTGTTTGAAGGGGTTAATAGTATTTTGTACTGCTGCAGAAACATGAATATTAGTGAAAATTCAAGTTCATCATGAAAATGTATGTGCAAACACAGTAAATGTTAGGTTTACACAAACAAAATAAAATCTTCTGCTTCTCTGAATCTTGTAACTGACGTTACACCTGTCAGTCAAGTGAGAAACCACAGTGAAACTAACATACCCTGAAAATGATTCATGTTTTTTTTTGTCCAGGAACAGCTTGCATACCAGCCTCCACCTGTAAGTTTTTCCAAATAACTTCTCTGTAAAACTTCATTTATTTAACATGTTTTCTCTCCACATCAGTTTGTTATGATAAAAGCAGGTTGTATATGTATAAATATGTTTTGCGTTTTTTATTTTTTGTCCCAACAGTAATTATTGTGTCAGTTATGTCTCCAATAAACAGAAGGAAGGAAAATATTTTCTGCAAAAATCAGACAAACCAAACTTTAGAATCCCCAACAATTCTTTAACAAACACAGCATGGTTTGCAAAAACAAAACGTTTACACCTTAAGAATGAATGAAGACATTTATGGAAAAACAACATGTCTTTCAAGTACAAAAATGTTCAAGACCAAATAAAAATGACTTTTGGAACTCTCTCCTGCCGTGATTGTACTGATGTAAGTTATCCTCCACAACAGCAGATGTTGCAGTAGGTCCATTTAAGGTTCTAAATCATTTATACTGAGTCGGTCCTAAGCACCAATGAGTTAAATAGTTTCTTCTTTAGTACAAACATGTTTTGTATTTGCTAACATCTAGCATCTTGTTTATTATTGAACATTAGAGAGTTTATAAAACATTTCGACCTCTTTCCAAACAATAGTGGAGAAGAAACTAGGCTTTTTACTTTGGACAGAACTTGTTTGGTGAAAATCTCTGAGCTTTTACGTTGTATAATAAATTCTTTCATACATAGTTTTTTCAAATGAATCCACATTAGTGATGCAGTAACACAACCGTTTCCTTTTGTTGCAGCCTAAACCTCGCAGAGTTTATGTGCCGAACACCTACACCGTGCCAACAGAGAAGAAGCGCTCAGCGCTGCGCTGGGAAATCAGGAACGACTTGGCCAACGGTCTCTTGCCACACAAATTCAGTTATCGATTTTAGTCCTTTATGTCCATCTGCCTTTAAGAAACTTTTTATAACACTTTTTACTGTTTTTTATCATTGCGATATTTATTCTTTTGTTTTTGTTGAATGTAATAAACACAAAGAAAACATTTGTCACTGCAGCGTGTATATATTACAGGTCATTTCATGTCTTTATGGGAAATCAGAGTACGGCAGTTTGAATGGGTAAAGAGGTGAATATCGCTGGTCGTGCCACAGCAGTTTGTCTTCCAGAAACTTGATGGTGTTCAGAGTGAGGATGAGTGCTTCGTGTTTCAGCATGCTGTGGACGTTCAGACCTGACAGAGAAAACACAGATCACCTTCTAGAGCAGTAAAACCATACTCCCTTTTTCAAGATCTTCAAAAGGTTCCTTAGCTTAACATGAAACATGTTGATAACTCATTACTTTATATTTATATTCTTGTTCTAGTTACACTCATGCATGCTCTTCTTGTCTTTTTACTGCTACGACACTTTAATTTCCCCACTGGGCATCAATAACGGATTATCTTATTTATAATCATCAGATTGATATGGCTAATGAGGGTAGCTCATAAATAATTGTTAATGTTATTTACATGCACACCTGAGGCTTCCAGCTCACAGTCTGTTTTATATTACAGACATGACTGTTTAAACTCACCAACGGCAGGAATAATGTTCACTGTCTTCAGACTTTCTGTTGCCTGAAGGATGTTCTCAGGAATCTCTTCACCTCTGAAAGCAATGAGACAAATGTCAATCCAACAAGGAGCCAATGAAGTTTCTTGTTTATTTTTTAACTTGTATAGCAGATGATACTCACACATCAACTATTAACACGGACTCTCCCCAGTGTCTGTGTCTGATCAGATCCAGCAGGTACTGAGGGTCAGGGGTGGGGATGTTCAGAGAGTCCACAATGTAAAGATAATCCTGTAAAAAAAAAATATATATATAGAATAGAAAGAATATTCAGCTCAAAATGGAGTTTTAACACTTCAAAGCACAAACTCAAATCAATCTACAGGTTTAATTATAGAGTAAGAAATGCTGAATATTCACTTGTTTCTGCTTCTTAATTGTGACGATTCACTGCTTTGCTTGTGACACCTGATTGGAATTTAATTATTCTTCAGGAAAAACTTATTATCGTGCTAAAAGATCCCTAGATTCAGACTTTTCTGTACAGGCATGAAAAAGGGCAATTGTAGGGGTTTAACCGTAACGCATTTATTTTATATATATATATATATATATATATATATATATATATATGATTATATTAGAAAATGTTAAATTCTATAACAGTCTTATAAAAACTAAGAAATAGAACTCTCTAAATTACCGAAAGGAGAAGTTTTTTTATTTTTACATTAGCAGGAATGAAATAAAAAAACAAACCACTGGTTTTATCAAGGTTCCTGAAAAAGTCTAATATTAGGATTTTTGAATTCAAGGTCATAAAAGTCTTATTTGTCTTGTAAAAGCTTTTAAATTTAAGATGGCACTTTGAACCATGTCTGAATAGTTTAATAAAAACTCGACACTGTCTGGTTAGTGCTGTGATTTCTTTATCATTTTTTTTATTTTTTTTTGGATTTGCTTGTTCACGTTATATTTCTCAAAAACAAAGGAATAGAGATTGACAAAAAGTTGATGGAAATATTGCTTAAAGATTAAAAAGTCAGGGAATGGTTAGCAAACAATTATGAGGTGACTTTCAAGATAAGTAAAAAAAATTGATCTGGGGAAAATGGAAATGAGTCCCACGTGAAATTCAAAAAGCACCATACATACATATTTACAGGAATTGTGTTTATTTTAATACTATTGGGCCATAAAAAGTGTGCAGCATCCCTGTTGACATGTTTATGCTATTTCAGGCACTTAAAGATGATAGAAATACAAGACAGTCTTCTCAATAATGTGTGAACTCATTTAAATTGGACTTCAGATTCATTTGTTTTCATTCATTCTTTTCGGTTACCTGAGCCATCTTGGAGCTCAGAGCCACTTTAAGTCCCTGCACTCGGACCTTCATGGGTAACATGTAGTAATAACTGGTCGGCCCTCTGGGTCCATGAGCCACCCCACCTGAGAGAAACACACACACACAAGCTGTCAGACTCACTCTGATGTACAACCTGAGAGTCAGTCAACATCGAAGTAATGAAGGAAGAAAAGGTTTGTCTCTGCTGAGGGAAGAGCAGAGATCAATGTGAGACCTGAGATTCATTTACATAAAAATAAAACATTTAGAGCACGTTAACACAGAACTGGACACATTTACCTCCTCTCCATATCGGTGAGCGGATGCTTCCGTGTCGTGCTCGTCCGCTTCCTTTCTGTCGCCATGGTTTCTTGCCTCCACCTCTGACTTCTGACCTGACCTTTGTGTGGGCGTGGCTCTGACAGATTGAAACAACTGTTAGTTAAATGATTCGATTATGAGTTTAATTTGAAGGTGTTACAAACAGTAGAATTAAATATTATTGTATCACATTAATTCAATTTAACTTAATAAAACTCTTCACCCCAAACATTGGACTTTAAGGAAATTATTTTTCAAAATGTTCATCAGAAATACGCACAGAAAACAATTCAAGCAAATTTCCTAATTTTCTAGCAAAGGATTTAATATTGACATGCACTGCACAACACATTTAAAAATAATAATCTGATTCATTCTTTCAAAAGGGGTTTGAGAGAAGTAATCTTGTCTCATACTAGAGGTGAATACCTTTAAAATATATTTTACAATAAGCCAGTTCATAACATTGAAACACCACATGTATGTTTCTGTCTCAAAGCATGAAGCAGTCTGACAACATTCAAGAGAAACATTGTATACACTACTTGATTTGTAACTTACAATTCTTTTAAAATTTTTCTGCCATATTTCAACCTGATGCAGAATGTCGAGCCTGAGAGGAGAGAAAATAAACCACTGATTAATCCAGGATTTATACAGATACACACTGTTTTTGTGGCCTCATTCAAGATTTGAGTTTCAGATATTTCATCAGTATCAACTCTACACTGCATCAATATAACAGAGAGATTACAATTAGCCACAGATTGTTTGTTCAAAACATTATATGATGCTCTTGAAACACAGAGTCTGAACCTCACCATAGATAACACCAAATGATGACAGATGTTTTGAAATGAGTGCAGAAGATATCAAACTCTCCTGAATAAAAATATTAAATGTTTGGACAACAAACCTAAAAAAACCCAAAAAAATAAAAACTATACCTTGGAGGCACTGCGAACACATCCGGGTGTAGCTGAGCCAAACCCAACGGTTCACTGTCCCGACTCTCCAGAGTCTCCACCCACGTCGGGACTGGACTCAGGTGAGCTGGAACGACAGCATCACACCTCCTCAAGAGAGGCAGAGAGCAGTCAGCAGGAGGAGGAGGACGCTCTGCAGGAGGACACACAACACCAGTCAGAGTCAGTTGTTGTTTTGAAAATGAGAAATCACAGCAGAGCTACAATTGTAGTGAGGCTTTGAATTTTAATAGACTTGATAATATTGTTATAAATCAGCAGGTTGAAAACTTCAAACCACAAGTCTTTACTCACTTAATCTTGTAGGATCTACAAGGTTTGTGGGCAGCAGTAGATTTGGAGGCAACGCACTATCTCCAGTGAATGACGAGGCGAACTGGAGAGAAGAAAACTTTGAGTAAGTGGAGCAGAAGGAGAACACCCAATAACAACCTCACGAAAGAAATGTAAAGGTTTACACAAGGTAGGTTCTACAACAGAAGCTCATGTTATGATTATGATCTGACCTCATGTCCTACAGCATTCTGAATCACTGTGGTTCAGACATGATTATTTTCATATTAGAAATTCAACCAAACAAGTTAATAATCATACAGTTTTATCAAGCCGTTTAATAATGGTCTTCTTATACACACTCACACGGTGGTCTTGGAGAAATGTTGCGTTTAACAATCAAATCCGCAAAATATTCAGTATTTTAAGAATCATTTAAAAAAATGTAGCCCCGATTTTTTGATTTTACTTTATATTTACTCAACTCTAAAATATATATATAATATTCTCCCTTTCCTTGTTTCATAAATTACTAATTTATTTATTGTTCATCTTGTTTTTCTCACCTCATCTTGATGTTTTAAATGAGTTTCAATTGTTTAGCAATAAACAGTAAAATGTCACTTTAAGCATCGATACAAAGTGACTTAATGAAGTAAAATGAATCAATTAAAGAAAACACAACCTGCGTTGAAAGGTTGAAATATATTCAAACATTACTCACCCTTTTAGCTGCTCCTCTACCATGAATCACTAAAGTGTAACGAAACATGTCGCTCCCGTTTTCCTTCTGCAGTCTCACACACACTTAAAGTCTAATAAAAAAACTGAAGAACACATTATAAGCTGAATCCTGTGCAGTCTGCTGCATGAAAGGTCGTGGGTACTTCTCGTACTTCTCCGTGTGGTGTTGGCGCTGGTTGATGACGTAGCAGCTGCGTTTCTAGCTGTCGAAAGCGGAAGCTCCATGGTCTGTGGCATAGACTGTAAATATTACTGTAGATATTATATGTAGGCTATTAATATAATAGGCTATGCTTGAATTTAATCGTACCTAGGCCTTCTTAGGGGCTGTTAGACTGTAAATATTAAGTGTTAACTTAAATTTAAAAGGTTTTGGATAATAAATCAACAAGCAGCTTTGTGCAGTAGAATTACGTCACTCTGGTAATAAGCTTTTTACTTGATAATTACTGTATGTGAGAACATGAATAAGACAGGGTTATCAGAGTGGTTGAGAATGTTTTGATCATTTATTTCCTCATTATTGTGTTACAATTCAGCGGGCAATGTCTCCTCTAAACCCTCAGCAGCAGCAGCAGCAACATGTTTAATTTAATCCCTGAGGGTAATTTTGGAATTAGAGTAGGGTCAAGGGGTCCTTCTCGGAGAAAACGGGAAGAACCACGCTGTTTTCTGTATTTTGAAATATTCATAATAAAAGGTTAAGTGGATATTATTTCTCGGCCGGTCTTAAAGTCGGAAGAAACTTTAGTCAAATCATGAAACATTCCTCACATCCTAACTGTCTTTAAATATTATTCATCATTACGACATGTTATATAAACATTTAAAACATGGTGATATCTCTGTTTAGTTACGGTTAAGCTTTGTTACAGCTCACCGGTGCGACAGTAACGATGAACCGTGAGTGAGAGTGATCTCCCCGCACATGACATGCTGCTCTCTTCCCCTCTTCACATTAAGACTATACTTTCAGGGATCATTTCTATAGTTTCTGACTTGAGAAATGTGTTTCTAAAGTGTTTGGTCTCGCTAACCACGATGATGAGTCGTGATATTCTCTTCTGAGCGTGAAGCGGACACAGAATAATGATTAACTTCATACGTTCTCTGTCATTGATGATCGTTCATGGCTTTCTCTGTGGAGCTTTGAGGAAGAGAATATGATCAGAGTGGTTACCATTTATGTCAAAGTAATATGAAATTAAATTATGATCTTCCCCGATATCATATACAGCATTAAAATGTTGAATTATTTAGTGTATAAAATAAATTTAAATACATTATTTTCATGTGTTATGTATATATTCATTATTATTAATAAGTAGTATTTTATTATGTAGTCTATTAATATGTGCATCAGAATTTTGTCACTTTGGTAGTAAACTTAATTACTTCATGATTGCTTGATTTGAGAATAAGAGAATTAATTAATTAATTAAATTGAGAATAAGAGAATAAGATATGGTGAATAAGATACGGTGATCGGATTGGTTGTGTGTAACCGCTGGTCCACTAGATTTTTCTTGCAACCACAAATGTTAGGTTTCCTGCTTTCTATTTCTTAATTTTTTCAGTTTATTCTTCATAATTTGAGGGTTTGGACGTAAGAACACGTGTGTGAAGAGCTGACTCATCTAATTATTACAGTGACAATCAATCACTTAGGCTAATTATAACCTAAAATAGCCTGAAAATGAATCCTTCATCAAAACGATTGCAATGGTAGTATGTTAGTGCCTAGTGCCAATAAGCAGTGGAGGACAGAAACAACGTTAATTAACTTCAGTAGCCTACTGCACTTAGCAAAATAGGGCATTTTTAATAGGCTCTCTGTACTTCACTCTCAGAATTATCTTTTGGGGAAACCACTTTAGGCTACTCTTCCACATTTAAAAGACAAATATCATAGGCTACTTTTGACTCCAATTTTACGTTTTATAATTTTGTCTTTACTTGCTAGTTTTGCCCTCATTTATTTATTTAATTTTTCTAAAATCTGATCTGAAAGACATTAAACTGTGTTGTGTAGTTCTGTGTGTGTTTTCTCTTGGTATTGCCCCACCTGTACGTTGTGCGTCTCCATGGTTGAACGCAGAGCAAAATGTCACTTAGCTCCACCAGTTCACAGCAGTTGATGATGAAGTTGTCACAGAGGCCCTTCTCTTTTATATGTTTTACTATATCTATGGTTGTTGCTAACACCACTACGGAGTAATCAAAAAAGCAAAGCAGCACCAGTTATAAGAATATGTTGCACGATTGCGTAATTCAAAATGCCTTGCATCCCCACTGAAAGGGCTATTTAAAAACAATAAGTTATCTGAATGTGTAGAGCTTGGCTGCGATTTCTCTGGTCATCAGATATTTTTGGTTGTAACTTTTACTGTTCATTTTATTTGCAAATCTGGAAATCTGTAGCATGTAAGTAAACAAAATTTAAACAGAGTTTTTCTACACAGCGTAGTAGTTCTATTGTGGTTGAGTAAAAAAAAATAAAGGTTTACATTCCTGCAGAAATGCACAAAGCATTGAAAATGGAAGCTTTAAAGAAATGTAAAAAAATTGTGAACTTAACTTGTGTCAATGTCAATAGTCCAACCAACATTTTCAAAAAGTAAAAACAAGATGCAAAGAACCTTTTATCTGCCTTTGAAAGCTGAACTGGTGTCTGTTTACTAAACAAAATGTTTAATCTTTTAATTTTCTATCTCAAAACCAATCAACAACCAGAAAGCATTATGAATCAACTTTATTTGTATAATTAATATCATTTTTTTTTATTCTCTGAGTTAACTATTTTGGATTTGCACATGATGTAACAGCTTGTACCTTTTCTTATAAGTGGCACAAAAATATTTAGAAAGCAATAACTGGATATATTTGTACGTTTCTTTTTTCATACAACATAATAACACAATTATACATGGTGTGTTCATTTCAACCAATTTATAAAGCCTACTGGCCCCCTCTTAAAACGGTCTTGGTCAGTTGATATACTTTAGTTTATGAATTAATTTTACATCATTTATCATGTACTTCAGACTGCAAATATGTCAAAGCAAGAAAGCAAGTATAGACATGCAGTACAATATCAACATATGTACAACTGGGGATATTATAACAACCACTTAATAAAATATAACTAAACAAAATGCATGCTTTGATCTTGTCAGGTTCCCTAAAATCCTCAACTTTATTCCCTACAGGGATTTTCCTTATTTAGTAAACTTGACAGGAAATTAAGGGATTTGGGAAGTTTTTGGTGCTATAACACAACTTAAATGTTTTAATACTTTTCAAACAAGTACTGTGTGGATAATACCAGACAATACAATACAAAAAAACAAAATGTGTGAATTTACATATATAAACAAGGGCAAGAATGCTGATTTATATTCTAGGTAAGAATATTTAAGGGATGGCAGGATTGGCTTTAGTTACAAAAAACAGTGTCAGCAAATGACGGATTCAAAAAACACAAGCATGAATCATGCAAGAACATGTAACAGGTAAGTTGTAATAAATAAACCTGAATATTTAAACATCAATAGCTTGAAACCTACATGAGGTTTGAGAAAAAGAACGTTGATCCTTTTTGGTTATTTCCCGCTGGAACTTCAAGATCAAAGTTTCTTGGATAAAAGTCACGCCCCCCAAAAGTGTTGCGGTTCTGCATCCTTGGATTTTGTGATTGGTTTGGAAAAACTGTGACATAGTATCCATCTGAACTGTCAGGTACCCTTATTCTTGAGTCATGAGTAAATTGAGGCATATGTTGGCGAGGCATTGACTGCATTGCTCTCTGAGGTTTTGCATACATGTCAAAATCACCAGAGGGAATTCTTCTGGTATGTCTGGGGTCCCTCATGCCAACATTGACACCTGGTGGTGACATGACCTGCCCACGGTTATGTGATCCCTGGTGGTTTAGTGTTGAACCTCTAGCCCTAAGCACATGATCTTTTCCTGTAAAATCATCAATATTGAGATCTGAACGGTTGAAATCAATATGGGTGCCTAAATGAGGATGCACCATGGGGTAGCTGGACCCTGCCTTTGCCCTTGGTGACCTTGTATCACTGTACCCAAATCTGGCATCTCCATCAACATCCAGGTCAGGTATTTTCATGTTTACCCCTGGGATATGTGATCTGCGATTCTCATACAAAGATCTTCTGAAATTTCGTGAGGAATCATCAATGTTAAAATTTGGTGATCTGAGATGCATTTGTGGATTTCGCATAGGCATGTTGAGGTCCATGTTAGGAGAACTAACCTTTCCTTGCAGCTGTCTGGGTTTCATGTTCAGTTTTGTATTTGGAGGAGTAATATCCAGATTTTTAGATCTCAGTGCAGCATCAAAGTCAATAGCAGACCCCCTACCAAAGTCTGGGCCTCTTATTCCTCCTCTGACTTGAGGGGCACCAAAATTCATGTCTGGTTGGCCTAGTTTGGGACCTTTAAACCTTGCCTCAGGCATATCTAAATCTGGCACATTTATACCAGGACCCTTTACTCTAGACCCTGAAAGATTCATATCTGGTATTCCTGCATTAGGCCCAGATAAATTGAGGTCTGGCACATTTAAACTTGGCATTTTTACTTTTCCTCTTGGACTGTTAAGATTGACCTTCGGCATATTCAGGTCGGGCACCTCAAGGTCACCATTTATGTCAATGTTGGGGCCTTTTGGCATCTTGATTTTAGGCTTTTTGAACTTTGAATCAGGAAGACCCAAGGTGACTTCTGGCGTGCTCATATCTAACTTTGGAGCTTTAAGATCCATGTTTGGTAAGTCTAACTTGGGTGCATTCATTCCCCCTTTAAACTTTGGGGTTTTGAGATTCAAATCTGGAGTTTTCAGGTCTGATTTAAAATCCAAATTTGGTCCTTTCGGTAATTTGGCATTAAGAGCTGGTGATTTGACGTGAAAATTGGGGTTATCTAACTTCGGACCAGAAAACCCCACATCAGGCATTTTCAAATGTGGCTTTTTAAGTGTGGCCGATGGGCTTCCGAAATCAACATCTGGGACTTCAAACCTAGGCTTGGATCCTTTGAGGTTGATGTTAGGTGCATTGATGTCCATATCTGGGCCATCAAAATCTCCACCAGGTCCTTTAAGGTTTGGTAGATTAACTTTAGGCATTTTTAATTTGGGCATTTTTATCTTAGAATTTGGTGAACCAATGTTAAGATCTGGAGTATTCATGTCTAACTTTGGAACTTTGAGATCCACGTGTGGCAAGTTCAAGTCAGGGGCATCAAGCCCACCCTTAATCTTTGGGGCTTTGAGACTCAAATCTGGTGATGTTAGATCTGCATTTAGTTTTGGCATTTTCAGTTTACCTGATGGCATGTCCAAGTTTAGCTTTGGAGTGTTTAGATCCAGTTTAGGGCTTTTGAGATCCAGCTTGGGCATATTTATGTCTGGTGCATTTATTCCACCACTGAGATTTGGTCCAGAGAGATCTAGGTTAGGTGATTTGAGGTTCAAGTTCGGGCCATCTAACTTTGGTCCAGAAAGGCCAAAATCAGGCAGGTTCAAGTTTGGCTTTTTGAATTTTCCTGATGGACCAGCAATATCAAAATCTGGCATTTCTAAATCACCTTTAGGACCATCAATGTCAGGTCCTTTCAGGCTCGGAAAACCAAATTTTGGCTTCTTGAATTTGGGCATTTTAAATTTCCCTTTGGGTGAACCAATGTTGACATCTGGAGTATTCATGTCAAATTTTGGGGCCTTCAAGTCCATATTTGGTAGGTTCACATCGGGGGCATTAAGTCCCCCCTCAATATTTGGAGCTTTTAAACCAAAATCGGGTGACTTTAGATCTGCATTAAGGTCCAAGTTTGGTCCTTTTGGTAATGAACCTGTAAGATTGAATTTAGGCATTTTCAATTTCCCAGAGGGAGCGTTAACATCCCAGTCTGGAGCATTTAGCTCTGGCATTTTCAGTTTACCTGATGGCATGTCCAAGTTTAGCTTTGGAGTGTTTAGATCCAGTTTAGGGCTTTTGAGATCAACCTTGGGCATATTTATGTCTGGTGCATTTATTCCGCCACTGAGATTTGGACCAGAGAGACCTAGGTTAGGTGATTTGAGGTTCAAGTTTGGGCCATCTAATTTTGGTCCAGAAAGGCCAAAATCGGGCAGGTTCAAGTTTGGCTTTTTGAATTTTCCTGATGGACCAGCAATATCAAAATCTGGCATTTCTAAATCACCTTTAGGACCTTTGAGATTGACTTTGGGAGCATTTACATCAACCACTGGAACATCTAAGTCCCCATCAATCTTAGGTCCTTTCAGGCTCGGAAAACCAAATTTTGGCTTCTTGAATTTGGGCATTTTAAATTTCCCTTTGGGTGAACCAATGTTGACATCTGGAGTATTCATGTCAAACTTTGGAGCCTTCAAGTCCATGTTTGGTAGGTTCACATCGGGGGCATTAAGTCCCCCCTCAATATTTGGAGCTTTTAAACCAAAATCGGGTGACTTTAGATCTGCATTGAGGTCTAAGTTTGGTCCTTTTGGTAATGTACCCATAAGATTGAATTTAGGCATTTTCAATTTCCCTGAGGGAGCGTTAACATCCCAGTCTGGAGCATTTAGCTCTGGCATTTTCAGTTTACCTGATGGCATGTCCAAGTTTAGCTTTGGAGTGTTTAGATCCAGTTTAGGGCTTTTGAGATCAATCTTGGGCATATTTATGTCTGGTGCATTTAGTCCACCACTGAGATTTGGACCAGAGAGATCTAGGTTAGGTGATTTGAGGTTCAAATTCGGGCCATCTAACTTTGGTCCAGAAAGGCCAAAATCAGGCAGGTTCAAGTTTGGCTTTTTGAATTTTCCTGATGGACCAGCAATATCAAAATCTGGCATTTCTAAATCACCTTTAGGACCTTTGAGATTGACTTTGGGAGCATTTACATCAACCGCTGGAACATCTAAGTCCCCATCAATCTCAGGCCCTTTCAGGCTCGGAAAACCAAATTTTGGCTTCTTGAATTTGGGCATTTTAAATTTCCCTTTGGGTGAACCAATGTTGATATCTGGAGTATTCATATCAAATTTTGGAGCATTAAGGTCCATGTTTGGTAGGTTCACATCGGGGGCATTAAGTCCCCCCTCAATATTTGGAGCTTTTAAATTAAAATCTGGTGACTTTAGATCTGCATTGAGGTCCAAATTTGGTCCTTTTGGTAATGAACCTGTAAGATTGAATTTAGGCATTTTCAATTTGCCTGATGGAGCGTTTACATCCCAGTCTGGAGCATTTAGCTCTGGCATTTTCAGTTTACCTGATGGCATGTCCAAGTTTAGCTTTGGAGTGTTTAGATCCAGTTTAGGGCTTTTAAGATCAATCTTGGGCATGTTTATGTCTGGTGCATTTATTCCACCACTGAGATTTGGACCAGAGAGATCTAAGTTAGGTGATTTGAGGTTCAAGTTTGGGCCATCTAATTTTGGTCCAGAAAGGCCAAAATCGGGCAGGTTCAAGTTTGGCTTTTTGAATTTTCCTGATGGACCAGCAATATCAAAATCTGGCATTTCTAAATCACCTTTAGGACCTTTGAGATTGACTTTGGGAGCATTTACATCAACCACTGGAACATCTAAGTCCCCATCAATCTCAGGTCCTTTCAGGCTCGGAAAACCAAATTTTGGCTTCTTGAATTTGGGCATTTTAAATTTCCCTTTGGGTGAACCAATGTTGACATCTGGAGTATTCATGTCAAATTTTGGAGCATTAAGGTCCATGTTTGGTAGGTTCACATCAGGGGCATTAAGTCCACCCTTAATCTTTGGAGCTTTTAAACTCAAATCTGGTGACTTTAGATCTGCATTGAGGTCCAAATTTGGTCCTTTTGGTAATGAACCTGTAAGATTGAATTTAGGCATTTTCAATTTGCCTGATGGAGCGTTTACATCCCAGTCTGGAGCATTTAGCTCTGGCATTTTCAGTTTACCTGATGGCATGTCCAAGTTGAGCTTTGGAGTATTTAGATCCATTTTAGGGCTTTTGAGATCAACCGTGGGCATGTTTATGTCTGGTGCATTTATTCCACCACTGAGATTTGGACCAGAGAGATCTAGGTTAGGTGATTTGAGGTTCAAATTCGGGCCATCTAACTTTGGTCCAGAAAGGCCAAAATCAGGCAGGTTCAAGTTTGGCTTTTTGAATTTTCCTGATGGACCAGCAATATCAAAATCTGGCATTTCTAAATCACCTTTAGGACCTTTGAGATTGACTTTGGGAGCATTTACATCAACCACTGGAACATTCAAGTCCCCATCAATGTCAGGTCCTTTCAGGCTCGGAAAACCAAATTTTGGCTTCTTGAATTTGGGCATTTTAAATTTCCCTTTGGGTGAACCAATGTTGATATCTGGAGTATTCATGTCAAATTTTGGAGCCTTCAAGTCCATGTTTGGTAGGTTCACATCGGGGGCATTAAGTCCCCCCTCAATATTTGGAGCTTTTAAACCAAAATCTGGTGACTTTAGATCTGCATTGAGGTCTAAGTTTGGTCCTTTTGGTAATGTACCCGTAAGATTGAATTTAGGCATTTTCAATTTCCCTGAGGGAGCGTTAACATCCCAGTCTGGAGCATTTAGCTCTGGCATTTTCAGTTTACCTGATGGCATGTCCAAGTTTAGCTTTGGAGTGTTTAGATCCAGTTTAGGGCTTTTGAGATCAATCCTGGGCATATTTATGTCTGGTGCATTTAGTCCACCACTGAGATTTGGACTAGAGAGATCTAGGTTAGGTGATTTGAGGTTCAAGTTCGGGCCATCTAATTTTGGTCCAGAAAGTCCAAAATCAGGCAGGTTCAAGTTTGGCTTTTTGAATTTTCCTGATGGACCAGACATATCATAATCTGGTATTTCTAAATCACCTTTGGGAGCTTTGAGATTGACTTTGGGTGTATTGATAGCCAACTTTGGGCCATCTAATTCCCCATCAATTTCAGGTCCTTTGAAGCTTGGAAGACCAAATTTAGGCATCTTCATCTTTGGATGTTTAACATCTAGATCTGGCATTTTCAGTTCTGATTTTGGGCCTTTGAGAGCAAGGGAAGGTGCATCATTGTCAAATTCTGGCTTTGGCAAATCTACATCAAGACCACCTGATGAATGAAGGTCTAAATTTGGAGCTTTAAGATTTATGTTTGGCACACCTCCTTTAAACTTCTGTCCAGATAAATCCATGTCTGGAGTTTTAAAGGCATAATCTGGAACTTGAATGTCTGGTAAATCAAATTTGGGCATTGAAAACTTAGGAGCTTGGTATTTCCCAGAGGGGCTCTTGATGCCAACTGATGAAGAGTCAGAGACTAAATTTGGCCCTTTAAGGTCAACTTTTGGTAAATCAGGTACAGAAATCCTTCCTTTTACCTGTGGTGTTTTGAGCCTTAGTTCAGAGCTTTCAACACCTGAACCTTGTAAGTCCTTACCTATTTCTGGAGAAGTTCTATTCATACCAAGACCCATTGGTGGAAGATTCAGATTGCTACCATTTGATAGTTCTACTGCATCACCATAATAAGAATCCCCATGAATATCTGTGCTAAATTTCTTGGTTTTCAGAAGTCCAAAGTCGACTCCAAGACGAGGCAACCCCGAATCCTGCTTTAGGTCGGCCTTGGATGAGCTTTGTACAGTTGGAATGGTAGTCGGCTCCCCATTCACACCAACATCATCAGCACTAGGAAAGTCATCTTTCATAAACTTCTTGATTTTGGCATTGTAGAGTTTGCAGTAGGAATCATTCAGTATCTAAAAAATATAAACATAGGCTTGGTTACTTGAATGAAATGTTAGCAAGACTTCTTTTTACTAAAGTCTATCAGTCTGAGTAGGGATCAAGTTTAGTATCATTTGATGAAAGTCAATGCAATGCACAATGTAGCACAAAAACAGCTTCTAGTGGGACATATTAAATGAGCTAATAGAATTAATGCTCTTCAAAGTACAGATGATCATATTTGACCTTTTGTGTTGTGGAAGATGATTAATAAACCCATTAACTAATTCAGTTTATTTTTTGCAGCCAACTTACCGTCTCGGGACTCTTGGTACCCTCAAACAGATTTCCGACGCTCCTGCTTTTGTTCCTTTTGAGGACTTTTATCTTGTCATCATATGGCTTTGATAGTTGATCAGAATTGATTGTTGCTCCTAACAGTCCGTCCCCTGAAAAAGAAAAATCAAGTATTTGCATAAAACATTATCAAATTCAACTACAATTAAGGACCACATCATACTTTTCTATTTGAAGGATAGCGTTAGAATCCATATGCTAAACCTGGGAACCCTAATAATATAAAATATGGGTTTTTATGTGAAGGAAACCCAACAAAACTATTCAGCAAAGTACATTTCAAAATAGTCTCAATGTTCTTCTGCTGAAAAAGGATTTCTAGAAAAAAACTATTGTGCTGTATTTTAATTAAGACTATCTGTTTAACATTCAATTTCACTGCCAGATTGTATTAATAGAATATTTACAATTGACTTGGCACAGCTGTTGACTGGGTTTGTATTGCATTGGACTGAATATTGAAAGGTTCTACATAAAATATGTAGATTGTAAACTTAACGAAAGTGGCTGGGCTTACACAACCTTGAGTTTGTGTCTAGTGTGAAATGATTTCCTTCAATTGGATCACGTGTTCTTGTGAGGAACAAGTGTTTATATGCTATAAGCTAAGACTTTATATGGCTTGCTTTAAAAAACAGTTAAAAGTAGCAAGTCGGGGTCATACCTTCCATTATTCCCTGATTGGACCGGGCACCGTCATTAATGCTGGATATCACCACTCCACCATCCTCTGATCGCTCCAGGGTCAAACCCTCAGAGAGGCTCCTCCCCCTGCGGTGTGTCGGCTAAACAGATAGGACATTTCATTTCAGGGAGGCAATAAAACAGAGGCACTCCTCAACAAAATAATATTTACCTGCAACATACAAAAGAAAATTAAACTGTTATAGGAAATTTCAGTACAGAACCCTTTTCACGTACCATGATCACGGTGTCTTTGTCACAGTTGCATTGAAAAATCCTCTTTGACTAAACCTTTAGAAGGAAACAAAATGGACAGTTAACAAATTAATTTATTAAACCTAAACCTAAACCTCTGGGTGTGGCACATTTATTCTGCCAACTCAGTATTGTCAAGGAAACTATTCTATTGTTTTGTTTACTACAGCTGCAGGAATCAACAGATGCAAGGGGACTGGTGTAGCGTATATTTACTATTCACGATTTACAAAGCAAACTTAACAGTCGAAAACAAGGTAGTGTGACTGTACTGTACTGTAAAATTGAATTGAATTGAATTGAAATTCAGGTGACTTTGCAGGTGCATCTCAGGTATCCCAGTTATGTTCTTCGTGCTTTTGGGCCATAACTGAGGAAAAACCAGTAACAGGTTTATCAAGAGAACTGCAAAGAAGTGCTTGTTGGGTGTTTCCTTTTTAAGCACACTAAGTGAAACGTAACCACACCCACCCCTTTCCAGCAGAGAAATCCTTGCACCCTGGCAAACCTCCAGTGAATCCAGAAACAATATGTTCTATTTAGAGTGTGAAATAATATGCATGACTGAAACTTGACTCAGGTGAATTACTTCAATGAATTTCAATACTCCACACATTAAAATACATTTTGGAGACCCAATAAACTTGAGTTTATGCCATTTGAAAAAGTATCAAATTCAGAATTTCTCCAGGCATTAAGAACTAAATTAAATTCTTACTAATAGTTGTGGCATTATTTCAATATTGTGATAGACTAAATCGTGTCATCATGAATGTAACTAAATAATGCGGTGATTGAACTATATTGTGTACATCCCTTTGCACTGAATTTATAGTCAAACACAGAGACATTTTTTATGAATAGTTGTTGTGAGTTTTTTGACATGTTAAACTGGAACAGATCTTTCACCAATCTTTTTTGAAATCATTTATTCAGATATGACAACATCTTGTCACAATACATTTGACAATCAAAAGACACAACAGTGCCAAAATGTAATGATTCAAATACCTAAATATGATTCAGTCAAATGGTCTTGTATACTGCGTAGTTTAGAAATGATGGACATTAACTATATAAACCTAATTACTACTTCCCCAATTCGTAAATGGCATTTTGAGCATGCATGCAAACAAGAAAGATTATGAGTTAGAACAAGAAAAATTAAAAAATAGTATTTTTATCATTTTTTCTTTGAGTGCTTATAAATGTAACTGTTTTGAATGGGTCAGTAATATCTCTTATCTCTTAAAGGCCCCTTAACTGATTTGAATCAATGTCCTATTGTGGCTGAGTTTGCACCATCACAAAATACTGTATTGTTGTAAAAAAAATAACATTATATTGTACAATGAAGAAACTTGTGGTAATTTTTTATTTTCAATTTGATCTGTCTTAAATTCTTCTAATTCAGCCTTTTTTTTACATTTAAATATGCATCTCAACATTTTTTTTAAACCAGACTTTTCCATCAGTCAGACTTTGGCATTTAGCTCATATTTCACACCGCTAATAATGACATCAATGCAAATAAAGCCGCTGATTCACTGCTTAAAAAGTTAAACATTAATCATTTTATAGATATGCCAATGTGCACATGCTGAAAGTAATAAAACTGAAAATGTTCATGGTCTGCAGCTTGATCATGATGCAAGAAGATAAAAAAAGAAAGAAAAAGGCCTGTATAACAATTTCGCAAGGAGTCAAGCTGAACAGCATGCTGACTGAAACTCAACAGAAACTACCTGGATGACAGCACCCAAAACCTGCTACCTGAAAGGCAAAGCACCACAAGCATTGAAGCTCAAAGATCAAAAGGTACTCATAAAGAAAACTGACCTCAGGGTCCATCAGGCAGATGTTTTTCGAAGCTGTCCGGGCCTCTGTGTTGTGAAAGATATGTCCCAGAGTTTGATCACAGAGATATCAGCCCATGCTGTTTGATCTGCAGGCTGTGACTGAGGAAAGGAGCGCCAGACAGTTGGACGAATACTGGTCTCAAAGCAGACAAACAGGTTCTAACTTTAAAGTATTGCGTCCCTTAACTGTCAAAGGACACACAGACACATGTTCACCTCACACACCCTCATGCAAACACACCCTAACTACCACCTGCCTGCGGCTCATATGCATACAAACACAAACAACAGCACAACTTTTGGCTCTGACCCGCCATCCTTCTTACAAAAACACTGATTCCTGATTTAATTAAAATGTTCTTTCAACTGTGATTTATTTCTGTAAAATGTATTTAATTTTCTAGTTTTGCCTCAACTGTATTGAGATCTATTTTTCTCAACCTCCAGATTCAATTACTTGTCTGTTTTATTCTCTGCCAATATAAAGTTATTTTTATTTGGATTTTTTAAAAATCCTAAAAATAAAGGTAAGTTAGATTTGTCAACAAATCTGTGCCCACATAAATGCAAATGCACACACACTCACACATAAATAACATCCATAGCTAAAACCTAGACTCGTAGGAACAAGCAAAAAAGAACAACACAACCCAGACACTCCCCCCTTGAAAACATGCTAAGTTTGCCATCATGAGAAGAAATGCCTACCTGTGCCAAGGGAGCGGCAGGCGTTCACTGTTTGAGTCACTCTGATTACAGTCACCTGTTGGTCACAAAGACTGCTGTCAGTGGGAATCTGGGTGGAAAGAAAAGGAGAGACAGTTTAGAGCCATTCAAACTCAGTTATTATGTAATTTACATGGCCAGGTAAGGCTGAGGCGGCAAAAGGACTCTGTTATGTAAGAACGACTCTCAGGCAGACCCAATGACAATAAAATTATATTTTGAAAAATGTGTGAGAACAATGTTCATTACAAAAGAATGATTTATTGTTTATTAAAGTCTGAAAACCGTAGGATATTTTTATTATAAAGTTATTTTTTGACAAACCCAAAAACAATGAAAAGCAAAGTAATTCTCACAAAATTAGTAAGAAAAAATGTGTTTAATAAATCACATTTAATCAACTTGTTCACAAAAAAGGTCAAAGTCAATGGTCTCAGTGGAACTGTTGCATATATAAGCAACACCAGCTGTACAGAGGACAGTTTGCTCTGGAAGACTAAACTATAAGATAATGTTGGATTAAAAGCTGACATAAAAGCTGCTATGATGACTCAATTAATAGATTATGTAAATAATTGAAAATTATTCTAAAACTATTACAATAAGCCAGTAATACTTTTACAAGAAAATATGTTTGAATTTGATATTAAAATGAGCCTTTCCCTGGTATCACACTAGGTAATCAAATTTAACAAAATGAAATAGACCTTAACAAATGTACCAACAGTATAATCAAAAGATTTATCAATGCCAAAAATAATCAATAGCTGTTGGATTTTAAATAAAACACAATATAATTGTGCCCTAGGATAAGCGCTCAGTGGAGCAATCCCTCCCTCTTATGCACTAAAGCCCTGCTGATCTGTCACATAACCTAGTGCCTAATGGCCCTCACAACTCAAAGGTGTACACCATTGGGCAGTAAGAGCCACAACATCACTGGGGTTATGTTAGGTGGGGGTTTGTTTCTAATGTATAAATCCAATGAAGAAATCGTGAAACAGACTGGAGATTATATAGTTGGCTCCTATCCAAACATAGATCTGCTACTACTTAGGTGCTTCACCCATATAAGGTTACAGCTTCAGACACCTAAAGGTTGGAGTGTTAACAGGTGGTAGACAGACTTGAATAATACATTTCACAAAGTTACCAAGATGAATGAATTTCATGAAAATTCGTACTAACAGGTTATCATGCAGGCGTCTCCCTTCACTGATGTTTTGTTAAGCTAGGCCCAAGACACCTCAGGGAGTCTTAACTGTAAGCCCTGGTGTCCCAGAGACATCCCCATCTATGCTAGCTCTCACGTCCCATCATACTCACATCTGTGGAGAGACGTTAGAAAGAGGACACATAGGCAGTGCCAGCGTGAGAAGCTAGAGCTCAGCCCTGCTGTTTTTATGAGGGTAGAGAGGAGAGAAGAAAGAGATTAAAAAGGAGATGACAGGTTTTTTCCTTACCCTTGTTTTGGTCCCTCTGTCTCATTACATCAGTTATCTCATTACAGTTCTCCCAGTAAAGAGATAGTTGATTATGCTAAACCCATATATCCCTCCCCCACTGGACAAAACTTAACTTTCTATCCTTGCTGTTTAGCTTCTGCTGCCAAATCTGCTTATCACATTTTCCCCCTTTCATATGCTTCCTCAACATACTCCTATACCAGAGCTCTAACAGATCTATAAAATAAACTAGCTTGGAGACCACACAACATGTCAGGTCTCAAACTAGTGGAATCCCAATTGTTCTGCATATCTACCATCTCCCAATCATTACTGCTCTTAAGGTGGTCTAACTGGTACCTGCTGAAAAATCTACTTTTGCTGCTTCTGAACACAATGGGCGCAATGGGCTCAAAATGGTTGAAAATAAAAAAAATAATAAAAAATTATCCTTAGGGCCGAAGGAATCCCTCAAAAACTTGATATTATTGAACTATAACTAATTTATTTATGTTTTACCTTCAACAGAAAAGTAGACAGGGTATGTTTTTGCATTGTTTGTAGCAACAGAAATACAAAATTGTTCATCATCAGCATACAGCCATAATAATCAACATTACCACCCAAGAAATGCACATGTAGCAAAAAAACAACAACAAAAAAAAACAGGGGACCAAAACCGCTTCCCTGAGGAATATCAAATCATTCAGTAAGTAGTGATTAATATGATGTACATTAAACCAATTGAAATAATTAGATAATTTATGAAAATGTTGAAGGAAATTGTACTTGGATCAACACGAAGCTGGCGTGAGGGTTCATCAGTAGTGGTTTACTGTAGCAATCTCTGTGCTGTTACTGATTAAACTTGCTTCTATATGATCCGTGTCAGTTTTTAAAGGCTATTAGCTTCTAACCTTCAATAGTGTAAATTGTAAACCTTCACCAATGACAGACATTCAATTAAGTCTTATTTCAAATAGAAAATCTTAGAATATTAAAAAAAAGTTTTATTTTAAAAATGGCTAACATAAAGGAGAATCATTCACACAAGACTGTTTTGTTAACAAGTATTGACTCATTCATTATAATGAAGCAGTAATACAAAGATGATCTTTGATAACTGCCTATTCAATAAAATATATCTTTTACTGTCTTCGGTAGGGAGAAAAAGATTATTTCATGTTTAAATTTGCCTTTTTTTTTACCTTTTGGAATGCTTCTCTCGATCTAAACAGACAAGTGTAAAAAAGAGGTGATCAAGGTCTGTTTGACCCGTCTGACAGCACTCACAGTTTTAGACCTTGTGTTTGGTTGTTTACTGAAAATACCGCCCTGGAAAAAACTAACAGATATAAATTTCTTAATATCCTCAGCCATTCAACTGATGAACTTTGATAGTTAAAGGTAACATCAGTTCAACCTTCATTAGTAAATATTGCTGATATCTTTGTAGAACTTTAACACAGAGCAATATGCACTTTATTTTTTCTACTTCTTGATAGTTGTTGTACATAAATATGGACTTCCATATTTTCAAAACAGGTTTAAAATTAAATTAGTTAGTTACTGTTGCTACTTGTACACAACTTATTGCTGCTCTGCGTACAATTATAGTTCTTCTTTAGTTGACCTTATTTTGTGGTTTCCTTTGTATTTGTAAACTGGATGAATTAGGGTTAAAATTTTAGAAGACTGAGAAAATATATTTCGTGTTTAGTAGCAGCTAACAAAAGAGTGCAATTTTATATTTCTTCATTTTAACATTTTTAGTTATTTGCAAAATGCACAAACGCACATGTACCCCTCCAAGAAAAGTGAATCAGTAAAAACAATAAATAGGTCACATGATAAAAGACTGGGTAAGTATATCATTTTACCAACAGGCAACACAACTGTATGGCTTTTAAAAAACAACCAAAATGCAATCAGGAAGGCAGAAGGCATCTTCTTCTTATAAAGAAAATACCCCGGAGAAAAGCATTCACAGCCTCTACACTTCAACAGTAGGACAGTTTTTTTAAATACGTTTTTAGTTTTTCTGTAAAAATGCAGCAGGAAAGTACATAAAAAGCAGCAGGTTCTCTGCAAACCCTCCAACATAAAAATATCAAATCAAAATGTCAATTATTAAATGAGGTCTCTTTTTTTCTTCAGAATCATTGCAGTCATCTGCTTTCTCTTCTCTGACCAACCAACCCCTGGAAGATCGAGTGGTCAGTTTGGCAGAGAGCAGCCGGCGTGTCGAACTCCATCACCTTCCCAGCATGCATCACCAGCACCCTGTCACAGTCCATGATAGTGTTGATCCTAGTGACACAAACACAGATAGGCGATAAAAATCATTTAATTAATTTCAAGATTTTTAATAAACAGTTGGCATGTGATATAAAAAGAATAAGAAAAGATTTAGCGTTTATTTTTTGGAGGCATTTACATGAGAAACCCTTTACCTGTGTGCAATAGTGAGGACAGTCTTGTCCTTAAATGTCTCTCTTATCGTCTGTTGCAGCAGTTTGTCCGTCTTCTGATCCACGCTGGCTGTGGCTTCATCAATACACAGAACCTGCATGACCAGGATAAAAAAATTGTTATATACAATGTTGTGATTTTTTTCTGAAGTGATTTTGTTTTGGAGTATGTTTATAGAAAAGGAACATTTCTTGGTCAATTTTGATTATATAACAAAACATCAAATATTTGACTCAAAAGGTTTAGAATCTGTGTGGCACACAACACACTCTGTCTGTACAGCCTTGATTTGGATAAGTTACAAATAAATAAAAATACCCTTAATTAACAACTCAACCCAAAATGATGAGACTAAGTGGGGAAGTGAGAAAATGTAATAATGCACCAAGTACTCTTTCTATATAATGTCCTTCTTCATATAGTTTAAACATTTGGACCAATACAAACTACAGAATGTAGAATTTCTATCTATTCCCTTTTTGTTGGCTGTTTATGGTCTCACCACTTCTTGGTAGTTCAGAAGGTTTTTGTACTGGCATTAAATGCAGCTGGTATATTCCCTAGATATATTGTTGCAAAACTACCCTCCATCTCAAAACCCAGTACTGATTGTGTGGTTGCTGTTAACTCTGAAAGAGTTATGTGCACATCACGTAAGTGTAGGGCAATACAAAAAACTACAGGGAGAAGAAGATATGCCTGCATACTTGCTCAAATGCCCCACAAAGTTTTTATTAATAATGTTTCGGTGATATTTTCTTTGTGTACCATTCTTTTGGAAACCCGTCTCCCCTCGATACTTTGTTGGTTATAAGTCTTGATATTAAAGATAAAATGAAGGACTCAATTAAATTATACATGAACAGTCCTGAGAACATATCTGGGAGGACATTAACATTAAAAAATGCAAGCAGAAGCTGGTATGTACAAATACATTTTTAATTGATAGTTAATAAATTAAAGAGCATCCGCTGAACTTTGAAGTGGATCTGTGTTGGAGTGAAGGTTTAATGATACAGGTTAGATGTCTCACCTTAGCCTGAGTCAGCAGAGCTCTAGCCAAACACAGCAGCTGTCTCTGCCCCACAGAGAAGGATTTCCCTCTTTCACCAACCTCAGCATCCAGACCACCTTACACACACACACACACACACACACACACACACACACACACACACACACACACACACACACACACACACACACACACACACACACACACACACACACACACACACACACACACACACACACACACACACACACACACACACACACACACACAGCAAAGATTGTATACATGACAATGAGAGGATGCTTCAAATATTGATGTTGAAACTACAGATTTTAATTCATAGAAGCTTTACAAACATCTTCAACCCAGCAGCACAGAACTTAGCAACCAAGATCAGTATCCACAGGGACGTATACAGGACCCCCATGTGACAAGACACCTGAAAGGTTAAATAACAAATAGCTATAGATTTTGTCTGTTGATCTTTACAAGAATCCAATGGAAGTTTAAACATCTGGTATGACAACCCTAGTGTATTACATGTCTTTGCTTTATCATTTATTCCTAGTAGGTATTTGTGTTGTATCTTGTCATCATTACCAAATACATAAGTAATGGTAAAAAAATCGTAAAGTTACACTGATCTTTGATTGGGTTGGATGGGTGTACATGTTACTAGAAAATAAAACCAGTGAAAGCAGAAGGAACATTAAAAAATAAAGAAGTTCAGATAAGATATTAGTTTTAACTTCTTGTTATGTACCATACTCATCAAAGCATCCTGTGACCTGCTCGGTTTATAACATGCCTCTCACATAAGGCGTGCTGGGAAACGTGCTACCCATTACAGCAGGAACAATGGAAATGAACAAAGTGAAAAGAAAAAATATGGAATTGTCTTCAAGGCAAACACTGATGATGTGACCACAGAGGAACGAGGAAGGGTGGAGTGAATTGAAAACAGTCAGTCAGGTGGTTTAACCCAAAACAGACACACCTCGGCTTAATGAGCATCACTCTGCTTATATTTCACTAGGTCATCTCATTTTGTACATCTTTTTTTTTTAATCCCCTATCTGTCTCAGTCTCTCACCTATCCTCTGGACCACCGAGCTCAGGTGACACTGGTCCAGGACCTCCATCAGCTGCTGGTCTAAGTGTCTCCCACACGGGTCCAGATTCTCCCTGATGGTCCCGCTGAACAGAAAGGGGTCCTGAGGAATAATGGCCAACCTGGACCTGCAGAGGGCACCAATAGAACAAATACAACATATACAGTATAAGCTTTGACTTGTTCAGTGACTGCATGTAAGACACTGCACAAAATAAATAAATATGTTAAATAGTAATGAAACTACACCTGGTGTAAAACAACCACATGCACTGCAGGTCATGTTTCAAGTGTTAAATTGCAATGTATTATAATTGTATTATTCTGTTGTTTCCTTATGAACCTGCACATTTATTTTAAAAGACAAAATGCAATAAACTAACTAACTGTGAAAATTGTAAATTGTGTTTGTTTAATTCACTTAATGGTATGACTCCTTAATATCTCTCTGACCTGCTCAATGGCTACAGCCCAATCAGATCCCTCAGATGAAGTGTTGGCCTCCGAAAGATGTCTAAAATCTAGATCTACCCAATACTACCTAAATGTGGTAAAGGGGCATTTATTCACTATAGTGCTGTTCTATGGAACAAACTGCCTGCTGACCTGAGGTCCATGGAAACAGTAGTTCTAAAGTAGTCTTAGAAACTTGTTTAGGCCTCTTATGTCTTTGACAGTTAGTCTATGCGTATGTGAATGTATATAGAAGAGCGTTTTCCCCTAGTAGGAACAGGTACACCTGTACATTAGTATATGAGTGTGAGTGCTGTAGATCATTTTATACATGTGTTTTGGATTCAAAGATAACCTATTATGCTGATCCCAATTTCAAAACTCACATTCAGTGTTACAATGCTGAATACCTACATCCATGGGCATACATAGTTTCAGATCACAAGGTCGTTTAACCCACTCTGCAGACTTACCCTTGGAATTAGTCATTATGTTGGAGTAATTATCGTTGAAAAACACTTTCTGTTGGAGTAATACCAGGATAAGTCTGCGGAGTGCGCTAAACTGCTGGTTCTGCATATCACGCAATAGTTCCCAGATATGAAACAAAGAATGTCCTGACAAGACTTCAAGCCTCTACGTCAGCCACTGAAACCTGATACATAGCAAAATCTGCAAATCATGCAAAGCTACTCTATGGACTTCACAGACCGAGATATGTTTTGTGAATTAATTTTCTTATTGTTTTTATTGTTTGTTTGGTGTTTGTTTTTATTTGATGTGCTATACAAATGAAACTTCTTGAATTGAAATAATTCCTGTTCAGCTCTTATGTGGATCTTTGAACTGCAAGAAAAACAAAAAACTAAATGAAACAATTAGTCTGGGCAAAATTCTTGAATTAAATTTTAAATTAAATGTTCTAACCATTACTTAGTGTTGGTACCTTTTGATTCTCTTTTACCATCTTCTCAGGAACTACCGCCCTCTATCAAGAGTAAACTGGCACATTTCCTGTTATTGTCTGTGACTGTTTTTTCACTTCTGGGTCATGATGCAGAATTATTTTATTCTATGAATAGTGGGGTACATTTCTAATCAAAATACCAGTGTCAAATGGTATTGTGAAAAAATAAATAAAGTGAAAGGGAAATCTTTTGACTGAAACCAGTCAAATCAACCCCAAAGCAATACTTCATATGGAAACCTTTTTCACCGCAGACACCAGGCAACTCCTATATTGTGTTGGTTTCTCCATGTTTACCACCTCAGACCTACCTGAGCTGAGCGAGACCCACAGTGGTGATGTCCAGCCCGTCCAGGAGAATCTGACCCTGGTTCAGCTCCACCATCCTGAACAGGGCAAGGAACAGGGTAGACTTTCCAGAGCCTGTCCGTCCCATGATGCCCACCTTCTCCCCAGGCCTCACCACCAGACTCACCCGGTCCAGAGCATTAGGGAAACCTTCTCTGTAAGCTAGAACGACATCCCTGAACTCCAACCAGCCCTGCTCAGGCCATGAAGGGGGCAGCTGATGTTTGAAACAGAGGGTAAAGTGAGAAAAGTGCAGTGACAAAATTGACAAGAAAAATATATCTGCAAGATTCCCCCTGAATAATTTTCTTTCATTTTTTAAATAAATGTTTATGTTATCTTTAAATCCCTATTTAAAACCCCTACTTGTTTTTTATGTTAATTTGGTGAAATAGAATCCAAGAGGAATCACATTTTTTCCAATGGTATGGAAGAATAAAAATGAATTAAACATTAAGATATCAGCACTTACAATAACATTTATATGTGTGTTGACAAACAGGGTTTGACTGCTCGATATATTCATACTATCCATAACACCCTCAATCTAATTGTTGCTATAAAATAAATCAGCATACAGTATAATAGTGGCAGTTTGACAGCCGGTCTGACCTGTGCGTTTTGCTGCTGTGGCTCGGTGGGAAGTCCAGTGGAGTACTCCTCAGTCCTCTCCACACTCACCAGCTGCATCTCAGTTTGTGTAAAGCTGAATATGAGGCCAGACAGCAGCGTTGTGATGGACAGAGCGTAGGACAGGGACAGACCCACCAGACCTGATGGAGACAACATACACACCCTCTGAGAAACTGAGCATCTGTTATACGTACGTGTAAACTGGTGCACAGTCACTAAACTCAGCTGTGTGCTCACCTGGATCCACTTTGTTATACTGGTGCTGCACGACAGCGATAACACCGAGGCATGTCACCACGGCAACACCAATCAGCTGCAGGCGGATGTCCAGCCACTGCATGGCGGCATTGCTGAGGAAGAGGCAGCGTTGGTTCTGCTCCAGACGCCTGGCGTTCTCCTCCTCAAACCTGGAACAACAACACTGAGTCATGTACAGTATATACAGTAGAGCCACTAAGACATGTTAGATAAGGCATTTACAGCTTATTCTATGTGATGTATTTCAAGGTGAAACAGCATGTGTGAGAAGGTTAACATTTTAAGAGGTATATAATAAAACCTTTGAGAGGTTTGGTGTTTTCTAAAGTGCAAGTATTTCACTTGCAATTGTCAATAAAAAAAAAGAATAAAATCAAACAAACCAAAAAAATAACTAAAATAGGCGGTGTGCAAGCTAAGACTGAAAGCTGCTGAATCATCACTTTTTACTCCTGCTGCTTGTTTTGCAGATACTACAAGTCAACATTTCACAAGCAGCATTGTACAGATCACACCGAGGATCCCTGTAAAAGAGGAAGATGCTGTCAGGGGTTAACAACCCCAAAAATATTGGTATCATTCACAGACTGGGACATGGAAGTGGACATAGACATAAAGATGTTGCCTATCAGATAATTGAAGACGTTATAAAGTCAGGCTTCCCAGTCTTCCCCAATTTCAATGTGTCAATTTTCCCTTTCAAAACATATTCTCCTCCAGAGAAAAAAAGTCATCCTACTCCGTATATTTCAACCACTAAAAAACACAAATTCAGGACAAACATCCAGTAAGTAGAAGTTCAAAAAAGATGTCAACATTTGTATGTTCATTAAAGAGCACTTGCATGTCTACATTCCAACAGTAAAATATCTAAGTTTGCATTTTCATCAGAATTCTTCAATAAGCAGATTTTAGAAAATTATGTTGATCATCATCTCGTTCATGGTTATCATATTTTTTATCCTAAAGCAATAATTTCAGTATAATATCCAGTATCCTAAAAAGTACATTTCTCACCTGGCAGAGCTTCCGCTTGCCCTGATGGTCCCCAGCCCCGTCAGCGTCTCAGAGAAGTGTGAGTAGACAGGCGACAGAGTGAGGCTGCACAGGCGCTTCAGCTCGCGGGAGGTGTGTCTATAATAGTGCTGGGTGCAGTAGTAGAGCAGAGCAAGCGGCAGCAGGGGAACCAGGACCCAGGGGAGGCCATAACTTATCACCACCAGCATGCCGAGCAGGCCGAAGACGTTGGCCAGGAGAATGTTTAGGATAAAAGGAAGGCTATCGTCCACGCTGTACAGGTCTGAGGAGAAACGGTTTAGAATGCGGCCCATCGGGGTGGTGTCGAAGAAAGTCACTGTGGCCTAGAAGGCGGGTTGAAAACAGCGGGTTAAGATTGCTATTGTTTTTATTTTATATTTTCACTTAACATTTGTGTGTAAAACTGAGAAATATGCTTGAGTATTATTTGAATGTAAAATATCTGTCATATCACTTGTCCCTTCCCCTTAGCTTTACAGAGCTTTGAAGCGTCTTTTAGCTCATTGTTTCAGTCAAACTGTCTGTTGCTTTAACGATTTAAACTAAGGAGTATCGAAAACACAACCCAGTCATTTAAAGTCATGTTTTTTATATCGCCTTCTTCCTGCAGTAGATATGTTTAGTTTGATGACAAATTAAAGCAAATAAGTGAACAAAAAAAACAATATACAATGAATAAAGTTATTTCTTATCTCACACACAAACAAGTTGATATCTTGTATACCTTCCATTAGCATGGTGATCAGTTAGTAATGATTAGGACACAACAGCATATATTGTTTAACTGATGCATGGTTTTAGGGTCAAAGTCAGTCAGCTTGCATCAGTATGTGCAAAAAGCATCCCCAGTTGTAAATTGTGCATTTATGAAAACTGAAAACTTTATTTTATTGTTCTGTATTGCAGCATGCTGACTACTTATCACCTCATGTTTTTTAATAAGAATGGCTTGCTGACAGTTTATTAAAATTGCACACATTACAAGCTTATATACTTGGCCAGTGCTGCTAAAATCCCCAAAAACTAAGTAATCTGATATATGAGTCTCCCAGTGCAGATCAGCATAACCAATCACAGTGCATCATCTTCAACCAGAGAAAACAACTTCACACTACCTCACAAACTAAACAGCTGAGAGATCACATTAAAGCACAGCTGGTAAAAATGTGGAGCATTCAGAAGTGATGTAAAAAAATGTAGTAACTTAACAAGGAAACACAGTGGATTCTGCATTAAAAACAAGGTGAGCAGTTTTACCTGTTTCCAGGGTATTAAGAGGAGCAACAGCCCCCTGGGAGTGAAGCCAAAATATTTAAAGCTGGCTGCAGCACAGGTCATGGTCATAACCACCATTTCCTCCATTTTCACAGACAAACATGAGTCAAACTGGGAAGTAAAAATGAATGTCAAACCGGTATTCTGTCCTTAGGAATTTGTGCTAATATTTGTCAACGTTTTCATTTTTCTGAGTAGTTTTTTTTTAATTAGTTAGTTGTGGATGTAACTTCTTGACAGAACAGAAGCTCTCTCATTTGTCAACAGAAGCTCTGTTGACAAATGCGTCTCTGTCCAGCATTTTTTACCCTGATTAGCAAGAGCAGAGGAAGAACCGTGAGAGGAAGCAAGAGGAAAACTTAAAAAACCATCACTTTAACTTTCCATAACTGTGAGTGTCTGCTTTAAACCAACACAATACAGCAATTCTGCTGTAGACTGTACCAACCTGAAGGATCTCTGGCGTTTGATCTGTAAGTTAAATGCTTTAAAAACAAGCCAGCTCTCTTTGGCGCATGTCTTGGCTCCAAATTAGGTCCCTAGCGTTAAGTCACTGCCTGTCAAAGGGGTATTCTGAAAAAAAGTACATTAAATGGCTTCTCTGACCATCATCTCCTGCTGCCAAACCTGCCAAACATCAGCTCGAACTTTCGGCCTGAGGAGCTGGATAGTTACTTTGAGCAAAGTTGACGCACCTTAAGGACCCGGTCCAGCAGTCTGTTGTGGATGGTTTTGGCAGCACAGATCGCTCCGTATGCAAAGAGAAAAGCTCGGAGTGCAGTGAAGACAGTGTTAGCCCCCGCAATGGAGCCATACACAACCAGGTAAAACTTGACATCAGAGCTCAGGTTGCTTGGAGGGAACGTTTGAACAGAGGAGGATGGGGAGGACCTAGATGTGCAGAGGTACATATTTTTATTTAAAAAAATTAAGAGAAAACAGTGCAAAAACAGAAAAACTTTGGGGCACTGGTTTAGCTCAGTTGGTAGAGCGGAGGCTATAGTCCTCATTGTAGTGGTCGCAGGTTTGAATGCTGGTCCTGGGGCTGTTTGATGCATGACATTCCTGACTCTCTCTCTCTCTGAAGCTGTCGTATCAAATAAAAGCCAAATAGGCCCAAACTTTTATTTAAAAAAAAGTCTGGTTTAACCTAGAATTATGTAGTTTAATTTATATTTGGTATGAATTGAAGCTGTATAAATAAAGACTGACTAATTGTTTGACTATCAAAGCAAGCTTACTTTGACATACAATCATACATAATGTCATGATACTACTTGTATATGTTTTAAGCTAAGAAATGGTCAGTGTGATGACCGTGCCTGTAATCATATTAAATCCTGAATCTCAATCTAAACTGGCAGAGAACAAAAAGTCATGTTTATTCAAAATAAAAATAAAACTGCTTATCTAAGGACTGTGTGAAAAAAATTGTTGATACGGTGTAAAATGAGTTAAACAAAGTTCATTTGAAAACATAATGATGCATTATCATATCATAAACATTAGAATCACATATAGGTTTAGTCATCATACATCAGTTTCCAATCCATAATTTGTTTGAGTAATAAAGTCATTTTATTCAAATGTCGGTCTCATTGGGTGGTCAACCAACCAACCCTCAGCATAAAAATCATTTTCGTCTCCTGAAAGTCAAAAAGCAGGATGATTGGATGACTCACATTAACCCTCCAGGAGAGAAGAGCAGCAGGTGAGGTGAGCTGAAGGCACCTGATGAAGAACCATTTATTGTAGCAGAACCGTTGTTCTTCAGCTCTGATATCCAGTGGGACAACCACCAGTCAGAGACGTTCTTAGAGGCTGAAACATATTTAAATACAAACAGCAGAATGTTGATAAATATTAAATAAATAGATAATAAAATACTGTAAAAAAATTCACAACTTAAGCATTCTACAGCAAACCTTTACGGGGTGGTCAGAGCCTTTGAATTAACTGCAACATTCCCCAAATTAGATCTTATCAATTTTATTTATTTATAGCTGTGTTTTTACGAGTGAAAATTTCCCCAAAAACTTTTTGCAGAAACTAAGTGCCTTTTCTACTGCAGGGACCAAAGTCTAGATACAGTTTTTGTGTTACAATAAATAATAAAAGTATATATATTTGCATGTATTGTGTGCTGATAAGTTGTGGCATTTCCTTTCGCTCTTCACTAGCTGCAAGGAATCCTTACCTAACATTTTTGTATGTTTTGTATTTCTTGTGATTTTATATGTCCTTAAACTTTCTCATTTTTTTGCACTCAAATCTGAGGAGATATTGTTTCACAGTGGTTCCTTTCTGGCTAAATAAGGGATAAAAAACAACATAACATCTTCATGTGGTCGATCCAAACCTTGCATGAGGAACAGGCACATCAGGATGGAAGTAGCTAGCACTCCGCCCGCAGCAGCCCAGTAGGTCTTGTAAACTGTCCACGCCAGACCACCCACTTGCTTCTGCTCTGCCCCCGACAGGTCAGGGTCATCATCTAGACAAAGCTCAGGGGAGGAACCCAGCTCCTCTTCCTCCTGCTCCACACCATCTGGTTAAAGGAAGGAATATTAGGGTGATATACGCTGCGATATGACACAACCCTACAAGAAACAATACAATACTATACAATCAACAATCTAAACAATCCACATGAATACAGAGAGGCACATACCAATGACAACCACTAACGTCATATTTCGCACATGTTCCGATGTTTACACAATATAAAAAAAAGTTCACATTTGAATTTGGCTTCCCCACAATAAAAACAGTAAACACGTCACTGAAATTGGTTTGTTAAAGGTCTTTATGAACATCTTTTTCACTTGACTCATTCTTAACCACCTTTTTATCACATTTAATAATTTGATCAGTTAACTTATACACTGGCATTTTTAACTAACTAATTAACTGGTTTAATGTTTAACCAGTTCCTGTCTTTGACTCTATTTAGCAATTGAGCTGCCTTTAATATAATTTATAATAAACTTTTTGGTCCTTATGGTTCAGTGTGTTCGAGGTACTTTGATTTATGGTGTGCTTGAGGGGTAAATCCTGGAACAATCCAAATTTTCTAATTTAATCAGCTGAATCCATTGATGGTTTCACGTTTCTCTTCTTAATATTGGCCTTTCTTTCATTTTAAAGACAGTCAATTGAACCAAAGTGTTGGAAATCCTCAGAGTTTGGGAGCATCATTCCTAGTGAAGAAGTCACTTCAGGTGAACATACGTACCTTTCTCTTTCATGTTGTGGTCATTCTTCCGTTTTTTCGGCACTGCCTCTACCAAAGGAAGGATTTCAGCTGGTGTGCCTGTTTAATAGAAAATAAGTGCAGTCAGGTACTGAAATGATCTTGGTTCCCAAAAAAGAATTGCTTTTGATTTGAGCTTCCCTACCTGCCCCAATACAAAATGTCTCTAAACTTAGCACATGATGGTGATGATAGAACACTGCATGTCAGAGTTATAACAATTTATTTTGTTGGCGGCATGCCAACAACGTTATCAAACTTTGACGGTCCGCCACATCCTATGGTGAATCCTGGTTCGCACAACTTTGAATCTTGAACTTGTCTATTTTCATTTTATACCAAACTTGAATTGATCACATGAAAGCCCTCGGACAAGTACGTTCAAATAGGGATGCTGTGAAATCTGAAAAATCTCAAAATTTGGGGTCCTCACTCGTTGGTAGGTACTCGGGCCTTAAAAATATCCTAATTTTGCTGATAACCCCTAACAATTAAGTACTTTAAACAGTTGAAAATACATAAACTAACACAAGAGAAATTTAACAGAACTTGACAACAACCATGTCATTTTTTTTTTATTACCATCGAGATTAGGTTCTGTCTTTTGTTTCTACCTGTTTTGATGATTGTTCCGTTCTCCATGAGGACAACCATGTCTGCTTTGTCCACAAACTCGAGGCGGTGTGTGCAAAGGATTCTGGTCTTTTTCCTGAGGAGCTCCATGATGCATTTCTTCATTAGGTGTTCAGCCACGTCAGAATCGACTGCCGCCAAGGGGTCGTCAAGGAGGTAGATGTCTTTGTCCTGAGGTGAAGAATCCAGGAAAATAAAATATTTGAAAACAATCTCATCACATGATGCATCTGCTGATAAAGGGGTGTTTCTTCTGTTTTCTTTCTAAGAATTGCTGTATTGAAGATTTACACATCAGAGAACATACAAACTCTGGAGGATGAAGCAGTTATACTCATAATGATGCCCTATTGCCCTAATATTTGTTATTACTTTCCAGGTTTTTTTTAGGTCTAGATGTACTTCATCAATAGAGTGTCAAGGAATTCTTGTGCAGAATGAATGAATATTTTTCATTGAACCGCAATTTTGCCGAACTTTAACTTTGTATATTTAGTGAGGTTATTCCTATCTATTCAAATCTTAGGCTTAATGAGCTATGTTGATATTTTGAATGTTGACTGGATTTGATTGTTTTTAAGAGATTTAAGTAGATCTTTTAAAGGGTTACAAGTATATAAGATGTAATAAAGATTGTTATATTAATCATAACTTGTAGTAAGCATGCCAGGAAACAGGATGAAGGTGAAGCAGGTGTGCAAACCTATTTTTTTTGTTTTACAAGAGTCTTTTGTGTCTTTCTGCTGGCACAAAGAGCAGGTAAGACACAATACCTGCTTCATAGAGTTACATAACATTTAACAAAAAATATGCAATTCAGGAAATAGAATATTAATACAAAGTATCAAATTCTGAAATGATGTATCCTTGTTTCCTGCAGCCTGACACTTGTTTATTCATTGAAATATCTGAGGTGTCTCTATGTGTTCAGTGCAGAGGACTGACCATATAAACAGCTCTGGCGAGGGCCAGACGAGCCTTCTGTCCTCCGCTCAGTGTCACTCCATTCTCCCCCACTTCTGTCTTGTCACCATTTGGCAAAACCTGAAGACACATTATACAACAAGGATATTTAAACATGTTTAATAAGTATTTAAAGTGTATGCAAACACCGTTTATTCATCTTAAAGATCCTCCACTTGAAGCAACAATATGTAGAAATTTGGTTTGGTGTGCTTTAGCGCCCCCTCTCTGAGTGCAACTGCACTGCAAGACACAGTGCTTCTGTGCATTTATTTACAAGCAGTTGGTGTGAAGCCACAGAAGACATTCTGAGAAGCTAAATATCCACGTCGACCAACAAGACAGAAGCGTCTTCAGCCCCATTGTTTTGCAAACTTTTTGGATGTGTTTTCATAGTTGATGTCTATTCTCTGTGGCTAAATGGTGTCATTGAAGAGGGTAATTCATCATACTAGATGCGATAAGTTTGTAAGGTTCCACTTCCAAACTTATAAAGCTTACTTGAAGATGGACTACAAAAGATACAACGTTTTGGTGTAAGATGGATTTTTTAATTTATGTCCAAACCAGAAACAAAACTTGGATTAGATGACTTTCTGCACCTGGTAAAGCTGCTTAAGATGAGACAACGATGTCACAGATAACAATACAGACTAATTTTACCTCACAATCTGTTATGAATAATATCTGCAGGGATGAACACTCTGCCATCAATTGTTGCTGTATTTCCGGATTCTTACTCCGTCACGCTCTCTAACTCTCTTCTTAGTTTCATCTGAAACAGTCCTCCTCTTCCTCTTAGCCTCAGCCAGTGCATCAAACAGTACAGAAACGGGGTAACTGGCTTCTTTTCATAACTGAAGGCTTGTGTGTGAACGAGTGCCATAAAGTCTAAGCACTTTGACCTGGACCCACTGTGGAAATGAGAGACCATTTTCACTGTTGAAAGTTATTATACTATTAAACTGACCTTTGAAGCTTTTTTTAAGGTGGAAAAGTAACATATTACATATGCTTTAAATGAAAAACAAATCAAATAATAAACCCATAATCACAGGGTAACTAAGAAATATACAGACAGGAAAAGAAATAAACCATAAGCATGGAGTAATCTTACGTTGAGGTCGTCTGACAGAGCACAGGCCTCAATCACAGACTGGTATAAGGCGTGGTCATAGACTTTTCCAAACAGGATGTTGTCCCGTACTGATGCATGCTGGATCCATGGCTCCTGAGAGGCTAGACCAAAACCCACCTCTCTGTCTGCGACGTACACCACACCACTCAGCCTGCACAGACAGGAAGACGATAAAAAACCTCTTTTTCTCCTAATAGTATTTAATCTCCTCTGAAGGAAACACTCAAGACTGTTGTGATGATTCATTTTGACTTAAAACTATGTTGCAAAACCTTTAATTATTTTTGTCTACTCCTAAAATGTATATATACATTACTGCCTTATCAATAAAAATCTCTTTAATGAAAAGCAGAAAAGTCCAACTCCCACCAACACCAGGATCAAAGTATCAAACATTTGAATAAATGGCTACAAAAACTCCAATCATATATATATATATATATATATGTATACACAGGTATTATCTGTAATTTAGCTTATAATGTTGCACAATACTTCCTTACTTACCAAACCCACTAATATAACGCCCCTTCTTTCTTCTTTAACAATAATCTCACATACATAGGGGTTGTACCTGCTGAGTTCTCCAGTGAGGGCAGCCAGTAATGAACTTTTCCCACAGCCGACCTTTCCCACCACCACAACCAGAGAACCCTGAAACAAAGAAACGTTCATAGTATCTGCTCTAACATACCAAACACTCAGAGCAAAAAAAAAAAAAAACAGCACAACAACCATTTCTAAACGAGAAAAATATGGAAGAAATTGATTTCAAGGCAAGTTTATTTCTGTAGAACATTTCAGCAACAAGGCCATTCAAAGTGCTTCACACAAGGCATCAAAAGCATTATGAGAGGGGGAAAAGAAACACAAGCAGAAAAGTAACAGTGCAGTGTTATTTATAGTTAAAACAGATTCTAAGATAACTTATTAAAATCAGTTCAATAAAAGCAGCTGTAAACATGTGAGTATAGTCTCTGGTTAAGCTCAGTTGGTAGAAAGAGGAGTATCATGTATAGAGGCCATAGTCCTCATCACACTGGTCACAGGTTCAACCCTGGATCCTGACGCTATCTAGTGCATGTCAACCCCCACTCTCTCTCTCTCTCTCTCTCTCTCTTTCTTTCCTGTCTTCATACATCTGTCCTATCAAATGAAGGCCCAAAAGCCAAAAAAGCAACCGAAATCCAAGTACAGTCTTAATTAATGGAGTGAAATACTTTGAGACTAAGCCTTTAATTTGGTTTGCATCTTTATCCAAAAAGCACCTCAAATTACCCTACCCTGAGTTCAGTGAGTGCTGCTATCCTTTGTTATTAACTTGATTTATTTTGTTTTGTGCTTATTTCAAGAAAGTGTGGCTTAATCATTTTTCCAATGCACTGAACCAATTGTGCAGTAAGGATGATCCAATGAGAGTACTTCCCATATTATCCTATGTGTGAACAGAAGGCTTGTACCTTTGTGATGTGTAGATTGAGACTATGCAGCAGCAGACTCCCTCGAGCAGCTCCACATTCACTTTCTCCTTCGTTGTTTTGGTTTGAACTGTTGGGCCCCTGCCAGGAAAATTTCCCCTGACTCAAAAGGATGGATGTTTGGCTGTCTTCAGGAGTCACTGGGGTAAAAGAGGTACGTTTTAATACAGTGTAAATGTGTTTATCATATCGATTATCATGATACACATTCAGAAACTTGTCAGAAGGCAGATAAGTTTGACTTTCACTATTTTATGCACTAAAGTAAGGTGCACTTCCGTCTTTTCTAATTTCTACTCTCACATTTAGTTTTTATGGATTATTACTGAATAACACTTGTCAATATTACTTTAAATGCAGAACTTCTGGGTGTGTTGAACTATGTATGATTTGATAGTTTCATACATCCATTGCTGTTGTGAAGAAAGGGAGCAGAAGTTATCAAAATGCTGCTAAACTTCATGCTTAAATTCAATATGTTTTGTTTGCGGCGACTTTTTTAAAACATGTAATTAACATAATCACTCCTCCCTGTTTCATCATCATTACAGTTGCTAATGTTAATATTTGACTCATCAGTCTATTGTCATACTTAGCTGTCACTGCTAATATTACACATACTTTTACCATTATTACTTACATTGTAGCTATAAATCAATCTCATTCATTGTTGTTGTTGTTGCTCTGTCTCTCTCTTTCTGCATCTCCCTCTATCTCACTTTACACCCCAACACAGTTTCTGCTGACGGTTGTTCAATTTGAGTTTGATTCTGCTCGAGGTTTCTGCCTCTTAAAGGCAGTTTTTTCTTGCCACTGTAACTTTGAATGAACTTTGAATGTATGGTCTCTGTCGATAATATATCAAAGAGAGAGGTCCTTTACCTGCTCTTCTGTAAAGTGTCTTGAGATAACATTTATTATGAATTGGCCCTTAATAAATAAAGATTGATTCATTGATTAAAAAAGCCTAAAAAGAGAACAACAAATGGTATAAATAAACTATATGACCTGCTTTGACTCACTGATTGAACACAAAACACACAAAGTTGAAAGTGGCAGCATACCCAGGGCGTAGTACGCCTGCAGATCCTGGTTGGTCAGTTTAAAGAAGCGCTGGATTCGCTCCAGAGACACTTTGGCCTCCAGGATGCCATTGAGCACCCAGGGGAAAGAGTTGAGCGGGATGATCAACATTCCCACCAGAGCCAGCGTGGTGAACACCTACAGAAGGGTAAAGAGTCTGAACTTGAATGAGTCATCAAACATAGTACAACATAAATAACAACTACCTCTATGTTTGTTCACTGGAGGGCTGAGGAGCTTGTATTTCAGGAGTGTGTACTTGAGTTACAGAAACATAAATAGTAAATAAAAAAACCTACCATACAATTCAAGTAAAAGCTATAATACGTTTGAAAAAAAGAGGCTTCATTATTAGGTTAAGGCAAAGTGTTAATAACTGTAAAAGTACTGTTTTATATAGAAATGGTGCAGTTATTCATTGATGAAAAAAAATCTACTTTTACTTTAGAAAAAATCAGTACCTCCTGATTCTCATGACACCTAAGAAAATCTATTCTAAATAATGCATTTGCTTCATGCCAAAATAAATAATAACTCGAGTGCCAATGCTTTGCAGCAATATATGAAGACTTTTACTACCACTGCTTATTAAAATGACTCGTATGTTAGGATTCAGGGAAGCTGTCATTCCAGAGAATGCTCGTACATGAAAGGGGACAAAATGATGTAGTCGGGTCCACACCAAAAAAAGTTATAGGAAAAATAGAACTGAATAAAACAGAAAAGATTAGAGGAGGATAACTAATTATTGATTATTAGTAATTTTACTATTGAATTATGAATCATTACTATTAATTCCTATTATAATTGTATTCTTATATTATTTGGCAAAATGGTCACATTTATGCCAATAAAGCTGTCAAAGTAGAATAGAATAGAACATATTAGAATAGAACAGAACAGATCATAATGTAATAGAATGTAATAGAATAGAACAGAATATTTTAGAACAGAATAGAATAGCTATTGATTGCCTTTTGCGCAGGTACAGGACAGTAGAGTTTATTGTGATTTTTTAAATTACCATAACTGTGTAAAAGAAAAATTAAACAGTAATTGAAAACTTTACTCCAAATATTTATAAATATGGAGTAAAGACATGACTGAGAGGAGATTACCTAGCCAAGTGACTTTAACATATATTGGATATTTAACAAAATTGTGCAGCTCACTACTGGCATCAGCATAGTTAGAAAACATTCCGATTTAATGTCAATTCAATTTAAAACTACTACTTCCTTACCTTAGCTGCAGTCAGCTGGTGTCCCAGTAGGACGTATGTGATGAAGGTGAGTATGGAGATGACCACAGGCAGACCAGCCCAGGTGTAGACACACAAGGCATCCAAGTACTTGAGGGCTTTGAGGTGGGACAGCTCTAGCTTACGACAGTCTGCAACTTTCTGAGTGAAATGAGGCTCCCAGTTATAGAACTTGATGACGCGAATACCAAAAAGGATTTCTGTCATTAACTGGGAGAGAAAGTAGAAAGAAAGAAAAAACGTCACAATCAAGACCACTTTATATACAACTACAGCACGATTGAGGACTGAGTGATTTATTAGATGCAGTCACTTTGTTAAAAATAAATGTGACAGCACACATGAATATGGGCTAAACTGGACTTCTGAGGTTGATATCAGAATTGGACTTTATGGACATTATTCACCTTTTCCATTGTGTAAGTGCAAATCTTAATTAGCCTTGTGATTGTCTGTTATATCTTAACCTCTTCCTTCTCTAAGTTGTTTTTCATTTCTTCTGATCTACTAAAATAATTTCTTCGTTATTATAATAACATTAACGTCATCACCACTGTCATGTCTACAACTTCTTTTTAATCACTACCATAGAATCGTAGCAGTTCTTACCTTAACACGGCTGTCTTTGTGCCTGAGCATATGTTGGTTGTTGCTAAGTATACGTGAAGCAAGGAACTTGTTGAAAGGCACCAGCAGCAGCGCCACACAAAGCCCACCGAGGAAAGCAACACCCACCTGCAGGTACAGCAGGTAGAGGGTGATGCTAAAGCAGAAGGGCAAGCTCCATAACTGATGGAAGCTGTTGAAGAAGTTAACCACGCGGTCTGTGTCTGTGCTCATTAAGTTTACCACCTCGCCCAGAGTGAAACCAGCCAGGCTGCTGCCACTGACCCGCAGGGCTTTAGCATAGATGGCCGACACGAGAGCAGTGCGTGCAGACAGCGCCACTTTGGACACCTCGAAGACGAACACATTTCTGAGGACAGATGAGAGAAGAGTGGCAGCAAAGAGCCCCAGAGCACACCGGACACCCCAGCTTACTGGAGCTCCCTCCTCCTCCATGAAGTTCACCAGACTGCTGAGGAGAAGCGGTCCTGCAAAGCTCAGCATGTTCACCGTCACCTTCAGCACACCAAGCATATAGTACCGCAAAGCAAATGCCTTATGCAGCACCCTGAAAAGTCCTACATTCCCCTCCAGCTCCAGAGGTTCCTCCTGGTAGTGAGAACTCCAAGTGCCACTCAGGAGGTTCCTGCTGACCGGCCGGGGCCACTGATCCTGCCCATCAATGACTGTTTCCCCTCGTCTGCAGGCTTCCCAGCACTGATGGAAGTATCGACATACCACACTAGTCCTAAGTTTTCTTGGGAGGTGATAAACATCGGCCGGTCTGTCTAGCTCCCCTTGTTGCCCTCGTCTGAGCAGAGGAGTCAGCCAGAGGTAGAATAGCCGTGAGAAGCAGCTGCTACCATCCTCAGCCACCATCTCACCGGTATCCAGCTGAGTGCTGTCTGTGATGAGCGGAGATCCATCCTCAGTGTTGATGTATAAAGTATATCCAGCGTCACTGATGCAGGGGAACACAAAGGCCAGAAGATAAACCAGAAGGGGAAGCGTCCGGGCTAAGACTAGCACGAAACGCGTAAATTTAAGAGGTTCTTTGAGGTTCAAATATTCCTGATTGTCACAATAAATTATCAGAGTGAACACCAGGTTTGGTATAGACAGAAGAACCAAAAGCAGCAGCAGGGTTGGTCCTCTGGTTCTCTTGTAAGCGGTCCTCTGGAGCACTGCGATGGCACTGAAGTGGACCAGCCAGGCCACGATTGCACAACTGTCAGCCAGGATGTCCAGATACATATCAGCCTGCTGAAGGAGACTCACAAGGACGACGTCTGCAGTGAAGAGCAACGCGGCCAACATGGCGGTTACAAGCCTGAGCGTCCAACCACAGGGAAGAGACGACTGCAGGAGGTCACATCTGTAAAACAGAAAAAATGATGACACCAGAGCTGCGTTGATATTTCTGATTCAGGATAAAACATATTTAAGGTAAGATAAGATAATACTTTATTGATCCCCAGAGGACAATTTGGGCGTTGCAGCAGCAAGGCAGAGAAGTAGGTAATACAATATGAAAATCATTTTTACAAATTACAAATTATTTTTTTAAATTGCCAATATGTCAAGAAGATAAAGCAAATGTTTTTGGACTAATGGTTATTTTATTGATGTTGTGTGTAGCTACATTTCCTTCTGCAAAGACACTGTTATTCCTACCAAATTGATCAAGTCATTCCCCTCAGCAGCTCTCAGAGGTCTGTTTCTTAAAAGAAGAAATACTTTTAATAATGGCAACACCACTGAGGTTATAGAAATTAGAAAGGAAATCAGGAAATTAAGAAAGCTAAATTACAGTATAAAGACAAAATCAAAGCAGAGCTAGGAAGTCATAATCTCAGGGAGGCCTGGTGTGGTATGAAACACATGACAGGCACTCGTGAAAAAGGCATTAAGATGATTGGTCTTTCTGGGTTTAGTTCTGACAAGCAACTTGGCTTGACCAAATGGCTTTTATGCCAGATTTGATGTTCATGATTTTTCAGAAAATCTACATGTATTAAGGAAAGCACCAGAGCTCTGTCTATTGATATTAAAAGTGTGAACAACACTTTAGACAAACAAAGTCTAGAAAGTCTCCTGGGCCTGACAACATATGTGGTAATGTGCTTAAAATATGTGCTTAGCAGCTGAGTTACATCTTCCGCTTTATTTTTTACTTTGTCTATCCAACAACAGAAGGTTCCCAGGATATGGAAACACCCTATTATTGTCCCTCTTGCTAAGACTCAAACCCCTGCATCAGTTAATGATTTTAGACCGGTACCCTGGACATCACTAGTGATGAAGTCTTTGGAAAAGCTCATCAGAAATGAGGTTTTATCACAGGTGGAAACATTTATTGACCCCCTGCAGTTTGCATATAGGTCTGGCAGGGGGGTGGAAGACGCTGTTGTCTCTCTGTTAAATCTTTTGTATCGTCACCTTGATGGGATCAAAGCTCATGCTAGGCTTTTATTTATAGATTTCTCTTCTGTTTGTAATAACATACAGCCTCATCTTTTAGCAGAAAAACTCATTCACAATTTTAAGTTGGATCTTAATCTTGTAGGCTGGGTACTTTTTAACTGAGAGGTCTCAATGTGTGAGAGTAAACGGCTCTTTTTCCAATCAGCTGTACTCCTCCATTGGTTCTCCTCAAGGATGTTGTCTCGCCCCGTTATTATTTATCTTGTACACAAATGACTGCTGTAGCAATCACATTAGGAGGCATGTATTTAAATGTGTGGATGACACAGTCATTTTAAGTCTTCTTGAAGGGGAGGAGCATCACCATGGGCCTGTGGTTGATGAATTCACATCCTGGTGTGATGAGTCTTTCCTTCAGCTAAACGTACTGAAAACAAAGGACAGGATTATTGATTTTAAGAAGACTCAATCTAGTCCTGTGCCAACCATATTAAAGGGTGCTGGTATAGAGATAGTGAACAGCTACAAATATCCGGGCACTGTGCTGGACAACAAACTGTTCTTTGAGCAACATGCTGTTGTTACCACAAAGAAGGTCCACGATGGCACAACTGTCATCTAAAGAACTTTTTGTAAAAGATTTATTGAATCGGTTTTAATGTTTTGTATTATTGCCTGGTATGGTAATCTGGCTCTAGCCAATAAAAACAGACTTGGTCGCCTGGTTAAAGTGGCGAGCAAGATTACAGGGAGGAGTCAAGTCCAGCTGAGCGACCTCTACAGCAGACAGGTTTTCAGAAAGACAACTTCTCTCCTGCAGAGCCCAGATCACCCTCTCTTTGCAGAGTTTGGTCTTCTCCCCTCAGGCAGACGGTACAGACTGCATCGGGTCTCATTTGCTATTTGTCTGTTAAATAGCAGTTGAATTCTAATTCCTTGCTCATTGCACTTTATCATTTTTATCATTTTTATCATTTTTATCATTTTTATCATTTTTATCATTTTATCGTGATGCTGGAGCATCTCTGCTGGGCTTCATGTTTCATGTTGTATGTACTTATGCACTCGATGTTTGGATGATTTATTAGTGTTGTTTATGTATTTGTATGCCTCCAGCTGCAAACAAATTTCCCTGTGGGGACAATAAAGATACCTTTGACCCTTTGATTTTCCTTCAAAATAAAGCATTGTTCAGAGAACTCTTAAAGACCCTTGAGTAAAAAACAGATTCAGATCAAAAATCTGCCAAAACAAGCTGAAACATTGTTTGTTTGAAGGACTATGTAACTTTACCTCTTAGATGAAAATTATGAAGGCCATCACAAAGCAATATAAGAAACCTCCATAAAGGACTCCAGATGTGTTAATAATTAATAACCAGCAGTAAATGGCTCTGTGGTGTGAGTGAACTTATTATCTAAAATGTCATCATCTGAACACCAAAAATTTAATTTCTCTATTCAATCAACGAGTAATACATCAATATAGTCTCTGACTCCAAAACACATAAGAAGCATTGAAAAAGACTATGCAGCATTAAAGAGCACAAACGTCTTTCAACTATAATGACCTGTTTATGTAAATGCAACACAAAAATCACTGGTCAATTAATTTGTTAAAATGATTTGATTTATTACATCTATATTAATTAGGTTGTAATTTGCAGTGGTTATGATATGGACTACACTTTCTTAAGAAATGTATTATATTTCATACATTGTATTATATTATTGGGGCGGCAGTAGCTCCGTCTGTAGGGACTTGGGTTGGGCACCGAAGGGTCACACGGACCAAGTCCACTTCCTGAGCACTGCAGAGGTCCCCTTGAGCAAAACTGCTTTGGAGCGCTGGCTGTGGGCAGGCCCCAAACTCTGAGACCTCTCCATTAATTTATTTTTTATTTTTTTTAAGAACAAATCCCTTAGTTACTGTGTAATTTTACATTATTGTATTTTTATTGTATTTTTTTATTTAACTGATGTAAATATGTTTGATTTGATTTTAACTTCTATTTTTATTTTTAATAATTATATTCCTGTCCCCTGTTTTCTGGAGCTGCTGTAATGCACAAATTTCCCCCACGAGGGATCAATAAAGTTTATCTTTATCTTTATCTTTATTAATGCATGTCCATAGGATCCTGTTTGTTCATTTGTGTGTATTTCAGCCTGTGTGTGTGTTCATGTTCAGTAAACAGAGTGTAAAACCGCATTTCCCTTTGCCGGATTGCCTGGAGAGGCAGAATATTATAGAGACACTTTTCATGAACCACCCACTACGAGCTCAGCAAATAATATAAATTATATTAATAGAAACTGTCTTTGTTTTGTAGAACCATGACTGTTGCAGTGAAATACTGTTGCATTTAATCACATCAGGCTTTAGAGGGGGGGACCTACTTCAGAATGTCTTTTCAGTGTGAATCATTTCCTTTACATAATGAGCTTATAAAGATCTTCAAGAACTGAATGTGTTTGTTTCGAGTTCTTAAAAATGCTGTAGCTGCATTATTTTAGTCTCTAAATTTACAGCATCACAGAATAATGATGAAATATTCTGATGTATAAAATAACAGTTGTGACCGACCTTGCCATGCCGAGGTAGCAGGCACTGAACACAGCCATCCCTGCATGAGGCAGAGCTCCGAGGACGAGTTGGTTAAAACAAGAGCTGATGTGTCCATTGTGCCACAAGGGGAAAGGATCCTGCTCCTCTGTTTGACAGATACCAGAGAGAAGCTCTGACGGCCTGAAGGCACTCATCTTTACTCCTATTTCACTGCCATCATTCTATAAAATATCTGTAGAGCAGATAAAAAACACAAACTGTAAGTCTTTAAAGAGCCATGACTGAGAGATAACATCTTAAGACAATATAATAGTAGGTTATATTTAATTACACAGGTTTTCACTTACATTCGTTGGCTATTTTATATCATCACACTCCTCCTTGAACCACGTTTTGTAGCAGCAGAAAGAGACCATTTAAAACGACATAAGCGTGGAGAGCTCAGGGCTTCCTGACTGGAAGTTATGTATGTAAACAAATGAGGCTAGCTCATCAGCTTAGCAAACAAAATGTCAACCCGTTCGGTTTGTTGAATGGCACTGGCATGCTAAAACAAATATTATATTTATAAACACTAACGAGACAATAAAAAAAACTATGAAACATAACTCAACGACGCCGTTATTGCCGTATAATTCACACGAGTAGCCTTTAAATATTACCGGCTTCCACTAGCTAGCATGAAATACTTGCGTCGCGTATTGATGACGCACATCACAAACTCTTCAAAATAAATGCATAATTTTACTAGAGATATTATCTTAAATCTGACAAGAAATAGAGTACTTTACAAAACAGATACACTATTAAACTACCTATTACAATATATATATTTTTAATCAAAAGTACTATTTTATATAATTTTCACTACCTGAAAAGTACATTTTATTTTCACTTATACAAATAAAGTGTACAGTTTAAATTGATTGAGTGATTGGTGCTCATACATTTTGGTTATTGTTAATACTCTTACTCTGTATACAGAGTTCATAAATTGATATATGCAGTATCAATAATATATTGATAGATTTTGATGGGCAGTTTATGCTTTTCTTCATTGAAATATGTTACATGTTACATTTATAAATTATCCCTGCACTCATGTTCACTTCATTTGTCTGTCTACTCGCCGTTATATTGTATAGTTTATGATTATAATATGTCTACACTCATGCACTTTAACTTATGTCAATACTGTCCATTTACAACTCTGTTTTTGCACATTTACATTGAATCTTCCATATTTAATCTTTCCTATTTAAGACTAGTTAAATCCTGGTTCTATATATTCACATTCTTAGTTTTGATATTTTTAGTACTTATTTACTTTGTATTTAATATTATATGATGTTTAGATTTGCTAACATTGTGTTTGGACAACCTGCTGCTGTAACGCCACAATTTACCAGTTTGGGATCAATAAAGTAATTCTATTCTATTGTAAACATGGATTAAAACTTCAGTTCTTTTTGGCTTTCCACTATTCATTTAGTTGTTTTGTCAGACATGCAATTCCTTTCAATATCTACTGTAATCGATAGTTTGATAATAATTTTAACTTGAGGGGAAATTACTTACATAATTCAAGGACTCCACAGTCTGATATATTAGTTTTAATATGCTAAATTATGGAACTGCTAATTCACTTTAGTCACGTAAGTGTTTTGTGTGCACGATACACTATAAGATTCATGTAGGAACAAATAAAGCAGGAAAAGTAAAAAAAAACAGAGTTCTTTATTGAGTGGTGACTGTATAAAAGGAGCAAATTTTATGTTAAGCACCTTTAAACAAGTTATATTACAAATTGCTGGTTCACTGGTCTATGCGCATTAAAAATGGTTGCAGAACCCTTTTAATGACATCTAGGCTTGGGAAAGGTGACGCATTTAACTCACTCAAACCAAGCAAAAAATGAAATTGGAAAATTTGGTTATATTAAATTACAATCAAGATCAGAATTACAAATTTTGGAAACTGGAATCAGTGCACATTTCATTGGTATGTAACATAAGTTAAAAGAAATAATAACAAAACAAATGTTGCCAGGAGTTAGAAAATAAAAACCTTTAATACTTGGTGCATCTGTCTGAGTCATCTTTAATTCAATAGAAAGAAAGATCTAGAAGTCTTACACAAAGCAGGAATGAAGCTATACAATGTCACATTATATTTTATTCCTTACACACTGTACAAAATCCATTTCCTTCATGGCTGGCCACGCCAACCACAACTATAGGCAGCTTAACTTTTGTTCACAAATATTCTACATTGACCGTGTCTTCCAGACACACGCTGTATTTACAGATTTAAACATGAATGACGAACATAAATATGGGCAGGTTCTGTCCATCAATCCCAATGGCATTACATGTCCTCAGACACATTCTTGAATAATAATACACCAAATATTGGCCACCTAAGATTATTTGTCTCCCCTGTGTAACACTTTCACCTTCAAAGTACTTCCAAATCAAATGTGGACTTGCACTTATTGGTTGAATTTCTCAGTTGTGAAGAGAAAAAAAAAAAGCCCTTAGGCAAGGTGGAACCATCCGCCAAATGTGTTTATCACTGTATCAAAACTTCCCCAGTGAAAACACAACACAGCTACCTGCTAGCTACCTGCTGTTTGATGGCACCAAAAAAGCTTATTTGTAAATGAGTTGGTGTATTTCTTTAAATGAAACGAAATCCAAGACAAAGACAGTTTTTTAAAGACTTGGAAAAGTTCAGGAAATCCAAATTGTAGAAAAACAATATAATCAACTAATTGTATTCTGTTAAGCAAAGGATATTTACGTTACTTGAATACTGTACAGTAGGCCCAATGCTTGCCTGAATGTATATTAAAAATTTCAAGTTTTAAATCAAAATTAAAGCTATCACATAGCCGGAATAATAATGTACAAAGAAACTGACCAAAGGCCTGAGAAAGATGTGGGGTTTTTTTTCATTTTGGGATGTGATTGTCAGGCAGGCCATTGAAAATCTGATCATATGTACAGCAATGCAAAGGCTACAAATTTTCAATCAAAATCATACCCTTAGCAAAAGCAGAATGACAGAGTTACCCAGGAAATAAGTGGGTCATATTTCTAAGTACAGAAAGTGTAAGTAGGGCTGGGTACTAATTGGTACAGTTACCAATTTATTCCTTTTTTGACACCTCATTTTGAAAAGTATAAAAATCTTTTTGGAAAATAGTCTTATCATAAAAAGTCAAACCTTTAAATTGAAAAAGAAAAAAGACTTTTGGTTAACTGAAGAGAGAGTTTTTAAGTTAGATTAAAACATGCGCAGTAATTCAAGAATTTAACTTGAAACAAATGCTGAAAACCACAAAACTTCAAAATCTAGAGCATTGTGATAAAAGAACAATTAAACAGTGAAGTGAATCTGGTCAAAAATCGAATGCCAACTTTAAGTACTTGACAGTTTCAACAAATAGTGCTGAGGACACAATTAAGTACCACTCAGTATCATAACCATACACAGACCTTAGAAGCGTACCTGTTGTGGCAACTAAGATGGATAACCAGCTACTGTGTGTAACAACCTGGTTGAAAGTTGTGACTGGGTTCATTATCACTAATTTTTCACTTGATTAAACTCTTAGCACCTATAGACCATATTGAGCCCAATCTTCAGACTATTAGAACGTTTTGGACTTGGGGGCGCAAGGCTTTGTCTTCCCTGAGGTTGTCAAATTTTGATTTGCACATGTTAACCAAAATCATGAAAACACACCAACTGGATAGATATGAACAGGTATTTATGAACACACATTCTGTTGGGATGTTAAAATAATGTCAAGCTTATATTAGAAAAAAGACAATTATTAAGGTAAAGAATCTAATGAATGTATCACTTTTCATCATGTGGGTCCTGGGGGGACTAAGATTTTCTGGGATACAAGGGGGTGGCTCCAAGGAAAAATGGTTGGGAACCACTGTTGTACATTGTTAAGCAAGATGACAGGAATCAAATTCTTAATGTGTACAGGTATATTAAGAGAAAAACTGTTTCTCAGTTTGACAATTTAATGTGTCTTTTTATGGTGTATATTAAAATTATGAGCAAACTATCCCATGCGGTTTTATTTTCACAGGGTCCTAACTTTAAGAATCTGCCATCATTGATAACAGAAATGTTTGTAAAATCCATATTTTACCTTTTTAATTATTATTTTAAAGTATTGAAAGTTACAAAAAGAGTGTTTCCTTAGAGCTTATAACATTTTTGAAGAAATTGAATAAGGTATTACAAAACATCTTTCAACTGAGATGCAACTTTGTATTTAGAGGTGACACCCTGTAACGGCTTGACCATAAAAATCTGCTTCACAGAAAACTAGAGAAGAGAATTTGATGGAGTCGAAAGTTGGGTTTTTAAAGTTCAGTCCTGGGTCCGCTATAATTTTAAAATTACATGCTTGCAATGTATGCTTCTGATTACTGATCATCACAAAAATACTATCTCAATTACAAAATGGGTTAGGGTCTGGTGTTCCACAGGGATCAGTCCTGGATCCTCTTTATTTTCAATTTAACATGTCTGCTTAAGTATTTTATAAACCATTAAATGGTCGATTTAGGCTTCTTTGAAATCCTCAGTAATGGCCTTACAGAAGGTTCTTAATATTGAAAAAAAAAGTCTTATTAGTGCAGTCTGTGCTCTTAACTGCAATTAACCAACTTAAGACCTTAACTTTAACCCGAGTAAGGTTTAAAAATTGTACCCTTGATTTGGTGTCTATCAAATGTTTTTCTTCTCTCCATTAAAGGAAGTCCTATTTCAAAGAAAACTCCAATTGAAATGTGTACATTCTTTCATCTTTTTGCATTTAGCTTGGTGGTGTTAACTTCCAGGCTGGAATCAGTGTGTTCTCAAAGATTTAATTGTACCTATCACATTTCAGCCACTTGAGTAGAAGTTGATTTAAAATTTAAATGACAACTTCTAAGGCACAGGGTTTTCAGTTTCTGAACTGAACATTAAACCTCTTTCATGCCCGAGCCCAGCCTGAAGTGCTGCTGTTTTGATTTGAGGTCTTGGCTGCCAAGTGGCTGCATTTCAAATCTTGGGTCGATCCGCTGGAGGAGCTCAGACCAGCTTTATCAGTACCCTTAGAGTAATCGAGCAAGGGATAAAATGACAATATAATTTTTTACATTCTCTGTCTCTCTGCTGCAAGACTTATAGCCTGCTGCTATTAACTGTGATTCTCATTAAGTCTGTTTCCTTTGTTTTGGTAAAGATTTTCTACATGCCTACTACATAAATCAATGTGTAACAACTGTATTCAAAATACGTATTAGTTTATTCATTATATTTAGTATAATAGTATGCATATACGCACTTTAAAAATAGCTGGTGTAAACCTCTAAAGGATTTTTGAAAGTATTGTATGGTGTGTTTTTATGTAATGTAAACAAATTCTTGGGGGAAGTCAAACTTTGAGCTAGCAGTGATTTCTTAAAACAGATTTCTTTTAAATAGAAGTTTAAATACAAAACTTGGCGATAATTTTTCTCTTTTTTTTGGTGAGCCAATTTGTTAGAGCTCCCAATGTTCACAACAAACAAATAAAAAACCAAGCAGCATTTGGGGAAAGAAACAAACAAAAAAATAATACTTTTGACTGACTGGAGTCCTGCGGTCCCGTTGTTGATAGTTGGATAAATGTGTCACTGTTCCTTCAGAGAATAAATAAGCAAGCAGAGCTGAGCCTCCAGTCAGAAGCCTGGTCATCTTGTCATCTGACTGGTTCAGTTGGAGCTGATTCTGGTTACCGCTCATACCAGAGGGTAATAAACAACAGGATAAACTATTATTTATTAATTTACTGAAGGATTTTTAAGTCCACCAGAGAGGATATTTTTGTACACGACGCTACACAGTGTCCTAGTGGAGTGAGAGGGAATATAAGGGACTTTTTTTGAGAGTTATTTCCCATAATGGGATCACAGACACTCCCTTGTTATCATCTCCTCTGTCTATACTTCCTCTTATTCAGTCTTCAGTTTTAGAGAGTTTGTCTGAGTATACACTCCATAAACAGGCAGCTCACAGGTTTTTTGTGTTTATGTGAGTCTTGTAATGCTTCGTCAGGTGGTCACTCCTCATGAAGCGTTTTTGACACTGGCTGCATTCAAAGCGCTTGTCTCCTGTTGGGCAAACAAAAAGAAGTGAGTAGTTAATGTGATTAAAGTATTATACAAAAGAGGTGGACTCTTTCAAAGAAGACTGGTACAACAAAAAAGTTATTTTTCTGGCAAAAAAAGTAAAAACTCATTTTTAAGTTTTAAGGTTTTTTTTTTACTAAACAAAATCCCTTGTGCTTTGCAAACCAAAGAGAAACATTTAAAAGAAGAAAACTATAATTATACACAGCCAAACATAAACCTGTCAGTGATCTCTGGTGGTGAAGAGCTGTGCACTAATGCCACTGTTTTTAAACAATATATCTTTTTGTGTTTATATACATACCTGTGTGTGTCCTGGCATGCCGCTGCAGCTCGTCACTGCGTGTGAAACGTTTCCCACAGAAAACCCAGTTGCAGACGAAGGGTCTTTCACCGGTGTGTAGCCGGACATGAGCTCTGAGCAGCGATGTTTTCCTAAACGTTTTCTCACAGCCAGGAACGTGGCAGATGTGCTTCCTCTTCCCAATCTCTCCTGGCCTGCAGAGAGTACACAAACACAAATGAATTCAGTGAGATAACTTCATAAATAAAACCAGTCCCATTCAGGTCAGTTAAAATGCTGCCTTAAAATAATCAACCTCAACACATCATTTATAATTACAAATTTTTCATGAGTTACTCCTGTTTTGTCTGTGATTCTTGTGACATTATCTTGATAATTACTTTTACAGAATCAATGTTATCATAGCAACAACCCAAGGTTTCTATGAGCACATTCACAATAAAAGGGCGGTGTTAGCTTTGTATAACCTATCACAACCATGAACAAGTCGGCTGTTTGCAGATCATTATATTTACAAACTTGATCAACACAACTGCAGTGACAAATGCAGGGAGAACTGGCAGAATAAAACAAATGAATGACAAATTACAGGCCCAACAGTACTTGGGGTGGAATGGGCCTTATAAAAATGAATATGATAACATAATTGTAAGTGGTAAGTACACTTAAATTAAATTCTTTTAGTACCAAAAGTAAAACCCATCCATCCATCCATTATCTTCCACTTATCCGGGGCCGGGTCGAGGTGGCAGCAGGCGAAGCAAGTCGCCCCCGACGTCCCTCTCACGAGCAACGTTTTCAGGCTCGTCTTAAGGGACCCCAAGGCGTTCCCAGGCCAGAAGGGATATATAATCCATCCAGCAACCTCTGGGTCTCCTCTCAGTTGGACGTGCCCAGAAGACCTCCTGAGGGATCGACCATGAGGCATCCTTATCAGATGCCCAAACCCCCTTAGCTGGTTCCTTTCGATTCGAAGGAGCACAACTCCACTCCGAGCTCCTCACCCTATCTCTAAGGCTGAGCCCAGCCTTCTTCCGGAGGAAATTAATTTTGGCCGCTTGTATCCGCAATCTCGTTCTTTCGGTCACTTCCCACAGCTCATGACCAGAGGTGATGGTTTGAACTTGGATCGACTGGTAAATCGAGTGCTTTGCCTTCTGGCTCAGCTCTGTCTTCACCACAACGGTCCGACACAGCGTCCGCTCCACAGTAGCAATCCATTTTACCCTCACTCGTGAACAAGGTCTCGAGAAACTTGAACTCCTTCACTTGAGGCAGGGACTCACTCCCCACCTGAAGAAAGCAGTCCACCATTTTTCGGCAGAGAACCATGGCCTCGGACTTGGAGGTGGTGACCGGCATCCCGAAAGCTGCACCCTTAGTTGCAAACCGCCCCAATGTCTGCTGGAGGTCCCAGTCTGAAGAAGCCAACAACATCATCTGCAAAGAGCAGAGATGAAACTCTGAGGTCCCCAAACTGGAAACCCTCCTCCCCTCGGCTAAGCCTTGACATATTGTCCATGAAAATCCCAAACACAATCAGAGACAAGAGACAGCCCTGGTGGAGGCAAAAACGCACAGGGAACGTGTCCGCCTCTGTGCCGAGAATGCGGACACAGCTTTCACTTTGGTCATACAGGGACACAATGGCTCGCAGCAATGGCCCCAGGACCCCATACGCCAGCAGTAACCCCTACCGTAACCCCTACCATGACCCCCGAGGGACACGATCATAGGTATTCTCCAGGCCTAGAAAACATGTAGACTGGATGAGCACGCTTACTGTATACCCACCGTGAGTAAATGTAACACATGCATGTATTTGTTTGACACAATTACCTCTTGTCTGCATCTTTACAGTTGGGACAGGTGCAAGCCATCCGCCGTTTTTTCTCTCCTGGCTGGCTAGGCAGCTCCAAGGTGAGGGTCTGGTCTACCTGGATGGCCTGCTGGCCCTGCGTTGTTGCCAGCTGGAGTCCTCCGCCCTGCATTGTCTGCACAGTGAGGTGCTGCTGGCCTGACAAATACAGAGAAACTCAGTCTTAAAGACATAGCAGGGCTCCAGTCAGAGCAGCACAGTTCCTCTAAAATCTGCCAACTGCCAGTCAAAGTGGGCAGACTCTCAAATTAAAGATAAATGAATACATTAACTAAGTTAACAAAATGGCAACTTAGTTTTTACTGAATTTCTGGGATTTTTTTTCACAATTATAAATTACAAACTCAAGCTAAATCTGGTTATATTCCTGATGTTCTTCTTTAGCACATTTTCAACAAATTGAATAGCTATTAATTATAGATGTATTAATTCAGCATTTTAACATTGAAACAGTTGTGTTTTTACCAATCATCTATACTGAAGCATATTTGTAGTTATTTCTCAACCCCCCACCCCCCCATGTTTCTGTACAAACAGATTTTTAATTCATTCACCGCTGCAAACCGTTTTGATTCCACCGTCAGTTGTTTCACTTGGTCACTTTTAATTATTTTCTATTGCCTTTCATGTCACTGCCTTTTCACTTTACAGAATAAAAAAGATTAAAAAGAATAAAAGAGCAGAGGGTAAAGAGATGAGAAATATTTTCAAATGGCAGAAAAAGGTCTCAGTAACATCTGTAAGTATTAAGTAGAAAATAGCATAGCATAGCTTAACATAGTGTTTCAGTTTTTGCAGGATAGTTGCTTTGAAAGTAAGCATAGAAGTTAAAATGTTGTTGTTTTTTTCTGCCATCACACTCACCCCCTGCGTTTGTGATGGTTACAGGAACCCCCTGAACTTGGACCCCGTTGATGCTAATCGTCTGCACCGCCTGAGCTGCTGAGGATAGCGGGGATGCATTGAGCGATATCATCCCCCCCGCTGGTGCAATTTTTGCCAAAGTCCGTTCCTTCCGTCCCCCTGCCAGTGTCCTCTTGGCGGTAGTTGGTGGAGAGATGGTGGTGTTGGTGGGAGTGACCGGAGTGGTGGGTGACGTTGTTGTGGAGATGGAGTCCTGGAGCTGAACAGACTGCCACTCACCCGACGCTGTTTTGAAGAGGAACTGAAGGAAGAAAATGAAAAAATGATTACCCTGCATCCCCTTCAGGTCTAACTTCACTGTTATGCACACACATGTAATTAGGGTGGGCATCGTTAAGATTTTACCGACACCAGTACTGTTGATCGATACCGATACTTATCGATACTACTCTTTATTGTTTGGTGCAAAAACTAAACGTATGACATGAAAGATGTCTAAATGTAAAATATATAACTGGAGATTTCATCACAATAAGGGGATTACTTATATGTTTATACTCAAGGAAACATTTGTAATATAAAATGACTATATTTGAAGTTAAAGTATGGAAATATATGCTATTTTTAATTACACTTCCCATACAGTTAAAGTAACTTCAGAAACTCTGACTGTAACATACAAGCTCTTATGGTTATACTCTGTTTTTACCATTTAATTGTCATTAATGTGTAATAGTCTACAATGTGTTCTGTCATGCTTCTTGAGGTACTTCAGAGCTTTTCTATCACAGAAACATTATTTAAAAATGTTTAAATAATGTCATCTTCCTGAGACCAAACACATCAGAGTGATGAATATTAACGTGAATTAACTTATATAAAACAGATGAACATAAACAGTTACAATGCAACCCTAAAGTGCTGATGCTGAGCTGGTAGTATGTTAAACATATTCACCATCCTTGTTTTATGGGTAAATGAAAGCAACATATCTGAGAGGAAATATAAATGTTTGTACCCATTTTTTGGCAACACATTAATGTAATTATTGAGAGATTACACACAAACCAAAATTGTCAGCCTACTGGTCAGGCTAGGGAAATATCAAGAAATATCTTAAGTCATTAAGGTTAAAGATCTAAATGGCACTCAGTGCATCAAATGTGAAGTTTATAAAACTGCTAATTTACACACTTTTTGTTTGAATAGATACCTGTGTCGGTGATGGTTCTGTTGGAGTGACCTGCAGGCTTGTGGGGACTGACTGTCTCTGTGGGACCTGTGGCAAGGTGGCAGACGCAGCTTGCACCACCTTCAAGGCCTGCTGGGGTATCTGGACCACCTGAGACTCTGGTTTGGACTGGACCAACTGGACCTGCTGCACCATAGCTGGCTGTCCAGGACTCTGCACAATCAGGAGGTTGTTACCTGCCTGTAGATAGAGAGACAGGGGAGATTACCCTGTGATGTTCAGGTATGGGGCTTTAACCCTAATGCTTACATCTTCAGTGGTAGCATCGTACAGAGAGGGTAGAAATTTAAAGTTTGGTTTTGGAAACTATTTTCTCATCATATCTACAGAATTAATTCATATTAACTTGTTTTAGGTAGATCAGTAAGTTTCCTTTTTAAAAGACACTCAAACAACCAAATGCTGTAATCAGCTCAGGCCCAGGTAACTGCATCTTGCTGTTTATCCAGTCACCATTCTTTTTATCTCTAGGGGATTTCCTTAGGAAATAATACAGCTTTTAAGCTTTGAAATTCTTCTTCTTAAATTATTTAGCATTGATGGTAATGTCACTATTCGACAAATGCACCTAGGATTTGAAAAATCTCCTGACAGATACTGAATACTTTCCTATGGTCAAGAATGACTACTGTATTAAAATAACCATAGTTCAGTGAATTACTGTATCTGCTATAAAATCAGTCAGGAGTCACCACAACAAAAATGTAAAGAAGGTTCAAAGCAGCACTTGGTGCTTGTGGTGATGTATAGGCCAGTATGAGATAGAAAACTGAGCTTTGTGTCTCTTTTAATTCTTTTGTATCATTAAGACTTACCTGTATGATGTTGTCTCCAGCTTCTATCAGGATGGTCTCCATCTGCTCGGGGGGAGGGGAGGCAGCCTGTGCAGGGGGGAGAGGAGGAGGCTGAGCAGCTAGAATCACTTTCTTCTTTCTCCCTCTTCGCCCTTTTCCTGGAATCGGTAGAGCAGCTGCTGTCTCTGTGATGATTTGAGTCCCTCCCATCTCACCTGTCGCTACATTAAGTGGCAGCGTGAGCCCGCTCGGCAGCTGAACCATGTTTGTCGTAGAGTTGTTTGGCTTGCGCAGCTTGGGGGAGGGCTTGATGGCTACAGTCTTCTGTGGGGTGACGGGAGCGGTGGCAGCATTGGGAGCTTGAACAGTCATTGGGGTTGTTATGATGGCCTGGTTGGTGCCCGGTATGAGCTGGATTTGTCCTCCCTGTTGCATCACCTGGATAGTCTGGGCACCCTGGATCTGTGGCACCATCTGGTACTGGATGTTAGCGGAGGAGGTGGTGTTGTTGCGGGCCGGGCTCTGCTGGATAGTGAGTACGATGGGACTACCAGAGGCCTGGGAGCCCAGGCCGGCAGGTAACTGGATCACATTGCCCTTCGCTGACAGGAACCCCAGGTTTTTGGGTGGAGCAGGGGCGATTGGAGCTGGCTTTATGGGGAGGAGCCTGCGAGGCTGTGGCTGCGGTGGAGGAGAAGTGACAGGAGCCTGAGCAGCAGGAGGGCCTATTTTACTACAGGTGGCAGCCAGGAGGGCCAGAGGAGAGGGCTGGGTGTCCTGTAGGGGGGCACAGTCAAACCAAACTTAGTTACAAAGAACCATCTGCATTCGAACCAAGTTGAGCAGACAAAGTCCAGCACCAAGAGGGAGATAAGACAGAGGAACAAAAGACGTTCATTACTACTGAGGACTGATTTATGTTGAATCTATCTGCACAATTTCAGTACCTGAAACCGGGCTGCCGGCATCAACTAATTTATCGCAATTAAGAATTGTTAGGCTCTTAATTTGACTTTGTACTGTTTTAAACTGAGAGTACTTTGCTTGCTGTGTGAACTCAACCCTGATTTTACTTTGAAGTAAAGTAAGTGGTAGTTTAGAAGGGTTGCAACATTCATTTAACCATGGAAAAAAGAACTGTTTACAGTTCAAAAACTTAATTAAACCAGTTAAATGAAATGGTAAAAAAGTTAAATGCGCTAGCTGAGTTTTTTTTAAAGTGAAATGAGACATTCAAAAATGTCGTTCTTTTCCATCACTGTGACTACAGGGAGACACTGCAGAGGCTTAAACACTGTGTGCCTAAAGGAACAAAAATACACGCCGTTAATCGCAGCAAAAAAAAATATGCATACATTTTTTTATTTTTTTAACTTGTTAATGCGGCTAACGGCCCTATTATAAGTCATTATTTGTAAATTTACGTTTATTAAAATATTCTGAAAAGCATAAACTTTGTTTTGTTTAAAAATAATGATGATTTTCAGAAGAGGGTATCATTATTTATTCTAGATAAATAACAATGTTGAAACTGAGACGTTTGGGTTTTATATTTACAATAGAAATTACATTTCTGTTATAACAGAGAAAGTATTAGAAAGGGTACCATTGGTTACCAGTACCCAACTCTGTACAAATACTGGCTCAAAAGGGAATCATGCCCAACCCCAGTGAATGGACCCATGACTGTATGGGAAAACTGCACTTAGATGCTCAAATATTCTATCTCAGTTATTGTAATAAAATGTTTAACTGAGTAAATTTGTGATCATGCTGCTTAACTTTACAATGTGAAATTCCTGCATAAAATGTTTTCACTAATACAAGTTAATTCATTCAAAGCTTCCACTTCACTCACTCAGTGCCATCCAAATTGAGTCTACACTGTGCAGTGACATGAAAGCAGTGTGGGTCAACAGAGATGATGACGTCAAAAGAAACAGTGCAAAAACAGGAGCACGACATCTGGCTGTTACTCACTTGTGTGGAAGCAGTGGAGGGCTGAAGGTATTCACTGGGACTGACAGCAACAGTGGTGGCCATACTGTCCTGTTGTTCTGAAAACACAGACACAGCAAAGTCACATTCAGGCTGCCTGTGAGATCTATTTTCAGTGTTTAGGCTGTTTGAGGGCATCACAGGCAACTCCTGTAAAAATAGCGTCGGATGTGAAAAAGACAAATTCTGCTGGAATTTAAAAGAAGAATTCATGCTCTTTTCATGCACTTTTTTTCATTTAGATTTGCCAGGATTTATAAAAAATGACGTCCCCATAATTATAAATATTCAAATGTAAAAAAAAAAAACATGAAGTTATCTTATTTTATTTCTAACTGCCTGCTAACAAGTTTGCTAATTATAAGGTGAATATTGGTTGTTGAAGGGTACAATTTCAGGTCATATGCGACCGAGGCTGATCGTTGTTGTCCTCATGAATATTGCATTTGTTTGACTTTTTGTTTTCTTACATTTGTAGGCCAGGACATCTCTACAGCATTCAGTATTCAGTATTTTTAATTCAGTATTTAAAATAAAAAGCAGTGTTTCAAATAATTTCAGTAACAGTATTTATTAGCTCTGTAGATGGACATCAACTTTACAAATAAGTAACAGAGGTCTTTCTTCAGATAACAAGTTTTTCGATCAACTTTGATCCAATGTACCACTAGACAGAACAAACATTTTAAGATATCTTTTGACCGTTACAACTATAATCACAAAAATATTGAAACAAATTGAAAAGATTAAGATGCTCTATAGGTAAGAAATGCACTTTTTGAATGCACACAGCAACATTGTATGAGGGAAAGACAAAATATATTGAGCTCAATGTTTCTGTTAAGACCGTCAGCATAAGTACACTTGATGAAAGCTGCCCAATAGGTTAAGAGCACAGTAAATCTGTGATTAGATATCAGATTAATATCAGGTGATATTAGCATGTCCAGTGACTATCTGTATCGGCTAACTTTAAATCGCAGATATGTGCCAATATTACTAGATGTATTCACCAGTTTAAGTTTTGTAGTACACTAGCAGTTATCTTTCTGGCTGTCCCCAGCAGAATGTGCTGTATGGATTACTACAAGCATTATCACCCTCCAGAGTGTCAAGTGGTGATGCACATACATGCATACTTTCCAGTTGAGTGATCATCTTGGGTTGCTATACTGTATCTATTTCCACAAGTGTTTGATTCTGTATTTGAGGGATTCTGCATTCTGCAATATGTTGAGGCTATTATTGTCAAACAAAATTGCCAAGTAAGGTGCTACTCTCAAGGTTTAGTGACCTATTTCACAGAACTCTAGCTTGTGTAAAAACCACCATTACACGTTTAAAAAATATATACCCAAAATAAATTCCTAGTGCAGGAAACATTGAAAGAATGCAAGTCTGTTTGCTGTTGGCAACCTGAAACGTATGTATTTGAAGTTGTATGGAATAGTCATAGCTTGAAGTTGAAAGTCTGTAACCATTGATGATCTAAATTAGCAGAGTCCCGCAGTCGACTGAACCTCATGACAGGCATAAAGCAAGGTTAATTTGTACCAACAGCACTTCTGAAATGTAAACAGGTTGCAGGAAAAGGACTGGCTATTAAAATATCCACTCTGCTGTAGTATAACTATTACATTGAGTCAAAACTCTTAGTATTTGTTGTTGTATTTAAAAGGAGAGGACCATCTAGAATTAAAAAAAATACCAGTATAAAAATATAAAAATAGAGCAGAACATTATTGATAACAGATGCACATTTTGGTTGAATTTCTACAACTGTTCAAGGCAGATTCAAACTACCATCTTTGTTTGGATTATTAAATATGCACAGCTAGGGAAAAAAACAATCATTTGATGCAATGTGTCATGTGATACCTCATAGATTGCCATGTTTTTATCTTCTGTAAACATATGCTCAGCTCGTGACTGCAGGTAATGGTAATGCATGACAGCACAACCTGAGGCTTCATTGAAACCAAAACTGAATTATTAAAAAAAAAAACAATATAAGTATCTTGTTTTGATTACAACATACAGATGAATTCATACAACTCTGTTCAATATTACTTGTGCAATAACTTCGTAATTCACTGCTTTATAATTGTCTATTTATTTACTCAGTCACTGCACTTTAACTGTCTATTTATTTATTTACTCATTCAGTCACTGCACAATAATAACTGTATATACTTTCACTGCACTATAACGTCACTTATTTGCACTATATCTCTATAATTATATTTGTTTAATTAATCAGTCACTGCACAATAACAACTGTATATATTCTTTCAGTCACCACAACTGTCTATTTATTTATTATTATTATCATTCATTCACTGAACTGCAATTGCTGTGGCCACTTTTTGCATACTTCTCTCTCATATCACCACAAATATATTTTTGTTGTTGTTTTTGTAAACGCTGCTGTTTAAGATTGCTGTTAACAAAGTTTCGTTGTGCTGCCAGTGCTGAACTTTACTTTAACATAAACTACAGGGTCTGTATTCACTGTTTGAGCTTCCTGTCTCAGTAAGTGAAAGTGTTGTAAATCCAGCTGTGGATCATGGTGACTAAACTTCACACTGAGTGAACACAGAAACTTTGACACAGGGGTGATGATCACTCTTGGCTGAGATGTGTGTTTTGTATATTATGCGGTGGATGATGGGACTGATTACAGAGCTGCTGTAGAAACTTTAAACAATCACACTGCCTCAGCTATTTGTCCACCAACTCCAGATATGCGAGGTACACACACAGAAGAGGGAAAAAAAGAAAGAAAAAAAAACAGTGCGGCCTCAAAATAGCGCCGCCATCAACACATACTATGGGTCTGGTTTGGACAGTCAGCTAACCTAGCTAGCTATCAATACAGACTAAACAGAGCTGTGCAGCTAGCAGCTAGTCTAAGCTGATTTGCTACGTGTGTAGCTTAGTTTTTACTAAGCAAAATGGGTCCGTTACTTGCGAAATCTAAAATAAACTCTGTAGGTTATTGTAGATAAAGGTAGTTGGGTGAACCGGGTTAACAAAAAGTAATAAGACCAACTACAACGCGTACAGTGGCATATTTAGCTAGCAGACGCTTAGCTAGCAAGTCAAACTCTCTTTGATACAGAAAAAGGCAGAACCTTTTCCGGAAGTGCTTTGCTTATTTTGGTTAACATAACTGCCCGAGCTCCGCTAACACGCACGTATTTGTACGGCTGAAAGTCAAGTGCTTTTCTGTTCAATGCAAATATACGTTTTACGAAGTAGAATGTAATATAAACACCAATGTTTTAATTCCTACCCACCGCTCATGACGACATTCGCTCTCCGCGACCCTTGAAGACCGAGCCCAGGGAGGAATCCGCCCGCGCTGCTGCACCAATCCACGGACAATGGAACGTTGAGTGACGGCAGTGCTGACCAATCAGCTTCGGCTGTCTATGTGATTGAAATTCAACTGAGCCCATCCTGATGCTACAATTCTGTACGTTAGTCGATGGATGACGTTTTGGCCAATCGGATGTCGAGAATATGACGGACGGGGGCGTTTCCAAGGATACACCTCTAACAAGCTAGTGCCCTATTACGGCAGGAATAAGGTTTCAGTGACGTCCCCAACGACCAATGTGAACATAGAGGGGCAGTTCTGTTTGGACCAGAATGACAGCCGAGTTGATCAATGAGCTTTGAGTCACTGCAGTGTGACCTCTTTAAACTGTGCCATGTTTTATTATAAGGACCAGACCGTTATGTGGGAGAAAACACACAGAATTAGGACACTCTAAACGGATTATAATGTTTGCTGCAATATTCATTATTTGCCTTGTGATGACTTGTAGTTAATTTTCATACATTGACACCTGGCTGAAAAAAATATATTTTTTTTTTTAATTTCTTATTTTTTTTAAATCTATTTTTTAGTATCTATTTTTTTGTACATTTCCTTTTTTTTATTTAAATTGTACTGTGTTCACTTTTTGTTTGCAATCTTTGCTCTTTGCTGCTGTAACAATGTAAATTTCCCTGTTGTTGGATAAATAAAGGATTATCTTATCTTAAATATGTAGTCCTATAACTTGCATGCTGTTGTCTGCTTAGATAAAAAAAAAGGCAATGTTTAAAGCAGGAACTCTTTATACATATTTTAACTTTGTTTGTTTGTCTAACATGGTGGAAAAATATTCAAAAGTAACTGTATCAATCAAACAAAGTAATCACACATTTTTCAGCAAACGTAAAAGTGCTAGTTCAATTCAATTCAAAAAACTTTATTTGTCCCTGGGGGGCAATTCAAAGGCACACAGAGCAGTAAATTAACAACAGTGCAAGTAGACAAAATTAGTTCCATAATGAAAGGACCCAAGAATTTAATGACAGGCACCTACACCTTACTTCAATGCATTAGCTAATTCTATAGCTGGGTTGAGATAACCTGACAATAACAGCTTTTGGTATTTGTAGTCAAATTGTTCCCAACCCTGCAGCCGGGTCCCTGTAAAGGAATATAGGATAAATCTGAGGGGTCATGAGATGCTTAATGTGAGATGAGAGAAGACACATTTTATATCCATTTTTAATGGACAATCGTTGCTTTTTAGATCTTATTGCATAACATTAAATTGAACCCCCTGTGGTCTGGACATTTTCCTAGCTGAAACCCCCAGGAATCTGAATTCACAATCATTTATCGTTTAATCTTAGTCCTTCCATTTTACATTTGGTTTATTAAATGCTAAATTGTGAACTGCTACCATAAGATGTTAAATACATATCATTCAGTACAAATAGAGTATAAATAAGTGTGAAATTTCCCCTAGAAAACACTTTCAAAAACAGTAGAAAATACCTTATTACCACTGCAAATTCATCTGATTTTCAATAACAACTGTTACAATTTGTATCCAGACCCAAAAGCAGACACAGCAGCGAAGTTGAAGGGTTTGAGGTTTTATTGCAGGGTTTGGGAAAGGTGGATGGCTGACTGGCTGGCTGGTAATGACGGCGTGGAGGAGACTATGGAGTAGCTGGTTCTGTAGGCAGGCGGGTGAGTGGTTGAGTTGTCTGTGAGGAGAGCAGACTGGAGGAGATGACACCGGAGAGAATCTGGACAACAGGAGAGAAAAATCAGTTAGGATCCACTAGTAAAACGCTAGGAACAAAACTCTAACAAATGTTAAGAGCAGCCGATAGTATCTACCACTTCAGTAGACTCAATAATCTGGCAATGAGTCGAGTTGAGCCCAGGGCTTTTAACTTGAGGCAGATGAGCAGATGAGCTGCAGGTGTGAGTAGTCACCCAGTGTTGATCGCAGCCACACCCTCCAGAGACACACACACAGACAGACAGACAGAGGGGGAGGGGACACAAAGGATACACAGAAACAGGATCACAGCCAGAGCCGTAACAACAACAGGTTTTTGAAATATTTTGGTCATAACAACAAAACAAGGTTTAAGGTTGAGTTGATTGATTAACATGTTATTTGTTTCAAAGACATTTTAACAAACATTTTTCAACATATCCACTCGTTTATTAGACTATATGTTTCTTAAATCTGGTCACAGCATAATCGGAGAATGGAGTTTACATATTTAGGTCAAATTAAAAGGGTTTTGTGTTGCTGTATTTTAAGTATAGATTATTTAAACTAAGACTTTTAACCTAGACACAGAGTATTTTTGTGTGCTGTTGACCATTAAAACCTAAGGGGAAAAAGGCCAACATGATCCATGCAGACCTTTGACCCTGCAGAAAATGTTCCAGTCGTGACTGTATGTTGCATATGTTGTCAACGTTCTCTGACTTACCCCCCAGCTCTTTTATCCAGCATGTAGACTGTCCTTTTTCTCATTGGATCCCTCCCTGTGACTCTTTTCACATCCACAATGCATTGCAGCCCCTTTTCATGTAAGCTTTTCCAAAGACTGCACTTGACCTTATTCACATGCAGTTGTCTCGGTTTCTCCCTGGTGCATTCTCTCCCTGCGTCACTGCAAGGGTTTTTTGAAATGCTTAGGAAACCAGAGTCCTGCTTTTAGCTGAAGCACCCTCTCCCTCTTCACCTCGAGTGTGCTGTAGTTAGCAGCAGAGGATGCAGCTATGCTGTCTATCACCTTCCCCCCAGGTGCCTCTGTGGAGAGCCTCAGAGAAAAAGAGCTGTATAATTTAACTTGGATATCTCACTTTGCTGTCACTTAACATGCTCCGTGAGCTAGCCAAAGCTTTTACTGTGGATTTTTCAGCCTCAAACTTTCCAAAGTGAATATTTGACGTTCGAAATGTAACACTTTTAATGCCTCTAAACTTGCAACAGAACTGATTAGCATCTTTATAGTGTTTAACTCACTTAATTGCACTAAAAGCCTTAACATACAGGGACAAACAGAGCTGCATTCAACTGCTTATGCATGGAAAGTTACCTTTTAACATGCTAGAGCGTAAATTATTTGTCAGTTAATTCATCAAGTTGACAAAATATTGGCTGCAATTACTAGAATTGCTAAGTAATCTAAGTCATGCAATAAAAATATGATTGTTTCAGCTTCACATTTTAAATTGCATACATTTTGTAAATGTTTTAAATGCAGTAATGGGATGCAATAAATCCGTAATGTAATTAATCTTATAGTGGAAGAAAAACATTTCCAACTTTTTGAGTTAGTTGCCATGCTTTTGTTAAAGATAGAAATTAAAGCTCCAGTAAGGAGTTAGCTGGTAGTGAAACAAACTGAGATTCATAGTGATTCCTCTTTATGAGCTTCAAAAGCAAACGAGACTACCAGGGAGAAGATTGATTATGTAGTTGTTCTATGTTATCTCTGCCACAGGGTAGTTTTTAGACAAACACGCTGCAGAGACAGCCTTTTTTATATTTCCATATAATTACTCATTTAAAATTGCATGTTATACATTTGAAATAAAGAAGGGTGAGATTTTTTTAATCAGAAATCATACCTCACACATGTACAGGAAATGTTTAGAAAAGAGATGAATTGTCATGCTTCGTCTACAGGGGGCGCCATAATCAACACAACCAGAGAGTTCCTCCCAGGAGTCTTGAAATATACAGTATATTCCAGTACAAGGGAAAGTTCTGCCTATGAAATGTTGCTGCAGTAAAAGCACAGAATTATTTAAGGTGTTAAGTTAACTGAAAAGTAAAAAGTACTCATTCTGGAGGAAACATCTCCCTTTAATTTATATATTATTATATTACTTTGATGTGTGAGGCATGATTGTAGAAGGGTGCTGCCATAGTGTACTTGAATGAAGCTAGCTTTAGAAAACTAATCTTGGCTGGGAAAAGAAAAAAATGAATTTAAAATAGAACTAAATTCAGCTCCCGGTAAGTTCAAAAGAAAATAGCATAAACATAGACTTTGGTCAGGTTGGTCTGCACAGTCAAAACATTTAGCAGCCTCAGAGTAAGATATTTTCACTGAGAGTAAATAAAGACAAAAAAGACAATTAGTTCCATAAAATAAAAATACAAAATGATGCCACACAAATGTTTATTTTTTTCTTATTTTTTACTGAAAATGTTGAGCCAGTAGCCAGCGTCAGGGCACTGAGAAATAGAATGAGCAAAATACACCAGGGCATTTCAACAAATAAAACGGACAGGTAGAGAGACTTCATGGCAGATATACGCACTTTGAGGCAGGGCATTGTGGGAAAATTAGGCATCTGGGAATTATATAATAACCCAGCTCATAAACTGTCAAAGAATAGTCACCAAATGAATACAAAAATGTTGTTGCTGATGCAAACTCTAGAAAACTTTTGTCCAAACTCTCTAATGTTCAAGGTTTTATTTGTATTTGCCGGCCCTCAGCACAAGTAGGTCAGACATGGAGACACATTCCTGATGAAGAAACTTCTGCGAAAACATTTTGTCAAGTCACAAAAATAACTTCTAAGAGAAGCAACGCAGCTTCCTTTTTGCGCTGTGTTACCTTTAAATCCACGGAACCAGTGGAATAAAGAAGCATGATGTTGTTTGTGTTGTTAATTGCAATCTGAAGATTTATTTTTCCCTTGGTGTATGTTTCCCTTTTAATGTGTATACATTTCCAATGGTAAACAGCAGCTATATGTTGTGTCATATAGAAGACTGACAGGGCCAAGCTTAATCTTAATTTTTATTTTCTATTTAGAAATATTTCAAATGTAGAGGAGAAAGTCCTTCACTGTTTCTTTTTTTTCTTTTACATGGCTTATTCTGAGTGTTTGACTTGTGTCTTGAACTAGTCTTCCAAAACTCTTCCTTTCTCTTTTAATATGTTGCCCTAATACTCTCTAATAGCATATAAGATCAACTGATTCTAAATAATCCACCAACTGAGCCTTAATGGACCAGAATGCAATGCAGCTTCAGGAATGTTGTGCTATAAGTATCTGGTGCAGCTGATGTGCATCATGGACACAGTCCAGTGTAAACAAGCCAGCTGCTGACCAGCTAGAATATGATTTGAAACCCTTAAAAACAAACCTTATCTTAGACACAGGTGTGTGTGGTCCTTATTCTCATCGAGGAAAGTCTCCCACATCCATAAAAGTTATAAAAAGAAAAAAATATATTAAAACTTTGTGTGACTGACACAGTTGTTCAGGCTGTTCTTTAGTTAAATTGTATAGCTAAATTAAGTCTCCCTCTCTTGGCATGAGACCATAATTAGGTAAACTTACAAGCAACTGGTACAGAAACCTTCACGCTAACTGCTGATTGGTTGAAGTACAACAAATTACAAAACACAAATCTGCTAACAAAATGTTAGACCAAATAATTGAAACCAAATACACATTTGAGTTTGTTTATAAGGCTAAAACATTCACAGCTTGAGAGGGGTATGCTTCAGGAACCAAACAAGTATATAGAAAAAGCTGAGCATGTTTCATTAGTCTGGTTGCATTACAAGCACGTATGGTAAAATAGGATTTTAAATTCAATGTCAAAGTTATTTTAGGTCAGATATGTCTGATTAGCATTAGCATTACTTTAGCCCTGCAGCTAACATTGTGGTTTTGTCAACACCTCTCTCTGAAAGCTCGCGGACGTGCCTCTGCTACCCTGCGTCTGTTACCCTGCCTCTGTGTGTATATCTAGCCAAAGGGGAACTTTTAATCCAAAACCCTCATTTTGACAGAATGGAATTAAGGAAAAACAAGGAAACGGCAGCAAACAACAGTTGTACAAATTGACCAGTGCATTGTGTTTTAAAAGTCCAGTTCAGCAGGTTCAGAAAATCTGCAAATCTAGTTCATAATTGCTGCTCTCTTTTTGTTCAGAAACAAACGTGTTTTTCAGACGAGAGAACATCTCTGCAGTCCCTCTGAAGACAAGGCAACGTCCCCTGAACGCAATGACAGGTATCTCACTGTCCCACAGCAAACACTTGTCCCTCCTTTAGTTTAGTCCATTTGAAGAGAGAGGCCGGTCCATCCAAGTCCTTCTTGACACATCAGATTTTCAGATACTCTGATTGGATGATGCTTCAGACCATAATAGATCAGTCCTCATAACAGAAACCTGCATAGATACAGATTTAACACAAAGTTGAAAGAAAATGCATTCAAACCATATCACATTTGTTGAAATTATATTATATTACATTTAAATTATATCTACATTTTATATGAATAAAAAGGTAAAGTCTCATAAAACTTTTCACTTACTCAGTATACCCAAACATGTGTTTTGTGTCACTGGTGCTGCTCTGTAAAAGTACCAGTAAAGGACTTACATTTACGGTTTCTCTAAACTAAAGTACAAAAATATATTAGCTAAAAGTTTGAAGCATTAGAGCACAAACGCCTGTCAGGCAGAATGATCCTTATCATGTATGCTGTAGTATTGCAATATTATTATAAATACAATATGTACAATAATGTAATGTATCCATTTCTACCCCCTCCCTGTGGAATCAAGAGCAGATTTTTACACACCCTTTCTGGAAACCATGAACTGTTTTCCCACATAGTTGGACAACATATAAAAAAGTATTCCCACACTCACTTGAGCTCAGAAGATCTCTGCTGCTACGTCTGTGACTCTGCCTCACGATCTGCTCCCATCACCCTCCTGATGGTCTTGATTGACAGGTACATCTCCTCCTCGGGGTCGTAGTAATAAAACTTACTCAGGTAGGATATAAGTGGTCTGGGGAAGAGATGATGATAACCATTATAAAAAAAATAAGCCTGTGTTTGTTGAATTAGTCCTTTTCCTGCACAATTAAATCAACATTAAAGCCAAATTAAAAGCTCTGAACAGAAACTGATTATTATTGTTGAGACAGCACACAGGTAGATTCCTGTCAGGCCTACGAGCGACAAAAGTGACAAAAATACTTTTTTGGTAAAAAAATGTTTTTCCAAATAATTATTTGATATATAATTGTCATGAAAAAGGAAAAAAAATAAAGACAGGATTTTCAAGAGGAACTGGGATGAAAAGGGCTTTGAAAATCACCAGTTGATTTTTACAGGAATCATTAATCACTGATTTATTTTATGAGAATGAACTATAATCAAATATTGTGTATAAATTCATATTTTTACATATAAAGAGATAACCTTTATTTTAAGTAAGAAGAATATATAATTTGAGAAGTCACATTATTTTATATGAATAAATGTATACCTTGTAAGACAAAGATAATAAGCAACAATTATTAAATATTTGGACAAGTTTAAGAGAATGTATAGGGTTAGGATTTAATATGTGAATACTTGTTCCCACTCCTTTTTGGACATGTAAAGTTAATGTACTAAGTTTATTAAAATGTCATTAGTGTTGTGCTTTTTAATTTAAAAAAAAATAAATATGACCTTTTTCTCCACTCTGTGTCTTTCTTTGTAGGTTTGTTTCTTTTTTCAAATAAAAAAAAAAACAATCTCTGCCAATTTTCAACTATTTATATACCTGAATTTGTTAAGATCTGTGTGACAGCAAAAATAAAAAATTTAAGTACTTATTCCTCATCATCAATCATGCTTGCTGCTCTTTTCAATAGATTTAGTTTTTTTAAAATCAAAGTTAATAGTTTTGTGTGCAGATTTAAGTTGATGAGTAATTGATATTGTTCTCACAGTAAAACTAAAGGCTGATTCCTCAAGATAACAAGCATTTTTCCATATAACAGAATAATAGAATAATTAAGGAAACTTAAAAAAGATCTGTGCCTGGCTAAATTAATCAGATCTGATTGTATCCTTCAGGGTCAATAAACCTGACATTCATATTTAAAATCTGAGGCTATAGTTGTCAAGACCCCATCTATGCATGCTGACATAAAACTCCTCATCTCTAATAAACAATTGAAGTAATAAGAGGAAACCATTTCCTGCTCTTGATAAAGGTTTGATTTATATTTTGCCTCAGCTAACAATGTTTGTTTTCTTCAGATAATGGAACAATTGAACTGTGATCTTTATTTGCTTTATTAAAAAATGAACTGCACAGCTTTTTTTTTGTAAACTACAACTTCCGAAATGATGAGCAAACTAATGATGACTGAACAAACTTTAGATGTCACTGTGGAACTCCTGAGTTACCATTCGTTTTCAAACGGTTCAGCTTCTTGTGTTTATAGTGCCATGCTTTATAGCACAGCCACTGTATTCACCAGCAAGGAGTTCAAATGATCCTGAAGGAGGTGAGTACCTGGGCAGTGGAAGCTCCTGGATGTGGTCGATGCGGACTATTTGTCGGATGCAGAATCGACAGAGATGCTGTAGAGACTTCACATTACTGAAGCGAGATACAGGATAGAGCAGCTGAACCGGGGTGGGAGGAAGCCCTGCAAGACACACACACACACACACACACACACACACACACACACACACACAGTGCATTTAGCGCTTTTAGCCTAACTTGAATAATAACTTAGGAAAAAAAAGTTACGTCTTGTGTATTTCTTTATTTTTGATATAAAGTCCCTAAATTTGTTCATGTCGCTGTCATTTTCCTTGCACAGCTGCAAGCCTTAGATTTTCAATCAAACACAGGAGAAGATAACGTGCATTTGTTGGGGACTATTTTCAGCAGTGGATTAATCTACATTTGGTGCTCTAGTGAGTATTTGGGGCAGCGTGTACCCACGTGTGGAATTGAGTCAAAATAAACTGCAGCTCTGGTCATTGTCATGAATATTGACTGTATATATAAAGAAAAATGTCTTTGCCTCCTCCCATTGTACAAAAGTGAAGCCATCCTGAGACAGGTGCTGATTATACATTTGGAGCCAGAGTGTGGGCAGAAGAGATTTGCTGGAGATGACACAGGAACGACCTGTCCCTCCGGGGAACCAAAACACATGTTCAAGTTACCAATAAAAACATCTTTCAAGTTTGCACAGTCCACAGCAGAACAGATTTTTAGGTGTTTATTTTGTTGTTTCATAACTAAACTGCTCCTTTGAGCTGTTAGAGGCTTGTGGTTTTTTACATGACAGTTACTGGTGATGTATTGGCTCTTGCAATTATAACATAACAGATTCCACTTGTGCTGAGAAATTACCTTCTTTATAATAATGAGCTTATAAGGTGCTCCAACAGCATGCCAATAACTACTTCTTCAGAAAAAGTTCCCTTCAGTCTGAAAACGTCCGGGGTTATGTTTTTACAGCTTTTAATAGTTATTGTACAAATTGGAACAGAGGAAGAAGATACAGTATGTAAGGCTTAAAAAACAAAACTAAGAAGGATTATGATACATGTTTTGTTGTTTTTGGCTTTCCATTATGTTTGGGACTGAGTAATAATAATAATATTACAATAATATCACCAGATTAAACACTAAATTAAACCTACTGTTGCTATTTTAAGCTTCAACAATATGAGTAATTTTATATTTCAGTGCAGTATACTGCAACGTATGAAAGGAGACATTCTGATCTTCAGAGACAATCCAAGATGAACATAATCAGATTTAACTGAAGATATACTTCCACATGTCAGTACAGCAACAATCAGCAGCTCCAAATCCCAACCGCTGCTTCTAGCTCACTGCTGATGTTTTAAAAGTCAACTGTAAGCAGCCAAGTTACCAAACATCAACCAGGTGATTGAAGAAAAAAATGGGATAAAGTGGTTCATATAAAACATTCTAAAATAAACTTTAAGCTCAGTTAATGACTGTGTTGAAAACCATTCAATATTATGTATCACAACACATTTGGGGACCTTATCTTTTATGCAATAAGTATTCACTCTCATTGTGTACACCCTGATTTAAAACGTATCCAGCAGTGAGTGTTCCAGATGTTCCTAATGTTTTGTCTCAGTGTTTTTGGATTTGTGCCCTGTTTTCCTGGATGTTGCCGTTTTTGGATTTATAAAAATTGAGCCAATAGAAAGTGTTTTCATTATTTGGGGGAATAATCCGTTCATTTTAAGATTCATTTTTGGGCTCTTATTCCTGTATTTAAGAAACAGGACTGTGGATAGAGTCGTAAAACAGAGAAAGCGTGGGGAATGACATGACCTGTTTCGAACCTGGGCCGCTCACTTCGAGGTCAACAGCCTCTGTACATGGGGTGTGTAAACTAACCACTAGGCCATCAGCGCCCCAATGTGTACATTTTAAACACAAGGATAGACATCTTCCTCTAATTTGAAGAAAAATATTTTAAAAATATAAGGCAGATATTTGAAACACTAATAGCTAAATACTAACATATGGGACAAGCCAAACACATTAATGCATTCTCTCATTAACAAATCATCCATAGGTCGAATGCCAGACAGTCACGTATATTTGTATTCTCCTCCGTCTCTAAGCCACTTATTACTAAGTGGCAGGTCACATCAATTTTTGAACAGTCCGGGCTAAGTGCAGATGTATATGACCTATATTTTACCTGGGACTCGGGAGCGGAGGAAGTAAAGGAATTTGCCGTTCTTGGAGTGCATGATGGCTCGCTCGATGAACTCCACCACCGAGTGGCAGCGGTCCTCAAACTTCGGGTGACACCACAAGCTGAACGTCCCTGGAGGCAGAGAAATGTATTTCTTTACGTAGCATTTTATCATCTGTAATTCATATCCCCATTAATTATAAAACATTCATATATGTACAGGATACACATATGTACAGGATACACATAAGACTTAGAAAGCTGCATCAGCCTCTTAGTTTTAAATTATGTCCCTGGTTTATGCATGGAAATTTCATTTCCTTTTAAGGGATTGTTTATAAGTGAAATCCCAAAGTTCCCAAAACATCCATTAACAACCCCAACAGTAGAGCCGCACAAAAAGCAACTTAATTGGTTGGACTATATCTTCTGCAGCTGTAGGTCTTAACATCATACCCTGGTTTTTACTGCTTGGCTAGAAGATCCCTTCTGGGAAAATGATGCATCTTTAATGTTTAGCCCATGCTGCATATGTAGATAATTCGACCAACATTTCAAACACTTTCAAAGTGTTGAATGAGCTTTAAAAAGAAAAAGAGAGAGTAAGAATTCCACATTGTTTTATTTCTTCAAATTGTGTATTTTTGTTTCATAAAGTGGGTTAAACAGTGTTGTCACTGGCAGGATAAGAAGTCTTTACTGAAGATTTTGTCAGGACGTAAGCCAACAGTCTCTCTTTTTAAAGTGTAATTTTAAACCACAGATGAGATGTAAATACAACATTTTTCCTTTCTGATAACATTTTTGATACCTGAATTTGTACATTATCCATTTAAATCAACATTATAATATACTGTAAATATTTCCCTTTCACTTCAAAGCTTTCTTGTGTAAATTTTGCCAAATCGCTCAAATTTTGGAAACTCTGATTCACTTTGCTAAGCCTGCACTGGGGTTGTCTGCTATCATCAAGTGATAAATTATTAAAAAAATTAATCACCTCTCCTTTTGAAAATAGTATATAATATAATTAAGCGGTAAAGAAGAATCGATTTTAGGTGACCATGTTGATTTTTCTGTTGAGGGAACAAATGATGGCAACGATCATGCAATCGATGCATTGATGGGCATAGTCACCTAGAGCCTGTGTTTTACTGTCTAATAATTGAAATTAAAAAAACGTATTAGATTATAATCTACTATTAGACAACAGCTAACGTTAGCATAAAGGTTGTTTAAAGGTTATAAGATACACTTGGAAAAAGTGTGAATTCCAAGCTAACAGTTTTGTGCAAGCTCAAAGAAAAGCTTTGTGTCTGTCTGAGACACTAGTGCTAAAGAGACATATGTACTGGATAGCTGCTCTGAAGTTGCATATTGCACCTTTAAATTCTGTGACATTAGCTAGTTCAAGTGCAGCTGTTGAGGTTGCTAAGCGACAGGGACAAAGCTTTAAAATGAAAGGGTAATGCATGCTAAGAAGGCGGGGTCCTTCAAAGGTTGCTTCCAAGGATTGAATTGAGACAAACCCCATAACAGCATTTGAACGAGAAGTCAAAAGAAAATGGTTTCCGTGTGAATATGGTGAATTTGGTTCATTCTGGTGAAGATATTGGTAAAACCCTGATGGTGAAGTTAGAGGAAAAGTCAGGAAATCACCCGACTCCATAAAATGTATCATCTAAAGTTCCTCAACATATGTGTTTTACATTTAATGTAAACCCATCGAGTAGCTGTTGAGATATTTGAGCATGTACAGAGTTGGTGAAAATTTGAGAGCAATGGCGCTAATGTGGCTGAAAATAGCCCATTATCTGAACACATGATGGACATGTTCATAGCTGGAGTGTTTGTGTGCGACTTCTTGTTGACTGCTCCATGGTTGTTCATATCGGAAGTCCTCTGTGCCCTGGTTTCCCGTCAGGCCGCAATGCGTTCATGCACACATGATCGTGTTGATGTGAATTTGTTGTGTCATTCGGGGCTGCACGTCTGAATAATGAATGTGTTTCGAAGCATGACTCTATAGCTTTATAACGGTGACTCATTAACGTGGAGCCCCGTTTATGTATGTTTGCCTGAGTATACGTGTGTCTGAGTTTGTGTGTCTGCTTTTATCTCTATTCTGAGTCATGGTGTCAGATTGTCGCACGTGTGGTGTTGTGTGTGAATATATATGTGGCGTTTGTACTTCTTATTTTTAATGTAAAAAAAACTAAATAAAGTTGCATTTAGCCACACTTAGATTTAAAACCTGTTCTATTTTGAAAGTTATAGAAAGTATTAGATTTTAATAATTACACACAAAGCAGATTTTTGCCAAGCTTTCGGTGCAAAAAATATAGTGTTTGGTTGCCGAAAAGGAATGTAAGACTAAAGTAAGATATTTTGCTTTGGCAGAGGAGCAACACGTCAGTACCATATGATGTATTTTACTTTATTTTACAAATTCTATTCAATATAGAATTTGTAAAATAGTCATATATCTATTCAATATATGACTATTTTTATGCATTACTTGCATACTTGTAAATATTGACTTGGTTCTATCAAATGGGTTTTGATTTACTATCTAATTCTATCTATTTTCTACCAATATAAAATAATAATTATTAACACATTAATCATTTGCCAAACTTGCAAAAGTGATTTCTATTAATTTGGTTTGACTTCTATCTTGTTAATATGGCACTCTTTCCCGGTTTTAAGGTTTCTTTTTGTATATTTTATTTTACATTAATTTCCAGTTTTGTAAAGAACTTGCAATATAAAGAAAGTTATGATAGGTATTAATGTTAATACAGGGAAATAAAAAATATTTTATTGATTCCAATCCTGTATTCAAAGTCTTTCTTTAGTAAAAGCATTAAAACTAAAGCATCACAATATTCAAGGATTAAAATAAATTCTTAGCCAAAATGACCTTTTTTCCATTCAATTATATATTTTTTCACCATACATGGCTCAAACTTTCTAAATAAGGCAAGTTCATTGACTTAACTGAAGACAGTTTGAACAAAATAGGGTAAAAAATCAATTTCTCTAAGTGCAGTTGGTATGTGGTCACTAACATAGGGATAAAGGTCTCTTGTGACTTCTCATGGTTGTCCTTATTACATGCCTGAGGAGTTGGATGGCCAGTGTATGGATTCACATGTTCCTATAGGAATGATGTGTGTGCTCTGAGCATGCATTAAGCTTGTATATCTGCACACATATGAAGCATATACAGTATGAAGAGACATGTGTATTTATGCTGTTATGGCTCCATGCTGTGAGGGCCTTTTTATGAGTTTTAGGGCACCATCACAATCCAAGCAAGATTGCAAACTTAAATGTCAACGCCTGGACCAGCGGGTACAAACATGCAAATCCAAAGAACATCTTAAGTGTGCAATGTCAGGCAACATTAAGGAAACAAACTTCAGTTTTCTTTGAATTTAGCAAAGAGCTTATTCAAGTGTTTCCATGACAAAGTAAAAATGTTCTGCATTAATATATAATCAGACAGTGATAAAGGGCCATAAACATGCCACTCCAAAGTGTTAAATCTAACAGTAGGCATGTGGCTGTAGTCAAATGTACTTTAACTTAAAGTGATGAATCTGTCTCTACTATACAAAGTCCACCTGTTCTTAATGTGCCCTGAAAGGCGTGATGTTTTAACACAGCCATGGCTTTGTTAATGGAGAGAACCAAACAACAACATTTTAGAAAATAAGCTATGGAGAATTCATGAAATGCCCTTAGATCTCTGCCTCTGCCGACTATTCTGGTGCTTCCATCCTCCCCAATTTTCAGACAAGGAACAGATTTCAACATGATATCATTAAAACTGCTTCTACCCCAGCACACTGTTTAACTTTTGCAAAACTATTTATATTTAATATTTAAACAATATTTAAGAACAACTTGTTAAGAAAAGTGGATACATTTGTAGTCCTAGATTTTAGGGTTAACATTGTACATTATTTCAGGTCAAATATAGGTTATGAGGAAAGGTTTTGCAACAACTTGGCATGGTTTATTGTGAGCTATGATGACACCTCTAGCCAGAATAGACTGTATGACATAAATGCCATTTGAATATGGCAAAATTGGTTTCGCAGACTATATGAACTTGAAATGTCTGTGAAAGAACACACAAGTATGGAGTAAGAGATAGTATATAAAGCGCCTGGACATTAGTCTCACCTCTGTAATGCTCCATGCGTGTGTGGTGTGTTACTCCCTGTGACCTGAAGCTGAGGCTCAGGATATATCTGGGGTCTGAACTGTCTCTGACCAGGAACGATCCGTCTGGTTTCCCCTTCAGCTTCATCTCTGCGTCCTCCCAGTTCATTGGACCCCAGTACCAGCCACACTGAAGAGAGACCAACAACACCCTCCATTACACTGCAAGAACTAACATCACTGCTGCTCTCTGATTGATTTCTATTTCTCATGAGCCTTCACCAAAATGAGCTAACATGCTCTTCACTACAAGCATGGACACACATAAGTTGCACCAGAAAAGAAAGCATTATCCAGAAACATGCTCATCCCAGAGGATGCAACTTAACATCCTTGATGCTTTTTTCAGCTGCATAATAGTGGATTTCCATAGCTGCAAAAGAGGCTATGATGACTGCAACGTAATCTTTCTGTAGTACATCCACAAAAAGTTCAAATGGTTATTCTAAGTGTCTGACAACATAAGGGAAAAGATCTCTAAAGAGATGGAGGTTTTTGTTAAACTCCAAAAACAAAAAAGAGCTTTTAACATAATTCTCTTAAAAACCAGCAGACTATTGACAAAAGAAGTTAATTACCTTGCAAAACAGGTAAGCTGCTAGTCTACCAGTAATTGTTTTTTGCTATAGTTTGTTAAACAACTACCAAACCAAGTTTAAAGAACAATTCAAACAACCAAACTGGTCAAAGCCACATGTATCCAGCAACTCTGTTTTCTGCAAAGTCAAATTCCTGCTTTGTCAATGAAGCAATAAATGTTAGTTCAATGAGCCAGCAGGGACCATGTTGCTGCTTGCACAGCCTGTTTTCTTTTTTCTCCAGACACATTTACTCAGTTTGTCTAAGACTGTTGACAGTTAGGTGGTAAAAAGAATACAATTTAAGACATTCATCTTTTTAGGGGATCTTGAGAATTTTCCTGATTCATTTATTGAAAGTAAATCAGTTGGTTGAGAAAAATAATCAGCATGGATGGATAATGAGAATAATGTTTAGCTGCTCCTGAACGATCAGGAAGTTCTCAGCATGAATATATCATGGGAACTTTGTCCAGTTTAACAAAAGACAAAGTTGGATGTAGGAAGACTTTCGACGATCTTTTCCCTTCAGTGTAACTCCTACCTTCTCCAGCTCTCTCAGACTGGCGGTAAAGTTGCTTGCTTCAGACCTCCTCAGTGCACACAGCATAGGGGGTGGGGCTTGTCTGGAAGGGGGTGGAGCATCAGCAGTTGTTGAGCTTGAATGTGGGAGGGCCCGTAGGAAGGCGTCTAAATAAGGAGAAGAATGCCAATGGAATTAGAGGGGCATCATTGTTTTAAGTTGAACTTACAATCGGTGTAATCATAGACTGTAAATAATAAGTGAACAAAAGCACCATGATGTCAAACGTTGGGTTGTGTACTAATGTTAAGAGGACTCTAGTTAGACATTTTGGCAGTGGCCTTTTTTTTGGAGCCAGGAGATATAAGACAATGTAAGAGGAGTGTGCAGGAGCGGGGAATACATTTTCATAACATCCTTATAGGAGATATAGAGTGATGCTTAATTTACCTAGCATACAACAGGCTATAAAATAACTGTATGTACAATGGATGTTTATACAATTGTTTTTATCCCATGTGTTTACTGTCTTAATAAAAGAAAATAAAGCGGCCTTTGTCTTTACAACATTTGGAAGGACTATTCATGTTAAGTTAAGTAAGAACTCTACAATAGAAAGAAAAAGCTTATTAGCCTAGCTTGCTTACTTTCTTGCCAACATTAGCAGCAACAGCTCTGGGCCAATTTGAAAAGAGGAATTCAAAGCTCTTTTGGATGTCTGCCAGCACATACTGAACTACACTGATAAAATAACCAGTAGCATTTTAAAAACATTATAACATCATCAAAATAAACAGGTGCTCTTAGCATTCATATTTTAAGAGCTGTTATAGCAGAAAGAGCTAATACAATGTCATGTTTTCTAGTTAGTTTACCCCACATAAAAATAAACAAGCATACTAAACGTTTTAATATCAGTTAGAACGACAGCATCTTGTAGTTTACATATAGCTCAATATGTTTAAATAATGTGCACTATACCTTCAATATATATCTGTTCTGCCTTAAATGTATATATTTAGCCCTAACCCTCAAACATCCTTATTATATTTTATGATTCTTTATTCTGTTGTTAAATTTTGTCTTATTATTTTTACGTCTTACATTTAATTTTAACCCTTTTTAAATAGAGCTTACCAACATGCATAAGAATTTCATCTGACCATACTTTCCTCTAGATTCACATTTTGGAAGTACATTTTGTATTGATGAATAACTCTCTAAACCGGAGAGTTGCTTCATGATTGGCACGTCTTACCATTGAGGCTGAGACTGTGTTGGATGGTGGCGTGGGAGGGAGGAGGAGGAGGAGGGAGAGGCAGGGGAAGGGACTGCAGGGAGGCACCCATAACACTCACTAGGAAAGGCCCAGGCTGAGGCCCGGCTATGTCATCTGGAGGAAGGAGAGGAAGGACAGGAGGGGAAGGATGTAAGGGCGTGAGGGAAGAGGGATTGAAGGAAGGAGTTTGGTCACAGACAAGGAGGAAGGAAAGGAAGCAAAGCAAGTGTCAGCATAGAAAAAGAAAGGTGAAAAAGAAAAAGAAAAAAGGGAAGATTGAACAACAGAGGAGACGAGGAAGGAAGGAAGGAAGGAAGGATACATATTTCTCAACACCATCAGATTAAAAGCCTTGGTTAAAGACTACACTTTATTATGATTGACCAAAGTGAAAAAAAAGCCTTTTTTTTAAAACATAAGACTTTTCCTGTCTTGCCTGTACCTTACCCACCAACCTTTAGTGTACAATTTAAATATTTTAATAATATTCACTTTATTTACATTGCACCTTTAAAAACTTAAAAAATGTAATTTAGACAAAGCAACACACACGGAGCACAATATGACAACAGGACAACAGGACAATGTGGCCACACAAAAACATGACAAAACAAAGATTTAGTTAAAATAAGGTCAATGAAAGAAGACAAAATATGCAAAAACGTAGTAGAAAGAGGACTGGTGATGTAAAATAAGGACAGTAGGAGGTAAAGACAGAATAACATAAAGTAAAAAAGTAAGAGATATAAGATAAATATATTTTTGAGATTACTAAGAAAAAGATCACTGATTCTCTTAGTCTTCTTTTTTTAGTCAAGCTGCACCTAATGCAAAATGCATGGTCAATCATATAATAATAGAATTTAATTAAAATACAATAATATTAGCATTTGAGTTTTCATTTCAAGAGACCAAAGGGGCTTTAGCTGAGGATCTTATGTTGCAGGATGCCTCAACTCAAGTAATAAGAACATTTCTGCTATAAAGCAAAGGACCAGAACAAGAACTACTTAAAAAATATATTTTTTGTAAGTGTTTGCCTTGGCTGTTCACTGCTTTCAAAAATCAACTACAAGGTAAGGGCATAAACCCCCCCAAACCTCGAGGAATGGATGGAAAAGTTAAATGAATCTTTGTAATGAAAAGGAGGATTTTCTATCAAGCACTTAAAGGAGCAACCTTCGCAAAGTAGAGGGAGAAATGAACTGACTTTGGCAAAGGAGGAGGACGCTGCCGCCTTAAGACATGAAAGGAGTTTGGACTGATACATGAGGATTATTTGCAAGCTGAGGTACCACAAGGTGTTCTTTTGTATTATGTTTGTTTATTTGTGTTGTTTGTGTCTACATTTAAATGTGAAAATTGAATAAAAAGAACCAAAAAAAAAAGGTTTGGCTTGCGTACCAACATTTTCCAAAACTCACCAGTTAATGTGTCAAATCTTTTGTGATGTATGTTTAGGATGGTTGGTTGTTATTGCCACAAAAAACATTTTGGCCTGCATACTGCCAAATGTATGTGGGTGTAGTTTGACATCCTGGTATTTTACATCCACATACCTTCTGAATGTTTTCTGGCATACTGAACAGTATTAAAGTAAAGGTACTTTAATTAAAGTAGAGAAAAAAGAATAATCTGACACTAAAAGAAGTCCCCAACAAATACACTAATTCCTCTTATTTTAGTAACATTGCACAAAACTACAGCTACTTAACAGCTACTTAAGGGAATTGAATGGAACCCAAAAACATTTAACTTGTTTTAAAGATTGCAGTAATCAGAAAAGGCTTTTGGGCTTGGAGCTGAGAGTCAGTGACAAAGTTGAGAAGTCTGTAAAAGTGAATTGAGCTTGCATTAGTGGGTAATGTTGATATCTTTTCTTTTAAGCTTGTAGTGTAAGTGGGTCAGAAAATAACACCAGACTCATTGGCAAAAAATAAATAAAGGCATTTGCAAAGTCAGAGAATGAGCATGAAATCCGAAATGTTCTGATATTTAGGAATACAACTTTTGAATTCCACATTTTTCTAAAAAGGTCTCAGGTAAATGTTAAAAATGTGTGTGTTTACCTTTAAAACATTTTAAGAAATGACAACAGAAATCACGATGCATCATGAAAGCACAAAAGTAACACAACAGAAGATATACCCAGGTATAGATTGCTTTCCTGGGTAGAGAGGAAAACTATTTTTGTCTTCGATTGAGTCATCTCAAACGAAATCTGCTGTTTTAAGCTGACCTTTCAAAACTACTCCAATCAGATTACAGAAGATTACAAAAAAAACTTGTCTGTGTATGTTTTTAAACAGAAAACAAAATTTATTAGAATTTGACTTTGACAGAAATATAAAGTATAAAGAGAAACAGGCAGAGCTTTTGTATCATTTCAATTTAGACAGACTGGAGTAAAGCACTCTGTTTAGCTCGACTGTTGGGCTTCAGCTGCTTTCTTTATCATTTACAACATATTGTGTTTATTCTTATTCTTATTCTTAGTAATATTATTGTGGAGGTATTTATTTTTCCGCACCATTTGAATCCAAGACAAATTTCCCATGGGGACAATATAAGTAGTTCTACCTTATCAAGTTGTTTGTATCATATTAATTATTATGGCTTCCTGTAGTACCGTATTGTAATGATCAGGTAGTATGGTTTTAATGACCTATCATGTTGGATCGTATCGTGTCATATATTGTATTGTGTGGTATTGTATCGCATTGTGTTGTATCATATCCTTATGCTTCTTAACTTATCATATTGTTTATATGAAGTTGTTTCATGTTTTATCATATTGTATGGTGTTGTATTATTGTATTGTTTGTATCATATTCTATCCTATAGTGTCCTTTTGTATCATATCCTATGTCATGTCATATCATATTGTATCATATTGTATCATGTTTTCAATTATTTAGTATTGTAGCGTGCTGTATCTCATTATCTTGCATCTATCTGGTGTACCATGTTAGTTGTATGACATCACATTTTATTGTACTGTTTTGTATTATTTTTACAGTCTATGCTTTGTATCATGTTGTGTCACATTTTAGCATGTAGTGTGGTATTGCACTGTGTCATCATATCTACTTGTAGCCTATCCAATCTGATAGTATTGCTTTGTATTATATAGTCATGTGTTGCATTGTGGTGTTTCATATCTTATGGTATAGTATAGTTGATGATTGAGTGTGAGTTTAAGTGTTTAAATGTTGAAACTGTGTTTTGGTGCTATTTTTGTCCAGGTCTGCCCAGGACTAGCAGTGCTAAATGAAGGTAAAATACAATAAAATAATCCATCACTGTGGCTGCAGGAGAATTCTGCGGTGGCTTCACTATGGTGCCCCGAAAGGGACAAAACTCCAAGTGTTAAATGCAATATTAAAAATGAACACATGGACTCTTAACACTGAGATCGCTAATAGTGACGTATCATAATGTATCACACTAAAATGTTTTGTAACATATGATATTGAAGATATGAAGTGTGTCTGTAGAAAAAAGCAGAGATGGATAAAGGAAGGATAGAAATGTACCTAACAAGCTGAGACTTCGGCGTGGAGGAGGGGGAGGCGTGGGAGGGTGTGGCGTGTTTGCACCTCTCCGTGAAATATCCACATCCACCAGGGAAACAGTCTCACCTGAAGCCCGGAAAGATAACAGAGTAGAGAAAGAAGAAGAAAGTCAAATAAAGATACAAACATTGAAGTGAAAAATGAAAGCCTTCCTGGTTTGTGTATTTGTGATTGTGTTTTGTTCTTGTAGAGTGAGGAGGAAACATTAAAACTGCACCAGGCAGGACGTTTATGGAAAATTACACCCAGCTAATCAGCCTAAATCACGGCAATAAAGGAGAACATCCCAGCCCCACTAAATGAGATTGTGCAGATTCACTGTTTATGTGATATTCTGCAGTTGGGGACTGTTACTGGCAGAGAAAGAAACAAATCCAAACATTTCGAGCCAAATCCCCAACGTCTCATGAACAGCAGTGAGCGCTGGACTCTCCCGCTTTAGATCTCTTCTTCTATCATCTCTTCTTCTCCCTTTTTTGTTTTTGTGGTGATGAAACATCAGAGATTCTAACAAATCATCCTATTGCCTTTGGAGTCACCAATGTGAAATGTTTCCTCCTTGGTGCAACGTTTATGTTTCTATTTAATTGGTTAGCCCTGTGTCGAGAATTCATTTAACTGCAAAAAAAAAACACTATATTGAAGATGCAAATTTAGCACACACAAAAAGAGCTCTATGAGCAATGTGGGGCACCAGCATGTTATCCTGAGCCCTGCAGAGGTTGTAGGCTGATTCTCATAAAGTCAGCTAAATCATTTTTGCCTGCTACCTCCCTTCCCTTCTTACCCATAGGCCTTTGCTGCTAAAGCCGGTCTTATCTTATCTGGTGCATCAGTTTATGTGACTGGTACAAGTAGTTAAAGGTTGCAGTTTAATAAATGTTCATAATTTTTGAGCTGATATTCTATTGATAGTCTTTTTTAAAGGAATTAAAGCTAGCCAGAAAACAGGGAAACAGCTCTCCAAGAACTATGAAACAAAGTGGTCCAGGATGTTATCATAGTCTAGCCCAAACATTGAAAGCATTGTTAGTCTACATCTTAACTTTTTTTAAATAATTTAAGTGAATTCATTTCTAAGCCTGTCTTAAATAAATGTATTTTCATTGAAGTTAACAAGCTCATAACTGATACATTGTTAACGAACCTCAGTTTTGTTTACAGCCAGCAGTGTGCAAAGCTAGCAGTAAATAATAATATCACTGGTGAACCTAGCTGTTTGTTGTCAGTATGTGGGTTGCTGCCGACTTTGAAGTTAACAACTCATTAAATAATAATGTCTAAGTTTGCACTCTTCATAAGTAAAACCCCTTTTATGAAGAGAGATAAATAGCTACCACTTTCTTCCAGTGATTTTCCATTGTCATCCAAACATTGGTGACTGCAGGGAGATTTAATTGATGACAATCTTCTAAGCTAAATATCAATAATTTCATTGTTAGTATGTATTTTATTTAGACTTTAAAAAATGTCTTTATGAGCACTATGACCAGTATCAACAAAATGAAAAAGCTTTGCAGAAGAGACAAGAGTGTCTGCTGGAGCTGAGACACACTAGCTATCTTGATGGTTTGTTGCTGGAAGGTCATAAAACTCAGTCTGAGCTGTCTGTTTCTCCTCTGGACATTAAAATAAAACCAAACGTGTAGTATATTAGTTTAAACACCGAGTCTAGGCTCAAGCAAAAAGGTCATTTAAATGATGTAAACTCTGTCAACAACTTACACCAAGCAACAAGCAACAATCTGGGTATATAATAAGCATGAGAGGTTGCATGGGCTGCCTTCACTGTCTCCTAACGAACCTTTCTGGCTAACGTTTGTTGCTGTTAGGACACAGTGTTAGCACAGCATCGCTTAGCTCAAGTGAAGGTTTGAAGGATGAAAATGCCTCCAAGCAGCCTGCTAGCTTGTAATAGTTTGGCCAATAGCTGCTTCTACATTGTTTGTCTTCTTGTAGGATAGGAAATAAACCTCGACGGAAATCAAAGGCATTTTTTTAACATGCACAACTGAAAATTTCCAAAAAGTTTCAAGACAGCTTGCCCGTGACATAAAAAGGATGTTTCTATGTGTAACTGGACATATCCACAGTATAAACGGAGAAGTGGAAAGAACACACTGTGGAGCAGGAAACAATGCAGCTTTATTACATGAACTAAGACTGAACATATCAGTTCACCGCAGCTCACCTCACAAAGTTACAGGACATTTTCAGGAGTTTGCGCATGTTTGAAAAAGCTATCTTCTTTTCTCAAATGACCCTACAAGATGCTTTGTCTTTGTAAAAACATTTGTATTATTATTGTTAAGCTATTTTATAGGACCAGTTTGCCTTTATTGGACAGGGCAGCTGAAAATGACATGCACCAAAAGGCAGAGGTCCGATTTGAAACCACAGCAACTGTAGCCCCAATACATGGGGCGCTCGTCATAAACTTGGCTATCTGGCGCCCCAAGTCTTTTTAAAAATGTGAAATGGTGCCAGACTTCGGTCTCCTGTGTGTTAGGAATCAAACAACAAACTGCGACTGTATCTGTATCTCCATCCTCTTTAGATTGGTGTGACTTCTAAAGATAAATGAGGGAACTCTCCTTTGGTCTATAATAGTGGGTAAATAAGGGTATGTGGCTGCTTGGATTGGAGGAGTCATTGGGGGACAAAAGCTATTTGAGGACATTCCCTTGGGTATCTTTTATGGGTGGTCATTAGGGACAATATTCAGAATTACCATGCATACAGGGATGTAACAGTACACAGAATTCACAGTTCGGTTCGTGTCTCAGTTTTGGGGTCACGGTTTGGCACAGCAGGAAAGCAGGAACAATAAGTCCTGCATTTCTAATTCTAGGTTTCTCTGATTTGTTATGAACTAACAGTAGTGCAAGTTGCAATTTGTTTGATCTTATAGTGTTATTTAGATCTATGTGATAGTATCTTCAGACTGTAGTTTATTAAATATTAAACAAATAAAATGAGGACAACAAAACAAATAATGTTAAATAAAAAGCAACACAGAAATAAATGACATCTCCTAATTTTAAAATATGAATTAAAAAAAGTATCAAATAAAATACAAAATAAAAATATGTGCCATTAGAAAGAACGTGTGATAAACTTGTGGTTCTGGGAGGTTATTATGGACCTCTTAAACATGCGTAATGATCACTTCCAAATGATGAAGTGCGGGGTCGCTGTGAGAGATAGCTTTAAGTGCCATGGGAGGTCCATCCATCTGTTGTTAGTGCAACAGCGGGTGATGCAGTTATTTGTGCTCAATCACCGCTCGTGTACTCCACTTAAGTGCATGGACCACAGCTTGGCTTATGTGCGCACAGGATGGAATATTGTAATGAGGTTTGGGAACTTTTAATAAATACGTTAAGTCATGGGGTCCTCTCCTACTGAATATTGGTGCATAGCCATTTAAATGTATATGCAATTAGTTTCAGGAGCGTGATGTTTTTAAGATGTTTGTGTGAGAGCTTTTCAGTTATGTCAACATGGTTATTCTGAATAATGTCCCCAACAGCCCCCCATCATTTTCTCACATTTTTTAAGACTTTGCAGAATAATTTGCAAATAATAAAAAAAAAAATATTTCAGAACCTCTGGAGGCATTGTAGTGGCATGTGGGCCAGATAGGGTGTTTTACCCAGCAGAGACAGCATTCCTGAGGGGAACCAGAGTTACAGAAAAGCAGTGAACAACTCTTACCCGTGAAAGCAGAGAGGGAGGCAGAGAGGGATGCAGGGGAGAAGGCACTGTGGGCCCTGGTCAGTCTGGGCTGGCTGTGGCTGCAGGACACACATCAAGACATGCAGAAAAGAAGAAGAAGAAGACGAAGAAGAAGAAGCAGAAGAAGAAGAGTGAAAGTGCTGTTAGCAGCTGCAGAGGTTCAGAAAATTAACTTTTCAGTGTGAGCGTGTGCACTTGTGTCCTGCAGGTTTTTTTTTTTTTTTTTTTTTTACTTTTTCAGTTTGATGCTCTTAGTCCTGGCAGTCCAGACTTATAAAGCTATGTTTTTTTAATCAGCCTTCCTTCAGCCTGCTGCTGTGAATAATGACTAAACAGTGAGTGGTATAGAAGGTGACAAGCAACAAAGGTTTAAAAAGAATTCTGCATCCACTCACACTGTGAATGAAAAAGTTTTTGTATGCCTTAAACTGCCAGTTGAAAGAGTTAATTCAGGCCATTAGAAACAATATCTGTCAGGTTTAATACAAATTAAAGTCCCAGCAGAAAAGAAAGAGATTAAAAGAAAGAAACATGTCTGGTCTCATTGATCACTTACCAGGAGAGTAAACAGTGGCTGGATTCAAAATGTGTCACTGCTCTTAAAATATTGAATGTGTACTGCCCATCAGGTCTGTCTGAGGGTTTCTGCTCGACTTCCTCATGTCCTCCTGACCTGCGTCTTGGAAAACACTGGCTTTTTCTCTTTTTGAGCTCTCAAGTTGTTCCATACAGTTTCATGGAATAACAAAAAAAAACCTTAACAAAAGAGGAAACCTGTTTAAAAATATCAATATATTTACAACCACATTTCCTAGATGTTAGGATGTGTAACATGTAAATAAAAACAGACTGTTGTGATTTGAAAACAAACAAAAACTCCATATTTGATTGAAAATAGCACAAAGACAACATGTAAAATGTTGAACTGAGTTATAAAGCATGAATAGTAAAACAATGAACTTTCAAAATTACCTATAACTTTCCAGAAAATATAAACACTTTACTCAAATTTGTGTTGAATCAAATATGGGGTTTCAGTATTTTGCAAATCATCAGATTCTGTTTTACATGTAGGCCAACATTTTATACAATATCCCAACTTTTGGAGGAAATGGTGTTGTACATATATTTGATATAGCCTACCTACTTCACTGTTGATCTTGGCCTTGATTGCCTCCCTCAGATGATATTCCATGTGTTATCCATGGATGACGTGGAAAATCAGGGTCATCCATTAGTTTTATCTTCTAAATAAAGGTACGAAATAAGAATATAGCACTCTACGGCTAATCTTTGGGGCCCCGTATAGAGCTGCTCACCTGTCTGCATCCTTCTCAGCTCCCGTGCTGCTCGCCATGTCCATAAGACTCCCGGCAGACGACACTGAGTAAGTCACTGAGGGCCTCTTGTCCAGCAGGTGATTGGAGCCGCTGCAGCTTTTAGTTCGGAACAGTTTACTCAAGCGAATCTTTAAACCCTTTTTGGACTTTCCTGGAACTTTAAGAGATTTATCCCCACAGGAGGCTCTGCCTGTGGGAGTCCGTGGCGCGCTGGCGCACCGCTCCGGCCGCCTCCTGGGCGTCGACGCTTGGCTCAGCGTCGGTGTGTTTGCCCCAGGTGTGCTCTGGGCCGGTGTGGGTGCGGATGACATGGCTGAGTCCTGGCTGACGACCTCAGCATCCCCGGTACTTACCTGTGACAGATGGCTGGATGAGTTCCCGTGGAGGCTGCACACCTGCGCGCCTTCTACCGCCACCGGGGCCATCACCTCCACCTGCCGCCTCAGCTCCGCCTGGAAGCTGCTGATGGAGAAAGTCCCGGACATTTTCTGAACTATTTCCCTTTTCCTGTTTAGTAAAAACTCCCTGCGTCCGTTGTCATCGTCTGTCTCTGCCTCCGGACACTCGTCCATGCCCATGCCGGCAACATCCCCGCTCCCCAGCCCCTCCAGGACCAACAGAGCATCGCTGGTCTCTGTGGGGTCATCCCCGGGCTGCCCCCCTGCTCCGGGCCTGTGTGCCCCCTGACACGAGCACTGCGGGAGTTCGCCTGCTTTGAGCAGCATCTTTGGGACCGCACCGACCCCCAGTTCCCCGAATCGCCGTGCCAGCTCGAACACGGCTCCCTCTCGGTCCCTGGCTGCGCATCCCCACTTAGATTCCATCACGGTGAGAGGGTTGGACCTCTCCGACAACAAGGGCCAGTCGGGCGGGGTAGTGATGAGTCGATGCCGTCGGCACAGCTCCGCTGCTCCCTGCATGTCCCCGGTTAGAGACACTGGTGAATGAGCCCCCCATGTCCGGTCCAGCAGGTTCTGCTGGACGTCTCTGGGACTCAGGGTGTTGTTGTTGACGGTCGGGCCGGAGCAGACGGTCCCCGCGCTCTGCTCCAAACCCAGCGCATCCCTGCTCTGATTCAGACGATCTAATTCTAAAATCCCCTCTCCGTTCCGCATTATGTTAGAGAAGACGAGCAGCTGAGGCCGTAGGCCGGGGCTCGGGGCGAAGTCAAAGCCCTGGGCCTCCATGGGGCTCTGCGGCGGAGGAGTCGCGGACAGAGGGTCTCGGCTTTCCGTCCCCCTTGTGTCAAGTGCAGCCGTGCCCTCCCCGCTCGGCTGGGCTTTGTTCAGGTGGGTGCTAGGATGCTCGAGGCCCGCCGTCGAATCTCGGCTTATATCCAACCCCGCTTTGACGCCACTGTGAGCCAGGACCTCCTTCCCCAACCCTGCCACCACTCCACCCGGCGGCAGATTCCCGTTTTCTGCGTCCAAGCGGTCATCCTCGGCCGCGGAAACCAGGCGCATCAACACGAAATCGGGCGACATATCTTGCGCGTTGTTCATAATTATTCCTCAGGATCGCGAAATGAAAATGATTGGGCGATCTGCTCTTCACATAGCTAACCGCGGAGATCTCATTCCTATAATAAAGAAAGGGCCAAGCCGTCGCTGCCTCCGATACATAGGCTATGAGCGAAGGAGCCAACAAATACATCAGGCGATTTTTTCATCCTCTTCCCTTCACAGGACAGCATCCATCTGTCAAATATCGGGGGAATGAATGCAGTTTGCTCCCGGCAGCAGGCGGACCCCTGGGTCAGACATGCGGTCTGATTTGAGCGGAATAAAAGCAGCAGAGTCTCCGGTCAGTGACCACAGTCTGCCTCCCTCTGTGTTCACAGCCAGGCCCCACCCGCTCCTCCTCCGCTCAGCCCATAACAGCGCTTTATGAGCGCCGATCATGAGAGCTATAAATTAGTCTGAGGCATTTTAATATCATATACCTGAATCCGCTCTACTTCTGATCAGCTGCTTTCTGTTTTCAATCCTTATAAGGAGACACAGAATAAATCAGAAACAAAGCATTCTTATGATAATCTTAATATATTCAGCCTATGCAGGAATATACTTGTTTCTGCTGCGTATTTGCAGGTTGTCATCTGTTGGTTCCATTTGTCTGCCAGGCCTCTAAATGCCAATTCTCGAGTATTTTTTGTAAACAATACATTCTGCTACTGTAGCCCAACTTAAAATGTATCAAGAGCAATTGTTGAACATGTTTCAAGTAAAGTTAAAATCGTGTTACAGGTGATTGGATAGGACTATCATTTGATTTGTAATCTTGCAAATATCCATTAATAAGAGTAGGCTAAAGAGTTTCAGCTTTGACAGGTCACAAGGAAAACAATGATGAGTCTAAGAGGAGAACATTAACCTGATGTCATCACTGGGATGTCTCAGGGATGTTAGGGACTTGGCTTGAGACAAAAAAATAAGTAGGCTATCTAAATACAGCCTGTAGACCTGAAAAAGTGAAGTCAAAATGGAAGTGCTTTAAAACTATATTCTTTCTAATGGACAGCAAGAGCTGTTGCAAAATTAAGCCTGAGAAGTAGTTGTTTGAGAAAAGTAGCCAACTTTTCACTCTGTTTATTAACTCATTTAACATTTTTCTATGAGTTCATATTCTCAATCTCTAGTTTCAAAGCAAGATGGTAATTTGGTAAATTGTGAACCAGTTTAGAGGACACTCTCTCTCTCTGTATTAACAATAAAAGAGAAAGCACATGAATTGGTAAACACATTTTGTCTGTGGTCATCCATGTCATGGTACGTTTCGAAGTCCAGTTGCCTTTGGACTAAGCTTCAAAGTAAGCTAATTTGTTTAATTGTATATTTATTTTTTAAACAAGTCCTAATTTAAAGCCAGATTAAAAGGTGTCGGATTTCTTCTAAGAATCAGTTATTATTACTATTTTAATTTCCATACATTGAGTTCACTTTGCTTATGTTAAAACATTTTTTCTTAAATGATGATCTGAATGCAGTTGAGTATTTGTTCAGTGCGGTCTTAAGTCCTTTAATAAAGTAAAGGCTCTGCATTCTTCACCAACCACAGCTTGACATGGACTACTTTAATTGTCTTTAACTATTTTACAGCTCACATTTAATGAGGTGTTGGGAGAGTAAGTGCTTCTTTTTGGCTTTCTCCCAGAATTCTGTGTGAGCTTAGAACAAGTTTATTAAGTCCTCAGCCACAGCGGTGTCACTCTGTCCACCCAAAGATCTCTTTCTTGGCTGCAAAGTCCCTGATTCTGACTGACTCATCATTATTTCTGTGTTTACTACCTTCTCCTTCACCTATCTAACACTGTATACATAAAACTTAAACCACAAATTGTCTGACACAACGTAACTGTTTATAACCTGAAAAAGGATTTACGTAGCCTATATATTTCATCCATATTGTTGTCACAAAAAAAGACAAAACTTAGAATTGAAATCTGAAATCATCATCAATAGAACTTAGATGTACTTCACTTTTGGCTCTACGTTCATATTTTTGCTAAAATGCTCAGAATTCAAGTTAATGTTGGACAAATTGGAGTGAATAGCACAAGGAGAAGAAACAAAGAGAGAGAATCTAATGAGTTGTAATCAAAACAAAACATTTGTCAGGAACAGGGTGACTGCAAGCTCAAGCTTTGGCAAACGTCAACCAAGATGGCTGCTGCACATGTGGAACATTATAAAGTGCATCAGAATAAAGGGTCTTGGCTGTAGTCTTGAAAATGATCGGTGTTGACTATTAAACCATGTCAGGAGTTATCAATGAGCACAGACCAAATACCTCTAAAAGATTTAACAAACCAGAGCAAAGAAACATGTAACGTAGAAGTCATTTGCCAAGCATGTAGCTAGTACTAATTAATATTCCTTCATTTGCAACATGATACAGTGACATTTGGAATTAAATTATTTAAAAGTTAGGTACTATTTGTTCATATTGTGAACAATTTGTTCATTTTATATTGTCTTCCCACTAAAGAGGCAACCAACGTTTTTTTTTTTTTTTCTACAAAATACCTCAATGGTTTTTAAAGGAAAACAAAATGAGTGACTAATCAGTCTTGAAACAGGTCATGTTTGGATAGGAGGGGGGCCTATCTGCCAAAGAAAACAAAACTTAAGCTTGAATGTCTGCCTTGTTTCTGCACTGTTAATTGCATCTTCCTTGCAATTTATTCAACATTTGTATTGTAAACATTTGAACCATGTGGTTCATTTTCTTTAATTACACTTTTATGACATTTTGTCATTTGTTTTTACTTTGTTCCTTGTTTCTTTGTGTAATCTCACTGTCTATTTAAAAGGTGTTTCTAATTATTTAAAAGATTAAAAATCCCAACCTCAAGTTGCATCAAAAATAAAACAACACAACCTCTGGAAGCAATGAATGTCTGTACAAAATTCATGCAATAAATAAAGAATACAAACAAAACATCTTCAGTTTCAGTTTTAGAAAGTAAAGTGCAGGATAAACAAAGATTCATATTTCTAGCACAAAGCTATAAAAAAAATGACTTTGGCGTCTGCATGATCTCAAGCAGCAGATGTTTTCATCACAGACAGCAGTGAACACACCCAGTCGAGTGTGATCTGATAGTAACAACACTGAACTGGACTGATGCTTTATTGCAGTGTGGCAGGTAGAGGGAGCTGCAGGCCAACATGCAATGATGGATGCTGCTGCTGCTGAATACATATAATGATGTGTGAGTGGATGAAGGGCCATCAATCATTCCTGTGTGTGTGTGTGTGTGTGTGTGTGTGTGTGTGTGCGTGTGTGTGTCTATGCTTGTACGTGTGTGTGTGTGCGTCTATGCTTGTACGTGTGTGTATGTGTGTGTGTGTGTGTGCGTGTGTGTGCGTGTGTGTGTGTGTGTCTATGCTTGTACGTGTGTGTGTGTGTGTGTGTGTGTGCGTGTGTCTATGCTTGTACGTGTGTGTGTGTGTGTGTGTGTGTGTGTGTGTGTCTATGCTTGTACGTGCGTGTGTGTGTGTGTGTGTCAGTGTTTGTTCATACCTGAGCTTTATGTAGACTAATCAAACTAACGACCTGCCTGCACAGCTGAATGATGATGTGATTTATCCTGTATCCTGTAAGTTAGGGTCAGCAGTTTACAGCATTAACATTACATCACAGTTTTATTGTTTTGTGTTGTAGGGTTTTATTTTGTGTTTGTTTTGTTTCGCAGAATGAATCATCTGGCATGTTCTTTATCTCTCATCCTGTCTGACATTGTTCTGATCTGCAACACAAATCAGTGAGCATAGATTATATTTTCATTGTAACATTATAATGAAAATTTGGTACAACTTAAGTGCGCGCAAAAATGTGTCTTACTTTTGGATTGACCTGATTATATCCAACAAAAATCTACTTTACTGAAAAGGGTCTGTGGTTTGATATTAATTTAGTAAGCTAACTGCAACAGCATCATTTTGTTCATGAAATGGTTAAGTCATGTCACCAAAACTCCTTGGTATAATTTTAAAAAGAAAAAAAGGCTTTCAACTCTTCAGCTGATGTCTGAGAAAAGATGTGCAACTCTACTAGCCATGACTGTTTGGGGCTTCTGATGTAGTAAGCGATTGGCGTCAAAGTACTCCTGACCAAGACTTTTCTTTTCCATGCATTAGCTCTGTTTACAATCCCACTTATAATTTAAGAAATGACAATAGACATGTGAAAGTCATAAATCAAAGCAAAAACATCACTAGAGCACCATCGATGGACTTCAGGATTTGTTTATGAGGGGTTGTGTTGTCCTTTTTACCTTTCCACATGGACTGTTTTCTGCGCACAGCCAAACTGCTTTAACACTAACAATATACTCAGACTATAAACTGAAACCAAACCAAAATTCAATTCCTTACCTATTAATTCTGCTTTTTATGCAGAGTCTTAGGGACAGATCATTGTACTGGCTTAAATAATACCTCAATGTTATATTTTGGTGTCACAAGGAAACAGTTTTTAGTGAGCAACAATGAAACGTTTTTTGTGGCAAAATGATTGTTTAATGTTGGACTGAAGACAAAAGTAATCTGTATTGTAATGTGGTTATGTTCTTGTCTGAAAAAATACTGCAACTATACATTGAGTGTTTGATATTTAATGTGGGCTTGAAAATGAGCTGGAAGCAATGTATAGGAAGAATTTAAAATGAACTGAAAGTTTGAATGAATGTAGAGAAAGCTGTTAGTTTACCCAGAATGGGGCACATTTATTGAAGCTCAGGACAAAGCAGATTTACGAGGGGATACCTGGAGTCGAGGCACCTGAGCCAGTAATGTACCAAGAATGGAATATAGATAAAAAAGATGGAGAAGAGGTGACAAAAAGGGGAAAAAGATAAATGATATGAAGGATGGATGTATGGGTATAAGTAGGATTTACAGGTTACAGGTATTATTGAGGCCTTTTTCTGCTTCTGAACAATACATTTACTCATAATCCAAAAAGCAGACAGCCCAGGTTCAAATCCGACCTTCGGATTCTGTCTCGCATGTCACTCACTACCACTCTCTCTTGTCCCAATTTCCATCTCTACTCACGGTCATGTTTCTTCAAAACAGGTGCAAAAAGCACATGTTAAAAAAGTGCAAAATATGATTCATGTTGTGTGTAACTGATGGCATCTTCTAGTTGACAAACTTGTTTTTTTCCCTTTATGTTTTACCAGAGAAATACATGAAACAAGGCAACATGTGTCCAGGGCTCCCACAAACACAGTGACACTCCCTCTGTCTCTCTGCCTTGTTGTCTTCTTTCAGCTCGACTGCAGCACCTTTGATGCTCTGCAGTGAAGTCAGGGTGGGAGGTTGGAGTGTGCACATAAATGTGTGTGTGCATCTGTGTGTGTATAAGGGGAGTTGGGAGGTGAGGGTGGTGGGGATGATTCTCAGAAACTGGTTGCCATGGTCACCAAAACAAGGATTCTTGGCTGCATCACTCCTCACTGTGAGCATGCTCTCTATCTTTCTTCCCTTTTTTCTACTCACACTTCTCATGCAGTATCTTTCACTCAGCCAGACTTTGAAGTACACACACACACACACACACATACACACACACACACACACACGCACACACACACACACACACACAAATGCCGTGTATGCAAACAGGGGAATCCCTGACGCTGCAAAATTCTACAAATAAAACATTCAGATCTTGTGAGTGTGCGTATGTGTGTACGTGTGTGTGTGTGTGTGTGTGTGTGTGTGTGTGTGTGTGTGTGTGTGTGCGTGCGTGTGTGTGCATAGTAAAAGAGCGTCCTTATCCTGTGTGTGTGTGTGTGCGTGTGCGTGCGTGTTAGTGTGTGTCCAAAAGGGGTTAATCTATTCATCCAGCCTGCAGGTCCTTGATGGGGTCCAAATGCAGCAGGGCTTAACTTAACCCTGATCTCTGACTGGATCATCTCCTGTGTTCACACACACACACACACACACACACACACACACACACACACACACACACACACACACACACACACACACACACACACACACACACACACACACACACTATATCTCTCTCTCTCTTTCATCACCTTTCAACAATAGAGCTTTCCTGTCGATAAGGAGGATGGGGAGGGAGGGACAGGTGAAGAGAACAGGGAGATGATCATCGGACAGAGGAGGGGGAGGAGGATGATGGACAAGCATCAGAAGTCTCCGTCAGACGTGCTGGAAGCTGTTCGGAGCAACAGATAGCAGAGCGACAGACAGACGAAGAGAGCTGAGTGGAGAAAAAACATCTGCACTCCTCTCTCTCTCTCCATCCATCCATCTCTGCAACTCACGACTTTCCTCCTCCTCCTTGTCTCCTCCTCCCAGCAAGTACGGGATTCCCCCAGTATTATCCTTTTCCCCCTCCTACTCCTTCTTCTCTTCCCCGCCTCCTCTTCTTCTTGCACTAGCCGCATTTGCTTCGGATCTTGGCGCACGGCTCTGCGCCTTTGCATCGCAGGTTGGCTAAACAAGGCGCAGATATGCGGGGACGCCACAGAGGACACCGAGCATTCATGATATTTTCATGCGACATTTTGAGCCAATGTAGGAGCGCGCGTGTGCGTGTTGATGGTGCGCACAGATGGAGCTTTACGCGCAGTGTGTGAGTGTGAGCGCCGCTGAGCGAGGAAACGCGCTCCTCCCGGACACCTGCTGCTTCGTTAAGATAAAGAAAGTCCAACTCTATGCCAACATGTGACTTTCTTTTCTCCTCAACGGATCTACAAAAGGGTTAACTGGCAAAAAGAGAGGGTGTTGTGGGGTGTGTGAAACCCTTCTCCTCCTCTTCTTCTTCTCTACTGAGTGATTTTGCGATGGATCCTGTTTGGCTTCTCCTTCTGCTCCCTTCCCTTCTCAGAGCGCAGGTCACTCCAGACCTCCCATCAGGAGTCACGCTGGTTACAGACAACAGCACTGATTCTTTGACAAACAGCACAAGACAAGTAGACCTCCCCCCAAGGCCCCCCAGCTCCTTCAGAATCCCTCAGCCCTCTGGGTCTGCAGTGATGTCTTCAGAAGCTCCTACAGAGCAGGAGGACGACTGGACCCCAGCAGAGGCCTTCATGTACACAGGAGACCCCCTTACTCTGGAGGGGGGCCGCTGCTCAAAACCGTACAGCCCCCCGGGGCAGACGGGTTCCCTGCCCGGCAGCTTCAGCGCCCCCTCAGACCGGCTCTGAACGCGCTGGCAAACACAGCAAACTTCCTGAACATGATCTTCCAGGCGAGTGACCTAAGAGAGAGCACAGTGCAGGAGGACATGGAGTGGTACCACGCTCTGGTCCGCGCCCTCCTGGAGGCCGACCTGCTTATCCAGCGGGCCCTGCTCACTTTTGACGCTGACCCGATGGCAGCAGTACCACAGCTGGTGCTCCGCGCCTCCAGAAACCCCACAGCTAAAGTCCAAACCATCATCCTTCAGGATTTATCCAAGGCCTGGGAGAGCCTGCACCCACCTTCCCCCGCCCCTGACGACAGCTGGTTCAGAAACTTTAAATTCCCCGAGTCCAATCAGCCGATGGCAGCACTGTCAAAGCGGGTGCTCCTCAATGACCTCAGCACCCTTGATACGCCGAAGTGGAGACAGGGCGACAGCTACGTGACCAATCGCAGCGGCGTCCGCTGGGCCAGCGCCCCCTTTCTGGACTGTAAGGATGGACGCTTTGTGCCCCGCTGGATGCTCACCCTGTCAACGTCCTTCTACGGCCTAAAGCCTGACCTCACACCAGAGTTCAGGTTAGGACACAAACACCGAAACAAACTCACACATTCATGCAAACCCTCAGAAAAAAAAAAACAACAACACAATTTTAAGAGATCTTAATCGTATAAACCTAAATGTTGAAACTTAAGTTCTGCAGATTCTTGACCTTCTTGCAGGTTAACAAGGACTGTCCAAACTGTTAATTCAGTCAGTCGGCAAGGTTCCTATACTGTTTCTTAAAGTTTGCGTAGAGTGCAGAATTCCAGAAATAAACGTTTCTCAACTTGACAATCTGCTAGCCATCATGTGTCCCTTACATGTAACATAGACTAAGAATTTGACTGAATCTGTCACTGAAACAGACAACAACTCTAACTAATAATGATGCATTCAAACTCTTGATTGTACAACATTAAAGCTCTTGACTTTGTTCAGTCTGGAATCAAATATACTTGGTAGAGAAACATTGATCAAATTTCATTAATAAGGTTAATTATCTTGCATTACTGCCAGGAACCATTAAAAAAAAAAAAATAGATGTGAGTAAAAACCAAATATTTTTTAAGCTCTTAATCACTGAGAGGATGAAAGATTTGAAGTGGAAGGCAGCAGTGTTTGTATATGACCTGTTTTTCTAGTTCAGTGTTTGGCTTTGTGACCTTCTCTGAAGAACTCTGAGAAAAGTTTGAAAAGCATTTTTGAATAAAATGTGTTTAAATCAATAGACTTGGATCAAATCCATCATCTAAAGGGAGATTTGAACAAGGTCTGCACAGATTTCTGCAGCAAAATGAAGAGCGGGCAAAGAAAAAAAGTAATTATTGTAAAAAGTAGAATGACAGTGGGGGGGCTTTCTTCATTCTCCACTCTAAAACACATCTGCCTCCGTAACCCATCCTGTGTTTTTGTGTGTGTGTGTGTGTGTGTGTGTGTGTGTGTGTGTGTGCGTTTCTGTGTCAGAGGTGTGGTCCGTGTGGATGTCAACATTCAAGACATTGACCTGGACCAGTGTGCTACAGGAGATGGCTGGTTTGCAGACACTCACCAGTGCAATCGCACCACCATGGAGGTAAACAAAATGATGTAGTTCAGAATAAAAGAAGTTAACTGTTTTGCACCTTTGTATTTATTCCATTAAGCATCAAAAAAAAGGATTGAGGCTTTATAAAAAATAGTCCACAAACCTCTAAGTTGCTTAACCGTGTAATGTAATGTCCGAGGTATACAAGCTTTAAATCATGTGTATGCGTGCACATAGTGACTGACTGCATACCCTGTGTTGTTTCAGAGTGTTGGCTGTGCATCGCTGTAGAAAGTCGCAGAATGTGCACGGACAGTAGGGGCAGTGCTGGGCTTGATTTGAAGCTATACACACAGTGGTCTTAAACCACATGCACATTGCCACAGTCTTGGTGTGAAAAAAATTAATAAAAAACTGTCGGACTTTCTCGACTTGCAAAATAATTTCATGTTGTAATTATAGTAAGTAAGAAAAATATTTTTTGACTCTCACCAGATTTACACATGTTTTTATTTTTAACAACGCCCAAATTGGTCTACCTCTATGGAAGTGATTTTTGCCAAGGCATACAAGAAGTAACAAAAGAAAAATGGGCAAAAGCTGTGGACAATCAAGGATAGGATAAACACAGCTGTACCCCATATATATATTTTTTGCACCCCTAATATCTATGAAAGTATATCTTCTTTATTATGCATATCTCTGCAGATTCTATGTAAAAATGTAGAATCTGCGCATGGGTAGGTGTTCTGGTTTCTATTTGTAGTACATGAGTAGTTTTGACCAATGAGGTATCGGCAAGCTTTGGTGTATGCTCTCCTTATGGAGGCAGGACACAATCCAGTGACATCCTCTCAACCTCTCTTGAACACATACCTGACAATGCTTGCATGTTCTAACTGTAACAGAGCTTCTTACAAATTATAATGTTTTTATTTCACCAAACCTGAGATCCATAAACAGCAAATACAACACAAGAAAAACGATTTATTTTATGGGTCATTCTGCTGAAGTAAACACAGAGGGAATACTCTGTGTAATTCACTATTAAAACTGAGACTCACAAGAAACAGATTGAGAGGCTCCTCTTCAGGAGAAGTCATTTACCAGGAAATTATAGCGTTCAACTAAGACATAACTGGAGGGGGGGGTTCGCTTCTCAACTTCTATATGGGACCCAACTGTAAACAATGCAGCGCACAGAAAAGAAAGTTGGCTAGCGCTAACAGCTGGCTAGAGTGGAATATTCTGAATGGAAGTACAAGAAGTTGGCATCTGTTTCCAGGGGCATATATTATTGTCAGAAAAAAAACTGAATGCCTCTGAGATCACTTTATGCCTACACTAAAATACTTTCAAAAGATCTAAAAGATTTTAATCATTGATCATGCGGCAGGAAATGTTCAGGGAAATTCACAGAGCGGCCGGTGAAATCCTTGTGCACATAATAAAGCTGCTTCATATGTTCTTTACTGCTCACTTAGAAGCTTTGATATAATGACAAAAACTGTCATCATTGTGTCAGGCTCTGTTGCTTTTTTTTTGCCACCTTGGATACGTTTTTAATATTTCACAACATCCTTTGTACATCATGTCTTGTCTCATGAGACCCCCCAGTGTGGGACTTGTGTGAAAGGGCAGCTCTAGAAGATTTCATGGGCAGTCTGTCCTGAAATTTTCCAAACATTTTCAAGAGTGCATGTGTGATAGGGACTTTAGTTACATCACACAAATAGTTGTCCTTTTTTTTATCCTTTGCTCATGCTTTCGCTCATTCAAACTTAAGCACTTCTGTCTGCTGCTTCTCCCTTTCCCCTGCCAGTGTGTCTGTACTGACCCAATCCTCTAACTCTCGTCTCAGCCATCTATTTAAAGATGGTTTCTCTGGGTGGCATGCTGCAGGATGATCTGATGGATTATGACGATAATCCAGGCCTGCTGACATACTTCGCCTTCACGTACAGGAGTCTGAAACACAAGAGGAGAACCGTCCTAAAAAATCTCCAAATCCACCTGGCACCCATTGTCCTGTCCTACCTGGCTTAGAGGATTCAAACCTGGCTGAGCAGAGCAAATACCAGGTCGCACATTTCCTGCTGTTTTGCTCAGTTCATTCCTCTCTCCTTTCTAGGCGGGTATTGTTTTGGATCTTGTCCCAGCTCATGTCAATCAATCAATCAATCAATCAATCAATCAATCAATCAATCAATCAATCAATCAATCAATCATTATGTATTTGTTTAGCAACAATTCATAACAAATGTAACATTTTATGTTACAAAAGGGCAGGTCAAACATCTTACTTTTTGTTATATTATCTACAAAGAACCAACATTAATCCATCATGAGCACAGCACTACACAATATTTAGCAAGAGGAAAAACTGCCTTTAAGAGGCGGTCCGAAGAAAAATACGAGAAAAGGTAGTTCACAAACTCTGAGGAAGATATATGGTTAGTAACTTACATGGTACATGGAGATTTACAGATTGTGACATGCAAGTGTCAAAGAGAGAGAGAGAGAGGGAGAGATAGGGGCTCAATGTACCAGGTCCCCCATCAGCCTAAGCCTATAGTAGCATAACAAAGTTTTAGGCTTACTTTTAAAGTACAGAGGGATTCTGCCTTCTAGGACCCTGACTGGTAGATGATTCCAAAGGAGAGGCCTGATAGCTGAAGGCTATACCTCCCATGAGCAGGCCCGCATTCTGGGAGCGTAATGTTCTGGGGGTAATAAGGCACCTGGCCATTAGGAGCTTTGTAAGTGAGAAAAGGGAATTTTAAATTATATTCTAGATTTTATAGGGAGCCAGTATAGAGAAGCCAATACAGGAGTAATGTGTTCCCTTTTCCTAGTTCTGGTCATTACACGAGCTGCACCTTTTTGGACTAGTTGAAAAGTCTTTCCAGGGCAGCCTGATAAAAGAGAATTACAATAATCCAACCTGAAGGTAACAAATGCAGGAGATTGTTTTCTGCATCATTTTGCAACAAGATATGCTTGATTTTAGATATCAAAGGTGAAAATAGGCTGTCCTTGAAAAGTGTTTTATGTAGGAGTTGGACATATATTGATCTAATATACAAAACCAAGATTCCTAACAGTGGTGCTAGATGCCAGGCTGATGCTGTTAAGGACAGTTGTATCATTAGAAAAAGTCTCTCTGAGGTGTTTAGGGCCAAGCAATTAACTTCAGTCTTGTCTGAGTTAACATGGAAAAAATGTTGGGACATCCAATCCTAAAGTCTTTAAGCAATGCTACTAGTTAACATAACTGATTGCTGTCATCAGGCTACAATAATATCAATAGTTGAGTATCATCTGCATAACAATGAAAATGTGTGGAGTGTTTCCTCATAAACACACACACGGTCAGTGTGTTGAAATATAGTGGACTTGCTAGTATCTGTCTCTTTTTTTTTAGATTGTTGTGTCTTCTACTATATTGGTAAGTGAGCATTATGACGTTTTGTTGATGTACTACAGTGAAATACTATCTACTGTCAAAACTGAGTGTTTTATTCTGAAAATGAACCGGATGTTTAAATGTTGTGTCTGTATGTGACTTCCTATCCTGCTCGATCAGCTCTGCAGCAACTTGATACACCCTGCTCCAGCAAAAATGGAAGTCTTGCATATCTGCTGCAGAGGACTCAGAACTGCCAGAGCTGGGACAAAGCACAGTGAAGCTAGTGGAATCATACACATTGACTAAAGTTAAACCTATCAGCTCAGCTGCTGTGGCAGAGCGGACACAGACTGAACATGCATTTGGTGGAATTTAGCAGTTAATCCTCCTTGAAACCTTGATATATTCGAATGTACCAGATTTGGTACAAAACGAAAATCAAATACGTCCAGCATTATGTAGAGGAGACTTCTTGTTATTGAGATCAACAAATAGCATTAGAAAGCATTTTGAAAGTTTGAAGGCATAGCTTCATCATGAAGTTCAAGCCAGAAGGAAACAGGACTTGGTTATACTTTTTCCAATCTTAAAACCCTTCGGCTATCGCCTGATGACCATATATCCTCAAAATCAAATTTTCAGATTTTCCAGTGTAGCCAGTGTTGGGCAACAAACAACTTCCAGCCAAATATGGCTTTTATGTGCACTCTTTTGTCTACTGCCCAATCAGGAACTTGTGTAGTGATCAGATCTAAAGTGAAGCAAAATATGTCTGTGCAGCTGGGGGCGGACGGTTGGGGCTATTGTCTCAAGCGAATCCGGCCACTCCCCTTTTTGCTCTTTAAGATCTTTGGTGAAATAACAAGTGGTGGAGGTGGAATCGGTCATTTCTGATGCTGAGGCCTTCACGACACAGTGTGGTTTTTTTTGTCTTGTGGCTCAAGTGGAAATGTTTCATCTAGAACGGATTGTTTGCTTGCATCTTATATTTAATTATAGGGACAAATAAATCCCTGTAAGATTGTTAATTATGGGTGGATTGTTTTGCGTCGGCTTTTCCTCTCCATACGGACAGATTTTCCTGCATACAGCATTGTCTGCTGATACCTGATTGGCCAATTCTAGTTGGATGACAAATGAACTACACTTTCAATGCAAAAATCCAGACCCTGACAACGTGTTCTATATTTGTAAAATGTATGTAAATGTAAAATCTGAGAATAGATATTATACCTCAAGTGGCCTTCTGGGTTAAAATTGAAGTCTACCAAAGCCACAAAAAAAACTGTAATTTCTTCATGTCATATACAGTATATGGTTGGTTAGAAGTTGGTTGTAGGTAGATTAATGGTAATTAAGTAATCAAGCATCATAGTGCCTTTAAATGCTGCAGCAGTAAATCAGGTTTCAATGTATTTTCTTGTCATGTTTGATGATTGAATCCTTTGATCTACTACAATTTAGTACGTCTTCACTTTGATAGTTTATGACCATAAGGAGAATTAACTCCCTCTATTTAATCCATATCACATTAATGTTCAGCCTGTAGCATTAGAGCTATGATGGGGGGAGGGGTGTTGTATACATATGAGAGGACAGTGTGTGTGTGTGTGTGTGTGTGTGTGTGTGTGTGTGTGTGTGTGTGTGTTTGTGTGTGTGTGTGCATGTTTGCATGTGTGTGAGGGTGGAGCCAGATTTCTCTAGAAAAGGATAATACCCTCAGTCAAGGCATTATGTGTCCATTTAGCTTTTAACTTAGATTAACAAACAGACAGACAAAGTGTGTCTGTGTGTGTGTCACGATGGGCTGAATTGAAGTTAGAATCGGAGTGAGAGTAAGAATCTCTTGTTTTAACCTTTATTTATTTAAGAACTGAACCAGTGGGAATAAAATATATTAAGTCATTAACAGGGATGTGGACCTCAGATGATACCAAATCTCCATACGGCTACGATCCAATTCAGGAACGAATCATAAAAATTATTGAGTGATCTGATACGATCAGATGCAGCTGAAAAATTTTCAACTTAATGAATGCGAAAGAAGATGTTACTATAAAGGGAATTTTTGTGATTTTAGTTGTATAGGACTAAATTATCAGTGAGCAAGACTAAAAAAAGGTCAATACAGAAAAGACCTCTCATGTATTAAAAGTAAATTGAATGTATAATCATCTTTTATCATTACTTAATAGAGGACGTTCAATCTTACTCGGCAAAGAACATACAAATACAAGCATGATCAAAACAATCCCTCTGTCTCTTGCAGTGTGTACCTGTCCCAGGCAGGGGTTTTCAACTGGGTCAGTACTGCTGCCGCTGTAGAGAAGGTTACTACAACCCTGAGATTCTCATTCAAGACTTGGGTAAGTCAGTTATTAATCTCTAATTATTTTTGATTTCCTATGGTCAAATAAATGAATTGTTGTAGAAATCAGATTATTTTTATATGTGTGTAGGCTTTTCATAACTCATCCCATAATTGTCTAACTGAATTTAGCTCTCTTGTAAATCACAGAGATGAGGATGTCGTGATGGAAATACAAGTTCACCTAAAATAATCTTTACCTGTTTGCTCTGATGGCATAATTGGCAGCTGATCAATATGCCCCTGTTTTACAAAATTACCAAACTTTAAAGCTCCTTTATTTTTCAAATACATTTAGGTTTCACAGCCAACACACATTAACTGAATAGTTTAGTTAAAGCCCCTTTCAAAGCCTTCTAAGACCTTATTGATAGCCATTTACCTGAAAAGAAAAAAGCACTTATGTGGACCAAAGGAAAAAACACAATTTGTGATTGACTGCTGAAAAAGTTCAGTTGACCAAAGTGCTGTACAGGTTAAACAAATATATAATAGGCCTATATATAGTAATAAAATTGGATACTGGTACCTGAAATTAAAAAAATATATTTTGAAGCTTGAATTGGCCTTCAGTTTGTTTTAGTTGAAACCAGATACTTACATTTAAAATTGTTTACAATTGCTACTTGACAGTTAGTCATCTCCTCTGAAGAGCTGCGCAATGAATCTCAAGATAGGTTCAGCCACAAACTATGGACCCAATGCAACAGTCCTGGGAAAGGACGTATTTGTCAATCATCCTTGAAATGTGTCCTTCAAAACTTGCAGACCCCATGTTGGCACACAGCATATATTTGGATAAGAGGGTGAATCCAGTGATTATCAATATGCATGACTAAGTCACATGAATTTTGAGACTTATCTATGGAAAAAAATGTTTTTAGTCCAACTGAATGCTGGTCAAAATATTTGTCACATTACTGTGGTAGAAACATATCAATCACAGGTAGCCTCGCCCTTAAACGTGCCCCGTGTTATCGTCTATTTTATAATTTAAAAGAACATGTGCTGTGCTGAAGAGGACTTGAAACTAGAGACTGAGACCATGACCCCATTAGGAAATGTTTACTCAGGTAATAATGATAGAAGAAGTAGGCTCATTTTCTCAAAAAAATCTTTGGAATCAAAACTATTTTTGCATCCAGTAGAATCAACCCCTGCTGGCCTTTTGAAAGAAAGTGGTTAAAGGCCACACAGATTTTCCTTATACAAATAAAGGAAGTCGTGTTTTCAGGTACGTTGATGTATGAAGAAACTGGTAATAAAAGCCCACAGTTCTTTGTATTGGTGTAATTATTTAACACAAGCATAATTAAGACTCTCCTGTTCACAGAGCTTACTGCTGTATGTGTTATGTGAGGTTTTAAGTCACATGTTCATGAAGCCCTCACATGGGTTTGTGTGGGTGTTCGTGCAGATGGCGGCCCTGTGAACGGGAGTGAAGACAGTCGTGTGTGTTACCCAAACTTGCCCATCTGTCTACCATGCTGGCCGGGCTGCAGGAGCTGTCAGGACGGCACCCCCTGCTGGGTGCAGGAGGCCTGGCTCCTCAGGGCCACTGTGCTGGCCGTCCAGGGGGTCTTCATGCTCCTCATCTTTGTCAGCATGCTGGTGGCCTACAGACATCGGAGAAACCGGGTGAGTCAGAGTTCTTTGGCTCAACACAGCCACCACACAGATGGGATGGAGAGATGATAAAGAGAGCTCATTCAGACAGTGAGCCTCATGCCAAGAGTTCTTTGCTTCATTTTGTGATCCGTCCTTCAGTCTAAATGATTGTTATCAATAGTTTCTTGCAACAAAAATAAAAGCAAGAAAATAAACTAATTTCCACTTGGAGTTGAAGCCAAAGTTCTTCTTGAAGCCTTCATCAGGCTGATAACATATATTATTTCCTCAATAAACATTATTCCCCCAAGTCCAAAAATGAAGCCTGTTTTTTCCTTCCCATGTTTGTGTCAAATGAGCCTCAACTACAACTTAAAACACCTAAAACAGCTCAAATATGGTTTATATTGTTAGCCTCACACAACAGTAGATCAGTCATGTTGTGTAATCAGTAGAGGAATCTGAAAACTTTTGAAGTCCTATACTATTTTTATTTATTTTTTATCTATTTGTTTATTTGACATGGACATTATGTTACATATATATGGCATTAAAGATCTTTTTGTTCTCCCACAACTACCCTTTTTGATTGGCTCAAAAATGATGGACCAACCAATTAAAACTAGGTCAATTGGGAACAACTAAAGGCAGAAGCCAAACAAACTAAAGGACATTTGGCAAAGAAAGTGTGTAAAGATAGTTGGAGAAAAAGGGGAAACCCAACAAGAAGGAAAACGTGAATGTTCCATGTCCTGATGTGATGAGGAGAGCCGATGCCAGCTACCAGCTGTGACAGCGAGCAGAACTAGATCATTTTAATTAGAGCTGTGCCAGCTTAGACAAGAGCACACTTATGTAGTAAACAAAAACAAGAAAGCTTTGCCAAGACTTGAAAATAAGGTGAAGGAACTGGAGAGGGCAGCCTCGTTGTGGCAGCTCACAGAAGTTATGGAAGAAAAGTTGGGAGGGACGGAAGACAGAGCGATGCAGTTGGACCAGACAGTGTCCTTTCTTCTCTACCAAGAGGCTAAGTAGAAGTGAAATGCGACTACTTTGAAGCAAGATGAAACAATATTAAGATAAATAGTATTCTGGAGGGCTCTGAGAAAAATGAGTTGGATTTGTTGCTTGCTGGTTGTCAAACCAGAGGGCAACATTGCGCTGCCAAGAGCAATAATTGTTCCCTTTCTGGACTATCAAGTGAAAGAATATGTTATACAGCAAGCTTATGCAGAAAGAGGAAACAGGTGCTGGATGTAATAAATGACTGAAGAAGAAGAATGTGTTGGCACACGGTCTGGTGGTTCCTGACTGCCTGAAACGGACCAGAAGTATTAAGTGCCTGCCATCATAAGAGCTGTTTTAATTCACTTAATATGAAAGGAGCTTTGTTGTTTCCTTTAGCATCTTATTTAGCATAGGATACACTGGGTCATCCTTTAGGTAAGTAGAGAAGAAAAAATACCCAATTCCTTGCGTTAACCTTTTCATCTTTCAAACGTTCATGAAATACACAACATTTTTTACATCTATTTTTTTGTCTGGTCGCTTTGAAGAAAGCAATGTAACAGCTGCTACTGGTTAAAATGCTATTTTTTTTCTCAAAAGGGTCATACTCTGTAGGGCTCCTTTCTGTATTGTTAGTTAAAATAACATTCTCAAACTGTCAGCGACAAAAACAATAACTAAGTGGATGGAAGTACTGTACTTTATTTTGAAAAATGTTATTACATAATAACCTATTTAATCCTACTTCAGTATCCTTTGCAGTATATATATATATATATATATATATATATATATATATATATATATATATATTTGACGGCTTGTACGTATACTTGTGTTTGTATAAGATTATAGTTTGTTTGAATTATTGTTTTGAATTAGAGCAAGCTATTTAAAACAAAAAAAGTCACTCCATACCACGAAGAACTGATGCAGGCAGTGTAAAGTAAGGAATTCCTGTGTTCTGCAAGGCATAATTGCGGTGGATTTTGGTGAGTTTGTAGAGAGCAATGTGAAGGCTGTCTTGGGGTTAGAAGTAAACGGATGTGTAGAATAACAAGTAAATAGGTCATGATGTGAAAATACAACAAAATTGATTTTTTTTATCTTTTCTGTTTTTCCCCCCCCCTTAGAGGATCCGAGCGTCTGGCCTTTTGCTGCTGGAGACGATCCTGTTCGGGTCTCTGCTCCTCTACTTCCCGGTGAGAGTCTGACAGATTAATCTCTTTACAGATCACTGCACAGCACAGCGCCAAGGATTATATTATAATGGACCATTTGTGGGAGGGTTAGTGGGTTGAGGGCGTGTGTGTGTGTGTGTGTGTGTGTGTGTGTGTGTGTGTGTGTGTGTGTGTGTGTGTGTGTGTGTGTGTGTGTTCAAGAGGAATTGGGGTGGGGTGTGTTGGGATCAGGGCAAGCAGTTTTCATAACAATTGTCAATTAATCTTTAGACACATAATTATTAATTAATTATTTACCAAATAAAAGAGCTGTTCAAAGTCTGACGTAACTCTTTATCAATCTGTGTGAAAGTGTTGGTCGACTGAAACTGTTCCTGCTGACTCTGGATGTTTCAGTGTGTGTGTGTGTGTGTGTGTGTGTGTGTGTGTGTGTGTGTGTGTTAATACTGCATTGCAGGTCATTGATTAAGTTTTACATGTGATGTGCGAATATGTTTATGAGATTTTGTCATGGCAGCCGTGAATACCTAGAAAATGGTTTTAAAAGATTGTAAAATAATCTCTTCATTCAGGATATAAAAATGACATTTTTCAAAAATGAACATTTATATTGTAAAGCCATATATTTATTCTCCATTGACATGAATTCCTCAATATAAACTTGTTATTTTTTCCCTGAACCAAGGAAATCATTTCCTAACGTTTGTAGAATAAACTAAAATAAGTTTTGGAATAGAGCAGACATGATTGTATAGATTACATACTGTGTAAAACATTTACATATATGTACAGAGGCAAGTCAACTGGAAGTCCACTCATTTCTATGTGAATCGCTGTTATATTTGATGTGCCTGTGAAACTCCTTCCCTCCGTAATAACTCTGTCCCGAATTTACCTCGATTGCGATTCAGCCAACCAAGTAAGAAGGCTATTTCCATCTACTCAGTTGCCTATTTTGATGGTTAAGAGAGTTTGTACAATTAAAAAGAACTTGTTTATCTAGTTTGAACACATTTTAAATCTGTGTAGTTATTCTGCTAAAATATGTATATACATTAATCTAAATAGCCAACAGTGTACCCCGTGCACAGCCTATACATTCCCAGGTGCGTACAGTTGCAGGAACATGCAATGAAAAATAGATAAAAAAATCTGTGGCACACTGAAAATGACTTTACTGTATGCTGGGCGAATTTTAGGAAGCTACAGGCGAAACGCGAGTTTGTTTGGTATAAATAAAATACAAATTGCAGCCCACATACCTGACTGTAGTCTTGAAAGTCCCAGAAGAATAGCTCTCATCAGGACCGTTCATTTGATCTACAAACAGAGCCCATGTTGCATGGGTTTGAAGATATTGGATTGAGAGACCTTTAATTTAGGTGTGTGGGTTTTAGCAAATTCTATATAAAAATAAAGTAGTCAAAATTGAATACATCTAGTGATAAAATAATACTCAGTACATTAAGTGAACCACTGTACTTTTCTTTCAAATTTGGGGTACTTTAATGAAACTTACTTTCACTTGTTGCTCCACAATATTAATGACAGCTTCAGTTACCAGTTATTAGCAGCTTGCTTTTATTTCTTTGCGAATACATTGCTCATTTTATTCTTTTGGTTTTTTTTATGAACTCAACCATCAGTAACATAGTATTTATAAGATGTGGTATTAGTAACTAAAAAGTAATGTAAGTAGTCCAACTATTACAACTTTTGCAACCACTTCAACTAGTGCTGTTATTACCTTTACCTTCATTTACCTTCACCAGGGAAGGATCCTTTGAGTTGCCCAAGGGTTAGCAGGGACCCACCTTGAAATCTGATTGGCATCACCTGGCACCACCCCAAAAGTTCCTTCAAATTTATACACATATTATAATATATCCTACACACACAACACAGACCCCAAAACCAGCCCCATCCACTCCACCACAACTTTCCTTGGGTCTACAGTGACAATGATTGTACAAATAGCTTACATTTATCAACAGAACCACTTCAAAAACCCTAAACCATGATTGGCTATTTGCTCTGTCAGAGGCAGGTGTGTTAATCAATTATTTGGGCTGTGTTGCAACAGGCTGCATTTCAATGCATTGCATTTGCATTCATCTGTTAGCTTTAAAAAGTGTGACTAAAGTTAAAAAAAAAATATACACATAAATATAACATCTATATGATCCTTTTTGTGTTAGTAGCTAAATAAATAAATGTTGTTTATTATTTTGTTTGTGTATGCAAACTTCATGCCTCTGCCATAAAATGTCATAAAATGGTGAATCCGACCCTGCATTGCTGCATATGGCTTAGTCCTTCTCTATTCCACCAGACACTTAACAGATCTCATCCGCATTTCAAGATATGAGCTGCCTCTTTCTAAAGCATGACCTTTGAGTTAAATATGGGTTATATTATATATACTTACAGTCTGTTACACTGAACAACAGTTTGTGCTTTGGTGTCTGTAGTGGCAAAGCAGATGACTGTAATCCAGGAATTAAAGCGTGGCCCGCACTGACAGTCGCTCTCTGTCACTCTAGATAAGAGCATCAGCTAAAGCCTAAAATGTGAACGCAAATTTACATAATTGTGTTCAAACCACTCATAAAGGATAAACCACAGTACTCAGAGTGAAAACATAGTCAGAGACCACGTGCTGTAAACATTAAGAGCAGGCAGCTTTAATCAGCAGAGATGGTCTGCACTCAGGGCAGATCGGGGTCTTGCTTATAGACGGAGAAGTAATCTGATTGGTGGACCTAAAGTGACATTAAATGGAGAGAGATAAGCCTAATGCTGCTGAACAAAAGTTTCACAGATCTCTGAGGCACGTTTGTTAGCTTAACAGGTGTTCTTATACATTGAAAACCATAAAGTCAATTGGGAGAGAACATCACTATGAATTGAACCGTAACATTATTCTTCACTCCGCTAACGTAGTTAGTTAACTAAACAGATACGTGGAAATAAAGATTAACGGTCTTCCTGTTGAATTCGCGATATGGGTCCAAAAGGCTTTATTGTTGTTCCTACCAATGTTCAAAATCCTGGGCGATCTGAATTTTTTTGTAATTATCGTCGGCGCCACTGAGTCATTAAGCCACTCCCACCAATACAATTCATTACAATCATTTCCTTTTATCACAGGGCTTTTTCCTAACAAATGTAATGGCTGTACAGGTGTTTTAAGGCCCTGAAAAAACTACTTCATGTTTCATGGCAAACAAAACATCACCATAGCCACATCATTTGATGTAGACTTTTGACTTTCAACTTAGAGCATGGCTGAGTTCAGATGTGCCTGAGCAAATTTAAGTGTGATATAGCCAACAAAGAATTGCATTCAGGAGCCGTGACTTCCTGTTTCCAGAGGGTGGTGCTGTGACTATAAGAAAAAATAGAAAAATGAATGTGCACAGGCTGGTCCTTGTATTACACATGTGAGATTTGGAGATAATTGACGGCTGTATATCAGAGTTATTGTGGTTTATTTTTGGGCAGTTTACCAAAGAACACAGCAAAATTTGACTGCCCGACACACTCTTTGATGACCACAAAATGTTGGGATAACTTTTGCTCTTTAGGGCTTCTACAACACACTGATCTGTGTCCCTGCAGGTTTTCATCATGTACTTCAAGCCGAGTACATTCAGGTGTATCCTGCTCCGCTGGGTCCGAATGCTCGGCTTCTCTATCGTCTATGGCACAGTCACTCTGAAAATGTACAGGTAGGTTAGCGATTTTGTTTCTCATAATTTTAGATAACATACAAACATATCCTCAATATTTAGGAATTTGAAAAACTGCAGAACCTTGAGTTAGATGTTGTAATTTTTAGATCTTCGATTAATTTTGTCCAGATTTACTTGATAGGATTTGAAGGGGAGGAGTAAGTAAAACAACACCTGCTCTAAGTTTGCATGTGTGTCCCAGCTCAGTCTCTGTCTTCTACAAAATAAACCTGGTAAAGAGAAGACCTTTTCGTGGCCAATCATTAAATGTTTTTCAATTAAGACTAATTGTAGTTAACTAATTCTACCATTATAGAAAAAGAAAAATGACATGTGCATTTCAGGTGTAATGTTGAGCAAAAGATGTTCTCTCTTCAAGGTCCAAACACCTCCAAAGTAAAGCTCTCAAATGGTTACAGTTTTCTATTTTTGTTCAGTAGACAAATATTGGATAGGTTCTTGCCTCTTACAGGGTTCTAAAGGTGTTCCTCTCCCGCACGGCCCAGAGAGTTCCCTACATGTCCAGCCTCCACCTACTGAGGATTCTGGGAGTGATGCTGATGGCAGTCAGCTGGTTCCTGTGTGCGTGGACAGTTGGGGTCCTGCAGAACCGAGACAGGAACATCCCGGTGTTCATCACAACAAGCACATCAGAAGGCCAGGGGTTTAACCTGTGTTACCTGGACCGCTGGGACTACATGATGGCTGTGGGTGAGTGTAAGCAGTAACCTCTGGTGAGGATTAGTCTGAACACTTTGAGGGGACAATTAGACTATACTTGAAAAGAGAAAACAGCGCAGCTAATTTAGAGTCTAACTAATTAGCCTACAAGAAATTTAAATTGTTTTCGAGGTTAATTATTTTGTGACTATAACATACAACATACAATAATACTAAATGTGAGAATACCAGAAATGTCAGTACAGTAGAGCCAAAAAAATAAAAATAAAGTTGTATAAAATAGGTATTAAGTAACAGCTTTACTAAATTTATAAACCAAAACCGATGGTTGATGTGTACCGGTTATCACTGACCAGCATCTCCTCCCATCCTCAGCTGAGCTTCTGTTCCTGTGCTGGGGCAGCTCCCTGTGGACCGCTGTCAGGCCGGTCCCCTCAGCTTTCCACGAGCCTCGCTACATGGGCATTGCCATCCACAACGAGCTGCTTCTCTCCACCATGTTTCACCTGTTCAGGTAAACATCTAGTGTGTGTCTGTACATCTCTAAAGCAGGACAACTAAAAAACCCAGATATGTCTCAGCAGCGTTTCCATACACTCTATACAGACACAGTGCAATTATATGACATGGCTTTGTTTATTCTGGCTCCCTCAGGTTCACCTTTCCCTCTCTCCATCCTGATTGGATGTTGCTGCTCTCTTTCACACACACCCATGTGACCATCACTGTGACACTTGCGCTGCTCTTCATTCCCAAGGTACTAAATATCAAAGTCGGAAAAAAAGTGTTAAATTCGGAGATAGATGAGTGACCTTGATCTCCTGTTAAAGGGCCGATATTATGCTTTAGTGTGTTTTCCAAGTGTCCTGTGCATGTTTAGGCACATATATGTGCAAAAATTCAAAGTCTGCGGAAACGCGGCTTCTCCAACGTCCTCCTGTTAGCTGTAGCATTAGCCACATGTAACGCTCGGTTCTAGCCCCCCTCGATAAAGATTTATCAGTGTGGCATCATTGTCAGTGTGAGATCACTGATCTAAGCCCATTGGCTCATTGTGGCAAGCCCTGCAGCTCATGTTGAAATTTCCGAGACGCGTGCTGAGCAACTGACCAATAACGACAGAGCGGATCGGCAGACCAATCAGAGCAGACTTGGCCCACGTGGGGTCTAACAGTGTGGGCTCAACAGAGTGTAGCTGACGGACTCAGAGCGGAGAGGGAGCAAGGAGGAGCAGTACATGAAAACAGACACTTTTTTCGGACTTTAGCTATTGTGAACGTACAAAAGTAGCTACATAGATTAAATATACGAACCCCAAAAAGGGCAGAATATGGGCTCTTTATGACGTCCTTATGCTTGTTATTTTTTTAGGTGACAACATTAACAGACATGTCAACTTACCAAAGAGCAACTGCCTCTTCTTTGCATCTACTAAGAATTCAAGTGTTGTATGTGGACTAGAACGTATAAAGATTTTTTTCTCTATTCTTTGTTCTTATTATTTATGAGGCGTTTATAACATAAATTGGCAAGGGTCAACAAGCTTATATTTACATTTTTGTGTAACATGCTTACATTTATTATATTGAGGGGGTAAGGTAATCTTTTGGGGGGCCATGGAGGCCACAAAAATTAACTCACCCTTAATATTACCAATTTTAATTTTGAACCCAAATTCTCAGTTTTCTGCTCAGTATAGAAAACTAAAGTAGATATTTTATGTACAATACTTCAGTAATATGCAGTATGTACATTGACAAAAAGTTAATTCCCTGTCCTGAAGGGTGCTTTTGTTTGTTTCATATTTGGGAAGGGTCCTTGGACCTTTCAGGGGCCTAAACATTTCTACGGGTGGGCTTGTGTTGGGGTGTTGGAAAGTCAAGTCTTTATCCACTTTTTTTGGATGATTATATGACAGTGTGTTTAATATTGAAAGAAGATTTTTGATTTCTTTGAGTAGAAAAAGGGCTAGGAGAAGGATAAATAAAATTTGACAGGGTAATGCAGGGGGATGATAACCAATGTCCCCAGCTAAAACAACAATAAAGACAAAATCAACGTGACAAAGGAAAGAAAATATATAAACCAAATAAATGACATATGTAGCTTAGATGAGGAAGTGACTAAGAAGGTTCCAGCACATTAAAGAATGAAATTACAAAATAATTAAATTGTATCAGTAGTGAGGGTTAAGCACCTACGTTGTGTAAAGAAAGATATATCATTATTAAAAGACTTGGTTAAATTGTTGGGCTTACGTTTTGGAACCAACTGCCCAGAGCATCATATATTGTGCATCTTACCTATGGGTTTGCCCTATGTAAAATGATAACATGCTATACCTGTGTGTCCACAGTTCCTTTATGTGTCCAAACCTGGGAGAGCGGAGATTGCAGCAGAGGTTTATGAAGATGAAGTGGACTTACGGCGGTCTGGCTCCTACCTCAACAGCAGCTTTCACTCCGCTTGGAGTGAACCCAGTGTGGACCCAGAGGACTTTAGGGTAAACTCCTCAGAACGATGCTATCACTTTTCATTGGGACATGATTTACAAAAGGTGGATGAAGTCCCAAAGGTCACATTTAAATTGGAAGTATAAATGTCCCTTAATTATATTAATAAAGACATGAAGACTCCATTAAATTAATCTTAAACATATTATAATTTAAAATCATAAATATAAATGAAATTAAATAATCAGTCAAATGATTATGTTGTTCTTTATATCTTCTCTCCACCATTTATCCTTCTCTCTTCCTAAACTCTGTCTTTAAATGAAAACCTGCCTTACTTTTCCTCTGATTTGATATTATCCCCATCTTTCCATCTCTTCTACCATTTCCTCCATCTTTTCATCAATTCCCTCCCTTCTTCATATATACCAGGATGAGCTGAAGAAGTTATATGCCCAGTTAGAAGTCAACAAGACCAAGAAGATGACAGCAAACAACCCTCATCTATCAAAGAAGCGGAGTTCTCGATGTGCATTGGGGAGATCCATTATTAGACGCATTGCTGAGATCCCAGAAACTGTGAGTCGGCAGTGTAGCCGCGAGGAGAAAGATGGATCCTTCCACAGTAGAAAGGTGACTCAGTCTGACTCTTTCAGGAGGGCCCCAGATACTGTTAGTATTAGTTACAGAAGTTCAATTAAATCACCATCACCATCCTTGCACAAATCCCAAAGTGATCACCACTATGTCAGGGATAGAAACACTTCATGGCGAGACTCCATGTTAGACAACAATTCTGTGAGGAGATTTTCCCGGCGTTCCGATACCGACTCCCTGGATATTCCCCCGGGGGTTTGTAAGTCAGCCAGTGCCCAAAATCTGACAATTGACACCAATCTCCTGCATCCTGATCACACCAGGCTTCATAAATCCTGGAGTCTAACCTCCACTACAACTCATTCTATGGAGAACATGCCCAAGGTTAACAGAGCCAGCACAGTGCTGACACGATCCAGGCAGAGCATGTCCATTGGTGACCAGACAAGGAGTGCTCTTCAGTCAGAGTCATTTGACAAGGCTCAGGTCTGTCCTTGGGAGGTGGAGCAAGAAGAAACAGAAGTCAAGAACCAGAAACATGTCACCTACGCTAACTCTCAAGATAGTGCAGAAAAGGGGCCAGCATCTCCAGAGGTATTTATCTGCCCCTGGGACCACGTACCACCTGTAGAAAAGACCCCTTCAGAGGATAAGGGATTACAATGTGTGACTGATTCTATCAAGAAACAGCTCTCTGTGTCTGCAAGTGCACCAGCCTCACCAAGACCAAAGGTCACAAAAGATCAACGTGTATTCTCTTTCCGCACCACCACCAATAAGTGGCTCTCTGTGAAATCCATTATTGGATCTATGGATGCCGGAAGCAAGGCTGGAAAGGATGGAGATCCACACAAAGAGGATTCTGTCTCACAAAAAAGCCAGGAAAGTACTTCCACTACACCAAGATCAGGAACAACTAGTAGACGTCCAAGCACAGAAAAGAAGTGCCTGCAAAAAAGAAGTATGACAACAGGAGACGGAAAACCATGCCTTGTCAAGCAAAATGCCATTAGACTGTCATCTGGGGATTCTTCCGACAGAAGTCCAAGAAGGCTTGTGATTGTGAAATCTGCTGTCTACCCTTGGGACATGGATGATATGCAAAAAGATGGCAATTACGAAAATGTGTTTTTATCAAGGCAGAACAGTAAACGTAGTAGTGTAAGTTCTTGGGAAACTTCCAGCAGCTGTAGAACTCCTTCAACTCACAGAAGAGGAAGTAATCGGATCACACCTGTTCGTAATGTTTCCCATGCTGATGTATGTCCATGGGAGGCTGCTGGAGAGGGACCAAAAAAGCAGCAGAGCATCAAAGGAGATGTCTGCCCTTGGGAAACGCAGGTATCTGAACCTTCTAATGTATGTCCATGGGAATCTCAAGAGCATGGGAATGTTAGAAGACAAGGAAGTGGTCTTGGTGACGTGTGTCCTAGGGAATCAAAGGATATTCCTGTTATTTATTACACTAACAAGTCCAAAGATTCACAGACACAACCGTCTTTGACAGGTGCATCAGACATATGTCCCTGGGAGACAGCTGGAGCTCCAAAACCTTCCATACAGCAAGATAATGAATATGCTAATGTTTGTCCTTGGGAAGTTCAGGACAAGACTGAGGTTGTGTATGAAAACCTCAATCCTTTAATGAACAAGGGATCCTTAGCAGTGCCCCTGCGACAAGAAGTTGTGAAACCTGCTGTCTATCCTGGTGCACTGAATGAAATTTTAAGTAATGAGCAACAATACCAAGCACAATCACCTGCACTACATGTTAGTAAAGAGGTAATCAAGACAACAGAAAGTTGTCCATGGGATTTCCCTGAACCCCCTAAATTGGAAAACATTTGTCCATGGGAAGAGGAGAGCACAGAACCAACGAATACAGACTGTACTTCACCAATGACCATCAAGGTAGACATTTGTCCCTGGGAATCTGGACATCAAGACAAACCAGAAGACTCACAAAAAGTCATCTTGCCTTTGAAAGCTGCTTCCATACAATCTGAAGATAAAGACAGCCAAAAAGTAAACATCTGTCCATGGGAAACAGAAGCCCCTGAAAAAAATGCAGTAACAAAGATACAGTCACAAGGAAAGGAAAGACTAGCAGATGTTTGTCCATGGGATAGTGGCCAACCAGACTCAGGTATATCACAGGCCCCCATATCATCAGAGAGTCATGTAAGGCAAGACACAGTTCTTGTGAATGTTTGTCCATGGGATACAGAGGAAGCTGGGGCAGTCAAAAGTGAAATATTAAATACATCAGAGACACAGAAGCACCAAAAGAATTCTCAGGAAGATGTTTGCCCATGGGAAACAGAAGCGCCAAAAGTTCTAAGAAAGCAAGACAGCTCTCGGGTAGATGTTTGTCCGTGGGAGACAGAAGACACCAAAGTTGCACAAAAACAAGAGAGTTTAAGCAAAGATGTTTGTCCATGGGAAACTGAAGCGCCAAAAGTTTTTAAAAAGCAAGACAGCTCTCGAGTAGATGTTTGTCCGTGGGATACAGATGACCAAAATGTTCTCAGAAAGCGAGATAGTGCTCAAGAAGACGTTTGTCCATGGGAGACAGATGATTCAAAAGTTTTAAAAAAGCAAGATAGCGCTCGAGCAGATGTTTGTCCATGGGACACTGATGAGCCAAAAGTTTTAAAAAAGCAAGATAGTGCTCGAGCAGATGTTTGTCCATGGGAGACTGATGAGCCAAAGGTTCTCAAAAAGCAAGACAGCTCTCAGGCAGATGTATGTCCATGGGAAAATGAACAACCAGGAATGGTCAAAAAGCAAGAAAGTTCTGAAGCAGAGGTATGTCCCTGGGAATCTAAAGATCCTCCAACGTCGACCGAAAACAAGGCTGGGAATCTCATTAGTGAAGAAGACAAAGTCACAGAGAACCAGGAAAGGCTCAGTATAGAAGACACTCCAGCAGATACCAGCACAGAGCAGATAGATGGATCAAAAGAAAACTTAGCCCTGGGTCGGCGAGATGCTTTGTGTCCATGGGAGATGGTCAGGAGCAGTTCTGGTTCATTCACAGACAATACTTCAGACGTTTTTACATGGGAGCCTGAGAATATTCCAGAGGAGGATGAAGAGGACGATGCAGAATGTGCTGCAGAGGCTTTTGTATTCCCCCCTGACCTGTGACATAAATCTAGCCAACATTTACTTTTGAGCCCTACTACTTAATCGGGGGTATATTAATTTTATAAAACCTTATCTTGGTGCCCTGTTAATGGTCAATGGAAACTTTATTTTAGAGTCCTTACCTTCACATCGGTGTCAGAGTGCAGGGTCATGCTGCTGGAAAGGTTGTTACTTGAAATAATCAAAGACAGAAACCGGGCTGTGATGAATGGAGACAATAAGCTGTGCAAAGAGAGAGGACATTAGCACACATGACAGAAAGGTTATGTTCTCCACTAATCCAGCAATGTACTACAGACAGGCATTTCTTGACTGATGAAGGGCATCTAAGGCATTTAGATGGACTCCCTTTTCTTCCTGTGTCTATCCCCTCATTCAAAAAAAGTTTGTCTTTTTATAATGTAAGTTGACAATTCACAAATTCACCATGCAGGTACTCTATGTTAGACCTGACTTGAGTGAATATGTTGCAATGTCCATGGTTCTCACAATCAGAAAATATAACCCAAGACTTAAGAGGTGGAACTCTAAAAGAAAAAAAAGCATACTCCACATATCAAGTGTTAGTCTTATGCGCAAATTATATTTTAAAAGTAGAAGAAAGTGTTGAAGAAAGTATGAAGCTGTCCTATCGGTACCACAATGGCAGTCAAATCCAAAATGATTGATTGAACTATGCATACCTCTCAAAGTAACTTAATGACTTAAGGCCAATGATAAATGTTCATTTTTGATTCAATGACATTCCGCCATTCAAAAAAAAAAAAGCCAAAATGTAGAAATCACCATATACTGACTTGCAGCTTTATAGTGCTGCCCCTAATAATTGAGTAAAGGCTACAATAACTAAGAATTTTTTAAGTAATATCTATGTCTTTTCATGTGAACACCAGTTTCACTTAAGTAGATATTTGGATTTTAAAATGTTTTGGAAAAACTTTGAATGTATGGTTATTGCAAAGAATAACAAAAATGTTATTGTTTGGGTTGTAGCTCACATGACCTTCCCAAACTTTATTTATGTAAATGTTCCATATACTGTAATGAGAGCTATTATGATGAGGCCCTAGGTCCAATTGGAAAACACTAGGAAGCATCATTTGTGTTACAGATATTTGGACACCAGTTTCATACATAAGTGAAAATGAGACATGAGTCATATACATAAAGTCTCTATCAAGTCAGCACCTAGTTCCTTAAAAATTGGGTCCCCCTCAAAAACAGAATGTGATGATTTGCAAAACATTGAATCTCTGTATTTAATTGAAACTAGCACAAAGACAACATGTCAAATGTGGAACATTTCAAAAAAGTTGGGACAGTGGCAGCCTGGAAAAGTTATGACATTTTAAAAAATGCCTTATGGAAAATCTCACGGTTTACAAGGTTAAATGACAACAGGTTAGTAAGATGATTGGGTATAAAAAGAGCACCCCAGAGACACAATGTCTTTCTGAAGTAAAGAGTGGGAGGGAAAGACAGAGTCAGGAACAAGTGCAACACTTTAAGAATAATGTTTTAACACAAAATATCAGAAGATCTGGGAGTTTCATGGTCTAAAGTACATCCAGAGTATCTGAAAAAAATCTCTCAATGCAGGGGACAAAGCTTCAAACCAATATTGGATGGCTATGTCCGCCTCAGGCCCTCAGTCAGTCCTACAGTAAAAGCAGACATGGGCTCAGAAACACTTCCAAAACCATCATCTGTGACAGCAGTTCACCTCCGCATTCACAAACACTAGCTGAAACTGTACCATGCAAAGAGAAAGCCAGATCCAGAAACACTGCTGTCTTCTCTGGATCAATGCTCCTTAAAGATTGTCCAAGGCGAAGCACAAAACTGTCCTGAGGTCTGAAGAGTCAAATATGTGAAGGCACCATTAATGCTGAACCATGTTTTCAGGTTTTGGAGCAACACATGCTCTCAAATAGACAACTTCTTTTCCAGAGAAGGCCGAACCACATTCTGGATGTATTCCAATACCATGGCTCCATAGTAGGGGTCAGGGTCCCCAAGAGTCCGGGTAGTAAACTGGCCTTCCTGCAGATTCGACCTGTCACCCTGCGACCCTGTTTGGCACATCTGTGCCCAGTTGCATCAGCTGAGTATAAATTCTGTCTTAAGTTACAGTGTCCGCATTAAACCCTTTGTTGAAACTAGTTAGGTTCTAACTCAAGTTGAAGAGTCTATGGTTGCAAATAACTTCAGTTAACTGCCGTTATTCCACAAACAGAAACGAAAATGTATTTCAAATCTGATGAAGTGATAACAACAGATAAGCAACCTTAATCTACAACTTGTTTAAATTAACAACAGGGACATCGAATGGTAAAATCTTCAACTAAAACACAAGTATCTTCATTCATGATAAATGACAGCAGAATTACAGATCAGAATCATCATGCATTTCTGAGGGATGAATCTTAGGAACACACAACCAACACTAAACAGCCGGTACAACCCTTTAGCCATCCTCTTCCTCAAAGTTATCCCACCCCTCAAAACAATACACCATGACAACTGTATTTAACTGAGGACTTTACACCTACTAGGAGATACTGTAGGTGTATGATTTCAGTCATGCCTAAGTTGGAACTATCTCAGCTGTTGCAACACCTGAAATGTAAATAGAGTATAAACTCCATCGTAAGGTAGAACTTACATTCCAACTAGATTATGTTTAGACTTGCGCATAGTTGCTGCAACCGAGTGCAGGGCTTTCCACAGACATATGGAGTAGTCAGCCAGTGGGAAAGAGTAGCTAGCTAGGGGGGTCCAAAGCCCCTTTTTCCACGACAGGTCCCTGGAACTAAATGGTTCCTGTAGCCTATTGTTGTCAGCATTTTCACCGCGGACTGAAGTCCTGAGAATATAATGCCAATCAGGCCAACGACATATGGAGAAGCAATAAAAGTAACTGCTCTACATCTCCAGTCCAGAAGGGGGCAGTAATAAGACGACAAAGGACAGACATTAAGATGAGACCTTATAAAGTGACGGACTCACCAACATCATCTTTTTTTAGACACTAAAGTTAGCCTGTTAGCATTGATGAGGTTATCAAATATGGGTTTCAATGTTGTGCAAATCGTAACATTCTATTTTTATTTACAGTTTACACATGTCCCTTCTTTTAGGAATTGGGTTTGTATTAGCAACTGAAAAAACAATTGATAGTACAATTCCAGATGGATTTCTAGCCATATTTCATTTTAAAAACAATATATTTAATTACCTAGTAGCTACCATAAGACAGCAGCTAATGTTACCAGCAGTACAAGTTATTTAATCCAAAGTTATATTTAAAAATAATTTTACTTCCCACCCTCAGTATGTCAGAGCAAAATGGCTGGAGCGTGAATAATGCAAGTTAAGCAAATGGTCTGTAGTACTACAGAAACAGTGGATGACACTTTTAATTTAATAAATTTATGGATAAGTTGATATTTTTTGTAAAAAGCTAATAATGTGGACCCTTAATTTTAGTGTCTGGTACTATTATAGGTTATCTACCATAACTCTAAGTGCCAGAAAAAGAAGATTGCAACTTTAAGCATTATTGTGTGTCATTAATTTAAATTGTGATTAACCAGCAGTATTAACAGTTTTCTTTATTGGTGTAATGAAGTCACATTTCTATGCAAGCAATCGGTCTATACAAGCAGGTGTCTGACTTTAAGTATTTCAGCTACAGTGACTCCAGGTTGCTTCATTAGGTGATCTCATGTCACTGTTAAAACACAGCACCAATTATTTTGTGAGTTGAGTGACCTAGTATTGTGGCTTTGTTGCATGTTTGTGTGTTTTTGAATGAGCGTATTGTAAAATGTCTTCATGTTAAAGAAAATGAAATTGTTGTAAAAGATCTTCTTGGTTTACATAAAGATACAGCCTATATTTTAAAGTGAGTATGCAATGTCTTCTACAAAAGAGTTAGAAGATAAGACAAATCCACTGACATGTATTACAGTGAGGAGAAGCAGATGGGACCTTTTATTTTTGTATTTCCTGAGGTCAACATGCAACATATTCATCAGAAAATAAACCACACAATTTCTGGAGATCGGTACACTTTATTTAATTTATATGAATATTAAGTTATTCTTCATGGAAAAAGAAAAATGTGTAAAACAAGGTATAAGTTGAAGCCATGAATTTGTAATTATTATTCCATTATGTGCTGTTGTATCTGCTGCAGTGAAAGACACAGCTTAACTGGCTTATGGACAGTCGCTTGTTCGTTCTAAAACTCACCTGCTGCTTCCAGCGTTTTCACAGCCAGCAGCTTTTTACACCAAACAAGAGACTCCAAAGGAAGCATGGTTTTCTGCCAAAAAAGACAAACTAACCAGCCCCAGCCAAAATGTTAACTGTGCGACTCCAAGTCCTACTGTGGTTTGATGTAAACAGCAGCGCCACCTGGTGGTCTATTTATTCCACTGAATAGCCTCAGGTTTGGGAACTTGATAGCTGAGGGCGTCAAACTCTTCTCCTGGCTTCAGTTCTGGACCAGGAATCATGACAGTCTGGAGGGCGATAAAGGAGCAGATTACAGTTTAGTAAAATAAATAGAAGTCAACATATAATCCCCAAAAATCTCTCAAGTCAATTCAAAAGCTTTTGTCCCTTCTCCCTAGTGACACAAAGAACACATTCTGAAATTTGGAAAAGTCTTTGGTTTGTAAGAACTCTGTTTCAGCTTGGAATTACTTGAGTATGCCTTCACTATTACCACAAACGAGTATTGTAACTATGCTGCTAGTGCCATAATGCATACTAAAATAATTAATGCATAGAAAATTATTACCAAGGAGCACTTAAAATGTGTTTTGGCAGACAGAGCCTGATATGTATTTATTTATTAGACCCAGAGTTTACAGCTGTAGAAATGAAGCAGATGGAGGCTGAGGATGCTCACACATAATGTATCCTGGTACCTGAAGGCCCTGCTGGCATGTCTTTGGAAGCAGGAAAACTGAGTGCATATCAGCTATAAGTCAGTTTGTGTTTATCTGCTGTTCAATTCCTGTGTTTGCAACATGTCCCTCCAAAACGCCAAATTAATCCAAAAAATAATTTCTGCACCACTAAATTAGCATCAGTTAATCTGAGGTTAGCCCAAAGATAGCATGAAATCATCTGACTGCATCCCAATGGTTTAAAAGCATGGCCATAAAACCCAGGCCTCCAAACAACAAGTACACTGCATGCCAAGCGAGAAGGCGCTACTTGTTTACATCAAATATATTTCTTTTAATCATTGAGATTTATTTATTCAGACTTTAACAATGTTTTTATTCAAATGCTCGCAATAATGATGACATTGCGATAAATTGTGCAGCCACAGAGCAAAGTTTACTGTCCCAGAACCCTAAAAGCTCTTTTTTTATGAAATCTTAAATCCTGTTTAGTTTGATGGACTGCATCTGGTGTCCTGCCTTCATCTGTCAGTTGGCATGACAGATTGTAATCGACAGGTTGCGGTGACTAAAATAACCGCGCAGAAAATGAGTCACACCTCAGAGATTTTAAGACATCCGTTACATTAGGTTAGCAGGTGCTGCAAGTTGTTGTTAAACATATTCTGATATTCACTTCTGTGCTATTGTAAGAAAGGAAAAGAAAAAGTGGCGACTTCAATCTACAATTTCTAAACAACTGACACGAATTAAGAATAATTAGACACCAGCAGGTATTATGATAACACTTAAACAGAGAACTGACGATAATGCTTAGTAAGATTTCTTAAAGAAGAGTGAGAAAAACCTTCCAGGCCACATTACTGCTCCATCTGTCCTGTTCGTCTGAGACACAGCAGGGGCTGACACACAGATTTAAGGGGATTATATTTTGTGTTTTGCACTGATTGGTTTAATGCCAGTCAACCTCTATTTCCATCTGATGTTGTGAGGACTAGAGAACCTTGAAGAAGAAGTATTTAAATGGCTTGTTCATCATTCAAGGAGTTTTTTTTTTTTCCAGAACATGATTGTTCAGTTGTATAAGACCCCATTAGTGTCGATAAAGCTAGATGATGAAGGACTGCAGTACAAGTGGACTGTAACCAAACCGTAACTGTTTTAGGAGACAAGCAAAGGTTGCACACAGCGGAGTGTAAAAGCATCCACAGTAAGAAATACACGTTGGTTCTTTGTAATATAGCACTGAGTAAGGTCTTTTACCTGCTCTTTTGTAATATTAGACAACAAACAGTGAGGTATTTTACGTGCTTGAGGTAAGAATTGTTGTGAATTGGCGCTATACAAATAAAGATTGATTGAGATTGATAAAACTGTAAACACACCTCATCAACCTTAATCTTAATCAAGTGATGTATGAACTGTCCACTTAATAAAGGTTTTTTCATTTCCTTTGGACAGAAAATGGGGCTTGGACCTCTTCCTTTATCTCACTAAAAGATGTTTAAAAACTTTGTTGTGAGACAGTGTAGAGTAGTGTCACCTGAATAATGGGGTCTTTGGCAGGAGCCCAGGAAGGAACTATCTTTCCGTGTAACCTCCAACGGCTGTAAGGGTTGACGAGATGTCGTTCAATGACCAGGTACTCCAAAACGTCCTTCAGGTTCTCCTCGCTGCCCAACATCAGCCTCCCGAAGCGGTCGTAGATGGCAAGTGTCTAAGGTTCAAGTAAATGTAAATTAACTCCATACAGTCATGTAAATCCTCCACCACCCCTAATAGAACCCCATAGAGTCCAGGTTGAAAATATATATACATTTTTTTTTACTTGTTTGATTCTGTTCACTTTTGAGTTGTACCTGTTTGGAGTGCATCCGTACTGTCACCTGGCCGTACAGGTTTCCTTTGGTGACCATGTCGGGGCAACGGGCGTGGACTACTTTGGGCGGCTCCAGGGACTCTACAAACCTCCATCGGATAGTTTTATAACGGTTCCCCCGTGTCATCTCCTGAATGTCACAGGAATGGGAAGGATAAAATGTAAAAAAAAAAAATGATCTCATGAAACCCAATAGGTAACAACTTCAGCTACGCTCAAAAGAAGAACTCACAGGATAACATCGCTCTGTCACCAGGGAGTGAAGGTTCTCCTTGTTGAAGCTGCAGAAACAACAACAAATGTTTATCTTTCCCTCTAACACTTATTATACAACACTAAACCAAGCACATATTGGACAAGAAGCATCACATGAGCAACGATATGGGAGAACAACATCACTGGGACTTTTCACAATATGCATCACTTCCACCTCAGCCAGGAGTCCTGAACACTTAATTTCCATTCATCTTTTTCTTTCTCCTACCTCAGAATGTTTGGGTTGCTTGGCAAGTTAGTGAAGTTGAAAAAATATCTGTTGAAGAGATTTACTTTTTCCAGATTTTTACTACCATTTGCTGCTCGTATCCATTTTTTATAAAAGCAATATCACGAGAGGGAGTGATGTACTGAATGTCCGCACTGCTGTGATTCAGACATGCAGCCTCATGCCAAAGATAATCACAGCAGTGCTATGTTTTTTTAGTACAACATATGAACTTTGACTTTAATGCTTAAATCCCCTCATGCACACTTTAGACATTTTGCTTTGGCAGAAAGAGAAATAATTGTGAGATTATTAGCCATGTTTGTATTTGAGAAACATTACAAGTTTGAATTGAAGTTGTCATTATTAAGGTCGTGTTTGTGTCTGCAATGTCGATTTGAGATGTTTTCTGCAAGTTAAGCATTTTTTCCACTTTAGAGTAGATCCAAAGGAAGTATGAGTCCTCCTCTCACCTCTATAAGAAATGTCTCACTTTGATATTCAGTGTAAACCCTTCCTGACTATGAGGCTAAGTTGAGCTGTGTCAGCTGGCTGAGAGAAGACAGAGAGAGGTGAGTTCACTTTCTTACTGTGTCAGGGCGTTGTGAGCCTCGATGAAGATCTCTTGCGCTTTCACGGCAAAACCTTTTGTGGTGAACTCTGAGTCGTGCTCTTTGATTTTTCGAATCCTGAAACAAACCCATTAAGAAAAACACACTCAGCTTTCCTGGTACAAAGAAACAGCAGTAAGGAGGTGACGCCGTTTCCTAAATTTAATGACACAACAACAAACTCTTTTCTTTTAGTAAGGGAACAACATTAGGAGTCAGAAAACAATCTTACGCTAGCTGTGAAGCAGCACTCTGTCGTATCTGCTCAGTCCGTTGCTTCAGGCCTTCTTTAGACAGACTGGAAAGACGAGCATCGCCCTCTGGGGGGATGTAGGGGTCGAATATTCCCGCTAGAACACATGAATGATAGGTCAGAATATACCTTCACACTTTGCTGTTGAGAACAGCTCTATTGTTAACAGTTGAGGACGAATGTATTTCTATTACTCAAAAACCACTTTCTACATCAAGATAATAGCTGAACGCACTTTTTTGTGCATCTCCAATCAGATATGCAGCTCAAAGATGAATACTCAAGTACCAACAATTTCCTCAGTTGATTGCTTCAGCGAGCAGCAGGGAAGCAGGCTGTAATGGCTGCAAAGTAATTCCTAGTTTTTGCAACTGACAGGCTCAAGATTATTTTTGTGTTCAAGTGTCTGACGACATTATAGAAATGACAGTGATAACCATATTGTTGAAGGGTAAGATGTTTCATTAAATCAAAAATAGCCATTACAACACTAAAATAATTAATCAAGGCAAAAGTAGACTATCCTCATGTTCTATGAAGTAATATTACCGTTTTTGTCAATGGAATCTGGTGAGCCTTGAAGGAGCAATGCATTCGATTTGTGAACTTACTTTGATTGGAAGCATTTGTCCCAGACATTTGAGCCACTGTAAGGGGTTTTGTGGCTGCTGTCTGAAGAAATCTACTATAATAATTACAAACCTTTTAGAATCTCTTCGTCAACAAGACCCCAAAATATGCAAAACTAGGCTCTAGGTTTCATTACACCATCAGTCTTTAAACTGTAACCAAAATAAACTACAAAAATCAAACAACATCCCTAAAGTTTCATAAACCTGGCAGAGAAACAAAACAAACTCATCATTACCAGAGCAGGCGATATTGATGGGCCTCTCAAAGTACTCCTGTCTCGAGACAATGCCTGCTGCTCGGGCTTTGGCCTCATTGTTCCCTTCACTGTTCCCCTTTGACCGCACCGCTGGAGGGATAAAGTACCGCTTCTTGGTCCGGACCTGGTGGAAAAGTGGGGCAGGATGCCTCAAATCGAGCGATGCCTCAGCATTCTGAGAGAAGAAGGACAAAAAGAGTTGTTATTTTTCATGGTTTCAAAATATCTCAATCAAACAGTTCAATTAATTGACTGACTGCCCATTTTCTTACATAGAGAAGATCAATAAAGTTAGTTACTGACAGTAGTATAAGCCTCAGTCTGAACTGCCAAGACAATAGTGCCTTTGCTAATGTACTTAGACACAGCCTTGACTTTCACCCGTATCCGCTTAAGATTTTATAATACTAGTTTATGTAACATGATTTTTTATTTCACTTGAATTTGAAGCTATTTTGTAGCACTCTTTTTGGTAATGTTGCCAACCTGCCACCAGAAATTCCTTCTGGGTTAAAAAGGTATATCGTATCTTATTTTAGTTGTGGTATAGCACAATAATGAAGATCATTTTGACCCCTCATTATAAAAGAGCAGAGAAAAAATAAGAAACTCATAAAGTCAACATAGAGCCAAGTACATCGCCAACATATTGAGAAATGAAGTCAAAAATCTGGCTGTTAGGTTCAAGTAATTCAGTAGTCACAATGTACCTTATTTACAATCACAATGTTGTGATTCAGTTCATTAAAACTTGTAATGCAGAAGAGAGAGAAAATACTTGATTAATATTTACGTGTCATCAGTTTAATTTGTTATTCTTGCGTAAATAGGCTCACGTCCAATGATACCAGTGTTTTAAACTCTTGTACAATACTAGTATTACATTAAAATCGGAAATACCAAATTGCACGAATATTTTTTATTTTATTTGTAAATTTTATTTCATTCAAACAAACAATAAAGTTAAGAAAAACAAACAAACATAAAATCTCGAATTTTGAATGAAAAGGAGCAGAAAGAAGATTAATCTTATAATATCTGCCCCTCTTTCACAAAACATCAATTAAAACAAAACAAAACAAAACGTTTCAAAAAGCATGGTGTCAGAAAGTATCAGAGTATGAATTTGTTTCACTGCCTCAGTGTAGAGTTAACCCATCAATGCAGAGGGTAGTGTCCTGACTGTAAGCTAACCTTAGCTATGTTAGCCCGGCATTGGATATGTGCAGAATAACGCGTTTCAAAAAGTCTACATAATAGTGTTGTTTCTTAATCATGTGTTATTTCTGAATGTATAAATGTCCCTTTTATTTAATAATGTATTACCTTAAAATTGCTACATGTTGCCCTGCGAAGAGCCACCAGCGCCCTCCCCACGGGCATCGCCATCTTGCCAGAATTTCTTCTTCTTCTTCTTCTCCTAATGATATTCCGGCAGGCTTTACACTGTAGAGTGTAACGCTGCCCTCCACAGTCGAGGGGTAAGTACTACTGAACTCATTTCATATGACAGTAGAGGAGTAGCGTCTACAGTAAGTACTGCGTATAACATTTAGATTTAACATTTAGATATAGATATAACATTTAGATATAGATTTAACATTTAGATATAGATTTAACATTTAGATTTAACATTTAGATTTAGATTTAACATTTAGATATAGATATAACATTTAGATTTAGATTTAACATTTAGATTGTGAAAGATATTAACTAAATATTGAAAATATATCTAAAATATATATATAACAACGTTTTTACAATCGGCACCCCATAACTGTGCCCCTAACAGATTGAAAGATTGTAACTGATATATGGAGTGTGTATGTGGACTTAAAGATAAATATGGACTTACTGTAATGGAGAAAGACGAGAGTCCCAGGTTAGGCTGCTCCTTAAATAACTATTGCTTTTCAGCCCTATATTTATTTCACACAAAAACAACATTGGACTGCACATGTCCACACTGACACAGACAATCAGGGTGTTTAACAATTACTTTTAAATAACTGACCAGACCGAAATATCCTAACCTCTGCCTAGTTGAAACCACATCATCCTTTCTGCAAGATTTTTAGCCTCTTCCTTTTTTACTGATGGTTGCAGAGAGAAATAATGCCTACCCTTTCTCTCTTCATCCCATTCTCTCTGCCACAGAAATTCTAGCTTCTCTTTGCAAATACTGTAGCATTCACCTTTCCCCAAAGGAACATTCATCTCAATAGACTGTTTAAAGAGAGACTCTATTGAAAGCTTATCAGAGATTGTATTCCCCTCAATCCCTGAATGATCTGGTACCCATAAAAACTCAACATGACACCCCAAATTCTCAACCTGAAGTAAGCAGTACAGGATCTTCTGAAGCGAATCAGGGCAAGATTCTGATGACCCCTCTTTCAATGCCAACAAGGCAGCTGCAGAGTCAGAACAGATGACAGTCTTTGGAGGTTTAACCTCCCGACCCACCATATGGCCCATACAATAGCCAAAAGTTCAGAAGTAATAACAAACAAATTATCCGCTATGCAGACTATCTGTCGGATCTGAAGATTAACCACATACTTGCCAAACCTTGCTTTCCCTGAGACTGGATCCAGGATTTGACAGACACCTTTTTCTTGTTTTATTTGATTTGCTTCTTGAGTTTTTTATGGCAGTTGGCAAACAATGTATGTGAATTACCGCCAACAGTTATTGAGTGTGAATCAGGAACTAAAAATTCCCTACTTTTGATAATCAAAAAGGGAAATTTATTACTAAACTTAAATAAATATATTTTATATATTTGCACCACAGAACGCCACAGGAGGTCATTCCTGCCTGTTGCCATCAGACTTTATAGCTCCTCCCTTTGAGTGACAAAGACTCTGTCAGAACCTGGACTATTTCAGCCTGAAAAAATAAATAAATAAAAAGATTTTAAAAAATAACTGAAAAACTGTAACCTCCACCATAACTCATTATTTATTAAAACTGCAATATAATAATTATGAATAATAAGTCCATGATAACAAAGTGCAATATTGAAACAAACAGTACAATAATCTTGAAAATGTGTGGATATATTCCATCTTACTCTTATTCATGTAAATACTTCTTGTACCTATTATTGATATCTTAATTACATTCCTATTCCATTTGAGTAATATTTCTATTACTATATTTCTACTGCTATATTGTATATTTTGGAGCAACTGTAATGATCAAATTTCCCTCTGGGATTAATGAAGTATTTCTGATTCTGATTCTGATTACCACAAAAATGGCCAAGATATTATTAATCACATATGTCATTTGATTAACACTTAAGTAGCCATTTTCTTATGTTACTCGATGGCACATTCATATATCAGTTATTGTATTATAGCCTGGGCCTCTCCTCATCAGAACAGACTATCTTCAGAAACGAGCACAAAGAGTTAAAAGTTGATCAGAGACATTCCTCTCAGCCTTTGTTTCACCAACTGGGCTAAGCTTCACCAACTTGGCATCCTCCAGGTGGATCAGGTGAACTACTTCCAGATTGGCTTATTTGTACATAGCTCCTTAATAAGAACTCTTCCTCCTGCACTCTAAGAAATGTTTTCATATAAATGCCATAACTACTCAAGGTGTAATTATTCTCTTCTTAGACCCCCTTATACAGGACTTCCCAATCTCAGTTAAGTATAATTTACCAATCTATGGAATTCTCTCCCTTCAAATAGTTTGAACTTGTCTTCATAGGAGTTTAAAAAAGATCTGAAATCAATAATTTTAACTAATCAATATTTCCATTCAAACTGCCTATATAAGCTGATAGTATTCAATATATAGTATTTAGCCTATATCTTGTCATGTTAATCCATTGACATATTATGACCATTATGTATTGTATTTAATTTTTCCTGTTGTTGCTTTTATTTCTTGTTCTTATGGAAAGCTCTAAGCTGTACAGCTGCATGTTTTTAGACTGTAATCACCACTGTTGATTGCATGTAAACGCCTTGAAATAGGTTTGTGTTGTGTCTGGGTGTGGCACAGGTACAAGATTTTATATATTTGTACAATATATAAATATTTAGTGGTGCCTTGCTGCCTAGTACTGTATTATTATCATGCATACTATCCTTGTTTTATATGTCCTAAACATTGCAAGACGCATAGGTATTGTGGATAAATGGTGCATTCACTGCAATAATTATTTCCTTATTATTCTGCCTGGGAAATGCCATTCTATGAGCGCCTCATGGGGCTTCTCCCTCACATACTTATGTAATATTGTTCGTGTTCTTCCTGTTTTATTTTCATGTGAATAAAAGAAATATAAAAAATAACTGTCTTCACATTTAATCCATGAGGTCAAACTTTTGCATATATAAAATATATTTATTTTCTTTTTTTTCCCATTAACTCACTCATTTCACTCCCTTTTTAATAGATCGATGCCTGTTTCATTTAGCTGATAGAGGGTTAACATTCTCATTCTTTCTATTGTATGCATGTGTCTAAGTGTGTGTGTATGAATACGTGTATAGGTTACTATATATGTGTTTATATTTAATTTTGAAATTGTGTAATTCGATTTGTTTAGTTGATTTATTTGTCTCTTGTATAAGCCTGTTGGCTTCTTGACCTCTCCTGACACACCTTTTATGTTTTTGTTAATCCTATTTTGATGTATTCTTATATGTGTGCTAGTGAAAAATAAAAAATAATAAAAGAATAAAAAGAAAACACTTGTATTTACAGTTTCAATTCAATTTTCCGAATTTTAACTACTTAATTTGTTCACTTGCCCAGACGGTCAACATCAGTGTTGTCATGTTGTCTTAATCCAAGCCTCGAAAGGAAAATTGTAATTGTATTTGTTTGCTATGGAGGACGACATCTGACAGAAGTATAAATAAATATATAAATGTATAAATAAATACTGGAATAAATAAAAAAATGAATGAATGAATAAATAATTAAATGCGTGAATAAATAAATAAAAACTGGTAAATAAATGGGACATAAATAATTGCACGCGTATGTCACGTACGCCGAAACGTGATGACGTAAGTGTCTGTAGCTCGACGCTGCTTAACTTGAGTTGTTTGGTCTACGAGGACAGAAGTGTAGCTGGCAGTGCTGACAGGCTTTCAGTTGATGTTGTTGCTCCTGGGCCGCAGGGTTCCGCTGTCATTCGTACACAGACTCACTTACCTGCTGTTCATCCTCACTGTCGACTGTTCTGCTCAGCTCTGTACTAATAAAACTAATAACTAGAGTAACACACAGCACCGTCTTCGTTAGCGCAACCGGCCAAAATACAGGAACCATGCCCGAAAGGAGGCCCTTCGTACGGTTACCGACTGACGTGTACCCCGTCAACTACGGCTTATGTCTGAAGCCCGACCTCATCGACTTCACTTTCGAGGGCAAACTGGAGGCGCTGGTGGAGGTACGTGAACCGGAGCGTGTAGCTGGATGGATTTGTCTGCATGGCGGGGATTTTGTTATGTAATCTGACCAGCTAACGTCAAACCAGCAGCTAGCTAATTTACTCTGTTGACTGAAAACGGAAACTGTTAGCCATTAGCCAGGCACTGGTGACCTAAGTAAGCTGAGCTAATGTAACGTTAGCTGGCTGCTGCTAACAAGCTATTTGTTTCATAGGCTGGACATGAATGGGGAAATAACGACATGGTATTTCTGCTGCTAGCCACTAAGCTAAACGAGCCAGCTAGCACAGCAGTAACATACTTGCACTCTCATGTTAGCTTAGCTTAGTCTCATTATCGTTAGCATGCTGACAGCAGAGCTCTTGACGTGTTTCAAGAGCATTTTGTTGAGTGCCAGCAGAGGTAAACCCCTTTTAATAGCAGTGGTGCATTGCCACCAGACACAATCGATTAATTGGATATTGATTACCGAAGTTGTTTACCAGCAAACTAGCGGCTCGCTAACGCTCACTGGTGTTTGCTAAATCATGGCAACATGATGTGGCCCCCTCCCACCCCCTGCCTTACTCACTCATTCAGATATGTGTTATAAACATGACCTTAAATGACTAGTGGGAAGTTGTTTGATAAATTGAACCAAAGGGTAGTTCTTAAAAACATGGTAAACATTGTATCTCATTGGTACACCCATCAGACTATGTGCAGGTAAACGGGGCAGTAGTTTATAGTCTTATTTGGGGTCAGTAATGGAGCCAGACGAGGGCGCATTTTGTCCTTAATTCTTTTTAATCTTTACACTGATAGTCTTTGTAAGCTATTGAAACCCTTTGAGACTAGGTGCATGATTGGTAAAACTTCAGTTAACCATTTAATGTATGCAAATTATTTTCATGTCCTTAGTCCATGTACTGCTTATCTCCCAGCACCACAGTGTTGAAGACAGTATCACATGCAATGCCTTCATTTTGCAGGAACAAAGTAGAAATGAGTCTGAAATATCCGTACTTCAAATTCAGGTTGTCAAAATTGTTAATAATAATAATAACTTTATTTCTATAGCACCTTTTAAAAACACAGGTTTACAAAGTGCTTTGACAAACAGCAAAAACAAGAACAAACTAAACCAAACACAGAAGAACATAAACAACAGTAAGAACATAACAAATGCAAAATACTAAAAATAATTAAATACAATTCAACAGAAAAGAACCCAAAGTGCACGATACACAACCAGACATATATAACCCGACTATCACAAGAACCCAGGCAAAATGTATTTGTTGTATTCAAATAAATTCATGTTTCATGATAGTAAATGCTTGGTGGATGATATTAAATGGATGGTATTGGAAAGTGCAAAGAGTAAAAAAAATAAAAAATGTTTAGGCATATTTTTAACTAAAAGCTGGTGCAAGAGACAATGATATAGCTATATATCTATATATATTGGCAATGTTTTGGTACAGAAATGGGGCACACATTTGTGTAATTTAGACAGTCTGCAGGAGTTTGCATGCATTTTTTGGCAATTGCTGAGGACTTCTTATCAAGTTGATGTTATTAGAATCTGGAGTTGTTACGGTCCTTCCTCAACTTAAGTGCCAAAGCAATCATACTTTCACTCATGTTTGCAGAGATGTCTCTGTTCAGACTCAGGAGTCTGTTTTTCATCTCTATATAATACATTTAATTTGATTTAGGGCACAAGTATCCTGTGTTTTATTTCAAATCCATGCCTATGGTCAGAATTCAAGAAAGTAAGCTTACAGATATTTAAAGTATCTTAGAATTGTTCTTTGGCAATATCATTAAAGCGACTTAAATGTCATAGTGCTAAGTGAAATCTTTGTGTCTGCATGAGATGAAACTAATTGTCAGGTTCATGCCACAAGAAATGAAAACATCTCGGCTTTGGCGACATTGGTACGGTTTCCTCTTTGTAAGACATTACAGTATTTTTAGAATGTTAAACCAACTTTCATGGTTTCATTTTGTGTTTGTAAATTATTTAAATGTTCTTGTCTTTTACATGTTAACTAGTTCAAGTTGATTCAATATTTCCAATTGCTTACTTTCAGAGCAGCTCTAGTTAAAGTTCAGCTGTTCTGAAAACAGTATTTTGGTCAAATATGAAGAACACAAGCTGCCATTGCTAACTTTAGTTAGCCTTCAGTTGCCTTAGTAGGTTAGTGAATCATTTGGTATTGATGTGGCTGTTTTCCCTCAAGTCAGTGTAGATATAAGTTACTGTATAACTATCACACATAGCAAACACCAGCCCACTTTGCATTTATATCTGAGAGATACTTTGTGCTCCCTGCAAGTACAAATTGCTCAATTGCGAAGGAACAGACACCTGTTAGCTCACTTTCCCAACACCTTTGCCTGGTTTCTAACACTCCCATCTCCATCACAAGACACACATACGTCCTGTTAAAGTTGTCTGAAGTATATATAGTAAATATAAAATATAATATAGTCGTGTAAAGCTATGGATTTTACACATCACAAAAACCCAACAGATGAAAAGCATGCAGAGAATAGCAATACAATCAGTAATTGTATAGAAACTGCGTCACTATCAAGAACAGATGCAATTATATTGATAAGTTCAAATGGTTCAGATAACACACATTCTAAGAGCATGAGTAATATCTCAAACACCAAGCAGACTGCTTTAAAATGAATTAAGCTATAATTTGCACAAACGACAATCGAGAATCCAAAAGTATAGTTTGCCAATGTTAAGCTGTTTAAACTGGCATATTTCTGTGATTGGTGATCAGAAGTGCTACTGAATAGTGCTGAGAATAATTGTGTTTTTCTTACTGCACATGCTTTATATCATGGTTAATATATTTAAACTAGTCTCATGATACCATGTCAATTAACAGTAATGTTTGTGGAATATTGTCATAGATATGATTATAGTGGAAAAGTTGTGGAATATAATTTTCTTTTACTGGCGTATGTGTAATTGCTTAAAAAACTTTTATGTCAAAAGTAAAGTTTGGGCTTTAAGTTGAAGTAAAATTGAATCCTGGACTTGGAGAATATTGACACACTCTATTTTGAATGGAATCTGACTTTCTGTTCTTGTGCTAAACATTTCATCTACATTTATCTTTGTCATGTTTCACAATTCCTGCTTCTCTGCTGCTATGTCAGCCTCCAAGTCTCTCAAACAACAACAGCGTCCAACCAGCAGTGCCACAAACCGTGAATGTCACGATTACTGGCCTCTTTGAAAACTGCATGGCATCCCAGTTTGCTGCTGTGTTTCACAGTCACATCCGCTGTTGTCACATCACAAGTCAGAAGCCTCAGAGTCTGTCTTCTTCTCTCCTTGTTTGCATCACTTTCTTTGTTTCCACCGCTGCTTTTTCATACCCCAGCTACTTCTTTATCTGTGAGCAGTCCTGCGTTTAAGCCTCTTAAGGTTTAGCCCGCAATAAGTCCATTCATTAGAGTCCCTGCTATCTGAAAATCACCCAAAACAGTTCTTCTTCTTTACATGCTCAAAGTCAAGACAGGGTGATAGTGTGATTGAGGTTATTTTTTAAATTCATATAAACCAGGTAGATTGGGATTTGAATTGAATGCACAAAGTATAATGAATGTTGTGTTCCGTCAATATTTACAGGTGACACAAGCCACAAATCAGATTGTGATGAACTGTGCCGACATCGACATAATCACAGCTTCCTTTGCACCACAGGGAGGAGAAGGTGAGGGTTCCTCTGTGTCTGTTTCCTGCCGATTTCACTGTATTAATGACATTATTTCAAAATGAACATTTTCCCATTAGATTAGATCTCTTATCTAGATGTAAGCATTAAACCATGGCTTGCTTCCTCTTCCTCTCTTTCATTTACTCTAGAAATTAATGCGACAGGATTCAACTATCAAAATGAGGATGAAAAAGTCACCCTGTCATTTCCTAGTGCTTTACAGAAAGGTAAGAAGTGGTTTCACTTGGCTCTTCTGGCTCTAGTCCCTGCTTTGAAAACACTATTCCATCATCAAGCTGTTGTAGAGTAACAGACTTTACAGCCTCTGATCGCGGATGAATGAACATTGCAACTCTCCTCCCCAGGCTCCGGCACGTTGAAGATAGACTTCGTTGGGGAGTTGAACGACAAAATGAAGGGATTCTATAGAAGTAAATATACAACCTCTGCTGGAGAGATCCGCTACGCTGCTGTCACACAGTTTGAGGTGAGTGAGTGAGTGAGTGAGTGAGTGGCCGCCGGGGGATTAGATGTTTTCTTTTGGGAAAGTTGAGTGTGTTGCTTAACACACTCCTTGCCTGTTTTGCAACACAGAAGGGCGTGACGGTCATGTGACTCTTCTTGGTATGCTGTGACTGTAACTTTTATGAGTCAATAACTCAGATATCCTTTTATTTATATGGTTGGATTGGAACATTTCACTATGTATTGGTAACATTCTGGGTAAGTGGAGCCATGATAAAGGTCACTTGTGTCTGCTATATAATTGGGGGTTGGAGGGACTCAGTCTTTTTCACATGCAGGGTATACACCTGCTGTTTACACAGTATGTGCACACGGGAAAATATGTAGCTATGAAATGAGGGTCTCCCTTTTGGGCTGTGCTACATGACGCCCCATTTTGTGTGATGATTAGAAAATGTTTTGGTCTATTTACTTTTAAAACTTTTTTTTTGTTTTGTTGTAAATCATAATGAAAGGCAATGTTTTTTTCATATGGGCACTGCTTTTAAGTTTTCCGCTCAGGTGAATTTCTTGCATGCATCAATCCTGACAGTAGCAGCAGTGCTGATTGAGAAAGCTTGGTGAAAAGCCTCTTTTAAACATGCACTGTCCTCCAAAAAATGTCCTGACATTGTCTGAGTTGGGTGTTTGTGTAAACACAAATGGCCAAACAGTTGTCTGCATTCTGCTTTCTACTGTTCTAGAGAACATAATACAGTTTGTGTTGTAGAAACATCCAGTGATTCCTGCAGGAAACTTTGCCAGTTTAGGTGGAAGCTTATTTATTTAGAAAGTACAACTGACTGTAATGTGAACAGCTGTATCATTTCAAGAACAGTATGTATCGTCCTCCATCAGGGACATAGACTATACAAAAAAACAAAAATACATCTTTCTGTGAATAGCAAGTTTGCAGTGGTTAACAGAAACAAGTTGTGTCTCATATAAGCTTTGACAGTGTTCAACACATACACACCGTTCATTTAGCGAATGTGTGTGTGTGTGTATGTGCAGCTTCAGCACATGCTGTGAAGTCAGACCAAAGGAAGCACATGCGTTTAGGGACTATATTTTCAGATTTCAGAGCGAACACAGCGCTCTGTCACAACATTTTATTTTTTAAATCTGCAGCTCCAGACTACAGCAGGCTGTCACATTACTGATGATAAGTTTCAGATTCATGTCACACGTAACCTCCAGCTCATACCTGCACTCAGACACAGTGAGATGAAACGGAGAAAAGTGGCATTAGAAACAACACTTAACATGTTTCTGTGTGAAAGACTTCAAATCACTAAAGTAAATATAAATTTAATAGACTGAAATGACAATGTGTTTGTTTTTCACAGGGGTAGTTAAAGCTGCCGACTTAACTATAAAGCACCGCGGGAAACACTGACATCCTTATACATGATGTAGCTATATCAACACAGAAACAATCACCAGTGCTGAACACGCTTCCTCCTGCTCGACCAAAGTTGTTCAGCGCTTCAGCTCTGTTCTGGAGTCCTATCAATAGGACAAAAGAAATGTGATAACAACAGGCAGAAAATCATTTCAAAATGAACTTCAAGATGCAGAAGCTCACCTCATCTAAACAATCTGATCTCAATCTAACTCTCACTCACTCTCTCACTCTCTCACTCTCTCACTCACTCTCTCTCTCTCGCTCTCTCTCACTCTCTCCCTCCAGGCCACAGATGCTCGCAGAGCTTTCCCCTGTTGGGATGAGCCAGCTATCAAAGCCACCTTTGACATCGCTCTGATAGTTCCCAAGGACCGGGTAGCCTTGTCAAATATGGTACGTGTCATGTGTTTACTTCTCCCTAAGAGAAACGGCAGACCCAAGACCGCCTGAGTCTCTTTCTACTGCTGAGTTTCTTTAATGTGTATCTGTGGTTATGTTTGTGAGTGTGTGTTTCCCCTCCTCTCTCTTCCTTCTCTTTTCTCTTAGACGTTTACGTAATAGAGGGCAGACAGTCACTGCATATTATACTGCTCTCTTATTTTATCTATTTAACTCCATGTGAAGTGTTACTACTGTACAAATCAAATGAGGATGCTCGTCATAAGAAACATCTTTTTGGGTTTATCAGACTCTGTCCTGTCTCAGTGATTTCAGCTGAAGGCGTTTTCAGCTTAATTGCATCAGAAAACATCATCTGGTTTAGATTATTTCAGACAACCCCCCCCACACACACACACACACACACACACACACACACACACCGCTCCAGGCTAACAGGGTTCAATTGAGGGTTGATGATGAAGCTAACAAAAAATTCTGATGACATGAATGCAGTCTGTCATTTTTAGAATGTTGTTTGTTTTATTTTCTGCTCCTGTTGTGTCAGATATCCGATCCAAATGAATTTTCCACAAGACGGACAACAAAATTCAATTAAAAAAGATAAATTACCTCAGAATATTACACTTCAATAACCTGAGATAATGTTATGAAGTTATATCAATCATTTCAGTCAAATTGCAGACCATCCAGCGCAGGAATTTGATTAGTCCGGCCAGAAGGGCCAAGCCCTGCACACATCGATGCTGGTCCAGCTCTTGACCTTTTGTCATCACGTACCTGCTGAAATGTATTTTCTCAGCAAGTAAAGTGTGACCTTTAAAGCCCACTGCAACACAATGCTGCATTTAATTCATCTGTTGTAACGGCAGGGTGTAAACATCAGCACACATGCGGAAATATGCCATACATGTCAGCATTGATATTTAAAGGATGAGTCTGTTTGTATACTGATTTTCTCCTTTTCTCAACAAATCCTTTAGAACTCCAAAAAAAAAATTGCACTACCTTCTAAAAATGCTCTCTCTCTCTGATTCCATAGAGCTCCATTGTTGACAAAAACTAATAAGATTAGGCTTTATTCAGGTTTCAATTTAACATCTAATTTTAATTAGATTAGATAATAGTTGCCATGAAAAATTACAGAAAAGCCTACAAAATCCTGTGGGGACTGATTTATAAGGATATGAAATAATAACTGTTTACTCTTTGGTAATGATCTACTATGAAGAGTCGTGCATAAGCACAGTATTACTAATATTATGCTTTGTCGTCTGTAATCTGTTCCTTTGAATTCCTCTTTGCTCATTCACTTTTCTAGAATGTCATTGATCGAAAGCCATATCCAGAGGATGAAAATCTTGTGGAAGTGAAATTTGCCACCACACCCATCATGTCCACGTACCTTGTAGCTTTTGTCATCGGTGAATATGATTTTGTGGAGAGCCAATCATCAGACGGTATAACAGTGCGCGTCTACACACCTGTCGGGAGGGCAGAACAAGGGAAATTTGCACTGGAGGTGAGGATGTTGTGTAGAAAATAGATCAAACAAAAATATTAGAATGTCATTCATTGTTTTGATCCTTTTATTAAGTTTGTTTTTCTGTTTTGCAGGTTGCGACTAAGACCTTACCTTTCTATAAAGACTACTTCAATGTTCCTTATCCATTGCCTAAAATTGATCTCATAGCTATTGCTGATTTTGCTGCTGGTGAGTTGCTGTCAGTCAGCCTACATCAACTAATGAGATATTTCATCTTAAAATGTTGAAACTAAATATGGTTTTCTTCCTCCTTTCAGGTGCCATGGAAAACTGGGGCCTTGTTACCTACAGGTTAGCTCAACTTTCTCTAGACCATTACACACTATTTTATTTTTAAACAAAATGGAAAAATTAACATGTTTAATTAACCAACCATATGTGGCAACATTTAAGAAATATTCTACTGCTGCAACAATTTATCAAGAACTTGTCAAATGTTATATTCATCTAATTAAAAAAAAAAACAGTTCAAAGAAGAGTTAAACATCTCAGAGTTCAGCTTTCTGAATTTGAATATTTTCTGTTTTTTTTCCATCTGAATTTGATATCGGATGATGAAATATCTATAATTTATCAACCAAATGACTCATTTTTTAATCACAGAAAAGAATCAACAGGTTAATCATTAATTGCAGCACTTAAGTACTCTAAAGTTACTCAATGTCCCTTTTAGGTGGTTCAAAGTCTATGTGTTTAAGAGTGTATCGTAGTTTTAACTTCATAATGAATAATCATGTATTACTGGTTTATTTCCAATACAGCCCAATGTGTCATTTGCCCCATTAAGTCCTGTATACATTTAAAAAGCCTTCGAAAATAAGTCTGAAAATAAAAAATAAATATTGTCAATTTGAGTGAAATCATTGAAAGATTCACGTATGCATCAATATGTATTTTCAAGTGCTAAAGATGAGTTTTGTAATGTTTTAAACATTTGTCTCTTGCCGATTATGTGCCTTTATCTAAACATTTCAAAGCTCACTCATGAGATTTGTTGCTCGTCTCGGTTTTACATCATTTTAGATTAAAGATCTTTTAGTTGTGGCCGTTAATCTGTAAAATAAGCGATTTATAATAGGTTGCTTCCTTACATCTTGATTAAGCCCCCGTAGCGTCTCAGCCACAGAGATGGAAAACAGCATCACAGCTGCCTGTTTGAATAGCTTATTTCACTTTCACTGTGAGAAACTCTGACAATTCAGTTGACAGGCCATAAGTAACAAACACCTTATGACATTTCACTTTTTTACTTCCCTTTAGCTATTTTCATTTACTCTGGACTTTTCCATCTGTAGCAAGTTCCATTTTCCATCCTTAAGACAATGTTGTTACTTTTCATCTACTGTATGTTCTTTATTTTCTTTCACAATGAAATATTTTTTTATCCGTACAGGACGTAAATTACCCTTTGCTTAGAAAAGTACAAAATTAAGCATAATAATTGCTGTTTTGAAATGCAAAATAATAGAATTTCAAACATGCAATTATTGATTAATTGTTTTTAACTGTTGAAATATAGCAAATAATAATGATAAAAAAAAAAAACCTATAGTTTCAAGGCTCTCCTTTTTAATTATCCCCTACTTATCAGTACCGGCTGCTACCAGTCACTCGTTCATCCACCAAATGAAGTGTCTACCTTCAGTCTTAACCTCGACTTTCTGTTCTTTCTTTGTTTTGTTTTTCAGGGAGACAGCTCTTCTCATCGACCCCAAGAACTCCTGCTCGTCCTCCAGGCAGTGGGTGGCACTGGTGGTCGGACACGAACTCGCCCACCAGTGGTTTGGGAACTTGGTCACCATGGTAACCTGCCATTATGCTGCATCAGTTATTTGTACCTAAAATAACTTCAGACAGTCAATTATAAGTAAATGTTGTGAGCAGATAAAAAGAAAAGAATAACTATATGATAGCCAAAGTCATAATAAGAACTATTGAAAACTATAGCAATACCGGCTAGAACACGTTATGAAATAACAAATAGAAGTTGTTTAAAAAAAGACCTAAAGCACAGGTACAGATATAGTAACCTTAAACCTGATTCTGTTTAGTGCGTTTTGGTGCCCACTGAAGGAATCTGAGTGCAACTGCACTATGTGTGCAACACACACAAAGGCCATTCCACCTTCTTAATGAAAGAATAAAGGTTTAAACATTTTGGGGGAATAATTACCCTGTTTCTGTGGGAGTCGATTGCCTCTCCAGCAGCAGAAAGTAGTTGATTGTTCAGTGAGTCAGCCAGAATAGAAAGCTTGATACCATTTTGATAGTAGGAACGACCTCACCCCACCATTCTGCCGCCATGCATTTCACATGGCGGACAGGTGTAACAGGGGAGAAGATATGAACTGCCAATCTGTAATTTCCATGTGTGTGTGTGTGTGTGTGCGCTTGTGTGCTTATATAGGAATGGTGGACCCATCTGTGGCTTAATGAGGGATTTGCGTCCTGGATCGAGTATCTGTGTGTGGATCACTGCTTCCCAGAGTACGACATCTGGACCCAGTTCGTCTCAGCAGACTACACCCGAGCTCTGGACCTGGACGCACTGGACAGCAGCCATCCTATAGAGGTGAGGAAGGATTTAGACTTATTATAGTGCAAGCTGCTGAATCATTGGTCTTTAACAACTGATATTTCATCATCATGGCAACAACGTGATCAATTTTGTCAATTTGAATATATTTTGTATTTTTGTCCTACTTTTGCACAGTCATATATCTTTTAATGATCTTATATATTTATATGTGAATGGTGCTCAATAAACAAACTTGCCTTGCTCTGAACACAGCATCACAACGTTTTATGAAACAGTGTTGTATTCAATCAGTGTAACACCTCAAAAGTTTCCTTCAGACTCTTCAACTCAAGGTTTCTGGTGTGTTTTTTTCTGCTCCAGGTGAACGTGGGCCATCCATCAGAGGTCGATGAAATCTTTGACGCCATCTCTTACAGCAAAGGAGCATCTGTGATCCGCATGTTGCACAACTATATAGGAGACGAGGTCGGTTATCTAACACTGTCAAATTGCTCCCAGCATTTCCTTCATTAAGATTGATTTTTGACACTTTCCTTGCAGGATTTCAGGAAAGGAATGAACGCCTATCTTTTGAAGTTCCAACATAAAAATGCTTCAACAGGTACAAACATGCCAGAAGCGATTTACAGTCGTGTAAATTGGTTTCACAGTTTCTTAATCTTCTCACTCCTGGCTGTCTTCCACAGAGGACCTATGGGACTGTCTGGAACAGGCCAGTGGGAAACCCATCGCTGCAGTGATGGGCTCGTGGACCAAGCAGATGGGCTTCCCTATAATAGAAGTAGAGCAGGAACAGGTGAGCTCCACTGGAAATGAGCTGTTTGATCAGTCACAGGAAGTTGAATAGACTACTTGAGAGTCTTTTAAGGATTTATGTACACGTTGCATTCCTGTGCTCGTGCACATGCATGTGCAACCGTACCCTGCCGAAGCACACCTCTTCCAACCGTGCCATGGCCAAGGAAGTGTACCGTGCTTGAGCACAGTACAGAGCATTCGCATTATTTAAACAAACTGGACTTACGGGGACAGTCATGCTTGGGCATGGTAAAAATTGACTAGTGTGAGTGCACCTTCAGAAAAGGAACTGCAAAAAATACTGTTTTGTTGAATGGAGTCTGGTGGCTTTTAAAAGAGCAAAGTAGTGCTTTTTATTTTTTGTTTTCTTTAAATTCGTTTTTAACAAAAAGGCTATCACTGAAAGGATCCTTTCTGTTATGTTGTCAGAAACTTAGGATAACAATCTGAGCGTGTCCGTAACAAAAACAAGCACTATAATTGGATTTCTCCCAAAGGATTGCAGCTATTACAGCCAGTGCCAGGTGAAGCAATCTTCCGAAGCATTTAACAAACTTTGTCATTTGTGGTGAAAAAAAAAAAACTCTGGTATTAAAAATTGACGATTTACCCGTTATGAAAAATAAATCTATTACTTCTTTACCTTTTTGGTTTTGTAAAGAAAAGTTAATCTAACTTCTTCACCTTGAGAGGTGAATGTGTATGTCGTATTACTTGTTGTCATGTTGTATCCTGTTTTAAGATTCTCTTTTTCACACTGATTATAAGGTTTGTTTGTTTTTCAATAGCAAGGTGACGATCGCATCCTGAAGATGTCTCAGAAGAAGTTCTGTGCCAGTGGACCGCACAACGGTGAGGATTTACAGACGCCATTTAGTGTTCTCCGCAGTTGTTACAGATGCCTATCCCTTTTCCAATAATGTAGCTCATTCCTTTTGGTAGATTTGCTTCGCTAACGTCTCATTGGCTTTTTGATGTGTCTGTTGTTCAGGTGAGGATTGCCCCAGCTGGATGGTCCCCATTAGCATTTGTACCAGCGATGACCCAAAATGCACTAAGCTCAAGGTTCTGCTGGACAGACTGGAGACCACCATCACCCTCAGCGGCATCGGGCCCGACCAGTGGGTCAAGGTGAGCTCCAGTCACAGTTCTTCCAACACAAGCTGATATTTGAGTTTATCTTGGAAATTTAGCTGAGTAGGCAGCTCGGATGATTATACAAGTCTACGTTTTATTTCTTGATACCAGCTTCTAAGCAGTGGTACCAGACACATGCAGTCTCTTATTCTTTGTACTAAGGGCAGATTTAGAAAGGTATATAAAATAAAAACTCCAAATGGGGTGCAGTAAGAGTCATAAGTATGTGTGAGAACTGACCTATGAAATTATTGTAATAACCTCCTGAGAGACAATAATTCAGAGAGAGAAGTAGATTAGAGTGAATTAAAAGTTAAAAGAAAATTACTCTAATACAGTAGATTACATTTCTGAGCCCTCTCTGCCCCCCATGCCTCTGCTGACACCTTTCTGTCTGAATTCTGGACATTTTCACTAATACGAAAAATTAGGCAGAGCTTTTAAAACCAGTATGTTTAAGGTGTCCAGTACAGATGTAAAGTGAATATTGTTAACTGAAAGTGTACTTTTTGTTTTTAATCAAAAAACATATTTGCTTTATACATTTTGAAAACACTATCTTTTCATAATGCTGCTCTACAAGTCTGTCTTCACACAAGGCTGTGGCCATATTTGAGAAAAGGTCATGTACATACAAACTGGGTTTGTCACCATACCAGAATTTTGAACTGTGATACGAGACTGGTAATAATCAAAGGATACACCCTTTATGAAGTAATCCATCTCAAATATCACTTGTAATCTAGCTGAACTGACCTGTGAATATGAATAGACCACCACTTCTCGCTCTCTCTCTCAGTAGTGGCAGCCTTTGGTAAATAATATTACTTATTTTTTTAAGCTTCTTTAAAAAAAAAAGAAAGCTATGAAACTTTTAAAGGTTTATTGTTTTTTTTAACATGTTGTATCGTGTATTGAAGTAAGTGTTGAAAATGTTGAAACAAATGTAATAAAGGTAAATGTTGACAACCCATACATGTCAATGTTAATTCGTCAAGAAAACATGTTAAACAGGGTCAAAGATAGAAGTGAATAGTTCACAGGCGAGACAGTTTCTGTTTCTGTAGTAGAGAGAAAGAGAGGAGGAGGATGTGGTAATCACAGACTTACCCACACTTCCTCTATCAACAGGACAAAGTTGACAGTATTTAGAGAACCAAGAATGCTAAAAAGGGGACAGTTGTTTGTGTTGTGTTATTCAATCTTTCTTTTTCCTGGTACAGTATGTGGGAGTAAACGTTTTGCTGTTGTCACATGTCGACTGGTTCGCAATCTCTCTGGTGTAACTTGTGAATTACCACAGCTGTTGAACAACAGTCATCAGGACATTAAGAGTATGAACAAAGAACTGATAGTGATTAACGCTTCATACACATGATACTGACTGAGCTATAAAATAATTCCTCCAAATTCTTCTTGTCATGAGGCTCCCAACATTATTTAAGTGTTCAGAGATAGCTACTTTGAGGCATAGTATGTCAGGTTGTAAGATTAATCTGTCTCAAGGTTGATATACATGGCAACATAACCAGGTGTTGAAAAGCTTAGCGGCAAAAAATAAAAGACAACAGGTGATTACAGGATGTGATCAGGATAAGATTGTAGCTGTTCTGTTTGTCCCTGAGGTAGAGACATGCAAAGGATTTTTAAGCAGGCACCAGTCAGGCCATTTAAAGAGCACTCATGATTGGGAGACGCAGGTAGATTTGGGAGGAAAACCTGTGACGTAGGAAAGAGTTTGCTCACCCCTGAGGGCTGACCTGGTGTTATGGTCTGCGAGTCGGTGGATAGTTTATATGGTAGAACTGATTGAAGCTGAACAGCGAGGGTGGAAAGTTAGGGCTTGTCCAGTAGAAATGGGAGCAAGATCAGCTGTTTCGTTACTGAGAGAGCTGGGACAGTATTTGCAAAAGAAGGGAGATGTCAGTAATGGCAGTTAAAAGCAGTCAATGGATTCATATGAGGAAGAATAAAGCCAGTTTGGGGCGAAAAATAAAGGTAGGAGAAAACCATATATTTAGTTTGTTCTTCTCTCTTCCCTCATAAAAATGATGGCGCAGAGGGAGGTAGAGCAACAGCATTATCAGGTGGGGGTGAGTGCTAGTGATCGGGGCACCTCACCCTGTCTGTACTTCCCCTGTCCTCTTTCTAAGATCTCTCTACAGATTCTTCTCTATGTGCTCTATTAGAGCTCTCAAGAACTGCCGTCAATGTTGCACTTTGCCTCTGGTCACTTCCTGTCAGCACCTGTGTGTCCAATCAGACTCAAAGCTGATCGTTTGCTCTTACTGACATTGTTCCCTTTTTTCTAGATCCTTGCTTGTGTTGTACTTGCTCTCTGATGTACGTCGCTCTGGATAAAAGCGTCTGCTAAGTGAATTGTAGAATGTGCTAATGTTGGTACCAGGAAAAGTTGCATTTAGTTTCTGGGGGCCATTACAGGCCAAGTGGTAGAGTAGGTAGTATGAGCGTTGCATGTACGGAGCCTGGGTCTGTTGACGGTGGCAATGCTGTTTTGGTTGCGGTGGCAACAAAGGGCCATAAGGTCGGTTATGTAACTAATCAGTAGTTGGGCCTAGGGGCATAATTGGGATGAGGGGTCTCTTCACTGAGAAGTGAGCACTCATCCTTTCATTGGGGCACAAGTATCTTTTTTTGTTTTTCAAATTAAGTGCTACAGATGTTGAGGGGGAAAAATGAACTTACAAGTGTGAGCTCCTTCGTTCATAATATGTATTAACTCCAACTCCGAATAATCAGTGTTTGCTTGGCTTGGGGAAATGTTTCCATCACGTTAAGCCCATTGTTTGCTAAACCCTGAAGCTAACATTAGGATAACACTGTTCCCCTCACTCTAAGCCATGCTGGATAAAAAGCACTCTGTCTGAGAGGTAAAAAGGGTAAAACAACATTTTTTTCCCCTAACAGTCTGACCTAGTTGTGTCCATGCTGTTCACAGATCAACCCCGGCACCGTGGGTTTCTATCGTATCCAGTACAGCTCGTCCATGCTGGAGAGTCTGCTGCCGGGCGTCAGAGACCTCAACCTGCAGCCTGTGGACCGACTCGGCCTGCAGAACGACCTCTTCTCCCTGGTAAAACTCACACAAACAAACACACACATACACATGTACAGCTTGGTAATGAAACAATACCATGAATCTCCTTTTTTATCTTTAAGGGTCAAATATAATAGTCCACAAGAGTTTAGGTGCCCGGAATCATTAATAAGTGTGAGCATTGAGCACAAATGAAACTGAAAGGGAATTTAAAAGCATTTGTGTGACTTGGAGAAAAAATAAATTCAAGAGGTATAAATTCAAGAAGCCAATATATGTGATTGAAATTCTATAATGAAATATCGACTGTATGGATTGTAGCTGCTGCCTTAATAGGTGTATCACAGCTCTGAAATCAAATAAGAGTGAAAATATCTTTAAAAGGTTGAGCTTTCTTACTGTTTCAACACATTTATTATTTTATGCGTCTGACTTCAGTGATGCACATGCCGTTGGCTGGAGGATTATTTTCACATCAGTTGTAAAAAAAATCACCAAATCAAAATGTAGAAGTAAAAATTTGTATTATTTACCAAAAGGATTTCCATTAGACATCCGTTTTGTTTTTTGCTATGTGGAATACAGAAATATTTCTTGCAACTCTCGTCATGTTTCTTTTTGTTGAGCAACTTCTTCGTTTGCTTTATTACCTTTAGTTTGAGACATAAGCGAGATAGTACTGAAGTTAACTTACTTAAAGCACTTTGCTTGTATTCTTGATACATTTTTCATAGTATTGTTTTTGGTTTCAGTCTCGTGCAGGTATGATCAGCACTGTGGAGGTGCTGAAGCTGATGGAGGCGTTTGTCAACGAGCCAAACTACACAGTGTGGAGCGACCTCAGCTGCAACCTGGGAGTTTTGTCCTCGCTACTGTCCCACACCGACTTCCACGAGGAGATCCAAGAGTTCATCAGAGACCTCTTCACCCCTATCGGCTTGGAGCTCGGCTGGGACAGCAAACCAGGGGAAGGTGAGGAGTACGAACAGACTGTCACAGAGTTCAAATCTTACTATACAGTCCTCTTGAGACGATTACTAACTCTTCGTCCTGCAGGTCACCTGGACGCCCTGCTCAGAGGGCTGGTTCTGGGGAAGTTGGGGAAAGCCGGACACAAACCCACACTTGAGGAAGCCAGAAGGAGATTCAGGGACCATGTCGATGGCAAACAGGTCCTGCCTGCAGACCTCAGGAGCCCGGTGAGCAAACATAAAACTCACACAATAGTTCTGACTGTTTTTCAAAGCGATTAATTGTGAGCAACCTGCAGACTTGACAAGTTTTTTGTTTTCTGCTGTGAATTGTTTGCCACTTCCTGCCTCATGGAAGATGTTGCTCCCTTGGTCCATCTTATCCTGTCTGATGCCTAGCACACGCTAAAATATTTTTGAGAACTTAACAGATTTTGAAAATGTCAGAGGCCCCACATATGATGACAAATAATCATAGATCAACAGATTTGTTCCTAGAGTGTGTGGAGAGCATCATTATGTACAAAACAACACACACTAACAGAATCCATTCACCAACAACCAGAGTGCTGACTCTCAAAACTGGAAATCTTGTGAATGTCCTCGGGTTCACACACAACAGTAAACAAAGCACAGCATTTTCACCACTTGTCCCACATCCAGCAAATTGAGACTTGGCTTTTATCTAATTGCTGTGTAGAAAGCAAGAGAGGTCTATCACCATGGCCTGGAGCCCACACATAAGGTCAAGTTCTCGCCAACGTTCTATCGATATGTAAAACCCTCTCTGCATTGCGGTGTCATGTCCCACATTATCCCACACAAACATACTCCTTGTCCCAGACCTGTTGGCACCTGGTCACCCTATCCATGTTTACAGCTACATCGACTAACATGCCATGTATTTCTTCTTCTTTAAGGTATATTTAACAGTGCTGAAGCATGGAGACAGTGCCACATTGGACACAATGCTAAAGGTAAATATGCAGCTTTAATGTGACAAAGATACCTTCAGGGACAATTACACAAAATGGGATAGTTTTTCCCTCACTATGACTCACCTAAATATCTAATCTGTCGTTTTCCCTCCTTTAGCTCCACAAACAGGCCGACATGCAGGAGGAAAAAAACCGTATCGAGCGAGTGCTTGGCGCCATCTCTGCCCCTGATCTCATCCAGAAAGTCCTCACCTTCGCCCTCTCGGTACACATTGTCACATTTACTAAATGTAACACAGTTAACCTATTTGTTTTTACGCATGACGGCAGAAATGAAAGAAGTTCTGTTCATTGTGCAGTTTTTGTTTAAAGAAAATCAAACCAAGTTCTTATTTAAACCCTGAGTAGGTTTATTTTTTACAACATGTCAAAATAGTTACTGATAAGATTTCCCCACATAAAAAAATGCTGATGTGATACATGTATCCATCAATCTGTATCGACCCATCGATTGGTTGAACAATGATCCAATCAATCCGATGTCATATCCTCAATCTACGCCATCATCGTTAAGATACTCCTTTATTTTGAAACTCCCACTGCACACTTATTTCTCAGTTTTCAGCTAGCTGAACTTTGAAACATTAGTACCAAAGAATGGATTTAATGTGATATCCTCATGAAACTAGTGATTTACACCACTATGCATCAGGTGACTGCATGTACAGCTAACCTCTCTGACTTTATCCCCCCCACAGGAAGAAGTTCGTCCGCAGGACACAGTGTCAGTAATCGGGGGCGTGGCAGGCAGCAGTAAACAAGGCCGGAAAGCCGCCTGGAAGTTTGTAAAAGACAACTGGGAGGAGCTTTACAACCGCTACCAGGGTGGCTTCCTCATATCACGACTCATCAAGGTAACTTGCCAGTGTATGAGTAAATTCTCTACCCCAGCACAGACACAAGTGACTCAGAAAAGAATCCGTTTATTTTGCTCACATTTATGGTGTTTTCACTTCACACGTACACAAATCTCCTAAAACATTTAAGAACAATTTTCAGGGTGAGCTGTATGTGTGAATGCAAACGGCCAATTCTTCATCGGGACTTTTCCTGCCCACTCCCTGGTAAAAATTCCACATGAAATTGAGCTGAGACAATGTTTGAAGACAGAAGGACATTTTCAAGAAAATTCACCACGAGCAAGTGGAAGAGGGTGCCGGCGTTTATTTCAGGCTATCGGTTAGGGACTGGTGCAATCGGCATGTAAGAAATGAAACTTTTGTATTGCTTGAAAGGATGTCCCTAACCACTCATTCATTCTGTGACTACATGTGATAGATTATAGAATTGATATAAAGATTAAAAACTGTCATTGTGCAGTCAGATTCTGTTGCTTCGTCCACCATGTCCATGTTTTCCTTTTCTCATCATGACTTGCCTTGAGATTTTCAGGAGTGTATTTGTAAAAAAAGGCTGCAGGTTGTGGTTTATGTCTACAGAGTACCTCAGTGTGTGCGTTTTTTGTTTGTTCACACTTGTCTCTTGTCCTCTGCAGCTCACAGTTGACGGATTTGCTATCGATAAAATGGCTGCTGAAGTGAAGGTGAGATACTTCACAGAACTCCTGATCACTTTATTATTGCTTTTTCACTAGTTTGTTTTGAGGGAAGGGTTGTGTTTCTCGTTCTGGTTTAATCAACATTTCAGATTATTCTTCAATCCATAACTTTCCATGACTGAAAGGAGCTAAATTTTGTTTGAATGGAAACTTAAATTGAGAGATTATTTTCACATTCTATCTCTTCCTTTTTCATAAAATCCTTTATTTGCTTTCAGAGAATGAGGGCCTGATTTTAAAGTCAACTCAAACATTATAATTTCTCCCAACGTACCAGTAGAGACATGACATTGTCTTGTTACATCATTTCTCAGTTATGGTTCCCTCTGCCTGTGTTTGTGTTGAGCAGAGTTTCTTTGAGAGTCACCCAGCGCCAGCAGCTGAGCGTACGGTGCAGCAGTGCTGTGAGAACATCCTCCTCAATGCAGCCTGGCTGAAACGCGACGCAGAAGACATCAACCAGTATCTACTGCAGCGCAAAGCTCCCCCCGTCTGAGCCGCCACCACCCCCTGCTCCGCCTCCTCCAGCCCCATCCCCCCTCCCTCGAGCGCGGACCTCCCAGCATCATAGCTGCCTCGGCCACCCCTCTCAATAAGGAGCAAGGCGGGAGACCAGAGCGTACTTTACAGCAGGCTTCATTTCTCTAAAGAAACTGTCAGAAAGAAGGATGGCAAAGCCAAGAATTTAACAAAGTGTTGGAAACACAAAGAGACTCTTTGTATGTTAACCAAGCAGATCCATTTTAGTCTGACCAGGAATGTAGTTTTAGCCCCACTCTGCCCTAAAGTAATGTTTCATCTCAGAACATCCCGTCTCTCGCCAACTCTGCTAATGCACTCTTCATCACCTGCCCTGTATGCACTCCCTCATCCATCTCTGCTCTGTTGCTGAGAGAAATGTGTATCTTCTCCATCCTCCCTTTTTTTTTTTCCTGCTGCCCAAATTTAAAATGCATGAAGTGGGATTTTTTTCTGCATTGGCTGCTTTGTTGACTTCTGTTTGTTTTCTGTACAAACAATTTGTTATTTTTTTTTAAATTCATTTTCCCATCCTCGCTCTCATTAAGGGTTCACACCTCCTTTTTCTTCTCTTTTGGGCGTCGTGATTGGGTGAAAGCAGAAGGCCTCAGGGCAGAATGGGGTTAAAACAGTAGTGTGTGTGTCGTAGTTTCCAACAGCACTGATTCTCCATTTGCTAATAAACGGTTAGGACGAAGCGAGCAGAGCTAGCATGGTACTACATTGTAAACTGTAAAATGCAAGCATTTTTTTTGCAGACAATGTTTCTTTTAAACAAATTAAACAAAAAAGTTAATGGTTACCCGTTTCCACCACAGAGCCCCACCACCACCACACACACACACACACAAAGAGCTCTGTTCAGAGTTGAATCAACATATTTAAACTCCCCTGTTTTCTTTCTCACTGAAATGAAGATATCAGCGTGTTTTATAAGACATCAGATGCAGTGATTTATTTAAATGTTGAGATAATCTTATATTCTGAGGGAAGAAGAAAAAAAAAAAAGATCAACACTACTTTTTGGGGCCTTTTTATCTGAAGTTACATCAGGAAACGCCTCTCAATTAGGGTGGAGGCCCAGTCCAGTTGACTTTTTGTGGACGTGACAGATCGACGTGACAGCGCTGTCAAACCTCGGAAGCCTTAAATCGGTCAACTGGTTTGCAGTTCATATTTAAACACTGAAGTGGTGATAGTGACTTCCACATACCGTCAAATGTATCTAATGTGACAGATTATGCAGACTTGTTGAACGAGTATATCTATTATAGAATTTACAATTTGATGTGGTTTTTGAAAATATACCGACCAAGTCATCCAACCTGTTGTCAAGACTCTCCCCCCCCCCCCCCCTCCCATCCTGGAACATTTGTTGTTGTTTTTTTTCTTTTTCTGTTTTTTGTTTTGTTTTGTTTAAACTACAGTTGGTGTCCATTAAAGTGATAAAGGATTATAAAAAAAAACAATGATGTGAAATTAGTACCAGTTGATTTTGATGACTGAGGTGTGAGTGTGCATGTCTGGAAACAGATTTGTAATTTATTTTGTATGATTTCTCAGGCGAGGAAATGATCATACCGGATTACAAATGGTTAAAGCAGCACTGAAACTGATGAATGTGTAAATATAAATATAACAGCTGAGTTAAACCTAATGAGAATAAAAAATGGTGACAGATTGACTAAGATGATTTCAGAAGGAAAGTTTAAATGTCTACACTTTTTTTGCTTTCATAAAGTGTCTGTAGAAAACCTTCAGGCAGCGTTTGGCGGCTTGATTTTTGTGTCGACCATGCTGAGACGTTTTCTTGTCTTTTTCTAATGAATCTGAATTTAGTTCAACATGTTGGATGTTTTTGTGCTTCTTAATGAGCTGTCGAGCAGGACAGCTTGACTTCAGTGATGCCAAGGCAATCGTAAATATGCTGTCCAATAAAGTAACACTTGATGATACAGTACCTGTCATACAACATATTTTAAACCTTTTATAACCATGCAAATGTTTAAAATAGTATTTTCCAATCTGTCTGCCAATACAGTGTTGGGCTGTAGTGTCATTTGTTTTAGAATTCTGGTTTAGGTCCGAGTTGTGTCAAAAGTTGATGTGGTCCATGTTTCTATGCCTAAGCATCTTGAGAAGAGTCTACTGAAAATAGCATACACTGCACAAAAACACAGTGAGCCTGCGACCTTCAACATTATCATACTAATTATTTTCTGTTGGGAAATATCATAAGAAAAGTCAAAGATATATTCCTAACCTGCAGAACTGTCCCCATCTGGGGAAATCAATGGATGTCATGACTCATGTTCTCATTAGATGGAAGCTCTTGACAGGTTTTCCTTTATTATAACTATTTATTAATAATACAATATAGGTTAAAAAAAAAGGTGCTTTACAACAGAAAGTAAAGCAAGCAGGCCATGTAAACAGACTAACATCAAACAATAAAGACTGCTCTTGATGTTAAGTCAAAAGTCTACTCCTGAGGTCAAAATTATGTGCGCAAGCAAAAAAAAGATTCTATATAAATTATTTATGGAATTTTAAAATACGTATAAGAATAATACAATCCAAAAAATAATATTAAATCAAACTAAATATTTCTTAAATTCATAAGTTTCAGTCATTTTGTAAAGTTTTCAGTTCTTTAGAATGTCAGCAAGACCTATTGGATAATGGGATCCTGGTGGGTGCTGTTCGCATGTCCAACCAGTTGGTGTCGCTGATGAGCTGGACCCAGTGATGAGCGAGGAAAAGAAAAAGGAAGTGAAGAAGTGAACTTTGTTTCCAGCAGGTTGCTGTTTGGACCGAAGATGTTGGCGAGGATATGACAGCTGTGTAAGTAAACGCAGTGGAGTTATTAACTCTATAAATTGTCGTTTAATGGTCAACCGATAGCCGAAATATCATGTTTCCAGTTTATCGGAAGAATTACTTATTCTTGAAACTTTAGCGCATAGATTGAATTAGCTAGCTAGCCGCAACGTTAGCTGCATGACTGCAAACTGTGTGCTAAGAAGCTAGCTTACCGCATATTAATAAGTAAGTAGCTTTGTGTTAGCTGCTGTTAATGCTATTTTTATTTTTACCCAACATCTCAAAATGTTAGTTTATTTTAACATTTCTTTGTTTATTTTATTGTTGAGTTGTGACCTTACAGTTTGTAACTATTAAGAGTTATTGTGTTATTATGTTTTTACCTACACTATTATTCAGATAGATTTATTGGCATGAATGTGTAAATATATTGCAAAAGCATATAATAGCAACTATTACAATAATAATAATGAAAAATATTAATTAATCCGTCAATAGTAACAATAATAACTTGCAATAATTATGTTTTAACGAGTATTAATTATTTAAGAATAAACCACGACAGTGTAAATGTTTTTTTACATTTAACAATATACCACGTTATCCTTTCGTAAAAAAATCAGTTGCCTTTGCTTTGGTATCAAGGGTCAAACTCACCGGTGTTTCGGTGTAACAAGTTACCGTGTTATCTAGTGACTCTCAGCCGAATGCGTCTGCGGTTGTCGTAGTTACAGTTGAAAAGACTCAAACCTTTTACTTGGATTTCATTAATCACAGAAATGATCATGCCTTTGCCATCACATTGAACATCCTAACGGAGAGGTATTTGTGAGGACTCTTAAGTTCCAACAAACCACAGACGTGTTCGGCTGACAGTTCTGCAGATAGTAAATTCACTTGTTGAACCGTAACACCGGTAGAGATGACATCGAGCAAGTTATTTTTAGCGTTGCTGTGGGGCTATCAGTCAGCGTTAAATCACTGGTTTGTTTTGCACTCAGCTTTCACTGGACTGTGTAAAGGCGGACATGGCCGCAGAGATTTGTGGATGTAGAATGTTTAACACTTTATCAGGTGTACTTTATTGTATGCAGGCTAAATGGGGACGTCCCTGTTCCAAGGGCCCTATGCAGGGGTTTGAAAAAATATTGTACTCAAATAAAAATACCATTACTTAGACTAAATATTACTTCAGTGGAATTACAATTAATGCACACGGCTGTTTATGTTCAGACATACAGCTCCTCAGAAGTTTTCTGCAAGTGTGAAAGCCCTAGAGGACTCAGACTCGAGTTCTTAACTCTTATTTTCATGACCTGTGACTTAGACTCAAACTCAAGCTTTAACTGCATTAGGATTCAGAAGAGGGATACTCAGACATACTTATTGATTAAAAAAAAAAAAAAAAAAAGAATGTTCTATTGTTTTGTTAGTTTTCTTGTACAAGGCCCTAATGATTTATTCAGTTTAGGGGGAAGGCTGCTTCGTGCGTTCACCTGCATTGCACATGTGCTTTCTTTATTAGCGACAGTTTGTGTGTAGTGGTGATGTGTGGATTGCGTATGCTTGAGTTTATTAGAAACCTGCAGTGATCCTACTGCATTATCGATCGCAGCGATCAGTGCTTCTCCCCATTAAAATGACTGTGATAACCATTAAAGCACGACGCACAGTGCTGTTACTTCATTTATAATTAAACTCTCCAGACACATCAACAGGATCAGTAAGAATCTAATGTTAATAAATGTTTATTAAAATTAGATTCTTACTGATACACATCCAAAAGGTCCCACACAGTCAGTTGAGGTTCATACAGTGAAATAGTTTGGAGTTAAACAGCAGTCTTCCTTAATTCTGAGTTCCATCAAATTAACTTAGTTTTTGAGGTAGGCGTTATGAACTGTTGTGACCAAAATATCACAACAAACACTTTGAAACATTTACTACACATGACAAAACTTTTTGACAAAACTTTTTGACAAAACGAGTGCAACACAGCATGCGACACAGTCATCATTCAATCTTGATTATCTTGTTTTCATGATCATGGGAAGCCAAAATCATTGTACAACTTTGATTAATTGCCCATCCCTTACATAGCATTTAAAATGGGTACTGCTGTCTCCCCCTGGCCCCTCCTCCCTAGAGTCAATGTGGGTTGCGATGTCTTGGACAAGGAAGCTGCAGTGTTTAGCCAGCTCTGCGCTGGTCTCAAAACCTTTCTGAGTGTTAACCGCTCTCCATTTAGCAAAAGCATCTCCAATATTTATCCTAGTTTTATCACGTTTCTTGATCATGGAGCTTATTGAAAATGCAGAGGCTTTTTGTGGAGCCAGAAATTCGCTGGCTCCACACTTCAGATGTTTAAAGTTGCTGGCGTTTTTATTTTTACAGTAGTTTTCGGTTATTATTTTTGTGAAAGCTTTATTGAAAAGTGTCTCAGCATCAAAGATAGAAAATATGAGATACTGTAGCCTATATGGATAAAATACAATCAAAAAGTTGAGGTTATTTTTTTGAGACACTCCACTAAAATTGAAAATGTATAGGGATGTGTAAATGTTACTAATGTGGTTTTTGATTGTATTTAAATTAAGAAATAAGATGTGATTAGAAAGCTTGAGAGAGAGTGGATCTCTTTTTGGTTTAGGTTACTTGAAATTTCTTGAAAAGTGGTTCAATGTTACTTTTAAAAAGATGTACTACCAACCCTGATCATTGTGAACTGTTTATATTTGGTTTGTGGCCTATTGGTCTAAAAAAAAAACAAGACAACATAATAATCTAAGTCAGTTTGTGAAGGGAATTAAAACAGTGCTTTTTGATGGGCATTTTGGTGCATTATAACACTCGTCTTGTGTTCAGGCTGTCTGGTGTCGTCCAGGCGGTGACTGACAGATGCCTTCATCATGATGCTGAGCAGCGCTCTACTAGTTGCCCTCCTGCTCTCCCAGGGCAGAGGCTTCCTTAACTCTTCAGAGGATGACCCTATCCCCGAGGAGTGGGTGCTGCTTCATGTGGTCCAGGGCCACATTGGAGCCGGAAACTATAGCTACCTGCGCCTCAACCATGATGGCAGAATCATCCTGCACATGCAAAGCCTCAAGGGAGATGCCGACCTCTATGTGTCGGACAAAACCCTGCGGCCGAGCTATGACACCTACAAGCTGCAGTCGGTAACCTGTGGACAGGACGTGGTTGTTGTACCTGGGGACTTTGTCAGGCCTGTGGGCATCGGCATCTATGGTCACCCGTCACACAAGGAGAGCGAGTTTGAAATGCGGGTGTTTTACGATAAGACGGTTCCCCAGGACCCGTTTGATAAGAGCTCATACACTTCAGAAGACGGACACAAGCAAAAAAAATCCCCTCAAACAGCAGAGGACGACTTTCAGGAAGAGGAGTCGATATTTTGGACAATTCTAATCGGACTTCTGAAGATTATTCTTGAGATTTTGTTTTGAAAACGGTTCTCCTGCCTTGCTGCTGTGACAGAGGGAGGAGATTTGGCTTTCTCTGATGATTATTTTTCTTTCATTTTTTAAGGATAAGAAAAATGTCACACCAAACTCCATTTGTAATTTAGGCTTTTTAATATCTCCTGACTTGTGATCAAACACACTTCTTTGATTAAAAGAGTACAGATAAATGATGGAGTTTCATGTTAAAACGTGTTGACAGATCACTAGGCTTAATTTAGCAGGGTGAATCATGGGCCAGATTAATCACAGATGGCACAATTGGTATTTTGTCTTTAATTAGGCAAAAGGAAGCTTAGTAAGATGAAGGGCAGGCACATGTTTATTGGTGGTTTAAATTGGTCACTGTTATAAATTTCTAGATTAACTCATGTTCAACCACAGGGGTGAGGGAGGAATATTTCTGGAGTTGTGATGGATATGTTTAGATCCTTTCAAGGTTATCTTAATACAACACTCACATATCAATTGTAACCCTAAGAATTATTGGTCACTGTTTTGATTTCTCATTTCCATACGAGGTACAAGTCTTGCTGGGAAGTTCATACTTAGTAATAATACCTGAATATGTTTTCCATAGGTTTCAGTTTCAGAAGGTTCCACATACGAATGAAGGGGGTTTAATATTATTGTTATTTAAGAGGATGCTAGTACATACAGTTCAATTGAATTAGGTACTCAGGTCCTGGTTTGAAAAAAGTAATAATATAAAATATAACAATAGTGTAATAAAAGGATAAACTCTGTTTAATGAAAATAAGAACTCATTGGCAGAAATCTTGGCTATTAACAAAAAATGTATCAAAAGTGATTAGAGTTCCAATTAATTTAAACAATACAGGTTTTTCATCAAAAAGGTCTAAATGAAATTTTAGTTTGTTCATTTCTTGTAAACCCAAAATAATAATTAGAACTCATTCTCTACTATAAGCTGTTAACTTCTTGTGCATTCCATGAAATGCTTTCAATTTTTGGACTCCCTCCCCAGACACTCCCGTAACACACAGGACTTCTGAGCATGCTAGCCGTTTTATTTCATGAACGGTTGAATGTTTCTTATTTGGCAGTGTTGGCTACCTTGTATGGATAGCAATAATAATTCCCTCTGTAGCTTTCTGATTGTAAAAGAAACACCTAAATATGAGGAATACAATAGCTTTTCATGGGAACTTTACTCTGGCCCCATACTGGATGAAAAGATGTGCGTGGACAGACCTGAAGATGGCAAATGTATTTGTTTACCAGAAAATGAATAACTCTCCGTCTACAAAGGGCTCGTGAGTGTTGTATTATGATGAATTTGAACCAATCCTTTAACTCTATTTCAAATCTTGAAATCTAATTTAGCATCAGAAAGATCATTGTTGAGCTTGACCTGCAAATGAATGGAACTGCTTTTCTTAACTCTGCATATCAACGCCTGACAAGACGTCCGGGTGTAAATAAGTTAGCAATACAGTCATTTTCAGCTGTTTTGAGCTGAACATACAGGAGGCTCCTACAGGACAGGTTTATAGATAAACATGAAGCCTGAAAAGGAGAGCACTGAAAAAGAAGGATAAACCTGTGATTTACACCAAAGCAGATCGTTCAGTTTACTAAGAAGTTAAAGCAAAGAGCCTGCAGTTCACAGTTTTCATTTGCCGTTTACAGCAATGTTTACTTATATCTGAGCCCTGTGGATTAAAAAGACTTTGCTATCAATCCGTTAACATTATTAGGAACATTTAACTCGGTGTTTAAGGCTCAACTTTTTTTTCTTTTCACCTGTTGGACAAACTTCTGATGCAGGGTTTGAGTTCAGTTCAGAGTTAACATGTGACCGCTAAGCAGAAATGTTCAACAGTGCCTTCTGATCAATCCTCTGCTGTTGTCCTGTTTTTCTGGAGACGATTCAGACAGGTTTCTAAATAAAGCAGCTGTCATACAGACTGTTTATCAAATATTTTGTCTTCTTGGATATCTTTCTTTCAGATTTGATGAAGTGTAACCTGCAGCATAAAAGAGACCTAAAAAAAATAGATGGTCGATAGTTTGAGTCTTCAGAGAAGACGGGGGTAACTCTGGGGGAAGACTATCTAGACCAGCTCTAATTGGGTGTAGAAACGAACGTGTCATAATGTCAAAGAAAAAAACAGGCTCTGATACTATGATAAACATTGTTATCATAATTCAGGCTGTTTCATTCTTTTTATATTTGTTTTCTCAGCAGAAGATTAAATATGACACCTAATGGCAGCTTTTACACAATGCTGCAACAATTAAAAATATATTTTGGGGATATGTTTGGTTGGCTTTTTTCTCTCAAAACTACAATTCACTGGAGAGTAGTTCTATCTTTCAATTCAAGGTCTGAGAAAACATGGGGGCTACACAAAACATTAAAAGTTTTTAAACAGTAATGTCTTATAAGTCCTTGCAAGTATCCTTAAATAAAAACAAATCAACTGTTATGGCTTAACTGATGAAGCTCTAAGTACATAAATTATTTCTAAAGCAATGTCTAAAATGCATTAAAAAAAAAAAGTTGCAGAATCAAAGTTTGAAAAGCTTAAAGAAGCATCAGTATTTCTAGCTGATAAATGTGAGAAATTTAAAGATTGTCTGAGACAATTCTACGGCGCCCCTCTGTGACATTGATGAAAATGTTATAACTCATGGCCATGAAATAATTCATAGCCTCAAAATAATTTTGTAACATCAAAATATAAATTTCAAGGCCACAAATTATTATTTTGTGGACTCAAATTATAAAATGTTCGCCCATGTCACCAGAGAGCTCTGTAAAATTCTGTCTTTACTTCCAAGTTTTGAAAATGACTTTTACTTTTAATTAGGGGAAGCTTTTTCCAAACTATTACAAACAATTTGGGGTATTTATAATTCAGAATACATTCTGAAGTAAGTAATTTGTCAATCTTTAAGATTTGTTCCTCTCTTACAGTTAATTATTTTTTTCATAGTTGTTTAGTAAATTTTAACAAGTAATATAGAACCAGTCATAGGTGGAAACATTGCAAAAAATGGGCTGAATTATGAAATAAAGATGTGATTGGCAAAGGACAAAAAGACAGGAAAATATTCCCCCCACCCTGACACATGCACTACGGACATAAAAAAAAACAGGGAAAATATATAAAATGCTTAAATCTGAAATTTGATCTTGTCTTCCATCCTCTTTGTGTATTTTGAATCCTAAATTAATGTTCATCTGGCCTTTTCCCACACAATGATCAACACATTTGCAAACAAGAGGACTTTAACAGTATCTTTTTAGCCCTGCAGCATTTCTAAAGATGTAGCTGTATGTAGCTTCTGTATAGTTTGTATGTAGTTTTATATGACTACTAGATTTACTTAAGTATTATATACAATTGTAATAACATAAATAAAAGTTTCAAATGTTTATTTTCTTTGAAACATGGGACTAGTTCGTTCCACTGTAATCAGAGGTTTAAATAAAAAACAAAAGTGTTCGAGTTGTTTGCAGAATGATAACTTAAAAGAGTCAGAAGCCCCCAGGCTTCTTAAAACAATGTTTATCCAAGTTCAAGACCATGAATGCCTTTGACACATATACTCTTAAGGATTTTTATTATTTATAAACAACTCAGGTAAAACAGAATAATTAAATGTCAGTCATCTACAAAGATGAAGCTTTATCTCCAAAATGAAACAGAGTTCAAAGAGTCAACTTGTTTTTTCTAGCTGCATTTAAGCAACTCTGGAAGTCATGAGCAGAATCCCTGACATTAACGTGTTAGTTTATGTATTAATAATCAATAAACTGATTCAAATAAACTGTCATCCTGTGTGTGAAATATTACAGCCTCCCCTCCTCCTCCTCCTCCTCATCATCTTCATCATGTCAGGCTGGGGGCCAACTCGATGCTGTTAATCCTCAGCACAGTCTGAGGCTGGATGATGATCTTCTTGCGCTGAAACCGGTGTCTTTTCCAGAACTTCATGTGGATTCTGGGACAAGAGTCCGTCTTTTCGATCACTGTGGCCTCAACTCTGACAAGATCTTTCCCCAGCAGAGGCCTTCCGATCAGGGTGAACTCCTCTGCGCCGACCAGCAGCACCTTCTCCATCCGAATCTTGTCCCCGCACTCCGCTTCAATGTGATTCTCGAGCAGGATCAGGTCCTCGTCGGTGACCTTCCACTGACGACCCGCGATGTACACCACGGCGAATAACCGGCCGAAGTCCTGCCTGTGGATCCGCTGGTTCACGGTGCTCACCACGGCGGCGTGTCGGCTCCGCTCCTCCTCCTCCGGTACCAAAACCGTCTGCTCTGACCACGGCGGGCTGGACAGGGAAGTCCGGGGCAACAGGTCCCCGCTAACGGAGCTCTGTGTTCGGACAGCAGGTGGGGACAGGAGAGGTTTTATGGATAGTAACCTGCTGTATGTCCTCCACAGTCCTGCTCCTCTGCTCAGCGCCATCTTGACAGGAAGTGCAATAGTTTGCACTGCGCAGGCGTGACAGCTACAAAACACATGTGTAGCTGTGGACACCGAATTTTCTAAAACACTAAAAAGGATGGAAATAAGTAAGGCAGGACAAAATTACATTAAGTAGTAGAAGCCTATCGCATAGGTTTTATTTTATTTATTTTTAGCAGGAAAGGATTGTTGTCATAGTAATGTAGGCCTACTATTTGGAAAGAATGTAAAAATAACAATAAAATAAGGTCCATAATAAAATGTAATTTTAGTAGGTTTATATCTCGTTGAGCTGACTCTTTAACATATCCATACAAGTTTATTGTAGATTATATGTGTATTCATAAAAAACTAATAACTAAAAATGAATTTGTTTTACTTAGAATTTAAAACAATAGAATGGATTTTTACATTTTTAATAAAAATGTAAAACCTGTGTTGTGCATTTTTTTTTAAATACATACCCAATATCTCCCCAGTCTCTTCGTTATATGTTTTTTGCTCTTCTTGTAATTGTGATAGGCCTACACATATTTATTTATTGCCAAATTTTAAAGATGGATTGTCCAGGTATAGCCAGGTCTGGATACTTCAATGGATGAGTATTGTTTGACAAAATATTCAAATAAAGAAGGAATAAACAAGTTTATTAAGTTGGTGTTTCTTTCTCAAGTAAACCTGAAGCAGACAACTGTGGTGATATTTTCTTTTTTTAAAGACAAAAAAACAAAACACAAGTAGGCTAGTTGGAATTTTCCATCTTTCAGATTTGATTTATGTGCTGGATAAGTGATTTGCTAATACCACACAACTTAGACCAACAAAGAAAACTACATGTGTATTAGTAAAGTTGGCTTAGAAATATGTTATGTAGGAAAGATGTTCCAAATATTTATTTATTATTATTATTATTTATTCATAGATGTTCACAGTTTTGATGGACTTCATTTTATAGCAAAAAATCACATCAATAAGGCCAAAGTTCTTAACTCAAGTCTCTTTTTTTTTAGCGTTTTTTAAAGGAATAAGAATGACATTTGTTTATTCTCGTACATGTGTGACCCATAGGTGTGACCCATAGGTGTAACCAGGTAGACACCCATAAAAAATTAGGCTTATTTAAATGTACTCTTTTTTTTTCGTAAATGAGTCCATCGCTGGGACATCCTGTACTATGACTACCCTTAGTATATTATTTTACTGTTGCTTATATTTGATGATAAATTGGCGTATGTGATTGTTTGTAATTTGTTGTAAAGTTGTATCAAAACATTAGAGTGTTGAATTGTACGGCAGCACCTTAACGCAGCGCAGATCTGCCTCCATTTTGTGTCGGCACGTCCCGTTTCCGGGTTCCTGAGCAGGGACCGATAAAACGGTGTCAACGGGGAGTATGGCTTTGCTCGCCGCTCAGGAGTGCGGGTAAAGTTTTCCATAGCTTCCTAAAAGCTCAAAAAAGTGATTTTTTACACCGTCTGTAGTTTGTTTTACCATGTGAGTAAAGCCCTGTTATTTCTCACAGTTTACAGACAGCCGGGCTGCAGTGACACTGACAGCTGGAGAGTAAACAGCCCGATGCTAACTAGCTAACAGCAGCTAGCTCCAGTATAGCGTTAGCCCGCTAAGTGAATGTTTTGATCCTCTGCAGTAACCCTCACATCATAGTGTTTGTCAAAGAGCTCAGACGAAGGATTGCCACAACAGCACTTTCCATTCATGTTGTTTAGGAGGACGAGACCATCAAACCTCTTCTTTTCAGGGTAAGTAGGATGTTGAAGCTAACTTTACTCCACCTAAGTTGAAGCTAGTTGGCAGCAGGTAAATCCAGCGGAGCGTTACCTGGGAGCGGCTGGAGGCTCAACCTGTCTGGGCCCGTTAAATCCTGTTTCACCGACCATAATGACACACTGTAAACTCCCTAAAAACTGCTACATTTATCCACTAACTTGCTTCAGTGTGTGTATTAATAATTTAAAAGTAACTGCGTGCTAAACAAGTTAGCCGAACAGGATGTTCTTATTATTCTAAAAGTGTCTCGACGGTGTTTGAGGACTCTTTGTTGGATATGGTTTTAAATCTTGAGCTGTCAGAGCCTAAAAAAACCTAGAAACTCTCACACATCGCCACAGGCCTTTAGCTTGCTGTATTTCCTTGACCACAAAAACATCTAACTTCCTTATACATCCCCCCCCCCTCTCTCCCTTGTTGTGTTTCTGTCATTCTGCATCGTCACACTTTTAGTGGGGGGGTTTACTGTTCATTTGGTGTTTTGATGCAGAGATTTATGACACAAACATCATTGATCTTGACCTACTTTGGGACCTCACTTTACTTGGATCTTTAATGGAGAGGATTAGTCAGATTAAAGGGTCAATGGGTCAAGACCAGCAGCTTTTATCAGTATAGCTGTCAGGTTAGTATGCATATGTTGGATAAAGATACTGCAGAGGTAACTATTGTGCACCTGGAAACATGAATAAAAACATGCCGTTATGCTCATATCTTGCAGTTAATTCATGTTAAATTAATTACAGGATTAACTGTCAATAATTAAGGTGGACAGCTGGACAACTTGCCTAAACCCAGAGAAAGAAAAAAAAAAAAAAAAACTTCTTCCACCAGGATATAGAATAGAATTACTTTATTGATCCAAACTGGGAAATTGTGGCATTACAGCAGCAGGTTATCCAACACACAATATGAGCAAAAAACACAATGCTAGCAATCTAAACACAATATAATATTAAATACAAAGTAAATAAGCACTAAAAAATATCAAAACTAAGAATGAGAATATATACAACCAGGATTTAACATTACTAGTCTTAAATAGGAAAAGATTAAATAGGAAGATTAAATGTAAATGTGCAAAAACAGAGTTGTAAATGGACAGTATTGACATAAGTTAAAGTGCATGAGTGTAGACATATTATAATCAGAAACTATACAATATAACGGTGAGTAGACAGACAAATGAAGTGAACATGAGTGCAGGGATAATTTATAAATGTAACATGTGCAGAACAGATTCCATTATGGAGAGACAGATATTATTATCATCATCATATAAACGTACACTCACAGGGTTAGCAGCTGGGAGCTGAACACCTAACAAATGCAACAGGAGGCAGCAGGAGAGATATACTCTTTATACTGAGCTACAGTATAGCCACCAACAAACACAGTAGCCTGTAAATGACTGTCAGATAAGGATGAGGGAGAGAGTTATCAATGCTAAATCTGATCTACTGCATGTTTTATTTAGCAGCAGATAATTGAGCTGCTGTACTCAAGTACTCAGACATTTTATTAAAGAACCAATGTTTAGAAATAATGTTCATAATAAATGCCATAAATTGCCAAAATAATACAACTTAAAAAGTTACATTTATTAGAATTAAAATAGCCTGTTCTAAGTCATTAAACTTAAGGCAGCCTACTCATTGTGTAGAATTTGCTTTTTCAGAATTATATTAGAGCACTGAATGGGAAAATCAGGGCCAATACCGATGTTTGAAATAACATTTTAGCCGACTGCATTCGGCTAAAATGATGACAGATGATTGTTGCATGACTTCTTATGGTGCAAGACTCTCACAATGCCACCATTGTCTCATGTTTGAAAATGAAAACAAGATGTTTTTTGTTCAACAGGTGGCTACATCTGCCCAATAAAAAAACTCTTCTCTGAATCAGTAATAAGGTGCAGTGTTAAGTAACGTTTTAGTCTTTATTTTGAAACCACTATTTGCGGTAACTATAAACAAATTAGTTACTTTCCAGATTCAGTAACGCCGTTACAGGTACTGACATTTAAGTTACACTCTTTACTTTATATGAAACAGTCGACAACAAGCAGGCAAGGTTACGCTAACATTTGCACAGCATTATACCGGGAGAAAGAATGTTGCATGCTGTAAACAAACACAGTCAGCTGATAATTGAGGCCTGAGCTTTCTCTCTCTCTTGAGTTAAACAACAAGAATAATACGGTGAGTTGTAGTCTATGTGCAGGAAGGAAACTTCTCTCACAAGGAAGAAACACCGAGCTAAACGACAACATGCTTCAACTAAACTAGCTGTCAGAGAGCCCCATGCTGCAGACACTGGAGAACCAGGAGAACCATTTAAGGAGGAGACACTCCATACTAACAGCCAGCTTGATTTAAATTGCTGCCAGCTCCACGACCTGTAAGTCAGGCTATGGACAGATAGACAGGTATGTTTTCGGTGACGTGCTTCATATAAACTGTTGCCTTTAGAGAATTAGTAAAATACAGTATACAATTTGAGAATGACTACAGTGTAATTTGAAATGAGTGAGTTGTCACAGGCACAGCACAATTCTTCTCTGCAGATCTTCTCCAGCTTTGTCAGGTTGGATGGGGACCATCGATGGACAGCCATTGTCAGCTCTCTCTAGAGATGTTTTATTGCGTTCAAGTCAGGGCTCTGGCTGGCCCAGTCCCTGCTGCTGCTGCAAAACTCCCCCAAAGCAGGATTCTGCCACCACTGGGCTTCACTGTTGGGATGGTATTGGGCAGGTAATAAGCTGTGCCTGGTTTCCTCCAGACATGACGCCAAGAAATGAGGCTGAACAGTTCAATGTTGTTTTCATCAGACCAGAGAAGCTTGTTTCTGGCAGCCTGAGTGTCCTTTAGGTGCTTTTTGGCAAACTCTAAGCAGGCTTTTATGTGTCTTTCACTGAGGAGAGGCTTCAATGTGGCCACTCTGCCATAAAGCCCACATTGGTGGAGTGTTGCAGTGATGATTGTCCTTCTAGAAGTCTCTCCCATCTTCACACAGGATCTCTTGGCAGAATGGCCGCTGGGTTCTTGGTCAATTCTTTTACCGAGGCATTTTTCTTCCAATTGCTGTGTGGCCAGGCAGCCGGCTCTAGGAAGAGTCCTGGACCGGTTTTTCCAAATTTCTTCTTTATGGAGGCCACTAGGCTTTTGGGGACCTTCAATGCGGCAGACATTTTAAGTGATTTGCTAATACCACACAACTTAGACCAACAGAGAAAACTACATGTGTATTAGTAAAGTTGTCTTAGAAATATATCAAGAGTAGGAAAGATGTTCCAAATATTTGGTCCCCTTTTGGCAAAATATTTACAGTTTATTGTTCATATTATGGCCTATTCATAGAAGTTCACAGTTTTGATGTTGAGTATTGACTTTATTTTATAGCAAAAAAAATCACATCAATAAGGACAAAGTTCTTAACTCAAGTCTCTTTTTAGCGTTTCATTCCTGTCACTTGAGCTCCGCAGGCAGTTACTTCGAACTCATGGCTTGGTTTTTCCTCTGCATTGTAAACTGTGAGACCTTTATATAGACGACAGGTGTGTGCCTTTCTGAATCATGTCTAAACAACTGAATTTATCACAGATGGACTCCAGGAAGGGTGGAGAACATCTCAAAGATGATCAAGATAAATGGGAGGCACTTGAGCTAAACTTCGAGTGTAGTAGCAGGCCTGAAAACAATGAATGCTGACTCATGAGCGTCTTCTATTAAAACCATTTCTACAAGAGATTTTTTTTTTTTTAGGTTGCCATGATAGTGACTTGTCCCTCACAAAGAAAAAAGAAAGTGTTGATATTCAGCCTTTAATTTGATTTTTTTCAGTAAGTGTCTGCAATAATACAACTTCTCCCAGAAAAATTTCCATAGAATTGTTATTGATTGATCAACTTAACGTTACCTCTGCAGCATTTTAAGCTGGCCGCAAAATGCCTTTTCTAATATTCATCTATCATTTCAGTCTGTGAAATGTCTGCAATGGAAGATTCACATCAGATCGCACGAAGTCTAAACTAATACCATGATCATTATTTATTGTGTAAATCAAACAGCCACTGCGGCTCAGTAGTAGTGTGAGGCTTCTCTGACCTAGTAGGTTTGATTCCTAGCTCCTGCAGTCACATGTCAAATTGTCCTTGGGCTAGACAGTCAACCCCAAACTGCTGAGTTTGCGGCGTGTGAATGTGTATGAATGGACACTGATGGACACTAAACACAGCGCACCTCTGCCATCAGTGATTGAATGTAGTGTGAATGGAAAAAAACGCTTTGAGTATTCAGAAGACTAGAAAAACACTATACAAGTTCGAGTCCAATATTCCTATTTCCTGTGGTACGTAAGTCAACTAATCAATCAACTAATTGTTGTAGCACTCACATTTTGGCCTGTAACAGTATTTGTCACGATTCAGTGCATGCAGTCACGTGACAAATATGTCTAAGTGGAGATAAAAGGCAATACATAGAAGAAGGAGACACAACAATACACAAAGAAGATACACAGTATTAACATGACACGACAGAGCTAAAAGACCTGTCTTTGTCTTTTAAACGGTTGTGGGGACAGTTCAGGTTGGCAGTGTGGTCAAACACGTCGAAAGTTTTCAAGATGGCATCAGGAGCTGATCAGTAGATTACTGGAGCTATGAGAAAACGGGTGTCTAACAATTCATCCCTGCTGTTTTTAACAAGCAGCTGGATGGGAAAACAGAGAAGGTCAAAGACTATCCAAGCTTCTACTTTATGCTTAGACTGCGTCATGCAGTGTTTATGTAGTAGTAGAGGACATACAGGTCTTTGTGTTAATTATTTTCCTGTTGAACCAAATTCGTACCAAACCGTTACATCCCTACTAACATTACATCAGGCTTGATTGTTCTTCTTTTTTTTTTTTTTTTTTAAAGAAAAGAAAAAAAGAAAGATCAAAATATCAAATTCCAACAACTCAAATGTGAATATTTTCAGTTTCCTTCCTTGTCTTTTCAACAGAAACTGAAAATCTTTGAGTTATGAATAGAATAAGACCTTTGAGGATCTCCTTGTGGGCTTCTGGAAACATCAACAATTTGACAATATTTTAGGCAACAATGAATCGATTAGAAGAATAATTGAAAAAGGTTTTAAAGACTATTGAATTATGCAGTCATAGAGATGTGTAAACAGACAATTATTCATATTATTAGCCCAAAAATAAGACTCAATGCACTAAAATGCATTGCATTAAAAACTATGTTCTTGCTATCTGATGTTTCCGTCTTGCACACAGAATATATTAAAACATTTTATATTCCTCCAGAAATGAGGGGGAAAAAACCTGACTCTCAGTTTCTGTTTCTGCCACTGAGTCATTTTTCTGTTTCAACCATGTCAGTGACTGACAAGCGAGCTTGCTGAGTGAGATTCCTTTGGTTTCTCTCGGTGAAAACCTGCCAGACATTCAGCCAGTTGGCCTGATGAATGGAGCAGCAGAGGGTGAGGGTGGAGTGAGAGAGACAACGTTGCCTGCATGAGCCAACAATGGGCCCAGACTTCTAACTGGTTTGACCTCAGTTAGTATTGTGTGCAAAGCAGTTTTAGGTACCGATGTACTGAAGGTACGATTAATAAGAACGCGTGATGAAAAAAAAAACCTGGGCAATAGGTGTCTTTATTTTATTAAGTCTAAAACTGTTACTTTACTCCCGCCTATCAATCATGTCAGCTACGTGCCTAACTATGGATAACGTATCATAAACTTGTATTCAGAAAATCAAAACTGGGACATTTTACAAAAAAAAAATCACATCCCACACAGTGTGTGCCCATAATGACAATAACTGATCAGACCTATTTGGTTTTTTGTACCAGGCTGTAAACATTTCTACTGTAAAAAACTTTGGCTTGGCTTTTTTCAATGTGGTGTGTATGTGACTTCCGGGGCTCCTGGAGCCAGCTTCAAGCAGACGCTCAACAAACTGCCAGATTTTGCACTTGCTTAATTTTTCAAGACCAGATGCTGCTTGGTTTAAAGGCACGATCAGTTAAATATATATATGTTGTTTTGCAGGACTTATTGTGTGTTGTCCTAGCTGAGAGAGTGAAGACACCGGTGCTAACCCCCCCACCCCCACCCCCACACAGAGGTGCCAACAGAGGGACAGGATGCCTATTCCTCCCCCTCCCCCTCCTCCCCCTGGACCTCCACCCCCCCCAACCTTCAATCAGGTCAGTGATCGGAATGAGATTATTGCAGAGTTGGTACTACTTTTATTTCAGTGTAGCAGAATTCCTTACAAGACATGTTTTTGTATAAGTTGAGACAAATGTAAGTCTGTCAAGTCAGAAAGTCTTTCATGGTATAAGAAGGGACAAAATTGGACAATACACATTAGAGTAAGGACTTACCTACCCCCTCGTTTAATGTCATATTTATCTAAACATTTTTCTGTTAATGTTCAGAGGCTTGTACTTCATACTGTTCATTAGCATACTTACCATCACTAATATTGATGTTGGTATCAGAACAAGTGTACCAGTATCTGAAATGCCTCTGATTCTTTCTAAAATGCAGATTACCCGTAAAAGAAGACAACTTGTTTTATCAGACACATTCCTTCTTCATTGCTCCAAAACAGTAGCCTTCTTAAAAATGAAAAATGCATGTGAACACATTAGTCCTGCTAAATTTGTACGAGACAGAATATTTCTGAGTCGTAATAACACACTTAGATAATGTAGTTGGAGACCATGTGCTCTCCATGGAAAACGGTGTTCTTTATGAAAACACCCATCTGACTTGATTATTTTTTTTATCATTAAAATAGATTTGGCTAGAAAGCATAAAGTATTTACACACTTAAAAGCAAAACAAAACTTAAAAAAAGACTATTTGAGGACAGCAGTGTGCAGTCACAAACAGAAACATGTTTGATTTTTCAAACCAGGATAAGAATGCTCCTCAAATATTTCCTCTTTAAGGAACGTCGTAACTGTTAAATTGACTGAAGTCATTAAACAAGCTGAAGTCTAGTTTAATGATCGTCTTCCATCTTTGTTTTTTCCACTGACATGAACATCAGAGAAGGTTAAATATGCAGTTTATGGGATCTGAGAAAAATGTCTCTACCAAAAGCACTCCAGTAAGATCTGAGGAACTGGAGATGTGACTGTGTTTGTTAACCTCCTGCAGGCAAACACTACACCTCCCAAACTGAGCTCCTCCAATGCTAAAGGCAGAGGAGCCCTGCTGTCTGACATCTGCAAGGGCGCCAGACTAAAGAAGGTTGGCGTGGTCAATGACCGGAGCGCGCCCATTATAGAGAGTGAGTTACAACTTCATTTCATACACCCGAACCCCTGATCTAATGTGTAACTGAGCTTTTATTTAATATACACACAAGAAAATGTATCCATATACTTGTCGTATGAGTTAAAAATACAGGGACATGCAGTGATGATGTTTTCAGTTTAGTAATTCCCTGGAGCCCATGGGTGAGATTTGAATGGGTCCCCAATCATCATGATTGTTGAATCGGACGACACCTCAGACAAATCAGACCTAAAATCGTCTACTGTATAGCCAGCATTTCTTCTGCCATGTACCTTGATTTTGGGCTTAATTAATATAAAACAATGAAAAATGTAATGAATATTTAATTCCACAGACATAATGAGAAACGTTTACATTCATGTACCCAAAGTTTTGATTGATAACTTTAAAAATATCTTCCATAGTGATTTGTAAGAAAACTGCATCAATTAATCCAGAACCGGATTGTGTAATATGATCTGTTTGTTTGTAACAGCCTGTGCAGATTTAATAGCTTTTATTCAAGGCTGTTAAATGTAACTTATTTTTCTTATTTGGAATTGATTAATTAATTATTTGGAGATATTTAATTACCTCAAAAATTTGAAATTGTCTTGCTGTTTAGTGCAAATTGTATTTTATCTTACACACACATGCTGCTGCATTGAGCTGTCGTCTTGCATGCTCCCTGTGGGTTTAATTCCTTATAGTTCACTGGAGGAACCAAAAATATTAGTATGGAAAGGCAGAAGTAATGGCACACATCAGTTTTGATTTCACATTTTTACACAACTTGATACAGATTTATCTCTGATTTTTCCTGCTTGGTATTCTTCTGTTTCATTGTACATATTTTGTGGTGCATCTACAGTAACTCCTAATACGGTACTTAATTATTGAAAAAATGAAAATGTCTATCTAATTCTGCTTTCTTACCTATCTTTACTGACAATTGTCTCTTTCATTCCACCAGATTCGGGAGGAGGTGGTGGAGGCAGCGGTGGAGGAGGAGGATTTGGAGGTGGAGGTGGAGGGCCAATGGGGATGGGAGGCCTTTTCCAAGGAGGTGTGCCAAAATTACGCCCCATCGGAGGTAATAGTTGTATTTATTATGTCTCTACTTTATATTCATTTATTTTTTACCAAATGAACCTAAATACAGGGATGAACTTTTATATTTTTTACAAATAGAAACATCTCTATTTCCTTGTTCTTTCATCTGAAATTTAAAGATTTGTAGTTTGTCTTCTGGAACCTTGTTGCAGGGATGAACAGAAGTGTATTGCATTAAGATGAGAAAAATGTATATCTATGTTTTTATCAAATACTGAGATAATTAACTCAGAATTCTGAGATGGGAAAATAATTGTCTCTGTTTTTCTGAATGAATAAAATACAAGTCACATACAGGGAGAGGTTCGTGTCCCCGCTAGATGCATGCAATTCTCTGCACAACACCAGCTCCTCCATTGCACTCTGTGGGGATCCTGTATTTGGCCTAATTGTCTCTTTGAGTCAACACATAGCCAGCATCAGCATGAATGCATTTCAGATGCAACACATTATATCAGTGATGCATGCCTTATCAGCACAGCTGATCCTGACAGACCAGAGTGGGGTTTGTGTCTGAACTGCAAAGATCTAAGTTGCCTGCACAAAGTCGACAAACTACCTGGGTACATCCTGGGTATGTGTGCTACTTTAAGTGGTCTAAATCAGAGCTTCTGCTGGGATTTAGAGGTACTGGTATCGCATTCATTCAGAAAAAAATGGCAGAATTTTAGATTTTCATAAAAATGTTAATGGTAAGTCAGAGATAATTATCTTGTTAATTAAAAAAAAGAGAAGTTTTGTTTTCTCACTTGAAAAGCAATACGCTTCCTTAGGGATGTGATCCTTCCAGATTGATCTAAAATGATATATTTTCCATCCTGAATAGACATTTCCACACATCGATTTATGTGTCTTATTTTGTGTCATTTTATTATCTGTATAAGATTGCTGTTGATCACGATATACCAGTGTGCACATGTTCTTTACCCCTCATGATATTCTTGCGAGTAGCGTTCGTATTGTCTTCAGGTGATCGGAGAGCGAGATGTCTGCGGTTACGATCCTTTAAGATACATAAATTGACGTTCAATTTCACATGTTAATCATTAAAACCTCTTATTCCCCTTTTTAAATTGTTTTGTGCAGCTGGTTGCTTTTCATTTTATTCTGTTTTTTTTATTTTTTATTCGTTATAACAAGCATCCCAACAACAGACATTGTAAGAATGTATTTGTGAGTGACACATTTTAAAATATTGAATTGTGTTGTTAGGGCAACACTATGACACAAACACAAGAACTATATAGTCCACATGTTGAAATGTATTCATATAAATGTGTTCATCCTTGCTGTGAAAAAGGTTCCAAACACAAATATAAAAGACATTTGTCTGGATTGTTTTCTCTCTATTAACAACACGTCTCCACCCAGATGGTTCGGCTGGTGGTTCTGTGGGCAGATCCGCCCTGAGGCCCCCGGGATCCAGGTCCGCAGCCCCTCGCCCCCCCACAGGCCGCTCAAGCTCACCTTCCCCACAAAATAAGCCCTCTCCCCCAGAGCACCAGCGCTCCCACCGCCCCTCACTTCCTGACATCTCACGTCCCTCCAGCAGCAGCAGCAGCTCTTCCACTGGCAGCGGGATGAAGCACAGCACCTCTGCCCCCCCTCCTCCTCCACCCTTCAACAGAGGGGGCCGCAGCAACGCTCCCCCTATGCCAAACCAAAAGGCATCTGCTCAACACTCCTCCTCTGCTCACAGCAGAGAGAAGCCCCTCCCACCAACTCCAAACAGAGGCCCCAACCCTTCAAGCTCTGTAAAGCCTCCTCTGTCTTCCAGCAGACCGCCAACAGGTGGATCCTCAGCTCCTCCACCTCCTCCTCCGTACAGGCCTCACACATCAGGCGGCGTCTCCAACGGGCCATCACAGGTTGATGGGGGCGGAGCTCCAGAGCTACCACAGAGGCACAACTCCCTGCACAAAAAACACACATCAGGTGGCAGCATAGGACGCAGTCACGCTCCTCCACCTCCTCTGTCATCGTCTCCATCTTCTCAACAGGGCGTCAGACCACCACCACCTGCCAGAGAGCCACCTGGACGCAGATCAGGTACAATAGTCTGCACTGTAATCGCAATCTGTGTGCTTTTAAGTTATGTTTCTCTGCTGCAGAGTTGTGTTAATCTGCTGCTGGAAACACATTTCCTGATATGGCTCTTTCAAAAGAAAAACATTTCTACAACAAGACCTGGGGACTTTAATTGTGAACGATTTTTTGGTAATGAATTGTTTATATCATTAAACTGATGGAGATTTAGCATTCTCGTTCGCAGTGATATATAAAATGTTGATTTGTTAACTTTATCTGAGTACAGCCAGTGAAAACAGAGACCTGGCAAAGATCCAAATAATTTAGGCAAATAGTCTTATTTTGATGTGTGTAGGATTAGTCACTAAACTATCAAACATTGTCACCCTTGCTAAACAGTCACAAAATAATGAATCTGTTAAACTAATTATTTATATTTTAAATGATATTATAGGCCCACAATGCCAGTCAAAGTTTGTGCTAATGCTGTTGGGCCCTGTGTCCCCCGAGCAATGAGTAGAGAGCGTTTGCCGCAGCCTAACGCAGCCACTCGCTGCTAGTCTGGGCTGTAAACTCAGGATGGGACTGATCTCTCCCTGCTCTACTGCGTTGATGTAATCCAGAACAGTGAATAGATCCCGTAGGAGCAGGACAGGTAAACTGTCAAATAGTGATGATAGAGTTCTGGGAGTGTAGTAAAAGAATCTATTACGACAGGATGTCATCATGAACTCAGGGTAACAATATGATTTCTGATGTCAAACTGATTTGCAACCCAGACCTGTAGATTTTAACTTTTTTGATAATTGATCTGTTATTTAGTTTCTCCTCTCTCATCATTTCTTGTATTCTCTCTTGTGTCATCTGTCTTAAAATGTCATTCATCCTCTGCTTAAATCATTTTAAAAGCAATAATTCCAGGATAAAATGTGTTACATATGTTAAGTAAATAAGTATGTAGCATTCTCAGTGTCAAAGAAGTCTCAGTGATCAAGACATAACCACTTCACTTTCTCTCATCTGGAGGAATGTTCATTCAAGAGCCAGCACAAGTTTCGACATGTTATCTCTAAACATTTTTCATGACCACTGCAACCATAAAGCAACAAACAGTTTTAACAGATGAGGCAGGGGCATACATGTCATATAAGTCCTGCTCTGGCTGTCATATTTAAGCCTGCTGCCTGCACTGACACTCATCAAATAACATCCACTGTTTAATATTTCCACATTATAGTATAATGTGTTTTGGGGTGTCACTTCAAGCCACATTGGATTTATAGTCTGAAATATTACAGAATATTTCAGTATTCCAACAAGTAGAGCAGATCCACTCTCCATTGGTGTGCATGTTTAGGCTTGATTGTGCAGATTCTTTGTGAATGATGACACACATTTTGATGCCTCTGAATATCCATAATTAACTGTAGGTTTGCTCATTTTTAAAGAGATGTTACAGGGTTATATCTGACGGAGAATAAACATTCAGGGGATTATTTGCTTCCTTTTTAGAGCAGATTTAAACCTTACTGGAAACATATTTATAGTTTAAACAGACAAAACAGGAAGGCACTTGTTAGCCCCTCCATGTTGTGATTGGAAGTCAATGCGATTCACCACGAGGATTCCTGGTTTCTCTGCATTCCTGAAGTCCTGTGGAATATTCCAGAGGTCCACCTCACTGTTGTTCTCTCTTATTCTCCCTCACTTTTCATAACAACTTGAGATGCACCTTCCTTGTTTTTTGTGGTAATGAAAAACACAAAATAACTCAATATTGAGTACTTGTATCAAATCTAAGCTTTTCCTACTTTTTAATACCTCTAACATTTATTTCAAACTCCATCAAAACTCTTCAAGGCCCAGAAATTGTGTCTGATAGTCTTAAGGTCATCTTTGCTTTAGATGACCTGAGAAACTGTTTAGATGTAGCTTTGTAAACAAAGGTACCCCTGCTTGGTCGACAGTAATTGTGTCAATAGGGGGTCCTTAAGAGGATATTGCACTGTTCATAAAAAGGAGAGAGCAAAAAAAGTCCCTTAAATCAATAAGCCGATCAGACGACATAATCCCTCTGTAAGCATTTAAAACAGTGGATGTTTGACTAATTCAAAGGTCAGGAACAAACTTTATTTTTTTATTGCTGTCTATACCTTTGCATTCATCTGTGAATAGGTCACTACTTCATGTAACACAAGGCAGCTTTACGTACACTGAGGCAATTCAAAGTGCTTTATAGCTCAATAAACCATCATAAAAGACAAAGCTTTACCATTGAAAGTGCAGGAGTGTAAAATATTGAACATTTGCTATATTAATTGAAAAAGCCAAAGTGCATACCTTCAAAATAAAAATGGAGTTTAAATTAGTCTGAAGCCATTAGAGTAAAAGTAGTAAAAAAAAGAAAAGAGTCTCATTACAAACATGTATTAAAGTCATTTTCATCAGAAGTTACTGTCTTTATGTAAAATCATTCAAGTCATCCTAATCATTTGTACATGTGTATTTTTATGTGTGTGTTGTCTACTCAGCTCCTCAGGTTCCCCAACCTGGGTCTCGTAATAGCGGCCGGGACGCCCCTCCTCCCCCACCTCCTTACCGCGTCAACAGCTCTGGGACCTCAGAGCCCCACAGCCGAGTGGGCAAACCTCCTCCACCTCCTTCCTCTTCCTCCTCCTTGTCATCAACCTCCTCCAGAACCCCGGCTGGACCCCCTCCGCCTCCCCCACCCATCAGGAATGGCCACTCCACTCCACTCCACTCTTCCAAATTCATCATAGGTGAGTTGTGCATCATTGTTTTCCTCTGCTTCTTCATTCATTTTTTTCACAATCAACAGGCAACTGAAAGATCTGTGGATAGAACATTATTTAAATTCTCTGTAAAACAAATCTTTTTTTTTAAGAGCAGGAATTCATTGTGCGAGACTTAAAACAGATCAAAGCATGCCAAACTAGTGGCACTATTTTGATAACCTTGTAAAGTATTGATTTAGGATCAAAAACTGCAAAATTCTTGTTTTCCACCAACGTCTCAAAAGAAATATCTCTTAGCTTCTTTCCTTTTCTATGACAGTAAACTGAATATATCTGTCTTGTGGACAAAACAAGACACTTACAGTATGAACTTCGTCTTGTGCTTTAGAAAACACTAACAAGATCCTCCAAAAGATAATCAACATATTAACAGTCTGCCATTGAAAAGGACTGTTGCACAACATGAGATTTCCCTGCTTTTTTTTTTTGCTTCAAATCCTTTTTCTTTCAATATCCACCACATATTGTGCTGTTGAAATGATATATTTAATAAATTCTATGAAGAATAACTTCCGACAAAAGCATCAGGCACAGGAGCTGTCAACATGTTTTGCTTATGCCCTCTATTTGATGGAAGTGGGTGTGATAGTCAAATATCTCACTGCAGCCATGCAAAGGAGTCTTTTTTTGTTTCCTGTTCAATAACAAAGCCATGGATGATGCCTAGATTACAGTCTATGACTCATATAGAACATATCCAGGCAGAAAACACAAACGCAGGTCTCTTATAATATGAAGACTGTGATATATTGTTTATTCTACATCAGCATATTCAATATCACATACAAACAATTCTCCCTTGAAGATTAATTACAGGTTTTCAGCTGTAAATATGTTTTAAGTTGTTTAACCACACTGTAGGTGCACTAAGTAGAACTTCTTCCCCAGCTTATAGCATTTTTGCTAGCATGTTTTGGTACCAAAATATAATATTTACTAAAGAAAACTACAAGTAGCCTGTTGCAACACATAATCCACACCTCTGACATGGCAAATAGCTAATCATAGCTTTTTTCCAGGGGACACGCCCCTGTATCAGGATGAGGTTGTTCATGTATTCCTAACAAACTGTTAATTCGCTGAGTCTGCATCTTGTTTTAAATGATGTTTTTCGTATTCCCCTCAGATGATTTTGAATCCAAGTTCAACTTCCACCCGATTGAAGACCTTCCACCTCCCGAGGAGTACAGGCATTTCAACAAGATCTACCCCAGTAAGACCAACAAGGGTACGAGCATTGCTGTCTTAGTTTAACTTCTTAATTTAACTGGCCACACTTTTTTATGACATAATTTGTGTAAAGCAGAGATCCAACAGCATCTGTGGTGCACTGCGTTCTCTCTGCTGTGGTTTTTCTCTGTCTGATATCGCTGTACCCTATTGGAACCATTTCTTAAGCATAACCTCACTTAGAGCAGCTGGATCCGCAAAGTATCTCAGAACTAGCAGATAATGTGGCAATAAAGAGAACAATATACAAGCAACAGGTTACTTTGCATTTCTGAGGTTGATTTGCTATTCATTTGGTGTTTTGACATAATATTGATATAGTGATATGGGATATACAATCCAGAATTTGTACAAGGTATTTTATTTTGAAATTAACCTAATGCTATATGCATGTTTAAGAACAACCTCAGCTCCATCTTTGTGCCTATTTCTGGATTAATAGAAAGTAAGCTGGAGTTAGTTTTTCCAATATAGTGACTGACATTGTTTGGCTTCATTACGCATCTTCAGAAACCAAGACTGTCCATGTTTTATAATCCTTGGTTTAAAAGCACAATATGATCTCTCTGTAATTCCACCTTTTTGTGCCACAATAATCTGTATGAACGGAGTTTCTCACAGAAGTGTGTTCACTACACAATGTTTGTTAGTTACGTATTTTCATCTTTTTGATGTATGTTTTCATGTGGCAGTATCTGTGCGGTATCAATAGCATGTTTTTCTTCTCCTTTCTCTTCCATCAGCCATGGTGAGAGGAGCTCCTCCTGCTCCTCCTGTGGGGAGGTGAACTGACCTCAGTTTAGGACTTAAACTCTCAGTCAGCCGACAAGATGGATGGTCTGTCAGTCGTTCGGTCTGTTGGGGATGACGGAGCACTCAAACACACTACAACACACACTCACACATTAACACTAAACCACCAGCTGGAATGCAACCTTAAACACTATGACACCATTCAGGTTCGACACTACTCAGTGACCACATTCTGTCTTTGCACGAGTGAACAGAAAAACTAAAACATTTAGGAGGCATGAAACTGAATCAACCTCTCTGACCACAACCGGCTCGGCTTCTCCTCTGCTGACTGGACGAAGAACTTCTGATACATATCAGGACCAAACACTAAATCTGTGCATTCCATTGTTTTTGTTTTTAATGCATTTTCATGATAGAAGTAATAATGGTGATTTTCATAATTCTGAGCAACATCTTTAACTTGATTTGATTTTATTATTTTTGGTGTTGGCATTAGTTTGTGGAGGGAAAGTGGAACACTCTGGATGGAAATGGTTGAACTTTTATTTCGGCAGATACGTTTCCCACACAAAAAGATGATGCCATGAATGTGGGGCTTATTGACGGTTCTTTTTTGGAAGGGTAATTTTGTTAGTTTTTGTCTTAATTAGCCATTCCAGCAGTGCCTGGTGAAGGTGTGTTTCAATCAAATGTCTGTGTCAGTGTGCCAAAAGCCAGAGGATTCAATTGAGCAGCACAGAGTGAGGAAAGTTTCTATACATTGCTCTATATATTTATAATCAGCATGTTTTAAATTCTTTGTGATCAAGCATTGCTTGACAGAAACCTGGTCCTTTATTTTTACATTTAGAGGGGGAATATTTTCTGCTTGTTCATTTTTGTTTCCCTACATTCCTATATTTGATAGGGGGCATTTTGCCATCCTTAGACAATGTTGCACGGCAGCTCCTCTGTTAAACCGAGACACTGTGCATGATCCTTTTTAATGCACTTATAGTAAAAGAGAACCTAAAAGGTTTAAAAAAAAAAACTAATTGGGTTCATCCCATAGTTTCCCCTCAGCATCTCTCTGTAAACACGTTGTGGTTCAATAGCTTAGAATAACAAAAATAGAAGTGATGGTGGTTAAATCTGCTAGTTTGCACAGCAGGTTGTAGATGTGTCTATAAGGGATCAATGATAAACTTTCTGTGCAGGGGAAGTCAGTCTAATAGCTCAGCTCTGCTCACAATCCATCATTTTCTTTTGCTGCTGGTTGCCCTTTTGATAGAAGGACTGACTGTAAGGCCAGAGAAGCTATATTGAGATATCTTTTAAATGCTATGCAAGGAGAAGTTTGTACAGATTGCAGTCGGTAGACATTAACCAAAAAGAAAAAAAAGAACACTTAAGTGCCAGAGAACAGTCTAAAGCAGATGGAGGTTCTTTACTTTTAAACACTAATAACGTATATAAACAAAGATGAACAAAAAATAAAGGTTTGTTCAGGTCAGATTCTTCATTCTCAGTGATGCAGCGCCTCCTGCTGGTCCTTGCCTTACACTAAAATCATTTGTCACTCATCGGTACCTTTTTTGTTTTATTTTTTCCTGTAGGGGGGAAGATGATAACGACAAAGTAAATAAGAAATTAGTTTATTTGAAAATGCAATAAATATTGTATATTTACATTATGGAATAAGGTTATCATAGTTAATGATCTATTTTTATGTTGTAAAAAGCTTGTAATATAGGAAAGAGAAATGATTATAACGATGTTCCAGGCTGTGAGCTCTAGTCTGATCGAGCAGACTCTCTGTAGCACTTCTCTGGATGATTGGCCATAAGGGGTGAATGAGCTGAATGGATGTGAGTGCGGGTTTTTGCCAACAATACAACATTTGGGGATCCATGTTTGTAATTTGATCAGTTTTGCAGGTTTGCTTCACAGAAACAACCAATGGGACTAAACTTTCTGTCTAGGGTGTTTGCTTACCTCGACACACAGGTGACCCAACAAGTTTTAAGTCCCCTCCTATTCACGCCTCTTCCACTCATAAGAGCGAAAACTCTGTGGCCATTTCATGTTAATCAATCATGTTTTTATCTTTTGAAACGATTTCAAATAAATATGGGGAAAAGGGTACCTGTTTTCTCTTGTTTCCTGTCTGTTTTTACCAGCAGTGATTGGAAAATAATTGAAATGCTGTATGTTACTACAGTGTAAAGATAGTCCGCGACATTCTGCAATGACAATTTAAAGAAGATTTCAGTTGATATGTTAACACACTGTATAGCTAGTATTTATAAATATAAAAATAATCTAAGATTCATGGTTTTCGTTTACAGCTGTCCGATCAATTAGCTATAAAAATGTTCAATTGATCTCAAAATCTAAATATTTTTCCCTATTTGATTTGATAATGGTTTTTAATTTCCATTCAGGAAATTAAGTGTATCGTTTTGAGTATATTGAATGGATGATTAAGGGATAATAGTCGGGTGACATTGAATGGTTTGGATTTGACAACATTTAGTTCTCACCAAGTAATCTGATTGGACAGAAGTGCTGACACAGCTGTCTTTCTCTAAATGATGTATCTATCACACAGGCAACCTAAAAACTGAACAGACTGACAGTGGTTGTATGATCAATTGAAACATACAGATAAATGTACATACAGAAAGTAAACCTGCTAAAATAAGCAGTGTTGAAAGAGTGTTGTTTTGGTGAAGCCAAATGAAAGTTACTTAATTTATTTTTTCGTTCAGTGTCCTTAGACAGCTACAACACTCAGAGAAAAAGGTTAAACACTTAATCATCAAAGTATAACCTCAAGCCAGTTAAACTTCAGGGATATCAATCTGTCTATTTAGGGAGCATATGTGATTGTGAATCAATTTCACCTGCTTTAGTTCAAATGAAAGAAACAACAGGTGCAATGGAGAGGTAAAAGCAACCCCCCGCCCCCCCTAAAAGGGAGTGTTTTGCGTGTGTTTGCCCCAGACAACTGCACTCTCCTTGTCCTTGCTTTGACTCCAGAGTTTGTACATTTTATGTATAGCAAGGGTTTAATCACAAGAAAGGAACAAAATCATAATACCTTACAGGCACTGTGATGAAAAAGCGTAAAAACCAGTTGTTAAAATGTTTCCTAAAGCAAGAAAGAAATCTTGTTAACACTTAGTTGGCTGAGAAAGTGTAGGATAAACATTTACAGGGTCGTGTTTATGCGAACAATAAAGTCAAAACAAAGAATCAATCGCTTGGAACCAGTAAAACAACTCGGTGTTATGTTCACAGGAGTTATGTACCAAATCATTGCCACGAAACACACTGATATAACAAGACAACAATGAATTTCCCGGGAAAATAAAATTCCGCCAAAACAGCATTCTATTTAAACTCCCGCCATAGTTCTGCTGCCGGCTTTTTACACTGACGCAATATCCTTCTATGACGGCCGCCAATGAGCATCGACGAGGCTGTTGCCATGTGCCGGAACAGACCAATCAGTGAGCAGTGACGGGTCACACAGCTGATCCAGAAGGTGGAGGAGGACATTTGGCGCAAGTTTGAGCTCAGTTTAAGTTGGAAGAAGGAAGAGAGACTACAGGAGAATCGGAAGATAAGAGAAAATACTCTACTCTGAGTTGAGGAGACTTCTTTCATCTTTGAATAAAGGTAAAGTCTTAACTTATTTGTTAATTTGAACACAAAAACGTCAAAAATGTGTTCTACGTAATTTAAAATAGTAACAATTAAGCGAGTTTTTCGCGTAAAATACAAAGATATGCCCTTTTTCACGTTATGTATTGCCTTAATTACTTCTAAATAATCCGTGTGTTTGTTAATGATGTCTTTTAAGATAAACTACCTGCGTTTTGATGTTAACATTACGTCTGTGTTTTTAATCAAGACACCTCCGTTTGGAGCCTTGTTAACTTGGCGCCATTTACTAAACACACTGTTGTTTGCCCTGCTGGCTACTTACTGTAAAACTATAAAAACCTACTACAAACTATGTTTTTTTCGATTAGAAAATGTTTTTTGCTTCAGATTCAATCGATTTAAAATGAAGTTTCAAGTGCTTGAGCAACAATATGCTTACTGGAACAGTATTGTAATCCGCGGTTTGTAATCTGCCTGTAAAATTATGTGTAACCAGGAAGTCATTGTTCTTATGCATGATTGAATTCTTTAGGAGGTTTTATTATGCTTAACCATCCACTTTGTGCAATAACATGTTACACTTTATGTGCACTGTGTGTATGTCTGTGTTACACTGAATATTACGGACTACACTTTTGTCAAATAGCTGATCTATTTTTCATTTTTTAAATCTATTTTTTAGTATCTATTTTTTTTGTACATTCTTAATTGTTTATATTTTCTAATTAAATTGTTCTGTGTTCACTTTTTGTTTGCAATCTTTGCTCTTTGCTGCTGTAACAATGTAAATTTCCCCATTGTGGGATAAATAAAGGATTATCATATTTTAGGTTAATTTTGTCGGTTCAAAAATTAAGAATACGAAAGAAGTCGTTGTCTGATGCTGATGTGTTTTCTTCCCAGACAACTTGAGAAAATCAAAAATACTGCTTCTAAAAGTATGTTTAAGCAAATATGACCACCTTATCCTAAACATCAATATATTTTGTATCATTTAGTTAGGGATAAAGGCAGGACAGCTCAAATAAAGGAGTATACACTCTAACGTTAACACAGTCCTCCTCCAGACATCTAATGGGTCATTTCTCCTTTTTCCTTCAGATTAAAAGTCAAGATGCCGAGCACGCGCTCTAAGGATCAGTCTCAACCCATGCTGACATTCCCCCGCCGCAAATCCTGCAGAGCTTCCTCTCGCTCGAAGGTGGACAGATCTCCTGCCCCATCACCTTCCAAAAACCTTTCCTCAACCTTGACCCGCATTGGACCGCTCTCCCCAAAACAGCATGTCGGCCAGCACGCCTTGCTATCGCCGAGACGTGCCGCTGCCCAGCCGTCACCTACACCCGTGTCTCCCAGCCTCAAGACACGGCTTCCACTGAGCCCAAGGAAACGCTCAGGTGAGAGAAATGTTCATACAGATGGGCAGGGAAATGCAAATAGTTCCTCATGATGCTATGCAATGAAACACTCATAACATCTGAAATGCAAAAATAAAAAATGTATACAATTACAACAAACTGTCTGAAACTCAACATTTTAATTCTTCTCAAGGTTATGATAACGACTGTAACCTCGGCCCCGCTCTGTCGGGTTCACCCCCAAAGCAATCCAAGCTGACTCTGGCCTCGCCCCGGAAGCTGGGCCTTGATGAGAACTCGCCGGTCTCTGCTCGTCGACGGCTGCTACATCCTCGCCTCTGCAGCCGATATCACCTGCCGCCAAGTCATCACCGATGCGACAGGAAACACCTACTAGAAGTCCAACACTACTAAACTCCGCCAAGAGGCCACCCGTTGCTCGGCTGTTCGCTGAAAGTGAGTTTCACTTACAAATGATTTGGCTGTAAAACAAATGTCTGTTTGCTCTGAGCAGCTGTGATCAACATTCTTCACCTTTTTCTGAAGTTTATTCTAGTATATAATATAATAAAGTAAGTCTGAACTTAGAACTCAAAGGATCCTTCCCTCCTCCACGTTTTCCTTCTTTAGAGTCCAAGTTTCTGGATGTGAAGCAAGCACTCCACACCGCTGTACCAGAGCGTCTCCTGTCCAGGGAGGTGGAGCGGGCATCCATTAAAACCTTCCTGGAGGAGAAGGTCCTGCAACGTCTCCCAGGCAGTATCTACATCTCAGGAGCCCCGGGCACCGGCAAGACGGCCTGTCTCAACTGTGTGCTGCATGAGATGAAGGTATTTTAACAGATGTACAGCTCCCTGAGTGTGGGAACAAGTTTTACTGTGAGGGAATTCAATTCTTTGGGCAAACATAGTGCAGACTTTACTTTGTCACTCCTTTTGATGCTTACTGATGACATTAGTCCCCTCCATTTATTTGGAAGCTTACGTTTCTTTAAGATTTGATAACTTGAATAAGAGATTTAAAAAAACAGTGCAACTGGTCACACCAAGACGGACTTTATAGGCTTCTAAGTACTTTTTTTGTCCCATCAGGCAGAGCTGTCGTCGGTACAGACCGTGGTGGTGAACTGTATGACTCTGAGGAGCTCCCACGCCATTTTCCGTCTCCTGTCCGAAAAACTGAAAGCTCCAGGCGGGCAGAACGGAGTGCAGAGGTTCCTGACGGCCCCTGGACCTGCTGTGTGAGTGACTCAGAATCCAATCTGAACTATGATGCAGCCTAATGAGAGAATGATCTGCTCATTGAAGAGTGGTTTATTGACCTGAGTTTTAGTTGACCTCCATGATTGTTTGTGAATGTTTACCTTTGTGCATCTTTAAATGATTTGTCAACAGTCACTTGGATACATTACATTATGTATATCAAGTGATTATATATTAGATGTAATTTAAATATGAAAAATGTTCTGGTACACAACTATAAAACTAAATTCATAATTCAATCATTATTTAAAACATGTTTATCTATCTTCTATCTGGTTAAAAAAACCTGTTCACGCTCTGAAAGATCATAACTAAAGAGGTTCTGACCGGCTCTTTGTTCTGTCTCCAGGCTGCTGGTTCTGGATGAGATGGATCAGCTGGACAGTAAAGCTCAGGATGTCCTCTACACCATCTTTGAGTGGCCATACTTGCCCAAGTCTCGCCTCTGTCTTGTCGGTAAGGATGTCGCCTGTATTAGTGGAGTGTTAACACTTTGACATGGACAGAAACATGACATGTGTCATTGCTCTTAACAACAGTAAAGGTCATTTGTAAAACAAAAGAGACTAAAAAAAGAATCAAACAGTTTATAAAGGCAGCAGTACTCTTATTAAAGACTTTAAAGTACACTAAACAACTTCTTAAGCTGAGTTTTCTTCTCTCTTTTTTTGCAGGTATCGCCAATGCTCTTGACCTGACTGACCGCATCCTGCCCAGGCTGCAGGCTCGTCCTCACTGCCGCCCCCTGCTGTTACACTTCCCTCCCTACAGCCGACAAGAGCTCGCTGCCATCGTACAGGACAGACTTGCACAGGTAAGCACAGCATGCTTTATTGCCCTTATTTCTGATCCTTATCTT